TACAGAAATCTTAACTTCCTATTTTTCGAAACTGCAGACCGTTTTCCCTCTCAACTTCAGTTCCTTTCAGACAAGTGCTATGTGGGGATTTCCGTTTACAAAAGTGATAGAATTTCTTAAGGTAAGATAAGAAAATCATATTCCTCCACTCTACAGGGAATGTATTTATTTTTTTCTGAAAAAGGAAGGGATTTTAAGTTTAATGGAAGTTATGCAACTGAGACATCAACAAGACTGGAAAGAATTAATTACGTCAAACTGTTTGCAAAGAGAAGCTGATTATCATATTTTCCTTGCTTCAGGCTTTAATTAATATTTTTGAACAGAATTTCTACGAACTTTGCTGTTTATCAAATGCATTGGGTGTTGATATTTTCATCACGTACGAATTACCTTCTAATAAAAAAGAAAAAGTTCGAAAATACACTCTAAGGAAATCAAATTTGGTTACCAGTTCTTGTCAACGGGGCTTTAGCACCTGTACTCAGTCTAATTAAGACACAACATAAAGATAAATACACCCTCCCAACACTGGAAAGGAGAAAATACGAAGATTTGTGTCGATACCCCTATTACAAACAGGTATACCATCCTTTGGGTGATTCTAAATTATGTAATATCGTATTCCTGCTTAAGAAAGTCAAAAAGGCCATCTTGTTAAAGTACAATATTGGAATTTCTCGGTTGGTAAGTTTACATATAATTATACTTGCGACGAATTTAGGTTATATATTTTATTTTAAACCGCATGTATCCATGCAGCGCCTCTTTAATGATTATAATGATTACAATGGTATCGTATAACTCGCTGACAGGTTGATCGTTAATTGGTCATCTTTGTCTTTAGGTTCTCCTTCATTTCGGCGATGCATCGTCATCGTTAATACGATGCTTCACATCTATTGCAGCTTGTTTTATTGCGATCGAAGAAAAGCAAATACACAACAGCTTTCAAACTTTTTCTCATGAGAACTTGTGACGATTTTGGTATTCTAGACAGACAGAAAACATTTGTTAACCTTTTTGTATTAGTTCCTGATAATTTTCTCTAAAACACTAAAAGAAAATTTTGAAAAAAAAGTTGTTGAACATGGTTATAATTCAGCTGTCTATGAAAATGCTTCCTTTGCCAAATATATGAAGATTTCAGCGTAGATTTCCTTCTTAACATGATCAGTTCGTGTGGTCGTTTCGATGTGGTACTAAAGATGAACAATTAACAGGCGCCACATTGGCTAATAAATGGGTGACACATTGTTTTATATCTAAAAATGCGTTGCTCGTTGAAAAAAGAAAAGTGAGAAAGGAATTGAGAATGACGTGAACGCGACGTGATTTTGGACACTCATGGCCGATACGTGATTCTCGTCCCTAGTGGCCGATTTGTGATTTTGGACCCTACTAGCTGATTTGTAATTTTTCACCCTAGTGGCCGATTTGTGATTTTGGACACTAGTGGCCGATTTGTATACCGGACCCTAGAGGCCGACTTGTGACTTTGGACACTAGTGGCCAATTTGTAATTTTGGACACTAGTGGCCTATTCATGATTTTTGACAATAGTGCCCGATTTGTGGTTTTTGACCCAAGTGGCCGACGTGGTTTCAGGACCCAGGTAGTCGATTCCGATTGGCCATACTGGTGGCCGATTTGTGATTTTGGACCCTAGTGACTGATTTGTTAGTTAAGACACCAGTGACCAATTAGTGATTTTGGACCCTAGTTGCCGATTTGTGATTTTGGATCCTGGTGGAACGTTTGTGATTTTGGACGCTAAGAGTCAAGCCGATGTGGTTTCAGACCCAGGTGGCCGATTTCCGATTGTGTATTATAGTGGCCAATTTGTGATTTTGGACCCTAGTGACCGATTTGTGAGTTTAGACCCTAGAGGCCAATTAGTGACTTTAGACCCTAGAGGCCGATTTGTGATTTTGGATCCTGGTGGACTATTTTTGATTTTGGACGCTAAATGCCAATTTGTGATATTGAACGCTTGTGGCCGATATGAAACTTTGCACCCTAGTGGCCGATTTGTGATTTTGGACCCTAGTGGACGATTTGCGATCTTGGACCCTAGAGGCCGATTAGTGATTTTGAACACCAGCGATCGATTTGGAATTTTGAACCCTAGTGGCCGATTTGGAATTTTAGACCCTAGTAGCTAATTTTAACTTTCGAAAGCTGCTGGCCGATTTCTGATTTTGGACCTTAGAGGCCGATTTCTGATTTTGGACACCAGTAGACGATTTGTGAGAGAGCAGAGATCTTCTCATTCATTTTGCCTGTTGGACTGATTCTGATTTTCAACTTCTTTGCTCTGGGATACACTAGCTTTCATATCATTAGAATTCGGAAGGTGAGTACAATATATACTATGCTTATTTAAACAAAGGGCATCGAAAGCCAACCGTCTGTCTGTCTGCGCTTTGCCTATTCAACTGTTTGTCCGACGGCTTGCATGACCTACACAACACCGCAAACAAATCTGAATTTTAAAACCAGGGTTATTCACATTTTGATTATTTCAGAGAGCCAGACAAGTGACCAAGCAACAGCAAGGCTCTAACGTGGCTTTGATCTTTGTTAAAATGGCCTCAGTGATGGGTGTGACATGGATTTTTGGGATTGCTGCGAACCTACGGGCTCTTTCTTTCCTGTGGTACCCGTAGGTTGTTCTAAACAGTCTTCAAGGTAAGTGTAACAAAGCAGGTTTGGGCCAGAGAAAGAATGGAACGTTTTCTTCATTGGAATCACCAGACACAAGTTTTCCGACGTAGTAGCTGACCTTAAATTAGAGAAAACAGTCTCACTGTAATAATTGTTGGTTGATCACATTAAATAGTTCCTATGGCTATGACACTAAAATATGTCATAAGCAAGAACTACTGGACGGAATAAATGAAAAGTAATGAACTTTTTTCTAAAGTTCTAAAGTTTCATATTTTAGGGTTAACTACCCCAACATATAACCTAGAAAAATCTGTGGATTCGTTGCCAACAAGACTGTTAGGCTTAATACCAGCCCAAAAAAGGTGTTGAAATGTCTACCAGATAAAATGTTAATGAATTTAGGAGCAAAAATTGGTCTCGATTAACGCAACGAAGTGATCATTTATTTCAAAATAAGAGTCAGCAATATATTCAGATTTTCAATAATTTCAAAATTCTCTAAATGGAAGCCCTTTGGACAGTTTTTTGCTTTTTCTATATTTTTAGAGTGCGTAGCGCCAACGAGGCGTTACACGCCTCGATAGCTATAACCAATCTCCAATGAATAATTGTTTTATTAGATTTTATTAGATCCTGAATGTTTCGATATTTACAGCCATTTTTCGGCTCCGTAACAGCTGGTGCTATGCATTCCCTCATAATCTGCTTACAGAGAACCAATCAGAACACCAGAAATGCAATACTCAGAGCTGAAAATTTGAGAACTAAAAATTATTAAAAACTTTATGAAATTAATTTACATTAGGAGAGTGCGTAAGCATTTGATTGTTTAAAAGTGATTTAAAAAGTGAACGCTTACAAATTTTGGCGTTACTACTCCGTTTTAGGTGCACATTTAGCATGTTCCATTTCTTGAGTGCTCTTACACAGAATGTCCGACCACCTTCGTTTTTCTCTTTTATTGTATTCTAATAATATTCTTATGATCTTCCTCATTGGCAGTCGATTTGACAGTTAATTTCCTACAGTACCCCCTTTATTCTTTGTTGTCAACGACAGCTCATCCCTTCTTTCCTCCTAAAAGTCATGTGATTCCTCCCGAAATAAGTCTAGGGACTGGACCCTAAGATGCATCGATTTATATGTGATTCTACTGACGACAATTAAATCAATCGGAAACACCAGTGAAAGAAAGGGAAAACAAAATAGAACATTTCACCTGAAAGCGTTTTTCTCAGTGAGTAAAAAATTTCTTTGATTCTTAATTTTCATGATCGCAACTCAAGAAGGCTTGAAAATGGTCATGACAATGACCTGGCGCTTAAGTATCTTTCGAAAAAAAAGATTACATTTACGAAAATAGCATTTGAAAAGTTTATGAAAGTTCTATTGCACGACATTTTGTCGTCCTGATATAATACAACAGGGAAATGCAGTTGGAAAGTTGTATCTATACTTTTTAGTAATGATTTAGTGTTAAAAATCCAGTATAGTAAATTAGGCTTAGCTTATTTGCATGCAGAGAACATTTTTTTCCTAATTTTTTTTTGTCAAGCGACAGAACATTCGGGAGGTTAATTCAATACGACTTTCTTTTAGAAGAAGACATTGCTCTGGTGATGACGACAGTCTTCGGAAGAAAACAACGCTATTGTTTTTCAGATAAACAAACCTCTTAATTTCTTTTCATCATGATTTTTTTTAACTATTTGCCTATAACTCCATATTCTCCTCTCCATCCCCTCAGCCACCGTATCTGCTCTTTAGTAACGGCAAAATTTCAATGTTAACGATACACAATGGCCGATTATATCTGCACAAAATTCGTCTTAAGCCATACACTAAAATCACCGGCTTCTGAAACCATAGTTCACTGACTCAGTGACGATTGCAATGTATTGCGTTATCTTACTGTGATGCCCTACGTCATCACAGTAAGGACATTTCTATCCCTGAATTGCACTGTGATATCACGTTCCAGTTTAAAAGAGAAACTAACCAATTGTATATGTGTTTAATAACATACTGACTGTATAGCCGAATTAAGTTTCCCGATGCACAGCTTAATTAATGATGGAATCATTTGATGCTAGGGTAGACTGGATTAGAGAGCTCTTCTATTGAGTGTCACATAACCAAAAATCAAATGAGTCAACAATCAAACAGAAAAGAGGAAGAAAACATAATGACAAAAATAATGAGTACTGTGTATAACCATGCAAAAAAACCTCAAGCGCAGAAATTATGACCCAGTAGTGATTGATTATAGTTTTACATATGATTTGTTACGACTATGGTCCAAGTTTACATGTTTTCAATTTTGTCTGCCCCTAGGTCATGCCATAGCACTCTAGTTTTCCCAAGGTGTGGTATCCTTCTTCATGAAGTTCTGCCTGTCCCGTGTCACCAAATCTTAGCTGTTTGACGGGAAGGTGGGACTTATTGGTAAGAAACCCGCTGTCTTCCCGCCAATTCTTATCATTTTTATCACAATTACACTTCAGTGATTGGTCATCGGCGCACGATCTAGTTACACCACATGCGCAGCCACCAGTTGTTAGGTTTGCTCCCCCCCAGTACATCATGTTCTGGCCGTCACGTGAAACCCACCATGAATATCCATATTTAATTAATTTGGCGTGGAAACATTCGTATTTGATGAACTGTTGACAGTTATCAGAGGCTTCCGTCAGAGCTTTTAACTGAGATATGCTGGCAGATCTGTAATGAACATCAACGGAATATTCACCGCGCTTTTCGTATCCTTTCACCTGCGTTCTGTTTTCCATGTCGTGACTGACGACTGTCACTCCAACGCCTCTTTTGTCAGTCATGTTACAGTAAACAGGGAATGGATCCTCGCCAAGAACACCGTCAAGATCGATGAGGTAATCACCACTGACGTCGCTGATGTTTGCCTTCACTTTGGTGCAGGTTTCAGGGTATTTGACATAAACGATGACACTAGTTTGAATTGAGCTGAATGCGTCAGTCACATCGCAAGTGTAGGTACCAGAATGAGATATGTTAGCAGAGAAAATGATTAAAGCATTCAAGGAGGAGTCAACAAGCGTCCCTGAAGGTAAGGAGAAAGTTCCATCATACATCCACAGGATCGTTGGCTTCAGGTCGCTTGATGTAGAGCAAGGCAGGATGAGCTCTTCAGAAGCCTTCACCGTCACATTGGACGGAGGCTTTATGACAAATTTGAGACTTGAATAAACATGAAGGATAACTGACGATGAGTTGTGACCCCAAGGGTTTGCTGCAGTACACACGTAAGAGCCGTTGTCTCGTGCAGTGATATTCAGGATGGTGAGATTTCCTTCACTAACAATGGTCCTCGCGCTGGAAAGAGTTCCATCAGACCTTTTCCATGTGATCCTATTTGGTCTAGGATTACCTGTCACGTTACACATTGCGATAACGTTCCTACCCTCGACGGTTTCAATTATTTCTGGAACAGCTTCCACCAAAGGCGGTCCTAGAACACCAAAATGATAATAATCCATGGGAATAACGTAAATAGTGTCATTAATGTATTGATCAAGACCATCATTTAGATAGTAACCGTCGTCCTATGACGAAGACTTTTATGCAGTCAGCTTCATTTTACGTTATATCAGTCGATCACTAAAAGCAAGAGGCCAAGAGAGGTCCTTTGCAGGAATTCCTTGTCCATCCCAGCAATTTAAGACCGAAAAAGCAATTTAAGACCTCATATATAATTATGTGGCATAGCTTTCTCCCTCACGCCCCTATTCTCCCTCTGATACCTTAAAAATTATTTATTTATTTAAATTCAAAGATCCTCCAAACTTAACGACTTCTAGAAGAGAAATGCACGATTATTGTCAATGATCACGCCAATGCACCCCTGAAGCTCAGTTGTTAATGTTATTTCAGACTCTGTAACTTGTAAATACATGAATGATACTAAAATCTATCAACTCAACATACCTTCAGTGCATTTTTCTCCCAGTAGTCCATTTGCGCAAACACAACGATAACCCTTCTTGGTGAAACCAGTTTGGCATCGCTTTGTTGATGGACAAAGCGCATTGGGACAGCGGTTCTAGGAAGATATAAACATATTTATAGAATCTATTGCTCTGGTACTCAGCTTCTTCCTTTCTTTCAGCTAATCCATCCACACAGATTCACCCATTTATTTATTAACTTATTTCAAGATGGACGCATACATCCACCAACCCATACATGTGCGAATGCATGCATGCATTTACACATTCATACACTCCTGTATTCATCCAACCTTTGCATTATCTTTTCTTTCTATAGGAAAGAAAGTTTGAACGTGCGGTTTCCTTCACCAGACAACACGAGAAGAAAAAAAATTCAAATATCTCTTATTTTCTTTTGATTTTCTCTTTTCGTGCACTTAAGATACATAATCGCTTTATCGACAAAAATCAATGGAATGACTAGTGAGGATACGTCAACTCACCTTAAATGATTTGTAAACAGTCCCTTTTTTGTATCTTAGACCCTGGTGATTATTTATGTGATCTGAATCACTCAATTCGCACAAAAGTTTTCCATTCTGTTGTGGTTTTAGATTGTAGGAAACACAGTCAGCTTCCATGAAGCAGTTCACTTCACATGCGCTGGCTGTCTCAATCTCCATCATTTTGAAAACATGTTTCTCGAGGATGAAGTCCTGCTTTGCGGGGTTCATCTCTACTTGCCGATAGTTTTCTAAAAATTAAGCAAAATGAAACTATAGTGTATGTATCTAGAAGAGCAACCTATTCTTGCTTGCACGCTTCAAAATCGTTCATCTAGTGAAATTTTCTTTTTTAATATAATAATATCTGAGACTTAAAAACTAATTTCCATAAAGCTTTAACCATTACTTCCATCTTGATATTGCGATGATGGATGAACACTTGTTCCGAAAAAAATCGTTGTAGCAATTTATCAAGGTAAACGAGAGAAACTATGTTCTTAGCGATTTTGATCGATGATTTTTAATCCGGCCAAATCGCCGAAGTTACCCTATTGAAGCCAGCACTAGCGTGAGTGAGTATTTCAAATAAAGTGTTTAAAAGAAGAGAAAAGAAAGGTTTTGAAAAATTGATGTAATAAAATGTACGTCAATGAATATGGAAGCAATATTCGCAGTTATAAGCATTACTTCCCGTTCAGGCCTGAATTATATTCAGGTCTTATTTTTCTCTTCTGCTTAATTAAGTAGTTTTCGTAATTGCGAAGATCGCTTTCATATTCATTTCTGTATCTGAAGTTCGCATATATTATTTCCATATATTCACGGTTAAAAGCTACGCCAGGTGGCCTTAATACTCACCTAGCTCTTTACCGCTGCAAATAGCAACCAGAAATGAAAAGAATAACAATCCTGACCATTTCATCGCTAACTTGTCTGTTTTCTTTGTTACTTTACGAGCGAGATGGCGAATGAAAGAGTAACGTCTACTTTCCGTTTAAAATACGGCTGCTTACCCAAGTGTGTGTTTTTCCAAAAAATAACTAAGTTTAAATTTTTAATGGAACAGTATTGGACCAACAATAGGCGATGTCATAACAGTTGCATGATTAAATTTGATACCGCAAAACTTTGAAGCCAGATGAAAGAATTTACATATCGATTAACAGAGATTTTCCTATTTCTCAAAACTGCAGACCGTTTCTCTCTAGGTCGCTGTGATGATATTAGCTTAATTAATCTCTACAATTGAAATTGCCTCTCCCTTCTTTATAATTTAAAGAAAAATCTTTTAGGTTGTGTTGCTTCTGAACACTCAACAGCGGCCACAATTGGTTACAATTTGATTTCATCTTCAGTTCCTCTTAAGACAAGTGAGGATTTCCGTTTACCAAAGTTATGCACGTTCTACAGATAGGAGAAGAAAATTATATCCCTCCGCTTCAAAAGGAATCAATTTTTTTTTCTGACAAAAGCAGGGATTTAAAGTGTAGGGGAAGTTGCCAAACTCAGACATCAACAAGAGTGGAAGAGCTTAATTACGTCAAACTGTTTGCAAAGAGGAGCTGATAATCATATTTCGAGCGCTTCAGGCCTTAATTCCTATTGTTGAGCAGAATTTCAATAAATATTGGTGATATCAAATGCATTGAGCGTTGATATTTTTATCATGTATGATCTACCTCTGAATAAAAAGGAAAATGTAAGAAACTAAAATGTAGGGAATTCAAATTTGGTTACCTTTTCCTATCAATGGGGCTTCAGCACCTGCAGTCAGTCTTATAAAGACTAATTAAGTCAAGATAAACAAACCCCCATACAGTGGAAAGGAGAAAATACGATGTGTTGATACTCCTACATACAGGTATACCATTTTTTGGGTAATTCTAAACTATGTAATATCGTATTCCTGCTTGAGAAAGTCAATAGGTCTGTCTTGTTGAAGAACAACATTGAAATTTCCTAGTTGCTGAGTTTACATATATAATTAGGTATTTAATGTCAAACCGCACGTATCCGTGCAGTGCCTCTCTAATAACTATAATGGATTGCAAAACTCGCTGGCAGGTTAATTATTGGTCGTCATCGTCTGTAGGTTCTCTTTGATTTCAGCAGTGCATCGTCATCGTTAGCAGAATGCTTCACATCTATTGGAGCTTGTTTTATAGCGATCGAAGAAAAACTGATTACAAAACAGCTTTCGAACTATACTTCATGGAGATTGTGACGAGTTTGGCATTCAAGATCGACAAAAAACTTTTGTTGAACTTTTTGTTTTTGTTCCTGTTAATTTTCTCTAAAACAGTTAAAAAGACTATGGAAAACTGTTCTTGAACATGGTTATAATCCATGTTATCTACAAAAATGCTTCCTGTGCCAAATATAAGAAGATACGTATAATTTACCATATCGGTCCAGCAGCGAGAATTTCTTTCCCAACAATAGGCGATGTCAGAATAGTTACATACTTAAATTTGATACGGCAAAACTTTGAAGCTGGATGAAAGAATTTACATATCGATTTACAGAGATTTTCCTATTTCTCAAAACTGTACACCGTTTCTCTCTAGGTCGCTGTGATGATATTAACTTAATTAATCTCTACAATTGAAATTTCTTCCCCCTTCTTTATAATCTAAAGAAAAATCTTTTAGGTTGTGTTGCTTCCGAACACTCAACAGCGGCCACAATTGGTTACAATTTGTTTCATCTTTAGTTCCTCTTCAGAAAAGTGAGGATTTCCGTTAACCAAAGTTATGCGCGTTCTACAGATAGGAGAAGAAAATTATATCCCTCCGCTTCAAAAGGAATCAATTTTTTTTTCTGAAAAAAGCAGAGATTTAAAGTGTAGGGGAAGTTGCCAAACTCAGACATCAACAAGAGTGGAAAGACTTAATTACGTCAAACTGTTTGCAAAGAGAAGCTGATTATCATATTTCGAGCTCTTCAGGCCTTAATTCCTATTGTTGATCAGAATTTCAATAAATATTGGTGATATTGGTATTGAGCGTTGATATTTTTATTATGTATGATCTACCTCTGAATAAAAAGGAAAATGTAAGAAACTAAAATGTAGGGAATTCAAATTTGGTTACCTTTTCCTATCAATGGGGCTTCAGCACCTGCAGTCAGTCTTATAAAGACTAATTAAGTCAATATAAACAAACCCCCATACAGTGGAAAGGAGAAAATACGATGTGTTGATACTCCTACATACAGGTGTACCATTTTTTGGGTAATTCTAAACTATGTAATATCGTATTCCTGCTTGAGAAAGTCAATAGGTCTGTCTTGTTGAAGAACAACATTGAAATTTCCTAGTTGCTGAGTTTACATATATAATTAGGTATTTAATGTCAAACCGCACGTATCCGTGCAGTGCCTCTCTAATAGCTATAATAGATTGCAAAACTCGCTAGCAGGTTAATTATTGGTCGTCATCGTCTGTAGGTTCTCTTTGATTTCAGCAGTGCATCGTCATCGTTAGCAGAATGCTTCACATCTATTGGAGCTTGTTTTATAGCGATCGAAGAAAAACTGATTACAAAACAGCTTTCGAACTATACTTCATGGAGATTGTGACGAGTTTGGCATTCAAGATCGACAAAAATACTTTTGTTGAACTTTTTGTTTTTGTTCCTGTTAATTTTCTCTAAAAAAGTTCTTGAACATGGTTATAATCCAGTTATCTACAAAAATGCTTCCTGTGCCAAATATAAGAAGATACGTATAATTTACCATATCGGTCCAGCAGCGAAGATTTCTTTCCCAACATGTTCAGTTCATGTGGTTGTTTCGATGTGTTATGTTAAAGCCGAAAGATAAATAGGCGCCACATTGGCTAATGAATGGATGACACATTGTTTTCCATTTAAAAATGCGTTGCTCGTTGAAAAAAGGAAAGTGAAAAAAAGGAACTGAGTACGACGTTAACAACAATGACTTTTTCTAGAAAAAGCCTCGTGATTTCGGGCACTCATGACCGATATGTGATTCTGGAACCTAGTGGCCGATTTGTGATTATGGACCATTATTGCCGATTTGTGATTATGGACCATTATTGCCGATTTGTGACTTTGGACATTAGTGGCCAATTTGTAATTTGAGGCCCCAGAAGCCGATTTTTTAACCAGTTCACTAACGGCCGATTTTTGATTTTGGACTCTAGTGCCCAGTTAGTGATTTTGGATATTGGTGGCCAATTTTTAATTTTGGACACTAGAGGCCGATTTGTGATTTTGGACCCTGGTGGCCAATTTTTGATATTGAACACCAGTGGTGGATATGAAATTATTACACCCTAGTGGCCGATATGTGACTTGGGACCCTAATGTCCGATTTGAGATTTTACACCCTAGTGGCCGATTTGTTACTTTGGACTCTAGAGTACGATTTGTGATTTTGAACCCTTGTGGCCGATTTTTGATGTTGAACACTGGCGGCCGATTTGAAATTTTGAACCCTAGTGGCCGATTTGCAATTGTGGACCCTAGTGGCCAATTTGCGATTTTGGACCTTACAGGCCGAGTTTTGATTTTGGACACAAATGGCCTATTTGTGAGTTTGGACCCTTGTAGCCGGTTTGTGATTTTGGACCCTGGTGACCTGATTTCTAGTTCAAAACATAGGTGGCCGATTTCTGATCGTTCATACTAAAGGTCGATTTGTGATTTTAGAAATTAAGGGCCGATTTGCAATTTTGGAACCTAGAGGCCGATTTGTAATTTTGAACCTTAGTAACCGATTTGTGATTATGGCGGATTTGTGAGTTTGGACATTAGTGGCCGATTTATGATTTTGGACCCTATTGGGCGATTTGAAATTTTGAACACTGATGGCCGACTTGTGATTTTGGACCCTAGTGGCCGATTAGTGATTTTGAACCCTGGTGGACTATTTATGATTTTGGAGAATAATGGCCGATTTGTGATTTTTGACCCTAGTGGCCGATTAGTGATTTTGGGCTCTAGTGGAGTATTTGTGATTTTGGACTCTGGTGGACTCTTTTTGTGATTTTGGACGTTGAAGTCTAATTTGTGATATTAAACAATAGTGGCCGGTACAAAATTTTCCACCTTAGTGGCCAATTTGGGTCTTTGGACCCTGGTGTCCGATATGTGATTTTGGACACTAATTGACGATTTGTGAGGGAGCAAAGATCTCATTTAGTTTTCCTGTTGGACTCATTCTGAGTTTCAAACTCTTTTCTTTGGGACACGCTAGCTTTTATATCATCAGAATTCGAAAGGTGAACACAATATATACTATCCTTTTGTAATCAAAGGGCATCAAAAGCCAACAGTCTGTCTGCGCTTCGCATAATCAACTGTTTGTTCGACGTCTTCCAAGACCTACAGAACACCGCAAGGAAATATGAATTTTAAAAGCAGGGCTAATCTTACTTTAATTATTTCAGAGAGCCAGACAAGTGACAAGCAACAGCAAAGCTCTAACTTGGCTTTGATCTATGTTAAAATGGCCTCAGTGATGGGTGTTACGTGGATTTTTGGGATTGGTGCTGACCTACAGGCTCTTTCATTCCTGTGGTACCCATACGTTGTTCTAAACAGTCTTCAAGGTAAGTGTCCTTCAGCGTAACAAAGCTGGTTTGGGGCCAGAGAAAGATTGGAACGTTTTCTTCACTGGAATCACCAGAAACAAGTTTTCCGATGCAGTAGCTGACCTTAAATTAGAGAAAACAGTCTCACTGTTATAATTATTGGTTGATCACATTAAATAGTTCCTATGGTATCGAAACTGAAATCTGTCATAAGCAAGAACTACTAGACGGAATAAATAAAAAGTAATTAGCTTTTTTCTAAAGTTCTAAAGATTTAAATTTTAGGGTTAACTACCCCAGCATATAACCCAGAAAATGTATGGATTTGTTGCCAACAAGACTGCTGGGCTTAAAGCCAGCCCAGAAAAAGATGTTGAAATGTCTACCAGATAAAGTGTTAATGAATTTAGGAGGAAAAACTGGTCTCGATTAACGCAACGAACAGATCATTTTCTTCAAAATAAGTCTGCAATATATTCAGATTTTCGTTAATTTCAAAATTTTCTAAATGGAAGCCCTTTGGACAGTTTTTTGCTTTTTTTTATATTTTTAGAGTGTGTAGCACCAACGAGGCGCTACGCGCATCGATAGCTATAACCAATCTCGAATGAATAACTGTTTTATTAGATTTCATTAGATCCTGAATGTTTCGATATTTACAGCCATTTTTCGGCTCCGTAACAGTTGGTGCTATCCATTTCCTGATAATCTGCTTATAGAGAACCAATCAGAACACCCGAAATGCAATATTCAGAACTAAAACTTTGAAAACTAAAAAATTTAAAGACTTTGTGAAAATAATTTACATTAGGAGAGTGCGTAAGCATTTGATTGTTTAAAAGTGATTTAAAAAGTGAACGCTTACAAATTTTGGCGTTACTACTCTGTTTCAGGTCCACATTTAGCATGTTCCATTTCTTGACTGCTCTTACACTGAGAATGTCCGACCACCTTCCTTTTTCTCTTTTATTGTATTCTAATAACATTCTTATGATCTTCCTCATTGGCAGTCTATTTGACAATCAATTCTATAGTACCCCCTTTATTCTCCTTTTCAACGACAGCTCATCCCTCCTTTCCTCCTGAAAGTCATGTAATTCCTCCTAAAATAAAACTAGGGACTGGACCCTAAGATGTATTGATTTATATGTGATTCTACTGACGACAATGAAATCAATCGGAAACACCAGTGAAAGAAAGGGAAAACAAAATAAAACATTTTATCTGAAAGCGTTTTTCCTCAAGAAGGCTTGAAGATGGTCAAAACAATTACCTGATGGTTGAGCATTTTTCAAAAGAGGGAAGATAACATTCACTTAAATAGCATCTAAAGACTTTATGAAAGTGCTATTGAACGACATTTTGCAGTCCAGACATAATGCGACATTAAAAATGCAGTTGGAAAATTGTATCTATACTTTTTAGTACTGATTTAGTGCTAAAAGTCCAGTTAGCAATATAAGCTTAGCTTATTTGGGTGCAAGAAACATTTTTTCTAATTTTTTTTTTTCGGTCAAGCGACAGAACATTTAGAAGGTAAATTCAATACGACTTTCTTTTAGGTTCCGAACCTCGAGTTATGCAGAGAGTGATTAACCTGTTCTGTTCTAAACCGATATTCAAAAGACGTTGTAAATATGGGGAATCCTTTGGTAGAAGAAGCTATTGCTTTGGTGATGACGACAGTCGGATGAAAACGAACGCCATTGTTCTTTAGATAAACAAATCGCTTAATTTTCCTTGATCTTGACTGTTTTGACGATTTTACAGTAACTCCCTATTTTCCTCTCCCTCCCCTCCCTCCCCACAGCCACCGTATCTGCTCTTTTAATACGGCAAAATTTCAGTGTTAACTATATACAATGGCCATTTAAGTCGTCTTAAGTCATACATGAAAATCACCGGCTTATGGAACCATACTTTATTGACTCAGTAATGATTGCAATGTATTGTGTAACCTTAATGTCATGCATTGCCCTACGTCACCACAGTAAGGACATTTCTGTTACTGAATTGCATTGTGATATCGAGAAACAAACTAATTGTTTATGTGTTTAATAACATACGGACTCTATTTCTGAATTAAGTTTCTCGATTTACAGCTTTTAAGTTGTAATAATTAAAATTATTGAAGGAATCATTTGATGCGGGGGTAGAATAGATTAGAGAGCTCTTCCATTAAGTATCGAATTTCCACAAATCAAATGAATCAACAATCAAACAGAAAAGAGGTGGAAAACATAATGAGAAAAATAATGAGTGCTGTGCGTAACCATGCAAAAAAAGCCTCAAGCGCAGGATTCACATCAAGCGACCCAGTGGTGATTGGTTATAGTTTTACATATGATTTGTTGCGACTGTGGTCCAAGTTTTCATGTTTTCAATTTTGTCTGCACCTAGGTCAGACCATAGCACTCTAGTTTTCCTAAGGTGTGGTATCCTTCTTCATCAAAATATGGATCTCTCGTGTCACCAAATCTTAGCTGTTTGACGGGAAGGTGGGACTTTATGGGAAGAAAACCGCTGTCTTCCCGCCAATTCTTATCATTTTTATCACAGTTACACTTCAGTGATTCGTCATCGGCGCACGATCCAGTTAAACCACATGCACAGCCACCAGTTGGTAAGTTTGCCCCCCCAGTATGTCATGTTCTGGCCGTCACGTGAAACCCACCATGAATATCCACCTTAAATTAATATTGGTAATTATGGTCAGCGGAAAAATTATGAAACCCGGGAATATTGGGAAAGCCCGCGAAAGGATGACATTTAAAAACTGAAGAGAATTTTTGATTAGGACACTAGAATGCGTAAGGATGGTGGCGACTAATCATTCTTTTTTAAATAAATCGGAGATTGACTTCCTCGAGGAAAACCTTGAAAATTGTTCTGTTGAAAACCAGTACTTCTTGGGTTATTTCGACGGGAAAAGAGACGAGTTCATGGATATGCTCGAGAGATTTCTTCCTATTAGTTCCACACGCTTTGTAAAGAAGGCCTTGCACTCAAAGGAGTTAAATAACAAGAGGTTTTCGAAAAATGGTAGGCAGTTTCTATTATTTTTAGCTGATTTTTTTGCCTTTGTCAATTCGGTGTGGGCCTTGTAGAGACTTAATCTTTTGCCGCAATTTTGTAAAAACTTACGCAATGCACTGGGTGTAAAAGTGTTGAAATATTTTAAAATATTTCATATATAGGAAAGCCCTTGGAAAATACTCTAAGTGCGTAATCTAGTATACCTAAATACTTTTTTAAAATTATGCATTTGTAGCGTCTCCCGTCTTTGAAAACAATGGTGGTAATGTACCGATCCAATTTTTTGGCAAACCGTTTACCATCGTAAGCAATGAAACTCGGCATTGCCTCCACGGACCAACAAAGGTGAGAATTCCTTTTGAAAACAGAGTTTGAAATATAATGAAACGTACCAGTGGTATTAGAGTTTTGCATAACCCGCGAAACTGTTTTAATTTTTCTAGGTATTTTAGTGGAGCATTCCATCGAGCTTTTCGCATACTGAGGAAACAAAATCGGGAAGGTCATTTACATCCATTTACTTCAGAATTCCCCATAAACGTAGGGTGTGTACAATTCCTGCAAGAATTCTTTCAGAGTGTATGCGTGTTGTTTTGGTAAATCACACTGTAACGTATTTCAACTAGTTTGTGAGCCCTTTTAAGCAACACGATATGTCTGTAATGACTTGAGTGCCAAACTTTATTCTTTAATTTTGATCTTCTCCACACTGTGGGTAGTTCATGACCAGATATTTCGACGAAAATTATCGAGAAGGCGCCTTCTCATCACCTTTGTTTACTTTGTAAGTCACGCAAGCGTGCAAGCGTTACGACCGATCACGTTTACGCAACGTTTTAGGACAACTCGGCATCTATTCTCCATTCAGTTTTTATGAAAACCTGAAATCCTCATCGTAGAGGATAAACAAACGAAGTTTGAAAGGTCAAAAGGAGATCTTGGTCGAGTTTCAGAATTATGCAAATATCCTTTGACACGAGCGCAACTGAGCAAACACATGGATTTGTGCTGTTTTTAAGATGTTGGTGGATGAAAGCTACAGATATACCCGCGGGTTTGAGGCAATCAGTGACCTCATTGGTGTATAAACTATACACTGATATGCTTTTTTAGCTCGATGAACGCCTGCATTTTGAGAATTCTTTCGTACAAATTGGTGAATTTTGATATGCAAATAAAGGTCTACGAGAGGGCTCTCCTCTGATCACGCTTGTATGAAAAATATTTCAGCTGAAGTTTCCATATTTTTTCTGCTAATCGAAGGCACCTTTAAACTTGTAGCAAGATAGAATTCCGTGAGCTATATTATTTCAGTCGGTGTGCGCTGGACAAAATTTGTGAAATCTACACTTTCGATCGCTGTCCACACGGGTGTACTGGCCAAAAATCATTTTTGGCTTGTGGCGACGCAAAAAAAGGGAATTGGAGAACAACTAAACTATTTTTGAAACATGTGTCCTAAACCCTTTTCATGGGCAAAAAACTAAAAGAAAACTTTTTTTCCGTCGGGAAGTCGAGAGGACCGCTCTTAGCGAGAGCGGCACTTAAGACCTCACATATATTCATGTGATAGAGCTTTCTCCCTCACGCCCTTATTTTCCTTCTAATACCTAAACAAATTTCTCATTTATTTAAATTGAAAGGTCCTCCAAATTTCACGACTTCTCAAAGAGAAATGCACGATTATTGTCAATGACCAATCAATTCAACATACCTTCAGTGCAGTTTTCTCCCAGTAGTCCATTTGCGCAAACACAGCGATAACCCTTCCGAGTGAAGCCAGTTTGGCATCTCTTTGTTGACGGACAAAGCGTACTGGAACAGCGGTTCTGTGAAGATATAAAGGTATTTATAGAATTTATTGCTCTGGTACCCTTCCTCCTCCCTTCTTCCAGCTAATTCATCCATACCGATCCACCTATTTACTTATTTATAAATTTCAAAATGCACGCATACATCCATCAATTAATGCATTTACAAATGCACACATGCATTTACGCATTCATTCATTCATCCATCCTATGTATCCTATGAATTTAAAGTATATGATCGTTTATCCACGAAACCTTCACGGAATTGTATGTGAGAATAAGTCAACTCACCTTAAATGATTTGTAAACAGTCCCTTCTTTGTACCTTAGATCCTGTTGATTATTTGCGTGATCTGAATCACTCAATTCGCACAAAAGTTTTCCATTCTGTTGTGGTTTTAGATTGTAGGAAACACAGTCAGCTTCCATGAAGCATTTCACTTCACATGCGCTGGCTTTCTCAATCTCCATCATTTTGAAAACGTGTTTCTCGAGGATGAAGTCCTGCTTTGCGGGGTTCATCTCTACTTGCCGACAGTTTTCTAAAAATTAAGCAAACTGAAATTAATTTCCATAAATTTTTAACCATTACTTTTGTCTAGATATTGTGATGATTGATGAACACTTGTTCCGAAGAAAATCTTTTAACCAATTCAACGAGATGAACGATAGAAACTATCTTCTTAGAGATTTTGATCGATGATTTTTTTAATCCCGCCAAATCGCAGAAGTTACCCTATTGAAGCCAGCACTAGTGTGAGTAAACATCAAAAGATAAAATTTTCAAAAGTAAAGAAAAGAAAAGAATGGTTTTGAAAAATTGGTTTAATAAAGTTTATGCTAATGAACATGGATGTGATCTTTGCGGATATGAACATTACTTCCCGTACAGGCCTGAATTATTTTCAGGCCTTTTTTTTTTCACTACTGCTTAAGAAATTTTCATAACTGCGAAGATCGCTTGCATATTCATTTCTATATCCGCATATATAATCATATATTTATGGTCAAAAGTTATGTCAGGTGATATTTACCTTGCTCTTTACCGTTGCAAATTCCAACCAGAAATGAAAATATTAAGAATCCTGACAATTTCATCGCTAACTTGTCTGTTTTCTTTGTTACTTTACGAGCGAGATAGCGAATGAAAAAGTAACGGCAACTTTCCGTTTAGAATACGGCTGCTTACCACAGTGTGTTTTGCGACAAAATAACTAAGTTTAAATTTTTAATGGAACAGTATTGGAAAAACGAAAGGGGGTGGCATAGTGGCTATATTAAATATAATACTGAAAACAGTGAAGCCGGATGAAAGAATTTACATATCGACTTACAGAGATTTTAACTTCCTATTTTTCGAAACTGGAGACCATTTTCCCTCTTAACTTCAGTTCCTCTTTAGACAAGTGCTATATGGGGATTTCCGTTTACAAAAGTTATAGAGTTTCTTAAGGTAAGATAAGAAAATTATATTCTTCCACTGTATAGGGATTTATTTATTTTTTCTGAAAAGAAAGAGATTTTAAGTATAATGGAAGTCACGCAACTGAGACATCAACAAGACTGGAAAGAATTACGTCAAACTGTTTGTAAAGAGAAGCTGATCATCATATTTTCCTTGCTTCAGGCTTTAATTAATATTTTTGAGCAGAATTTCAATGAACTTTGCTGTTTATCAAATGCATTGGGTGTTGATATTTTCATCACGTACGAATTACCTTCCCATAAAAAAGAAAAAGTTCGAAAATAAACTCTAAGGAAATCAAATTTGGTTACCAGTTCTTGTCAACGGGGCTTTAGCACCTGCACTCAGTCTAATTAAGACACAACATAAAGATAAATACACCCTCTCTACACTGAAAAGGAGAAAATACGAAGATTTGTGTCGATACCCCTTTTACAAATAGGTATACCATCCTTTGGGTGATTCCGAATTATGTAATATCGTATTCCTGCTTAAGAAAGTCAAGAAAGCCATCTTGTTAAAGTTCAATATTGGAATTTCTCGGTTGATAAGTTTACATATAATTATACTTGTGACGAATTTAGGTTATATATTTTATTTTAAACCGCATGTATCCATGCAGCGCCTCTTTAATGATTATAATGATTACAATGCATCGTATAACTCACTGTCAGGTTGATCATTAATTGGTCGTCTTTGTCTGTAGGTTCTCCTTCATTTCGGCGATGCATCGTCATCGTTAACAGAATGCTTCACATCTATTGCAGCTTGTTTTATTGCGATCGAAGAAAAACAATTACACAACAGCTTTCAAACCTTTTCTCATGAGAACTTGTGAAGATTTTGGCATTCTAGACAGACAGAAGATATTTGTTGAACTTTTTTTTTAAACACTAAAAAGAAAATTTTGAAAAAAAGTTGTTGAACATGGTTATAATTCAGCTGTCTATGAAAATGCTTCCTTTGCCAAATATATGAAGATTTCAGCGTAGATTTCCTTCTCAACATGACCAGTTCGTGTGGTTGTTTCGATGTGGTGTTAAAGCTGAACAATTAACAGGCGCCACATCGGCTAATAATTGGGTGACACATTGTTTTATATCTAAAAATGAGTTGCTCGTTGAAAAAGAAAAGTGAGAAAGGAATTAAGAATGACGTCAACGCGATGTGATTTTGGACACTCACGGCCGATATGTGATTCTGGTCCCTGGTGGCCGATTTGTGATTTTGAACCCAACTAGATGATTTGTGATTTTTCACCCTAGTGGCCGATTTGTGATTTTGGACACTAGTGGCCGATTTGTATACCGGACCCTAGTGGCCGACTTGTGATTTTGGACACTAGTGGCCCATTCATGATTTTGGACAATAGTGTCCGATTTGTGGTTTTTGATCCTAGTGGCCGATGTGGTTTCAGGACCCAGGTGGCCGATTTTCGGTTGTCCATACTGGTGGCCGATTTGTGATTTTGGACCCTAGTGACTGATTTGTGAGTTAAGACCCTAGTGGCCAATTAGTGATTTTGGACCCTAGTGGCCGATTTGTGATTTTGGACCCTGGTGGACCGTTTGTGATTTTGGACGCTAAAAGCCAAGCCGATGTGGTTTCAGACCCAGGTGGCCGATTTCCGATTGTCTATAATGGTGGCCAATTTGTGATTTTGGACCCCAGTGACCGATTTGTGAGTATAGACCCTAAGGGCCAATTAGTGATTTTGAACCCTAGTGGCCGATTTGTGATTTTGGATCCTGGTGGACTATTTGTGATTTTGGACGCTAAATGCCAATTTGTGATATTAAACGCTTGTGGCCGATATGAAATTTTGCAACCTAGTGGCCGATTTGTGATTTTGGACCCTAGTAGACGATTTGTGATCTTGAAACCTAGAGGCCGATTTGTGATTTTGAACACTAGCGATCGATTTGGAATTTTGAACCCTAGCGGCCGATTTGGAATTTTAGACCCTAGTAGCCAATTTTAACTTTCGAACACTGGTGGCCGATTTCTGATTTTGGACACCAGTAGACGATTTGTGAGAAAGCAGAGATCTTCTCATTCATTTTGCCTGTTGGACTGATTCTGATTTTCAACTTCTTTTCTCTGGGATACACTAGCTTTCATATCATTAGAATTCGAAAGGTGAGTACAATATATACTATGTTTATTTAAACAAACGGCATTGAAAGCCAACCGTCTGTCTGTCTGCGCTTTGCCTATTCAACTGTTTGTCCGACGGCTTACATGACCTACAAAACACTGCAAACAAATCTGAATTTTAAAACAAGGGCTATTCACATTTTGGTTATTTCAGAGAGCCAGACAAGTGACCTAGCAACAGCAAAGCTCTAACGTGGCTTTGATCTTTGTTAAAATGGCCTCAGTGATGGGTGTGACATGGATTTTTGGGATTGCTGCGAACCTAAAGGCTCTTTCATGCCTGTGGTACCCGTACGTTGTTCTAAACAGTCTTTAAGGTAAGTGCCTTCAGTGTAACAAAGGTGGTTGGGGCCGGAGAAAGAATGGGACGCTTTCTTCATTGGAATCAACAGAAACAAGTTTTCCAATGTAGCAGTCTCACTGTAATAATTGTTGGTTGATCACATTAAATAGTTCCTATGGCAATGACACTGAAATCTGTCACAAGCAAGAACTACTGGATGGAATAAATACAAAGAAATGAACTTTTTTCAACATTTAACAAAGTGAAGTGTAACAAATAGACACAATCGAAATTTCGAGCTGTGTCTTAAGTTTTAGGGTTAACTACCCCAGTATATAACCTAGGAAAATGTATGGATTTGTTTCCAACAAGACTGCTAGGCTTGATGCCACCCCCAAAAAAAGTGTTGAAATGTCTACCAGATAAAATGTTAATGAATTTAGGAGCAAAACTTGGTCTCGATTAACGTAACGGAGCGACGATTAACGTAACGGAGCGATTATTTACTTCAAAATAAGAGTCTGTAAGAGTCTGCAGTCTGCAGTCTGAACTTTAATATAGTCTGCAATATATTCGGATTTTCATGCATTTGGCAGTGTTCTCCATGGAGTGATTGCCACAGAGCCTTTTTCCTTGGCTACACCATTTAATATGACTTGATTGGCACCAGACCTCTGTGAGGATGAATTACTTAACATGACGTCTTTTCAAGAAATTCTACTTTTATCAGTTTAATTATTTGCCTTTCTTCGCGCTCTCCATTTACCTGTCCTTTGCTAAAACTGGGTATTATTTATAAAAGTAATTTAAATTAAGTGACTGCGTAAGCATTTGATTGTTAAAATTTTTGGCGTTACTACTCCGTTTTAGGTCCACATTTAGCATGTTCCACTTCTTGACTGCTCTTACAAAGAATGTTCGATCACCTTCGTTTTTCTTTTTTATTGTATTCTAATAATATTCTTATGATCCCCCTCATTGGCAGTCGATTTGACAATCAATTCTACAGTACCCCCTTTATTCTCCGTTGTCAATGACAGCTCATCCCTTCTTCCGTCTTTTAAATCATGCGACTGCTCCTGAAATAAAACCAGGTACTGGATCCTAAGATGTATTGATGAACATGTGATTCTACAGACGACAATTAAATAAATCGGAAACACCAGTGAAAGAAAGGGAAAACAAAATAAAACATTTTACCGGGTAGCGATTTTCTCAGTGAGTATACAATTTCTTTGATTCTTACTTTTCATAATCTCGACTCAAGAAGGCTTGAAAATGGTTAAAACAATTATCTGATGGTTGAGCATCTTTCGAAAATGGAAGTATTTACACTCACTAAAATAACATTGGAAAAGTCTATGAAAGTTCTATTGAACGACATTTTGCAGTCGCCATATAATGCAACAGTAAAAATGCAGTCGGAATACTACATTTTTACGGCATTAATACTGATCTAGTGTTAAAAATCTGGTATAGTACTTGAAAATGCAATGTAAGCTTACCTTGTTTGAATGCAGAGAACAATTTATTTTGATAATTTTTTTTTAAGCGACAGAACATTCAAAAGGAAAGTTCAATGCGACTTTATTTTAGCTTTTCAACCATTGAGTTATGCAGGGGATGATTAACCTGTTTTTTTCCAAACCGATATTTAAAATACGTAGTGACTGGTTACCGAGTTTTCATGTTTTCAATTTTGTCTGCACCTTGGTCATAGCACTCCAGTTTTCCTAAGGTGTGGTATCCTTTTTCATTTATTTGCCCCGTGTCACCAAATCTTAGCTGTTTGACGGGAAGGTGGGACTTGATGGTAAGAAAACCGCTGTCTTCTCGCCAATTGTTATCATTTTTATCGCAGTTACACTTCAGTGATCTGTCATCGGTGACAATGGCGCACGATCTAGTTAAACCACATGCACAGCCACCAGTTATTAAGTTTGCTCCCCCCCAGTACGTCATGTTTTGGCCGTCACGTGAAACCCACCATGAATATCCACTTTCAATAAATCTGGCGTGAAAACACTCGTATTTGATGAACTGTTGACAGTTATTGGAGGCTTCCGTCAGAGCTTTTAATTGAGATATGCTGGCAGATCTGTAATGAACATTAAGGGAATATTCACCAGGCTCTTCGTATCCTATCACTTGCGTTCTATTTTCACTGTCGTGACCGACGACTGTCACTCCAACCCCTCCTTTGTCAGTCATGTTACAGTAAACAGGAAATGGATCCTCCCCAAGAACACCGTCAGGATCGATGAGGTAATCACCACTAACGTCGATGATGTTTGCCTTCACTTTGGAGCAGGTTTCAGGGTATTTGACATGAAGGGTGACACTTGTTTGAATTGAGCTGAATGCATCCGTCGCTTTGCAAGTGTAGGTACCAGAATGAGATATGTTAGCAGATAAAATGATCAAAGCATTCAAGGAGTCAACAGACGCCCCCGAAGGTAAGGAAAAAGTTCCATCGTACATCCATAGGATGGTTGGCTTCAGGTCGCTTGAAGCAGAGCAACGCAGATCGACAGCTTTATACGCCATCACTGTCACATTCGACGGAGGCTTTATGACAAATTTGAGAGCTGAATAAACACGAAGGAGAACTGATGATGATTTGGTACCCCAGGGGTTTGTCGCAGTACACACGTAAAAGCCGTTGTCCTTTGTAGTGATATTTAGTATGGTGAGATTTCCTTCACGAGTAATGGTCCTCGCGCTGGAAAGAATCCCATCAGACCTTTTCCATATGATCCTATCTGGTTTAGGATTACCTGTCACATTACACATTACAGTAACGTTCCTACCCTCCACAGTCTCAATTATGTCGGGAACAACTTGCATTGAAGGCGGTCCTAGAACACCAAAATGACAATAAGCCATGGGAATAACGTAAAAAATCTCCATCATCGATCAAGACTATCGTTTACTTTATACAAGATCTGATAGTAACCGCCGTTCTGAGCCGACGACTTTTATGCAGTCAGCTCCATTTTATGTCAGACCTATTACCAGTCGATCACTATGGCAAGAGGCCAAGAGAGGTCCTCTGCAAGAATTCCTTGTCCATCCCAGCAATTTAAGACCACAAAAGCTATTTAATACCTCATATATAATACCTACGTTGCCTACTGATACCTTAAAAAATTTCTTAGTTACTCAACATACCTTCAGTGCAGTTTTCTCCCAGTAATCCATTTGCGCAAACACAACGATAACCCTTCCTGGTGAAGCCAGTTTGGCATCGCTTCGTTGATGGGCAAAGCATACTGGAACAGCGGTTCTGCGAAGATATAAAAATATTTATAAAATAAGTCGCTCCGGTACCCAGCTTCCTCCCTTCTTCCAGCTAATCCATCTATACCGATGCACCCATTTATTTATTAATAAATTTCAAGGTTCATGCATACATTCATCATTTCATACATGTGCGAATGCATGCATGCATTTACGCATTCATGCATCCAGGCATTCATTCATCCTCTTTTCCATCTACAGAAAAGAAAGTTTGAACTTATGGTCTTCTTCACCAGACAACATGAAAAGTTAAAAAAAACTCACATATCTCTTTCATTTTTGATTTGATTTTCTCTTTACATACATTTAAGATGCATGATAATTTTATCCACGAAAACTTAACGGAATTACTGATGAGAATAGGTCAACTCACCTTAAATGATTTGTAAACAGTCCCTTCTTTGTATCTTAGATCCTGTCGATTATTTGCGTGATCTGAATCACTCAATTCGCACAAAAGTTTTCCATTCTGTTGCGGTTTTAGATTGTAGGAAACACAGTCAGCTTCCATGAAGCAGTTCACTTCACATGCGCTGGCTGTCTCAATCTCCATCATTTTGAAAACGTGTTTCTCGAGGAAGAAGTCCTGCTTTGCGGGGTTCATCTCTACTTGCCGACAGTTTTCTAAAAATTAGGCAAAATGAAAGTATGGTTTATGTATCTAGAAGAGCAACCTATTCTTGCTTAGACGCTTCAAAATCGTTCGTCTTATGAAAATTTCTTTTATAATATAATAATATCTGAGACTTAAAAAACTAATTTCCATAAAGCTGTAACCATTACTTCTATCTTGATTTTGTGCTGATGGATGAACACATGTTCCGAAAAAAATTGTTGTAGCAATTTATCAAGGTAAACGATAGAAACTATGTTCTTAGCGATTTTGATCGAGGATTTTTAATCCGGCCAAATCGCAGAAGTTACCCTATTGAAGCCACAATATCATGAGTGAGTATTTCAAATAAAGTGTTTAAAAGAAGAGAAAAGAAAGGTTTTGAAAAATTGATGTAATAAAATGTACGCCAATGAATATGGAAGCAATCTTTGCAGTTATAAGCACTACTTCCCGTTCAGGCCTGAATTATATCCAGGTCTTATTTTTCACTTCTGCTTAAGTAGTTTTCGTAATTGCGAAGATCGCTTTCATATTCATTTCTGTATCTGCAGTTCGCATATATTATTTCCATATATTCATGGTCAAAAGCTACGCCAGGTGGCTTTGATACTCACCTAGCTCTTTACCGCTGCAAATAGCAACCAGAAATGAAAAGAGTAACAATCCTGACCATTTCATCGCTAACTTGTCTGTTTTCTTTGTTACTTTACGATCGAGATGGCGAATGAAAAAGTAACGTCTCCTTTCCGTTTAAAATACGGCTGCTTACCCAAGTGTGTGTTTTGCCAAAAAATAACTAAGTTTAAATTTTTAATGGAACAGTATTGGACCAACAATAGGCGATGTCAGAACAGTTACATACTTAAATTTGATACGGCAAAACTTTGAAGCCGGATGAAAGAATTTACATATCGATTTACAGAGATTTTTCTATTTCTCAAAACTGTAGACCGTTTCTCTCTAGGTCGCCGTGATGATATTAACTTAATTAATCTCTACAATTGGAATTGCTTCCCCCTTCTTTATAATTTAAAGAAAAATCTTCTAGGTTGTGTTGCTTCCGAACACTCAACAGCGGCCACAATTGGTTACAATTTGATTTCAGTTCCTCTTCAGACAAGTGAGGATTTCCGTTTACCAAAGTTATGCACGTTCTACAGATAAGAGAAGAAAATTATATCCCTCCGCTTCAAAAGGAATCGATTTTTTTTTTCTGACAAAAGCAGGGATTTAAAGTGTAGGGGAAGTTATCAAACTCAGACATCAACAAGAGTGGAAAGACTTAATTGCGTCAAACTGTTTGCAAAGAGAAGCTGATTATCATATTTCGAGCACTTCAGGCCTTAATTCCTATTGTTGAGCAGAATTTCAATAAATATTGGTAATATCAAATGCATTGAGCGTTGATATTTTTATCATGTATGATCTACCTTTGAATAAAAAGGAAAATTTAAGAAACTAAAATGTAGGGAATTCAAATTTGGTTACCTTTTCCCGTCAACGGGGCTTCAGCACCTGCAGTCAGTCTTATATAGACTAATTAGGTCAAGATAAACAAACCTTTCATACACTGAAAAGGAGAAAATACGATATGTTGAACAAACAGGTTTACCATTTTTTGGGTGATTCTAAACTATGTAATATCGTATTCCTGCTTAAGAAAGTCAATAGGTCTGTCTTGTTGAAGAACAACATTGAAATTTCCTAGTTGCTGAGTTTACATATATAATTAGGTATTTAATGACAAACCGCACGTATCCGTGCAGTGCCTCACTAATAGCTATAATAGATTGCAAAACTCGCTGGCAGGTTAATTATTGGTCGTCATCGTCTGTTGGTTCTCTTTGATTTCAGCAGTGCATCGTCATCGTTAGCAGAATGCTTCACATCTATTGGAGCTTGTTTTATAGCGATCGAAGAAAAACTGATTACAAAACAGCTTTCGAGCTATATTTCATGGAGATTGTGACAAGTTTGGCATTCAAGATCGACAAAAATACTTTTGTTGAACTTTTTGTTTTTTTTCCTGTTAATTTGCTCTAAAACAGTTCTTGAACGTGGTTATAATCCAGTTATCTACAAAAATGCTTCCTGTGCCAAATATAAGAAGATACGTATAATTTACCATATCGGTGTAGCAGCGAAGATTTCTTTCCCAACATGATCAGTTCATGTGGTTGTTTTAATGTGTCATGTTAAAGCCGTTAAAGGCGCCACATTGGCTAATGAATGGGTGACACATTGTTTTCTATTTAAAAATGCGTTGCTCGTTGAAAAAAGGAAAATGAAAAAAAGGAACTGAGCACGACGTTAACAACAATGACATTTTCTAGAAAAAGCCTCGTGATTTCGGGCACTCATGACCGATATGTGATTCTGGACCCTTGTGGTCGATTTGAGATTATGGACCATCATGGCCGATTTGTGACTTTGGACACTAATGGCCAATTTGTAATTTGAGACCCCAGTAGCCGATTTTTTAACCAGTTCACTAACGGCCGATTTGTGATTTTGGACTCTAGTGCCCGATTAGTGATTTTGGACACTGGTGGCCAATTTTTAATTTTGGACATAGAGGCCGATTTGTGATTTTGGACCCTGTTGGCCAATTTTTGATATTGAACACTAGTGGTGGATATGAAATTATTACACCCTAGTGGCCGATTTGTGACTTGGGACCCTAGTGTGCGATTTGAGATTTTGAACTCTAGTGTGCGATTTGTGATTTTGAACCCTAGTGGCCGATTTGTGATGTTGAACACTGGCGGTCGATTTGAAATTTTGAACCCTAGTGGCCGATTTGCAATTTTGGACCCTAGTGGCCAACTTGTGATTTTGGACCCTAGAGGCCGAGTTTTGATTTTGGACACAAATGGCCTATTTGTGAGTTTGGACCCTAGTGGCCGGTTTGTGATTTTGGACCCTGGTGACCTGATTTCTAGTTCAAAACATAGGTGGCCGATTTCTGATCGTTCATACTAGTGGCCGATTTGTGATTTTGGACATTAAGGGCCGATTTCCAATTTTGGTACCTAGAGGCCGATTTATAATTTTAACCCTTAGTAACCGATTTGTGATTATGGCGGATTTGTGAGTTTGGACACTAGTGGCCGATTTGTGATTTTGGACCCTATTAGGCGATTTGAGATTTTGGACACTGATGGCCGATTTGGGATTTTGGACCCTAGTGCCCGATTAGTGACTTTGGACCCCGGTGGACTATTTATGATTTTGGAGAATAATGGCCGACTTGTGATTTTGGGCTCTGGTGGACTATTTGTGATTTTGGACGTTGAAGTCTAATTTGATATTAAACAGTGTAAAATAGTGGCTGGTACAAAATATTCCACCTTAGTGGCCAATTTGGGTCTTTGGACCTTAGTGTCCGATTTGTGATTTTGGACACTAATTGACAATTTGTGAAAGAGCAAAGATCTCATTTAGTTTTCCTGTTGGACTGATTCTGAGTTTCAAACTCTTTGCTTTGGAAGACACTAGCTTTTATATCATCAGAATTCGAAAGGTGAACACAATATATACTATCCTTTTGTAATCAAAGGGCATCAAAAGCCAACTGTCTGTCTGTCTGCGCTTCGCCTATTCAACTGTTTGTTCGACGGCTTGCAAGACCTACAGAACACCGCAAGGAAATATGAATTTTAAAAGCAGGGCTAATCTTACTTTAATTATTTCAGAGAGCCAGAGAAGTGACCAAGCAACAGCAAAGCTTTAACTTGGCTTTGATCTATGTTAAAATGGCCTCAGTGATGGGTGTCACGTAGGTTTTTGGGATTGGTGTGGGCCTACAGGCTCTTTCATTCCTGTGGTACCCGTACGTTGTTCTAAAAAATCTTTCAGGTAAGTGTCCTTCAGCGTAACAAAGCTGGTTTGGGCCAGAGAAAGATTGGAACATTTTCTTTACTGGAATCACCAGAAACAAGTTTTCCGATGCAGTAGCTGACCTTAACTTAGAGAAAACAGTCTCACTGTAATAATTGTTGGTTGATCGCATTAAATAGTTCCTATGGCAATGAAACTAAAATCTGTCATAAGCAAGAACTACTGGACGGAATAAATAAAAAGAAATGAACTTTTTTCAAAAGTTCTAAAGTTTTAAATTTAAGGGTTAACTACCCCAGCATATAACCTAGAAAAATGTATGGATTTGTTGCCAACAGGACTGCTAGGCTTAATGCTAGCCCAGAAAAAGGTGTTGAAATGTCTACCAGATAAAATATTAATGAATTTAGGAGCAAAAATTGGTCTCGATTAACGCAACGAAGAGATCATTTTCTTCAAAATAGTAGTCTGCAATATATTCAGGTTTTCAATAATCTCAAAATTTTCTAAATGGAAGCCCTTTGGACAGTTTTTTGCTTTTTTTATATTTTTAGATTGCGTAGCACCAACGAGGCGTAATAAGAAAAAATAATGAGTACGGTGTATAATCATGCAAAAAAACCTTAAGTGCAGGAATTATATCAAGCGACCCAGTGGTGATTGGTTATAGTTTTACATATGATTTGTTACGACTGTGGTCCGAGTTTTCATGTTTTCAATTTTGTCTGCACCTTGGTCATGCCATAGCACTCCAGTTTTCCTAAGGTGTGGTATTCTTTTTCATGTCGTCCTCCCGTGTCACCAAATCTTAGCTGTTTGACGGGAAGGTGGGACTTGATGGTGAGAAAACCGCTGTCTTCCCGCCACTTTTGATCATTTTGATCACACGATCTAGTTAAACTACATGTGCAGCCACCAGTTATTAAGTTTGCTCCCCCCCTGTACATCATGTTCTGGCCGTCACGTGAAACCCACCATGAATATCCATCTTTAATTAAAGTGACGTGGAAACACTCGTATTTGATGAACTGTCGACAGTTATCAGAGGCTTCCGTCAGAGCTTTTAACTGAGATATGCTGGCAGATCTGTAATGAATATCAACGAAATATTCACCGCACTTTTCGTATCCTATCACCTGCGTTCTGTTTTCACTGTCGTGACCGACGACTGTCACTCCAACGCCTCCTTTGCCAGTCATGTTACAGTGTACAGGAAATGGATCCTCGCCAAGAACACCGTCAGGATCGATGAGGTAATCACCACTGACGTCGCTGATGCTTGTCTTTACTTTGCTGCAGGTTTCAGGGTATTTGACATAAACGGTGACACTTGTTTGACTTGAGCTGAATGCATCAGCCACATTGCAAGTGTAGGAACCAGAATGAGATATGTTAGCAGATAAAATGGTCAAAACATTCAAGGAGTCAACAGTCGCTCCTGAAGGTAAGGAAAAAGTTCCATCGTACATCCATAGGATGGTTGGCTTCAGGTCGCTTGAAGCAGAGCAACGCAGAATGACAGCTTCATGCGCCATCACTGTCACATTTGACGGAGGCCTGATGACAAATTTGAGAGCTGAAAAGACACGAAGGAGAACTGACGATGATTTGGTACCCCAGGGGTTTTTCGTAGTACACACGTTGGAGCCGTTGTCTTGTGTAGTGACATTTTTTTATAGTGAAACTTCGCTAACAATGGTCCTCGCGCTGGAAAGAATTCCATCAGGCTTTTTCCATATGATCCTGTTTGGTTTAGGATTAGCTGTCACGTTACACATTACAGTAACGTTCCTACCCTCCACAGTTTCAATTACATCGGAAACAACTTGCACCAAAGGCGGTCCTAGAACACCAAAATGCGAGAATTACATGCGAGAATAAGTCAACTCACCTTAAATGATTTGTAAACAGTCCCTTCTTTGTACCTTAGATCATGTTGATTATTTGCGTCATCTGAAGCACACAATTCGCACAAAGGTTTTCCATTCTGTTGTGGTTCTAGATTGTAGGAAGCACAATCAGCTTCCAGGAAACATTTGACTTCGCATGCGCTGGCTGTCTCAATCTCCACCATTTTGAAAACGTGTTTCTCGAGGATAAAGTCCTGCTTTGCGGGGTTACACTCTACTTGCCGACAGTTTTCTTAAAATTAAGTAAAATGAAAGTATAGTTTACGTGTCTACGTAGAAGGGCAACCTATTTCTAAATTAACCTGTTTATTGTAAGCACGCTTCAAAACCGTTCGTTTCAAGAAACTTTCTTTCTATCTAACAATAACTGAGACTTAAAAAATTAATTTCCATAAAGTTCTGACCATCACTTTCGTCTTGATATTGTGATGATGGATGAACACTTGTTCGGAAAAAAATCGTTGTTGCAATTCAACAAGGTAAATGATAGAAACTATGTTTTTAGCGATTTTGATCGATGATTTTTAATCCGGCCAAATCGCAGAAGTTACCCTATTGAAGCCAACACTAGCGTGAATGAGTATTTCAAATGAAGAGTTCTAAGGAAAAGAAAAGAATGGTTTTGAAAAAAATGATTTAATAAAATTTACGCCAATGAATATGCAAGCGATCTTCGCGGTTATGAGCACTACTTCCCGTACAGGCCTGAATTATTTTCAGGCCTTATTTTTCACTACTGCTTAAGTAGTTTTCATAACTGAAGATCGCTTCCATATTCATTTCTACATCCGCAGTTCATATATATGATTTTTATACATTTATAGTCAAAAGTTACGCCAGGTGGATTTAATACTTACCTTGTTCTTTACCGTTGCAAATTCTAACCAGAAATGAAAAAAGTAAGAATCCTGAAGATTTCATCGCTAACTTGTCTGTTTTCTTTGTTACTTTACGAGCGAGATGGCGAATGAAAGAGTAACGTCTACTTTCCGTTTAGAATACGGCTGCTTACCTCAGTGTGTGTTTTGCGACAAATAACTAAGTTTAAATTTTTAATGGAACAGTATTGGAAAAACACAAGGGGTGGTATAGTGGCTATATTAAATATAATACTGAAAACAGTGTTTATATATCGATTTACAAAGACTTTAATATTTCTCGAAACTGCAGACCGTTTTCCCTCTCAACTTCATTTCCTCTTCAGACAAGTGCCACACGGGGATTTCCGTTTACGAAAGTTATATAGTTTCTTAAGGTAAGAGATTAAAATTATTTACTTCCGCTTTATAGGGAATTTATTTATTTTTTCTGAAAAAGAAAGGGATTTTAAGTGTAATGGAAGTTACTCAACTGAGACATCAACAAGACTGGAAAGAATCAATTACGTCAAACTGTTTGCAAAGAGAAGCTGATTATCATATTTTCCTTGCTTCAGGCTTTAATTGCTATTCTTGAGCAGAATTTCAATGAACTTTCAAATTGGTGCTTATTAAATGCATTGCGTGTTGATATTTTCATCACGTACGAGTTATCTTTCAATAAAAAAGAAAAAGTTCGAAAATAAACTCTACCAGTTCTTGTCAACAGGACTTCAGCACCTGTACTTAGTCTAATTAAGATACAAGATAAAGATAAATACACCCTCCCTACACTGAAAAGAAGAAAATACGAAATATGTGTTGATACCCATATTACAAACAGGTATACCAATATTTTGGATGATTCTAAATTATATAATATCGTATTCCTGCTTAAGAAAGTCAACAAGTCTGTCATGTTGAAGGACAATATTGGAATTTCCCATTTGGTAAGCTTAGATGTAATTATATTGGTGACGAAATGGGGTAAAACATTTTATTTTAGACCGCACATATCCGTGCAGTGCCTCTTTAATGATTATAATAGATCGTTTAACTCGCTGACAGGTTGATTATTGGTCTTTATTGTCTGTAGGTTCTCTTTCATTTCAGTGATCCATCGTCATCGTTAAGAGAATGCTTCGCATCTAGGCTTATTTTATGGCGATCGAAACATTCTTTTGCTTTGGTCATTGTTCTGATTTTGAGTCGTCCGGCCCTCGGTAAAAGATAAAACTCACTGTTTCTCTTGACGTCAAATATTAAACGCTTAATATGTGTTATGTTATCCGACGGCGTGGTGCCAGTATCAAATGAGAAATACGAGAAATGGCGACGGCAGTCTATAAATATGAGGGTTGCATTCATAGTGTGAACAGGCCGTTGCCAAAGCAACATGCTTTAATATTGCTTATTAGATTCCTGCTTCATTCCTTTCACACTGATAGCTAAGGAACGAAATATGTTTCAACTTGCAAGGAAGCACTTAGCACAGCAGTTTTTATTCGACCCGGCTTCTGTCTCAGCCAACTCAAAACTCTATGCATGTCATAGTTATGGATTCTACTTCCTGCTGACGATTTTCGCTGAGGAGTGATTACCGACGAGGTGCCATCAGAAGAGTTCAAGACGATAGTCTATGGAAATAAAAATATTTTCATGAATACTGATGACATGTTGCCGCTAATACCAAATACTTTAATATCGCCTATTGGATAGGTACGTGATATCTCAGAAAAATTGGCAACACATTAGCCTCACATGAATATCACTTAGTACCGGTCGCTAACAAACTATTTTGTCATCAGTACCTGCTGAAACAGCAGGTTTAATTATTCAAATTCAAATGGGCTACTGTCTGAGTTAACGATAGTTTTGACGCATAATATTTCTGTAAGTGGGTCCTATTTGCTTTTGACGAATTTCTCTCTGCGGGTCTCATCTACTTTTAACGAATCTCTCTAGCGACTTGCTAAAGTCTTTAGTTTTCCTCCCTTTTTTTTGGGAATAAAGGAAGCAAGTTTTCACAAAGAGAATACTAATATTTTTGTTTTGTTTCGTTTTGTTTTGTTTTGTTTTGCAGGTGTTTAGTGACCATTAAAAATATAACAATTTTGATGATAATTTTGATGAATAAAAGATGATTCATGCTCTCTAAAAGCATTGAAAAATAGAATGCAAACCATTTTTAGACACTGGTGCACGCGAATGAAACTTAAAGGTTCAACATCACCCTATATTTATTGAAGAAAAAGATATATGTTCATGGTTTACCCACCAACTGACTGCTGATCGAAACGTCTCTACAACAAGAAAAAGACGGGAGACTGCAACACGGCAAAAATATCCTAATTAAAGTAGGTACTTCCTATAAGCATAATGAGGACTACATATTAAATCATATGTATAGCCTTCCATGTTTTTTTAGAAAATACCACGCATTGAGCAGGAGTGGTAAAACTAGGAAAAAAACAATTTTAGTGCTACGATTTGAGCGAATCGAGAAATTAAAATTAGTTTGACTTTGAGGGTGTTGGAGTTCACCGGGTTCGAATACGCTGATGGAAAATTGATTACAAAATGGGGTCAGTTCCAAAGCAAATCGGATCTTATTCGAGTTAACGTGGGTCCAAGTTAACCGAGTAGCTAGGTGCTAGGCTTTTTCTGCTTAACAAAAGATTTTATTTCGCCAAAAATCATTGTCTACTCCGACTATCTCAATACCAGAATTCGTTTTTCAGGTTCATCCATAGAATGTTTTTATTGCTTGTCTTCTGGTGCCTACAAATCGTATTTTTATTCAATACGTTAACGGTTATCTCGGGAAAGATAACAGGTAGGTCTAATGCCTTCGTTAGATTGTTGTTTCCAGTTTTTCATCCTTCTTCTATGCAGCCCCTTCAATGCGACACATGGTGTTCTATCCGCTAAAGAAATCACTTAATATGCTTTATTCCTTTATGAATATATATATTCCTTATAAAGAAAATGATGTAAAGGCCGTTCAGGAGAAAAATAAGTCCTGTGGACAGATTTCATTATCACTGAAGGTCCTTATTTTAAAATTCAACTGTCCTAGCAGATAGCTTTTTTTCGTTCAGATGCAGATAAAACCACGAGCGCTAAAATGGCTTTGGAATCCTTCCTCTTGAGAACTTTAAGACCTGAATTCGGCTCACGTCTTGCGTTCATCAATGGTATGTTTAAAAGATCTACTCCTGCATTTCTAGGAGATATACATATTAGCAATTTAACTAAAATCCGAGAATGAGCAGAGTTGTAAAATCCTGCAGTGTCCCTGGCAGAGGTAGCACATTAAGTGAAATTAAAATTTTTTTTTTTTTTTTTTCAATGATACAGTATTTTCATACAATGTGACGTTATACATGTTTTTACGTGTAAATTTACTGAGTAGTTATTGTATTTCTTAAAAACGATCGAACCTTGTAGAGAAAGAATGCAGTAGGAAGCTTTCAATATTAACAGCTGGAATTTCAAATGGAAATATCAGTTGCTGCTTCCTTTGATTTCGATTTCAGCCTAAGCTTTGGGGATTTTTGTATAGAATCTAACCTCTATATTTTCTCATTCCTCAGAGTCGCAGTGGAAGGAGCAGATCGAGACACTAGTGAAGCCCCTAACGGCCAATCAAATGGAAAAATTAAGTTGCAGAAGGCGGTGTGGAAGGAAACGAAGGCGTCATGATTCTAATGAGGGTTGCTTTTGTGATGAATTTTGTAAAAGCTTTGGTGATTGCTGTTTTGACTTCGATGAATTGTGAGTATTTGTTCCCCACACAGTTCAAGATCAAATATATCTTATACAGATGTTTTTAATCTTTTCGAATATCTTCAAATAATAACCACTTTAAGATAAATCTAAATAAGACTGATCTACCAGATATCGGCGATTAAATTCGCCGGCATTCGCCAAATCTGCCCGTTCCCGCGATTTCCTCTCCTTTCTACTGCGAGTCGCCGGTAAAATTAACCAATCAAGTTGGGCGGTATTATGACAATGACTTTTCAAAATGGAGGAAGGCATCGACAATTGTTTCTGAACCGAAGAAAAAGAAATCAATTTGATCATACTGTGGTCAGAAAAGCCATGCTTATTTGATGTAGGGGAATCAATGATTAACAGATGTTGGCGTTCCTCAAACTGTACCAAAATTGTAGTATTGAATGAAAATTGGTTCCGTCAAGGACATAAAGGGAAAAGAATAATTTAAAAGTGCAGTTTAGATTCACCGTAACGCCTTACACGAAACCTGGTTTCAACTAGCAGCTCTTACCCTTTCCCACCTCTCATTGCCCCTTTCTACCATTTTTAAGGGCCTATGTACCAAAGAACATTGATGACCCGTTTTTTTTCCTTTGTTGTTTTTGAACAGGTGTATAGTACCTCAAGTATCGATGGAAACATGTGTCAGAGAATATAACTATTGGTTCCCGGATCGGTTGATTGGTCGCGCAGTTTGGAGCTCATGCCCGAAGAACTTTACAGATGAGAATACAAAGCAAAAATGTCAAGGCAACGATAAAGATGAGATTGGTTTGAACCCTGTGCCAGTGTACGACAAATACAGTAACGTGACATACAAAAATATTTTCTGCGCCAGGTGCAATGGAGCATTGCACACAGCATACTGGGAAGTCAGTTTCGAGTGTTTTAAGTGGTTCGATGTTTCCAACCTTAGTCTAAGCAAAGACTTGAGACTTTTGCAAGATCGGTGTTTTCTTCAGAAAAGGCCAGTTGATTATTCCTTGAAAAGATGCATCCCATGGCTTCGGCTTCCGATCAAAAGCGATCCTACGAAGGGTAATACCCTTTGCCAGGCAGAATGTCTGAGTTACGCTCTCTTAGTAGTCTCCAGGAGTAAATGGAAATTGTTTCGTAACCCTCGTTGTGCCTTTTGCAATGGAATTGAGCTCAGTGATATAGATTTTTTGGTGCAAGATGACAACACTCCTCAGAAAGAATCCTTCATTACACCCCCTGCCCTAACAATTCTGTTTGAATTTACCTCCACATCTAAGTTTTGTATCAAAACAGCAGACCAACACAAAAGATCAGAAGATCATCCTACTACCTGTCTACATGATGAAGCGTATGACTCTGTATATCGAAACGAAATCAAAACATGTAAACTTAACTGCACCTTTGTAGCGTACAACAAAACGGATTATGAACTCGTTCCCAATGATCTCGTATTTTTGAAGGCCCATGGGAAATATTACAGTAACGTTTCTTATAAGATTTGTGGTGAAAAATTGTTACTGTGCGTTAATTTTTCAAAAACTTCCCCTGGAACTAGAAGTATTTCATTTGAGCACAAAGAAAACTATAAATTTCTTCAGCTTTTCAGCTTCATTGGGGCAGTCGTGTCCATCGTTTCTCTGGTTTTATTGTTAGTGATTTACGTCTTATTTGTTGAGCTCCGTAACTTACCAGGGAAAATCATGTTAAACTTGGTGATCTCTTTGTTGCTGTATGAAAGTGTATTCCTCTCAGCTGGCAAAAATGACGATCAGTTGATCTGCCTTGTGGTCGCCGCTCTTTTTCACCTCTTCGCCCTTTCTTCCTTCACGTGGATGAACGTTATGGCATATGATGTGCATCGCGCTTTCGCAAAAGTCCCGGGTAAGTTGACATTGCTAATTTAGTGATTTAAGGTCGTTATCAATCTAGAACTTACGTCATTTCCCTTAAATCTTAGAAATCTCTTTGTTTCAGTAAATCATATTAGATATTGTTGATTATGGTGAATCTACTTGTCAAGAAGTATAAACGTCTGTATCGCAATTTAGTAACTTCCAGTTTTGATCAAAATCTCGACTGCATACTGCTTTATTCATGATTCAGTTCAATTGATTTGAGGACTTGAGGAGGCAGTTCCTATAGAATCCATGTTAACAAAAGTACTTGAGAGGACGATTATTAAGTATGAGTTGCTCATTATCATTCCAACTAGATCCGGCGGCAAACCGACAAGAGGACTCAAATAAACGTTTGATGTGTTACTCCCTGTACGCCTGGGGAGGTCCTGCTATTGTAGTCCTTTCCTGTGTTACAGTTGACAAGCTTAGGGAAGGAGCGATTGGATATGGTAAGTGCCTAACATAAAAAGGTGTATTCAGTGTTTGTCATTGAACCATGAGAAAAGCGTAGATTACTCTAACTTCGGGTAAGTGATGTTGATATTGCAAAATACCTCAACTAATACCATGTGTTGCTGACTAAACAGGCCTTGGAAAAGAGGACTGTTTCATATCAGAGAATAGAGCAAAGATCTTCTCATTCATTTTTCCTGTTGGACTGATTCTGATTTTCAACCTCTTTGCTCTGGGACACACTAGCTTTCATATCCTCAAAACCAGAAAGGTGGGTACAATATTTCTACGTTTTTTTAAACAAAGAAAATCAGAATTCCACTGTCGCAGTGTCTGTCTTTCTGTGCTTTGCCACGTTAACAATCTGTCCGACGCCTTGCATGACCAATAGAACACCACAAGGAAATCTGAATTTTAAAACCAGGGTTATTCACATTTGTATTGTTTCAGACGGCCAGAAAAGTGACCAAGCAACAGCAAAGCTCTAACGTGGCTTTAATCTGTGTTAAAATGGCCTCAGTGATGGGTGTGACATGGATTCTTGGGATTGCTGCGAACCTAAAGGCTCTTTCATTCCTGTGGTACCCGTATGTTGTTCTAAACAGTCTTCAAGGTAAATGTCCTTCAGCTTAACAAAGCTGGTTTGGGCCGGAGAAAGAATGGAACACTTTCTTGATTGGAAGCACCAGAAACGATTATTCCGTTGTGGTAGCTGACCTTAAATTAGAGAAAGCAGTCTCATTGGGATAAAAGTTGGTTGATCATATTAAATAGTTCCTATGGCAATGATAGTAAAATCTATCTCGATTGATGTAACGAAGCGATTACTTACTCCTAGATAAGAATCTGCAACATATTCAGATTTTCTTGCATTTCGCAGTGTTTTCCATCGAATGATTGTGATATAGCCTTTTTTCTTGGCTACGCAATTTAATATCATTTGATTGGCACCAAAACTCTATGGGAATGAATTAATACACATGACGTCTTTTCGAGAGATTCTACTTTTATCAGTTTAATTATTTGCCTTTCTCCAAGGTTTCTTCATCTTCCTGTCCTTTGCTACAACTGGGAAGGCGTTGGAGTTGTACAAAAGCAAATTTTCCAAAGTACTTAAGAAGCAAGCATCACAGGCCAGTGAAGAAAGAATGGGAAACTTGAATCCCAGGGAGCAATGCATCTGCCGCGGAGCTGAAAACCAGGAAACTAATATCACTCAAGTTTAGCAGTGTCGCTGATTACAGAGCATTTTCAAATGCTTCATATGAGAAACTGTGACACAAAAGCAACTTCGCCAATATTCTGGGAAAAGGAACAAAATAGTGTTAAAGACATAGGCTCGTCTAATTTGGGCCGTCCTTTTTAGGCGATCAAAGGACTTCGAATGTTCCTCATAGGTGCTATTGTTTAAGTAATCAAATCTTCCTTTTCTCGTTAAATAGATGCTTTGGTTTAGGTGATATTTTTTGCTTGATTTAAGATTTTTAGAGTGCGGTCGTATGAGCAAGAGTGAAACTGTTTCAATAACAGACTCTCAAAGTCTAGGACATTATTACTATTGCTCTGGTGATGACGACAGTCTTAAGGAGATAACAACGCTATCGTTTTTCAGATAAACAAACCTCTTAGATTTCAGTGTTAACGATTCACAATGGCCGTTTGAATCTGCACGAAATTCGTCTTAAGCCATACATAAAAATCACCTGCGGCTTCTGAAACCATAATTCATTGACCCGGTGGTGATTGCATAACCTTAATGTCGTGTATTGCCCTACGTCACCACAATAAGGACATTTCTATAACTGAGTTGCACTGTGATATCACGTTGCAGGTTAAAAGAGAATCAAACTAATTGTACCTGTGTTTAATAACATACTGACTCTGTTGCTGAATTAAGTCTCTCGATTTACAGTTTAATTAATGAGTGTCGCATAACCAAAATCAAATGAGTCAACAATCAAACAGAAGAGAGATGGAAAACATAATGAGAAAAATAATGAGTACTGGGTATGACCATGCAAAAAAACCTCAAGCGCAGGAATTATGTCAAGCGACCCAGTAGTGATTGGTTATAGTTTTACATATGATTTGTTTCGATTATGGTCAGAATTTTCATGTTTTCAATTTTATCTGCACCTAATAGCATAGCACTCCAGTTTTCCTAAGGTATGGTATCCTTCTTCACGAAATTTTGCCTGTCCCGTGTCACCAAATCTAAGCTGTTTAAAGGGAAGGTGGGACTTGATGATAAGAAAACCGCTGTCTTCCCACCAATTTTCATCATTTTTATCACAGTTACACTTCAGTGATTCGTCATCGGCGCACGATCCAGTTAAACCACATGTGCAGCCACCAGTTGCAGTACACACATAAGAGCCGTTGTCTTGTGTAGTGATATTCAGTATGGTGATGTTTCTTTCACGAACAAAGGTCCTCGCGCTGGAAAGAATCCCATCAGACTTTTTCCATATGATCCCACCTGGTTTAGGATTAGCTGTTACGTTACACATTATGGTAACGTTCCTACCCTCCACAGTTTCAATTATGTCGGGAATAACTTCCACCAAAGGTGGTCCTAGAATACCAAAATGATATTAAGGTATGGGAATAAAGTAAATAGTCTCGTTAAAACACCGATTATGGCCACATCTCGTTTTATAAGAGAGTTGATAAAAAACGCCATCTCAAGGTAGGAATGGTTAAACAGTAAACTCTAGTTACCAATCGACTCATTTAAAGACTATCCTCATCAACAGGTCTGGCGTAAACATGAGGTTGCAAGGGGTCCTCCATGGGAATTCACTTTTTATCCCATCAAAGAAAGTCATGTTTTGCAGGTGCCCCAGCTTCCTCCCTCTCTCCCTTCTAATTAATTTAAGTTGATTCCTCAGCAATGAACTGCGCATCCTGTATTGGGCATAAATATCACGTAATCAGGAGAATAAGCGCGCGCATTCTGAGAACGCGGTATTATTCTTGAACCAGTACGGTGGGTGACCTATATTTTTTCTCGAATACTTTGATTGATACTTTAAAATTGGAGAAATTAAAAAAATTCATCAAAAAGAAAAAAATATAGCTGAAACCGTGCACTAAGCCCGTTACTCGATGATGCAATCATGACCTTGAAAACAACGACTCGAGGAACGTTTTGAGTCGATCTTGTTTAATGTCAAATATGTCAAACTTTTCCATGCGCTCGAGAGAATTTCTACCTATCAAGTTTTTTTCTTTGGTGTTACTTTAAAACCCTTGCTTTTAGCCACCACGAAATGTACCGTGAACCGATGAAATGCCGGGAATGAACAGCACTTGCATATATAAATCGGGTATGTTTTTCCTATCGTATCTCTTAAACAAGCAAGCTGACTTATCTTTTCCTTGTACTTTTTGAAACAGACAATGGCAGGGAGTATTTAAAAAGAGATTTTAAAAAAAGTTGTGGTAACTTTTTTTTCTGAGGAATCACCTTAAATTTTGCACAATCTCTAATCTTAAAAGATTTGCTAAAAAAAAAAGAGCACTGCATGAGTCATGTCAATGACAATGTTCGCATAAAGGTCGACTAGTAAAGTACTTCCGGACTTTGTGACATGCCTGCGTATACACGGGGGGGGGAGGAGAGAGGGGAGCGAAGAAGACTAATTAGTAAGACTAATTAGTGAAATTAGTGAAATTGAAATCCCACTGTAAGACTAATTAGTGAAAATTAGGTTTAGATACTAGTGACAGTTACATATATAAAGCAAAGGATAGCAAAATTTTCAGACAAACTAAACATTTGGAATCATTTTTTCTTGTAAAAACCTTGATGAAATAAAAGCAGTTGTAACAAAATAACTTTATGAGCTGCTAAACGAGAGTCAGGTTTCGCTAAATCCCGAGTGAATGTTACGTAATTGCTTGCATGCATATGTCACCCTTCTCTCTCCCTACGTATATGTCATTTTGCTTACAGAAAATGAATAAAAATGAAAGACATCCGTACTTTTTCAGTGAGCATTGATCGCCTATGAGAAAGACTGATGTGTTAGAGAACAATCATGAGATTGGTTCTTTTAATATCAAACTGCCCTATGCAATAAGAAATTACATTGGGAAACTACAATGCTTTCCACCCCAAGCTAAATATAACTTAACTGATATCAAGATATCCAGGCCAATGCCCTGATTTTTCCTGTCTGCCCGCTCATGATCTTTAATTGCACGCGAATGATAGTAAACTTGATGAACTCAACATACCTTCGGTGCAGAATTTGAGAGCTGAATAGACACGAAGGTGAACTGACGATGATTTGGTACCCCAGGGGTTTGTCGCAGTACACACGTAGGAGCCGTTGTCTTTTGTAGTGATATTCAGTATCGTGAGGTTTCCTTCACGAACAAAGGTCCTCGCGCTGGAAAGAATCCCATCAGACTTTTTCCATATGAGCGCACCTGGTTTAGGATTACTTGTCACGTTACACATTACAGTAACGTTCCTACCCTCCACAGTTTCAATTATGTTGGGAACGACTTGCACCAAAGGTGGTCCTAGAACACCAAAATGATATTAAGCCATGGTAATAACATAAATAGTCTCATTAAAGCATCGATCAAGACCATTGTTTACTTTCTTCAAGATCTGATAGTAACCGCCGTCCTGAGTCCACGACTTTTATGCAGTCAGCACCATTTTACGTCAGACCTATTACCAGTCGATCACTATAGGCAAGAGCCAAGAGAGGTCGTCTGCAGGAATTCCTCGTCCATCCCAGCAATTGAAGACCACAAAAGCCAATTAAGACCTCATACATAATCATGCGGTAAAGCTGTCTCCCTCACACCTCCATTGTCCTCCTGATACCTTAAAAATTTCTTAGTTACTCAACATACCTTCAGTGCAGTTTTCTTCCAGTAGTCCATTTGCGCAAACACAACGATAACCCTTCCTGGTGAAGCCAGTTTGGCATCGCCTTGGTGATGGACAAAGCATACTGGAACAGCGGTTCTGCAAAGATATAAAAATATTTATAGAATCTATCGCTCCGGTACCCAGTTTCCTCTCTTCTTCCAAGTAATCCATCCATACTAATGCTATCATTTATTTATTAATAAATTTCAAGATGCACGTATTAAGCTATCAGTTCATAGATGTGCGAATGCAGGAAAAAATCCAGGGAAAAAAGTTTGAACGTATGGTTTCCTTCACCAGACAACATAGAAAGGGAAGAAAAATTCACATATTTCTTTCATTTTGTTTTTTTAGTTTTCTCTGTTCGTGTATTTAATATATATGACCGTTTTATGGACAAAAACTTAACGGATTAAACCCACCTTAAATGATTTATAAACAGTCCCTTCTCTGTATCTTAGATCCTGTTGATTATTTGCGTGATCTGAATCACTCAATTCGCACAAAAGTTTTCCATTCTGTTGCGGTTTTAGATTGTAGGAAACACAGTCAGCTTCCATGAAGCAGTTCACTTCACATGCGCTGGCTGTCTCAATCTCCACCCTTTTGAAAACGTGTTTCTCGAGGATGAAGTCCTGCTTTGCCGGGTTCATCTCTACTTTCCGACAGTTTTCTAAACATTAAGAAAATTGAAACTATAATTTATGTATCTAGAAGACCAACCTATTCCTAAAATGAAACTGTTTCTTGTAAGCACACTTCAAATTGTTCGTTTTATGAAACTTTCCTTTTTATCTATAATAATCGAGACTGAAAAAATTAATTTCCATAAAGTTTTTACCGTTACTTTCGTCTTGATATTGTGATAATGGATGAACACCTGTTTTAACAATTCATCAAGGTGAAAGAAAGAAACTGTGTTCTTTGCGATTTTGATCAATGATCTTTAATCCCGCAAAATCGCAGAAGTTACCCTATTGAAGCCAGCACTAGCGTGAGTGAGTATTTAAAATAAAGTGTTTGAAAGAAAAGAGAAGAAAGGTTTTGAAAAATTCATGTGATAAAATTTACGCCAATGAATATGCAAGTGATCTTCGCGGTAACGAGTACTACTTCCCGTGCAGGCCTGAATTATTTTCAGGTCCTATTTTTCACTACTGTAGTTTTCATAACTGCGAAGATGGCTTCCATATTCCTTTCTTTATCCGCAGTTCGCATACATGATTTTCATATATTTATTGTCAAAAGTTACGCCAGTTAGCTTTAAAACTCACCTTGCTCTTCACCGTTGCAAATACCAACCAGGAAAAAAAATAGTAAGAATCCTGACGATTTCATCGCTAACTTGTCTGTTTTCTTTGTTACTTTACGAGCGAGATGGAGAATGAAAGAGTAACGTCTACTTTCCGTTTAGATTACGGCTGCTTACCTCAGTGTGAGTTTTGCGACAAATAGCTAAGTTTAAATTTTTAATGGAACAGTATTGGAGAATCAAAAGGGGATGACAGAGCGGCTTTATTAAATCTAATACTCCACAGACAGTGAAGCCGGATGAAAGAGTTTGCATATCGATTTACATAGATTTTTCTATTTCTCGAAACTGCAGACCGTTTTCCCTCTTGGTCGTTATGGTGATATTATCTTTAATAATCTCTGCAATTGAAATTGTTTCCCTTTTTTATTTCGAGAAAAAATACTTGTAAGTTGTGTTGCTTCGCACATAGCAGGTGTCACATTGGTTACAATTTGAATACGGGAAGTAACTTTAACTTCAGTTCCTCTGCAGTCAAGTGCTATGTGAGGGTTTCTGTTTATAAACGTTATACAGTTTCTTAAGGTAAGAGAAGAAAATTATATGTCCAATTTAAAAGGAATTTTTTTCTGGAAAAGAAAGGGATTTTAATTATAATGAAAGTTGCGCAACTGAGGCTTCAACAAGACCAGAAATGATTAATTACGTCAAACTGTTTGCATAGAGAAGCTGATTATCATATTTTGCGTGTTTCAGGCCTTAATTGCTATTTATGAGCAGAATTTCAATGAACTTTGGTGCTTATCAAATGCATTGGGTGTTGATATTTTCATCACGCCGGAGTTACCTTTGAGGAAAAAGCTAGACGCTTGACTCTAAGGGAATCAAATTTGGTTACCTGTTCCTCTCAACGGGGCTTTAGTGCCTGTGGTCAGCCTTATTAAGATACAAGATAAAGATAAATACACCCTCCCTACTCTGAAAAGGAGAAAATACGAAGTATGTGTTGATGCCTCCATTACAAACAGGTATACCATCTTTTGGGTGATTCTAAATTATGTAATATGGTATTCCTGCTTAAGAAAGTCAACAAGTTTGTCTTGTTGAAGTACAATATTGGTCAGTTCACATATAATAATATTGGTGACGAAATGAGGTTAAATATTTTATTTAAACCACACGTATCCGCGCAGTGCCTCTTTAATAATTATAATAATTATCACACATCATAGAATAAGATGGCAGGTTTATTATTGGTCGTCATTGTCTGCAGGTTCACCTTCATTTCGGCGATGCATCGTCATCGTTACCAGAATGCTTTACATCTATTGGAGCTTTATAGCGATCACAACACAACAGCCTTCAAACTTTTTTTCATGACTGAATTGCGACGAGTTTGGCATTCTAAACTGACCAAAAAAACTTTTCTTGAATTTTTTGTTTTTGTTCCGAGTAATTTTCTCTAAAATAATAAAAAGCTTTGAAAAAAAGAGTTGTTGAACATGATTATAATTCAGCTGTCTATAAAAATGCTTCGTGTGGCAAATATATGAAGATACGTTAAGTTTACAATATCGGTCTGGCGGTGGTGATTTTTTTCGCAACATGATCAGTCCGTGTGGTTGTTCCCCCGATAATTTTGTAGCTTGAAAACTTTCATGTCGTGTGAAAGCCACACAATTGATAGGCGTTACATTGACTTATGTATTGTTTTTATTTTTAAAAATGCGTTCCTCAAAAAAATCAATTAATTAAAAGCAAAGAAAGAGCTAAGCACGACGTTAACATATTAACAAAAAAAAGGTTATGATTTTGGCCCTAGAGGCCGATTTGTGATTTTTGACAATGATGGCCGATTTATGATTTTGGAGACTGGTGGCCAATGTGTTATTTTCAACCCAACTGGCTGTTTTTTGATTTTGGACCCTGCTGGCCGATTTTGATTTTGACCCATTTGTGATTTTGGACCTTAGTGGCCCATTTGTGATCTTGGACCCTAGAGGCTGATTTGTGATTTTATTCCCTGGTGGCCGATCTGTGATTTTGGACACTAGTGGCCGATCTGTGATTTTGGACCCTAGTGGCTGATCTGTGATTTTGGACACTAGTGGCCGATTTATGATATCGCGTTCCAGGTTACATGTACAGCTTAATTATTGAGGGAATCATTTAATGCGGGGGACACTAGATTAGAGAGCTCTTCTATTGAGTGTCGCATAACCAAAAATCAAATGAGTCAACAATCAAACAGAAAAAAAGTGTAAAACATAATGAGAGAAATAATGAGTACTGTGTATAACCAAGCAAAAAACCTCAAGCGCAGGAATTATGTCAAGCGACCCAGTAGAGATTGGTTATAGTTTTACATATGATTTTTTGGTCCGAGTTTTCATGTTTACAATTTTGTATACACCTAGGTCAGGCCATAGCACTCTAGTTTTCCTAAGGTGTGGTATCCTTCTTCATTGAGACTTGTATCTCCCGTGTCACCAAATCTTAGCTGTTTGACGGGAAGGTGGGACTTGATGGTAAGGAAACCGCTGTCTTCCCGCCAATTTTCATCATTTTTATCACAGTTACACTTCAGTGATTCGTCATCGGCGCACGATCCAGTTAAACCACATGCGCAGCCATCAGTTTCTCCCCCCCAGTATGTCATTTTCTGGCCGTCACGTGAAACCCACCATGAAAATCCACCTTTATTTAATCTGGCGTGGAAACACTCGTATTTGATGAACTGTTGACAGTTACCAGAGGCTTCCGTCAGAGCTTTTAATTGAGATATGCTGGCAGAGCTGTAATGAACATCAAGGGAATATTCACCAGGCCCATTGTATCCTATCACCTGCGTTCTATTTTCACTGTTGTGACTGACGACTGTCACTCCAACGCCTCCTTTGTCAGTCATGTTACAGTAAACAGGAAATGGATCCTCGCCAAGGTCACCGTCAGGATCGATAAGGTAATCACCACTGACGTTGCTGATGTTTGCCTTCAGTTTGGAGCATGTTTCAGGGTATTTGACATGAACAGTGACGCTTGTTTGAATTGAGCTGAATGCATCGGTCGCATTACAAGTGTAGGTACCAGAATGAGATATGTTAGGAGATAAAATTATCAAAGCATTCAAGGAGTCAACAGCCGCCCCTGAAGGTAAGGAAAAAGTTTCATTATACGTCCATAGGATGGTTGGCATCAGGTCGCTTGAAGCAGAGCAACGCAGAATGACAGCTTTATAAGCCATCACTGTCACATTCGATGGAGGCTTGATGACAAATTTGAGAGCTGAATAGACACGAAGGAGAACTGACGATGATTTGGTACTGCAGGGGTTTGTTGCAGTACACACATAAGAGCCGTTGTCTTGTGTAGTGACATTCAGTATGGTGATGTTTCCTTCACGAACAAAGGTCCTCGCGCTGGAAAGAATCCCATCAGACTTTTTCCATATGATCCCACCTGGTTTAGGATTAGCTGTCACGTTACACATTACAGTAACGTTCCTACCCTCCACAGTTTCAATTATGTCGGGAATAACTTCCACCAAAGGCGGTCCTAGAATACCACAATGATATTAAGGCATGGGAATAACGTAAATAGTCTCGTTAAAGCATCGATTATGGCCACATCTCGTTTTATAAGAGAGTTGATAAAAAACGCCATCTCAAGGTAAAAATGATTTAACAGTAAACTCCAGTTACCAATCGACTCATTTAAAGACTATCTTCGTCAACAGGTCTGGCGTAAACATGAGGTTACAAGGGGTCCTCCTTGGGAATTCACTTTTTATCCCATCAAAGAAAGTCATGTTTGCAGGTGCCTCAGCTCCCTCCCTCTCTCCCTTCTAATTAATTTAAGTTGATTCCTCAGCAATGAACTGCGCATCCTGTATTGGGCATAAATATCACGTAATCAGGAGAATAAGCGGGCGCATTCTGAGAACGCGGTATTATTCTTGAACCAGTAGGGTGGGTGACCTATATTTTTTCTCGAATACTTTGATTGATACTTTAAAATTGGAGAAATTAAAAAAATTCATCAAAAACAAAAAAAATATAGCTGAAACCGTGCACTAAGCCCGTTACTCAATGATGCAATCATGACCTTGAAAACAACGACTCGAGGTACGTTTTGAGTCGATCTTGTTTAAAACTGGGTGTTTTTTCCTCAGGCTATATGTCAAACTTTTCCATGCGCTCGAGAGACTTTCTACCTATCAAGTTTTTTTTCTTTGGTGTTACTTTAAAACCCTTGCTTTTAGCCACCACGAAATGTACCGTGAACCGATGAAATACCGCGCGTGACCAGTGCTAGCATAAATCGGGTATGTTATTCCTGTCGTATCTCTTAAACGAGCACGGTGACCTATCTTTTCCATGTACTTTTTTAAACAGACAATGGCAGGGAGTATTTAAAAAGAAATTAAAAAAAAAAGTCGTAATAACACTTTTTCTGAGGAATCACCTTAAAGTTTGCATAATCTCTAATCTTAAAGGATTAATGCTAAGAAAAGAGCGCTGCAGGAGTCATGTCAATGACAACGACAATGTTCACATAAAGCTCGACTAGTAAAGTACTTCCGGACATTGTAACATGCATGCGTATACACAAGAGATGGGGAGGGGGGGAGGGGAGGGGAGAGAGCGAAGAAGGCTTCTGGTCTAAGCCATGTATGACTAATTAGTGAAAATTAGGTTTAGATACTGGTGACAGTTACATAGATAAAGCAAAGGATAGCAAAATTTTCAGACACACTAAACATAACGAATCATTTTTTCCTGTATAAACCTTCATGAAATAAAAGCAGTTGTAACAAAATAATTTTATGTGCTGCTAAACGACAGTTACGTTTCGCTAAATCCCGATCGAATGTTACATAATTGTTTACGTGCACATGTCACCCTTCTTTTTCCTTACGCATATGTCATTTGCTCACGGAAAATGACCAAAAATGAAAGACATCCGTACTCCTTCAGTGAGCATTGATCGCCTATGATGAAGAGTGATTATTGGAGAACAACCATGAGATTAGTTCTTTTAATACCAAACTGCCCCATGCAAAAGAAATTACACTAGGAAACTACAATGCTTTCCACCCCAAGCTAAATATAACTTAACTGATATCAAGATATCCAGGCTAATGCCCTGATTTTTCCTGTCTGCCCGCTCATGATCTTTAATTGTACGCCAATAATAGCAAAATCGATCAACTCAACATACCTTCGGTGCAAAGTTTGAGAGCTGAATAGACACGAAGGTGAACTGACGATGATTTGGTACCCCAGGGGTTTGTGGCAGTACACACGTAGGAGCCATTGTCTTGAAAAGTGATATTCATTATGGTCAGATTTCCTTCACTAACAATGGTCCTCGCGCTGGAAAGAATCCCCTCAGACCTTGTCCATATGTTCCTGTCTGGTTTAGGATTAGCTGTTACGTTACACATTATAGTAACGTTCCTACCCTCCACAGTTTCAATTATGTCGGGAACAACTTGCACCAAAGGTGGTCCTAAAACACCAAAATGATATTAAGCCATGGGAATAACGTAAATAGTCTCATTAAAGTGTCGATCAAGATCATTGTTTACTTTCTTCAAGATCTGATGGTAACCGCCGTTCTGAGGCGACGACTTTTATGCAGTCAGCTCCATTTTACGTCAGACCTATTATCAGTCGATCATTATGGCCAAGAGGCCAAGAGAGGTCCTCTGCAGAAATTTCTTGTCCATCCCAGCAATTTAAGACCACAAAAGCCATTTAAACCATTTACATAACCATGTGGTAAAGCTGTCTCCCTCAAACCTCCATTGTCCTCCTGATGCCTTAAAAATTTCTTATTTATTCAACATACCTTCAGTGCAGTTTTCTCCCAGTAGTCCATTTGCGCAAACACAACGATAACCCTTCTTGGTGAAGCCAGTTTGGCATCGCTTTGTTGATGGACAAAGCATACTGGAACAGCGGTTCTGCGAAAATATAAAAATATTTATAGAATCTATCGTTCCGGTACCCAGTTTCCTCCCTTCTTCCAGCTAATCCATCCATACTGATGCACCCATTTATTTATTAATAAATTTCAAGATGCACGTATTAAGCTATCAGTTCATACATGTGCGAATGCAGGAAAAAATCCAGGAAAAAAAAGTTTGAACGTATGGTTTCCTTCACCAGACAACATGACAAGTGAAAAAAAATTACCATATTTCTTTCATTTTGTTTTGTTTTGGTTTTCTCTGTTCGTGCATTTAAAACATATGACCGTTTATGGACAAAAACTTAACGGATTCAACTCACCTTAAATGATTTATAAACAGTCCCTTCTCTGTATCTTAGATCCTGTTGATTATTTGCGTGATCTGAATCACTCAATTCGCACAAAAGTTTTCCATTCTGTTGCGGTTTTAGATTGTAGGAAACACAGTCAGCTTCCATGAAGCAGTTCACTTCACATGCGCTGGCTGTCTCAATCTCCACCATTTTGAAAACGTGTTTCTCGAGGATGAAGTCCTGCTTTGCGGGGTTCATCTCTACTTTCCGACAGTTTTCTAAACATTAGGAAAATTGAAACTATAATTTATGTATCTAGAAGAGCAACCTATTCCTAAAATGAACCAGTTTATGGAACTTTCTTTTTTTTTTCTATAATAATCGAGACTGAAAAAATTAATTTCCATTACCGTTACTTTCGTCTTGATATTGTGATAATGGATGAACACTTGTTTTAACAATTCATCAATTCAGAAAGACACTATGTTCTTTGCGATTTTGATCAATGATCTTTAATCCCGCAAAATCGCAGAGGTTACCCAATTGAAGCCAGCACTAGCGTGAGTGAGTATTTAAAATAAAGTGTTTGAAAGAAAAGAGAAGAAAGGTTTTGAAAAATTCATGTAATAAAATTTACGCCCAAGAATATGCAAGCGATCTTCGCGGTAACGAGTACTACTTCCCGTGCAGGCCTGAATCATTTTAAGGTCCTATTTTTCATGACTGCTTAAGTAGTTTTCATAACTGCGAAGATCGCTTCCATATTCCTTTCTTTATCCGCAGTTCGCATACATGATTTTCATATATTTATTGTCAAAAGTTACACCAGTTAGCTTTAAAACTCACCTTGCTCTTCACCGTTGCAAATACCAACCAGGAAAAAAAATAGTAAGAATCCTGACGATCTCATCGCCAACTTGTCTGTTTTCTTTGTTACTTTACGAGCGAGATGGTGAATGAAAGAATAACGTCTATTTTCCGTTTAGAATACGGCTGCTTACCTCAGTGTGTGTTTTGCGACAAATAGCTAAGTTTAAATTTTTAATGGAACAGTATTGGAGAAACAAAAAGGGGATGACAGAGCGGCTTTATTAAATCTAATACTCCACAAACGGTGAGGCCGGATGAAAGAGTTTGCATATCGATTTACATAGATTTTTCTATTTCTCGAAACTGCAGAGCGTTTTCCCTCTTGGTCGTATTGGTGATATTATCTTTATTAATCTCTGCAATTGAAATTGTTTCCCTTTTTTTATTTCGAGAAAAAATACTTGTAAGTTGTGTTGCTTCGCACATAGCAGGTGTCACATTGGTTACAATTTGAATACAGTAAGTAACTTTAACTTCAGTTCCTCTGCAGTCAAGTGCTATGTGAGGGTTTCCGTTCATAAACGTTATATAGTTTCTTAAGGTAAGAGAAGAAATATATGTCCAATTTAAAAGGAATTTTTTCTGGAAAAGAAAGGGATTTTAAGTATAATGAAAGTTGCGTAACTGAGGCATCAACAAGACCAGAAATGATTAATTGCGTCAAACTGTTTGCAAAGAGAAGCTAATTATCATATTTTGCATGTTTCAGGCCTTAATTGCTATTTATGAGCAGAATTTCAATGAACTTTGGTGCTTATCAAATGCATTCGGTGTTGATATTTTTATCACGCCGGAGTTACCTTTAAGGAAAAAGCTAGACACTTGACTCTAAGGGAATCAAATTTGGTTACCTGTTCCTCTCAACGGGGCTTTATGCTTGTGGTCAGCCTTATTAAGATACAAGATAAAGATAAATACACCCTCCCTACTCTGAAAAGGAGAAAATACGAAGACGGTAGACCATCTTTTGGGTGATTCTAAATTATGTAATATGGTATTCCTGCTTAAGAAAGTCAACAAGTTTGTCTTGTTGAAGTACAATATTGGTCAGTTCACATATAATAATATTGGTGACGAAATGAGGTTAAATATTTTATTTAAACCACACGTATTCGCGTAACGCCTCTTTAATAATTATAATAATTATCACACATCATAGAATAAGATGACAGGTTTATTATTGGTCGTCATTGTCTGCAAGTTCACCTTCATTTCGGCGATGCATCGTCATCGTTACCAGAATGCTTTACATCTATTGGAGCTTTATAGTGATCACAACACAACAGCCTTCAAACTTTTTTTCATGACTGAATTGCGACGAGTTTGGCATTCTAAACTGACCAAAAAAACTTGTCTTGAATTTTTTGCTTTTGTTCCTAGTAATTTTCTCTAAAAAAAATAATAAAAAGCTTTGAAAAAAAAAGAGTTGTTGAACATGATTATAATTCAGCTGTCTATAAAAATGCTTCGTGTGGCAAATATATGAAGATACGTAAAGTTTACAATATCGGTCTAGCGGTGGTGATTTCTTTCGCAACATGATCAGTCCGTGTGGTTGTTCCCCCGATAATTTTGTAGCTTGAAAACTTTCATGTCGTGTGAAAGTCACACAATTGACAGGCGCTACATTGACTTATAAATGAGTGATGTATTGTTTTTATTTTTAAAAATGCGTTCCTCAAAAAAAATTAATTAATTAAAAGCAAAGAAAGAGCTAAGCACGACGTTAACAAAGAAAAAAAAAGCTTATGAGTTTGGACCCTAAAGGCCGATTTGTGATTTTGGACCCTAGTGGTCAATGTGTTATTTTCAACCCTAGTGGCTGATTTGTGATTTTGGACCCTGCTGGCCGATTTTGGTTTTGACCCATTTGTGATTTTGGACCTTAGTGGCCCATTTGTGATCTTGGACCCTAGAGGCTGATTTGTGATTTTGGACACTAGTGGCCGATCTGTGATTTTGGACCCTAGTGGCCGATCTGTGATTTTGGACACTAGTGGCCGATTTGTGATATCACGTTCCAGGTTACAAGAGAAACAAGCTAATTGTATATGTGTTTAATAACATACTGACTCTATTGCTGAATTAAGTTTCTCGATGTACAGCTTAATTATTCAGGGAATCATTTAATGCGGGGGACACTAGATTAGAGAGCTCTTCTATTGAGTGTCGCGTCACCAAAAATCAAATGAATCAACAATCAAACAGAAAAAAGGTGCAAATCGTAATGAGAGAAATAATGAGTACTGTGTATAACCGAGCAAAAAACCTCAAGCGCAGGAATTATGTCAAGCAACCCAGTAGAGATTGGTTATAGTTTTACATATGATTTGCTGCGACTGTGGTCCGAGTTTTCATGTTTTCAATTTTGTTTGCACTTAGGTCATACCATAGCACTCTAGTTTTCCTAATGTGTGGTATCCTTCTTCTTTGAGATCTGCATCTCCCGTGTCACCAAATCTTAGCTGTTTGACGGGAAGGTGGGACTTGATGGTAAGGAAACCGCTGTCTTCCCGCCACTTTTCATCATTTTTATCACAGTTACACTTCAATCGGTTATCGGCGCACGATCCAGTTATACCACATGCGCAGCCATCAGTTTTTAAGTCTGTTCCACCCCAGTATGTCATGTTCTGGCCGTCACGTGAAACCCACCATGAAAATCCACCTTTATTTAATCTGGCGTGGAAACACTCGTATTTGATGAACTGTTGACAGTTATCAGAGGCTTCCGTCAGAGCTTTTAACTGAGATATGCTGGCAGATCTGTAATGAACATCAAGGGAATATTCACCACGCCTGTTGTATCCTATCACCTGCGTTCTATTTTCACTGTTGTGACTGACGACTGTCACTCCAACGCCTCCTTTGTCAGTCATGTTACAGTAAACAGGAAATGGATCCTCGCCAAGGTCACCGTCAGGATCGATAAGGTAATCACCACTGACGTCGCTGATGTTTGCTTTTACTTTGGAGCATGTTTCAGGGTATTTGACATGAACAGTGACACTTGTTTGAATTGAGCTGAATGCATCAGTGGCATTGCAAGTGTAGGTACCAGAATGAGATATGTTAGCAGATGAAATGATCAAAGCATTCAAGGAGTCAACAGACGCCCCTGAAGGTAAGGAAAAAGTTTCATTATACATCCATAGGATAGTTGGCTTCAGGTCGCTTGAAGCAGAACAACGCAGAATGACAGCTTCATTCGCCATCACTGTCACATTGGACGGAGGCTTGATGACATATTTAAGAGCTGAATAGACACGAAGGAGAACTGACGATGATTTGGTACCCCTGGGGTTTGTCGCAGTACATACGTAGGAGCCGTTGTCTTTTGTAGTGATATTCAGTATGGTGAGATTTCCTTCACTAACAATAGTCCTCGCGCTGGAAAGAATCCCATCAGACCTTTTCCATATGATCCTGTCTGGTTTAGGATTAGCTGTCACGTTGCACATTACAGTAACATTCCTACCCTCCACAGTTTCAATTATGTCGGGAACTCGCACCAAAGGCGGTCCTAGAATACCAAAATGATATTAACCCATAGGAATAACGTAAATAATCACATTAAGGCATCGATTATGGCCACATCTCATTTTATAAGAGAGTTGATAAAAAACGCCATCCCAAGGTAGAAATAATTAAACAGTAAACTCCAGTTGCCAATCGACTTATTTAAAGACTATCTTCACCAACAGGTCTGGCGTAAACATGAGGTTGCAAAGGGTCCTCCTCGTGAATTTATCCCATCAAAGAAACTCGTGTTTTGCAGGTTCCCCGGCTCCCTCCCTCCCTCCCTTCTAATTGATTTAAGGTGATTCCTCAGTATTGAACTGCGCATCCTGTACTGAACATAAATATCACGTAATCGGGAGAATATTATCCCATTTAAATTGGAAAAATTTTAAAAAATTCATAAAAGGAAAAAATATAGCTTAAACCATGCACTAAGCCCGTTACTCGGTGATGCAAATCATGACCATGAAAAAAACTGACTCAAGGAACGTTTTTAGTCGATGTTGTTTAAAACTGCGTGTTTTTTTCCTCAGACTATGTATCAAACTTTTCCATGCGCTCGAGAGACTTTCTACCTATCAGGCCTTTTTTCCAAGTGTTACTTTAAAAATAACCTTGCTTTTAGGCACTACGAAATGCACCTTGAACCGATGAAATGCCGTGCATGACCAGTGCTAGCATAAATCGGGTATGTTTTTCCTATCGTGTCTCTTAAACAAGCAGGGTGACCTATCTTTTTCATGTAGTTCTTGAAACAGACAATGGTAAGGAGTATTTAAAAAGAAATTTTAAAAAAAGTTGTGTTAACTTTTTTTCTGAGGAATCACCTTAAATTTTGCACACAAAAAAAAACGCTGCATGAGTCATGTCAATGACAATGTCAATGTTCACACAAAGCTCGACCAGTAAAGTACTTCCGGACATTGTGACATGCATGCACAAGAGATCATGAGGGGAGCGAAGAAGGCTTCTGGTCAAAGCCATGTAGGACTAATTAGTGAAAATTAGGTTTAGATACTAATGACAGTTACATAAATAAAGTAAAGGATAGCAAAATTTTCAGCCACACCAATCATTACGAATCATTTTTTCTTGTACAAACCTTCATGAAATAAAAGAAGTTGTAACAAAACAACTTTATGTGCTGCTAAACGAGAGACGCATTTCACTAAATTCCGAGCGTCAGACCTATTACCAGTCGATTATTATGGGCAAGAGGCCAAGAGAGGTCCTCTGTAAGAATTCTTTGTCCATCCCAGAAATTTAAGACCACAAAAGCCATTTAAGATCCCTTACATAATCATGTGGCAAAGCTGTCTCCCTCAAACCTCCATTATCCTCCTGATACCTTAAAAAGCTCTTCGTTACTCAACATACCTTCAGTGCAGTTTTCTCCCAGTAGTCCATTCGCGCAAACACAACGATAACCCTTCCGAGTGAAGCCAGTTTGGCATCGCCTTGGTGATGGACAAAGCATACTGGAACAGCGGTTCTGCGAAGATATAAAATTATTAATAGATTCTTTCGCTCTGGTACCCTGTTTCCTCCCTTCTTCCAGCCAATTCATCCATACTGATACACTCATTTATTTATTAATTAATTTCAAGTGCACGCATACATCCATCAATTCAGACATTTGTGAATGCATGCATGCATTTACGCATACATGCGTTCATGTATCCATCCATCCTTTGAGCTTATGGTTTCCTTCCCCGGACCGTCAACATGGAAAGTGAAAGTGAAAGTGAACATGAAGAATTTCAAATCTTTCTTTTGTTTTGTTTTGTTTTGGTTTTCTCTTTTCATGCATTCAAAATATATGAGAATAATTCAACTCACCTTAAATGATTTATAAACAGTCCCTTCTTTGTATCTTAGATCCTGCTGATTGTTTGCGTGATCCGAATCACTCAATTCACACAAAATTGTTCCATTTTGTTGCGGTTTTAGATTGTAGGAAACACAGTCAGCTTCCATGAAGCAGTTTACTTCACATGCGCTGGCTGTCTCAATTTCCATCCTTTTGAAAACGTGGTTCTCGAGGAAGAAGTCCTGCTTTGCGGGGTTCATCTCTACTTGCCGACAGTTTTCTAAAAATTAAGCAAAGTGAAAGTGAAGTTTACACATCTAGAAGAGCAACCTATTCCTAGCCGAACCTGTTTCTGGCAAACATGCTTTAAAATCGTTCGTTTTATGAAACTTTCTTCTTATCTAACAATAACTGAGACTTAAAAAATTAATTTCCATAAAAGTTTAACCATCTCTTTCGTCTTGATACTATGATAATGGATGAACACTTGTTCAGAAAAAAATTGTAATTCAAGTAATTCAACAGGGTGAACGATAGAAACAATGTTCTTAGCGATTTCGATCGATAATTTTTAATCTGGCCAAATTAAATCACAGAAGTTACCCTATTGAAGCCAGCACTAGCGTGAGTAAGTGTTAAAAATAAAGCGTTGAAGTGTGTTTGAAAAATTGAATTAATGAAATTTTTGCCACTTATGGAAGCGATCTATGCGGTTACACACACTATTTCCCGTACAGGTCTGAATTTTTTTCAGGCCTTATTTTTCACAATTGCCTAAGAAGTTTTCATTACTACATTGCTTTCATATTCATTTTTTTTATCCGTAGTTCACATAAATTATGTTAATATATATTTACAGTCAAAAGTTACGCCAAGTGACTTTAATACTTACCTTTCTCTTTACCGTTGCAAATACTAACCAGGTATAAAAAAAGTAAGAATCCTGACGATTTCATCGCGAACCTGTCTGTTTTCTTTGTTACTTTACGAGTGAGACGGCGGATGAAAGAGTGACATCAACTTTCCGTTTAGAATACGGCTGTTTACCCTAGTGTGTTTTGCGACAAAATAGCTAAGTTTAAATTTTTAATGGAGCAGTATTGGACAAACAAAAGGGGATGACAAGGCAGTTGTATTAAATTTGATACTGCAAGAACGTGAAAGCTGGATGAAAAAATTTACATTTTTTTTTCTATTTCTCGAAGCTGCAGACCGTTTTCCTGGTGGTCATTATAGTGATGTTATCTTTATTAATCTATACAGATGAAATTATTTCCCTCTTTTTTTTTTTAAGATAAAAAAAACTATTAGGTGGTATTGGCTCTGAGTGCTTAGCGGGTGTCACATTGGTTACAATTTGAAAACAAGAAGCAACTTCAACTTCAAGCGTTATGTGAGGATTTCCGTTTGCAAAAGTTATACAGATTCTAAAGATTAGAGAAGAAAATTATGTACCTACACTTTTCAGGATTTTTTTTGGGAAAAAGAAGGGGTTTAAGTACAGAGGAAGTTGCGCAACTGAGGTATCAATAACACTGGAAAGAATTAATTACGTCAAACCATTTGCAAAGAGAAGTTGATTATCATATTTTACGTGCTTCAGACCTTAATTGCTATTTTTGAGCATAATTTCAATGAACGTTGGTGCTTAATAAATGCATTGCGTGTTGATATTTTCATCATGTATACGCTACCTCTGAATTAAAAGGAAAACGTTGGAAACTAAACTCTTAAGGAAATTAAATTTGGTTACCGGTTTCTGTTAACAGGGCTTAAGCACCTGTACTTGGACTAATTAAGACTAATTAGGACAAGACAAATAAATAGATACAAGATAAAGATAAACAAACCCTCCCTACGCTGAAAAGGAGAAAATACGAAGATATGTGTTGATACCCTATTACAAACAGGTAATATCGTATTCCTGCTTAAGAAAGTCAAGACGTCTGTCTTGTTGAAGTACAATATTGGAATTTCCCAGTTAAAGTTTACGTGTAATTATGTTGGTGACGAGATTAGGTAGAATATTTCATTTTAAACCGAACGCATCCATGCAGCGCCTTTTTAATGATTATAATAGATCGTATAACTCGCTGACAGGTTGATTACTGGTCGTCATTGTCTGTAGGTTCTCTTTCATTTTCGGCGATGCATCGTCATCGTTAACAGAATGCTTCACATCTGTTGGAACTTGTGTTACAGCGATCGAAGAAAAACATCACGCAACACCTATCTAACCTTTTTCATGAGAAACTGCGAGTTTGGCATTCTAGACCGACAAAAAAATTTGGTTAAATTTTTTATTTTTGTTTCTGGTAATTTTCTCTAAAACAGGAAAAAACTTTGAAAAAAAAATTCTTGAACATGGTTATAATTCTGTTGTCTACAAAAATGTTTCTGTGCCAAATATATAAAGATACCTATATTTTATGATATCGGTCTGGCGGCGGTGATTTCTTTCGCAACATGAACAGTCCTTGTGGTTGTTTCCCCGCTAATTTCGTCGCTGGAAAACTTTCATGTAGTGTTTGAGCCAAAAAATTGGCAGGCACTACATTGACTTTCAAATGAGTGACGTATTGAAATGCGTTTCCCATTGAAAAAAAAAAAGTAAAAAACCACTGTAATTTGAACTCTAGAGGCTGATTTGTGATTTTGGACTCTTGTAGCCGATTTTTTGATTTTGGACCCTGGTGGCCGATTTGTGATTTTGAACTTTAGTGGCCGATTTGTGATTTTGGACCCTAGTGGCCCATGTGCGATTTTGGACCCTAGCAGCCGAGTTTGTGATTTTGGCCCCAAATGGCCCATGTACGATTTTGGACCCTGGCAGCCGATTTTTGATTTTGGACCGTAGTGGGCGATTGTAATTTTGGTCTCTAATGGCTGATTTGTGATTTTGGATCCTAGTTCCCTTTTTTGGCTTAAAGTGGCGTATATTTCAACTTGGCCACCAGCGACCTCTTTTCTCAATTTTTGACTCTAGTAGCTAATTTGTGATTTCGGACACTGGAGCCCGATTTTTGATAAAGGATCTTAGTGTCCAACTGTTGATTTTGGAGCTGAGGGTCCGCTTTTTACTTTATCTAAAAAAAAAGGAAGAGGGAAATGTCCTTGATACCTGTCAGCCATTTAATAGCAACAGTGGACTACAGTGGACACGGATAGCTTTATAAAGGGATGGGAGGAAGACCCAAACATCTTGATGACAAAATTGATGTGAAAATATTTGATAGATTTGAATACACCTCTCACCTTCCCTTTCGCTCCCATTTTCTTTTACCTATACAGTTTTACTTTATGTTGTATCCTAAGCAACCGTTTTTCCACTTACAGTGGATGGGAGGGAGGAGGGTTGATGTCACACAACGCCGCTTGCCGTTAAAAAAGGAATAGCAGGTGAGTGCGTTACGTGACATGCCACGAACTATCGACAACCGACGACAAAGGCTTTATGAAGCTCGTACAGTGCATGCAGGAAATATTCCATTATGATTTCGCTGCTCTTTATTAAGATGTTTGACCACGCTACCGGTGGCAAACGGTACCCACGAGAATCAAACAATTCGTCTCGATTTTTCATGTTGGGAAGAGATTATTTTGCCCGTACGTGAAATGTCAGTCTAATCACTCGGAGCTGAAACATGAGACCTGACTCGGCAGTGTCAATAATACATTGAGTTTCAGCTGAACAAGGAAGCCGAGATCTGGTTACCGAAATGGGGAATATAAATTATCTTGCGAAATGCTATATTTTCAGTTACCAGAAAGGCAATCACACGAGCCAGTTGGAACACATTTTGGCGCTTTAATTTGATAAGGTAAGTTTGGAGAGAATTATTTATGGAAGTCTGCTTGAGATGGCAAGTTAGGATCGTACAAGTATATTACTTTTATCGACCCTTTTTCGGAAAGAGATTTCAATAGGTGCATTTTAAAACCTTTTTCAAGGTCCGTGCGCTGAGATCAGGTAAAATTTAAGGCCAACAGTTTTCTGTCCTCATCATACCAATTAATTACAATTAATCAAATTTCCTGAATTGTGAAAGAAGAATTTACATTCATTTATTTCAAATTGAAGCCTGATGCTCTTTTTCGTTGGACTACCTTTGTGACAACAACAGCAACTATAACAACAAAAAAATTAAATTATAGGCGAAAAATGATTGAAAAATGTTTAGTGCAGTAGTCAGCATAGGTAGAAATTCCCTCGGCAATGTCAGTCCCAGGTGGAGAAACTTATAGTTTGCTTTGAATATTTTTTTTGCGATCGCTCGACAAATGTAACTGAGATGAAGAAATGCTTGAATTCTGGGAAGTGAGTTTTATTAGGATAAGTGCCACTTCCTTATCGCAGGGAAAATACATGAGTTGCCTTTTTGCTGAAGCGGAACTTAGAAGCTCATCGAATTGTCTGTAAATTAATCTCCGTGATCTCAAAATCTTTCATTATGTCACGCTCTGTACAAGTAGTGATCATTCGAACTATCGTCTGTTTGATGCATTCTCACAACTTTTCTGACATGAGAAATTTACAATTTTATTTCGGACATAAGCTGTTATATAGCACTGTGAGCAATGAAACTCCGCTGTCCGTTCATCCAGTCTTTAGAGTGATGGACAAACACTAATGGTACAAACATTCATGTCACATTTATGCAGCACGTACACTTATCATGCTATTGAAAACGTCACCCAACATCGTTCTTGTATCGTCCATCATTATTCAGGCGTCACATAGTATGGTTAGAATGCATGGGGATTAGACCATGTTCAGACAGGCGATAGTACATTGGATTAAACCAGTAATGAACGTTTATTCAGTTGTCAAAGAACAGAAAAAGAGCTCTTATCAGAAAATTTCTACGTCTAATGATTGAATTATTGTCAAGGCGGCCCTGTTATGCGAGCACTTGGGTCAAAAGAATTATACTCGAGAATTTGAACATATTACTTTGGAGCATCACCCTGAAAACATTTAATGATGCCAAAAAATATGGTGAAGTTTAATCATTCAAAATAATAGCTTTTAAGAGCTCTTCAACCTCCATCCCCACCATTTCTATTCCTACCACTAACAGGTGAAACTTGCTAAGAAAATCAAGGGTCTTTTCGTAGTTCAAAACAATATTTTATTGGATTACATTCTTAAAACGCAAGCCAGCAAAGCAGGCTCAACAGGATTTATCTCTTGTTAAACTGTAGCATCAAGGAGATTTTAAAAAAATTTTGTCATTATGGCGTCATTATCCTCGATGCCTCAATTATAGCATTATGCTCAGAATTATAGTGGCATGATTTAGCTGACCTAGCGACCAAACCGTGTTTTATTATGGCTATCAACCGAATTGTTCAAAATCATTTCCTTCAGGTGGAAAACGTGACCACTTCCTGTTTATTTCTAAAATATTTTCTTTACAGTTCGGTGTTGACATCAGCATGAAATATTTTGTCCTGTTCCTGGTCGTGATCCACCAAATGAAAAATGCTGAGGCCCTCAAAAAAGGTTATGATGAGACAGAGAACTTAACATCGCGTGCTAACGGAGTCTCTGGCCTGATGCGCGTCGAGGAACAGACTAAACGCTTTATCCGTGTATCGCAGTTGGCTGTCGGTGACGTGATACGCGGCATCACCGGGATAGATAAGAACCCTGCGTGGTGCAAGGTATTGGCCGTATTTCCAGTGGCACATGGTCAGACACAGACTACGTATGACGGGTTCACTGCAGGTCAGATGGTCGTAGAGCGTACAGTCCACCCGTATGGCGCATATGGAACGTTACGTACAGGTTCTGTGTTCACACTAGCGACAGAGTGTGATGCTGTGGTAAACTCAGCCGGAAAAACGTTCACGCCCTTAAGTACAGCATTCTGTCCATTCCAGTTGAGTTGGAAACAGTATCTTCAGTTGATCAGTTCGATACGCCGCCTAATCGGCCTCACTGGAAATTTCTGGTTTAACCTGAATGTGTACCACGACAACGAGACAGCACCTGTACCGCACTGGGTCGACCGGCTTCCTCAGCTATGCCAGGAGCTCCTGCAATGCTCGCGACAGGACCTTTCGCAGTGCTTAAAACTTCGGAAGGTTATGGTAGAATTTGCGCAGACGTACCTTAGCAAGGAATACGCTGAGGTCGTGGAAAAAGCTCTTACGAAGATTTACGGCGATACAGAGCAAAATGACGAGGCTGAGAGCACAACAGTGGAACAATTTTCACAGGGAAGTAGGCGCGTGTTTCTGATGATGGTTGTAGGTGCCACTGTGCTGCTTGTAGCACTGATACTAGTTGTAGCTGTGTTCATTGATTTCTACCGCCAAAGAAAGGTCAGAAGGGTAACTCGTTATTCTCCGGTGAAGGTTCAGCTTTAAGATAGGATATAAAAGTGGGCCGAAAACAATTTAATAATACCACATATTCCAGAGACGCTGATTTTGGATAAATTATTCAGACACTAAAAATGTTCTTGAAATAGATACTCTAAAGAGTCTACGATTCTCTGAAGATTTATCTCGTTTATAACATTTTGGCCGAATTTAACTTTTCAGTATTCAGTATATTTGATCATGAAAATTGAATTAGTATTTCGCGGGCAAATTATTAGTTAGCTTAATCTAGTCGTAATGTCAGTTGCACTACTTTTTGATTACTTACAAAAGACGAATTTCATTTTTGTTATCAAGCAACGGCCGCGAATTCGGAGTCTGTCTCACAATAGGCTGTAACAGTCAGTTGAGTATGGCCGAAATAATGAGAGAGGATCTGGGAACAATCGTGCATAAGGTGATTTTACTGAGCTGAGATTCCTCATTTAACCAGAAAACTATGCCTTACTTTTCAACTTTCGTGGTATCTATAATAGTGATACTGATAATTTCAAAATGTCTGTAAGCGTTAGGCTTGTTTGGTGTAAATTTCTACTAAGAAACTATTGCATAAAACCTTTAAACTGAGTTTCATTATGTTCAGCCCATTTGATCAAAATGAAGCCTACAATGACAAAATAAAACTTACAGTTTTCGAAAGCTAACATCGTTTAGTTTTGTAGTTAATGATGTTTAACAGTTTGACATTTCGCGGTTTTGAGTTATTTGTTTACACACAGCTCGTTTCACAACAACTAATTGTGTTAAAATCGTATATGAACAAATAAATCACGGTCTTGACCGAGAGTCAAGAGTCAATTAGGAGACAGAAGAATAATTGTAATCGTCCAAACATATACATAAGTTTCCTCCTTGATACTTTAGCTCTAATAAACAAACGAGTTACATAGACATTGTTACCTCCACTCCCAACATGCATTGCGCGACAAAGATTGCCTTCATTTTAAATTCTGAACAAGTTCTTGGCTGGAAAGTTTTCCCATACTTTTCCAAAACATCCAAGAAAGAACAGGTAGTCCGCAAATATTTTAACCGCCACCATCAACAATACTCTATTTTTCCTAACTTTTAATCAGATAACAAAACATGTTTTCGCGCCAGAAAGTTATGCCCAATTGCGCCTAAAAAACAAGCCAACTGGTCGTTGTTCTCCAAGAAACTGTTCAATATCGCGAAGACCCTGCGGTTTTAGTTAAGTACTACGCCAGTCTTTGTCAGTCTTAAATATTATTCTTCGAAACGCATGCGCAACTTTGGTCTGGAAAAGGGAAATTTCTGTTTGAGTGAGCCCTAACATACGCAAAAAGCTCAAACATACCGTTCTTCGTTCCAATATCATTTAGATTATCATGAAGACTTCGAGGTTAATACGTCGTTGTCGGTCTATATGAGACTTGGCTGCGAGAGGTACGTGCTCCTGTGGTTTTTAGGCGGGAAATGTCTGCTGGGATGCTAACCGGAGAAACAGGAAAAAACAAACATGACTTTCTTTGTTCCAAAATGATGAAGATAACCGTACAGACTTTGCGGTTTCAGCCAAGCGATCAGTCGGCTCGTTGAAATTCGGTCAGGAAACGTAAGAGCAACTTGGGTCTTGAAACAGGAAACTTGCACTCATAAATACATTCTCTTAAATTAATTAATTTTTTTTTTTTTACAATTAATTTCGTTTGTTTTGCTTTCCTCTTTCCCACGCGCCCTGTGCGATCGATGCGACTAGAGGTATTTTCAATAGCTTGAATTCAGAAACTGAAAAATAAATAACGAATCTCTTATCCACTACGTCTAACACATGGGAGAGCGGAATTTTTTCGGGTTGGTCAAAACACAAGCAACTCGCTAAATAATACGCATCTCGCAGAAATATGTGAGCGCGTGTCGCATGTTAGAGTAAGGTTTATTTGGCCAACTAATTAGTTGCTTAGAGAAAGCACGTAATCAAGTGAACGGTGGTCTCTTAATATAACAGCAAATTTTCAAGGAAAGGCCAAGCTGCCAGAGAGAAGTGAATGGTAAATTTCTAAAGAAACTATGGTGCTGCGACGGTGGGAGAGTATAACAGGGTAATTAGTATTATCAACTGAGTTGATAACGTAAATTGAGTTTCAAAGCTGACGCTTTCGAGTTAGTCCTTCGTTAGAGCGAATGAGTTTTGGTTGACGAAGGGCTGACGCTCGAAACGTCAGCTTTTAAACTCATTCGCTCGGACGATGGGCTAATAACGCTCCAAACGTCAGCTTTGAAACTCTTCCCAGTGGCCAATTTACTTTATCAACTCAAGTTATCCCGTCAGAGAGAAGAATGATAAAAAGTTCAAAGTTTTATGTTTCAGAATTGTCTCGAAATAACCTCGGGTGATTACTCCATGGAAATGAAGATTTTCTTCGAATCAAAACCTTGCTCGTCCCCAGTTTGTGTTTTACTTTATCGTAAACAAAGACCATTTGTCTGGAAAAACGTACTTCTAAATTAGAACCCTCGCATCGAAAGATCATTTAGGCCAAACCTGTTGGCCCTATTTTTAAAAGTTCAGCCCTTTACGTCACGACTGTAAACATGCATAACTATGTTGGGGCTGGGTGAGGACTATGTGGCATCTATAGAACGGAATGTGTCATGTGTCTTAGATCTAATCTCGTACAGAAAGCTCTTTCTTGCTATTCTAACCCTTTCCCTTGATGATGACGACGGACTGCGAGTCAAAGAAATTCAAAGCTTAGTTGGTCACACTTTAAGAAAGACAAAAGAGCACGTGCAAGTAATACCTTAGTAAAATTTGTTTTTTCTTGCCATTCTACCAGCAACTGTAAGTGGAGCGATAACCTTGAATAATGATGCTTTAAATCAAAACTTATACCCCATTCACACTAGCAAAACATGTTTTGTTAAACTGGTTTTCATTGAATGAAAATTATAAACAGAGAACTGAAAAACTTGATTTTCCATTGGATTCAAGTACTTGCTAACTTGCATTTCCAATGTGCTACATTCAAGTCAAAAATATTCGGTTGAATAGTTTCTATGAAGAAAAAAAAAATTAAACTGTGTTTAACAAAACAACTTTTAAACATGTTTAAGCTTTGGTGTGAATGGGGCATTAGATAGCTAGATTTAATTTACATTTTCCTTGTTATCTCATTAACGTAAGACTCAATCACAAAACTCGCGTATCACAATAAATTTCCCAATGGCGATTTAGTTCAAAGCTGGGTACAATTTATGTAATGTCTCATCAACGTGTTAGCATTGCACTTAAATACAGTGTTTAATCACCAAACCTAAAAAAAATATTTGCTTATTTATCGCCCAGCTAAAGGCGCCAAAAAAAAAAAAAAATACTTATTAAAATGGAATTAATGACTTTGTGTAACTGTTGTGACGACTCCTCGGCACTTATGCGGGGGTATGGCTGGTAATCTTGGGTTCTGGCTTGGTTACTGCCATCTCCTTCATCTTTCGTCCGCGGTACATCAAGATCGCGGCCATGATGATCGCGAGTGCCAGCACGGCGCCGCCCACGGCAGTAAACAGCACCAAGTAATTCTTCTTTTTTTCTGGACGGGCCACTTCTGTAATGGTTCCACTTTGCTCCTTGTTTACATCACCACCCATGTTGGGAAAAACGCGTTTAACGATCTCCAAGTATTCTTTGTTAAGATACTTGTGCACGAACTGCTCCATGATGGTCTCAAACTCTTGGCACTGGTCCTCACGAGCACATCGCAGAAAACCGCGGCATATTGCAGGTAGCTGCCTTCCCCAATACGGCACCATGGCGCTGTCATTGTTGTGGTAGGCGCTCAAGTCAAACCAGAAGTATCCAGTTCGATTGGCGACTCGTCGAATGGCGGCAATCAGAGTAAGGTACTCGCCCCAGCTCAGCTCAAAAGGACAGAGCCCGTTGTTGATAGGAGTGAAGGCCTGGCCAGCTGAATTCACAGACGCATCACAGTCGGTGGTAAGCGTGTACACGGGACCTATGCGTACTGTTCCATTCTCGCGCACACCGTACTGGTGAACTGTTCCATCCACGACCATGTGAGTATCTGTGAAGCCGTCGTAAGTGGTGCGGGTCCCATTACGTGGTAAAGGGTAGAGAGCCTTAACTTCGCACCAAGCAGGGGCCCGTTCTGCTCCCTTGATACCCCGGATGACATCGCCTACAATGAGTTTGGAGACACTGAGGTGACCTTTGGTTTGTTCCTCCACTTGCATTGCAGCAGATACACAATCAGGGTAAGGAGGTGGTCCGTCTGCGGCGTCCAACATTCTGTTGCCATACCCACCGAGATGTAAAAGAATCATCAGGGCGCTGAACAACAACCAACGATTTTGCATCCTGAACACAACTCAGCTTTAGGCGTACTTGAGCTCTGGTGATATTAAGTGTACAATGTAATTATTTGCAACTTTATAAATATTTCAAACTTAGGTTTGAAGCCTGACTCTAAAGCGAGAAAACCAAGACCTTTTGGGTTACCAATAAGATAATATACCACCATGTTAGATTATTTCTGAAAGAGGCCATCACCCTCGCTTTGCTCAATATTGTTATCGTCCGTGTTGTGGCTACAACGATTGAGGAGGAGTCAAGAGAAGCGGGCGACGCAACTTTACAAAGAATTCCAAAGCGTATAAATCCCCTTCTCCCTCATCAACGAGACACTTATGCAGAGAGTTTTACCAACCATTTTTAATTCCCAAAAGTGGCTATCTGGCCAAAGGGAATCAGCTCAATTTCAACACAAAAAACAAAACAAATCAAAACAAAATATCTTAAGGATTTTTTCGAGATACTTGGGAATATTGTTTCACTATTTAACAAAAGTTTGTGGAATTTCCGCCGAAATGCTTTCATAATCAAACGTGTTATCTATGGAAAGGCTTAAAAGCCCTCTCATAAAATTAATGGGATAATTTCATATTTGTCAAATGTTTGAGATCATATCAAAGACATTCAGCGGACATTGTGCTATTTAAGAAAGCAAGTTATCCTTTCTTTGATTTCATTGGTGAGAATTAAAGCCATGAGATCTATTTTTCTCTCTCTTAAAATTTATTGCCTTAATAGTTGATCGAGTTTCAGAGAACTTTTAATGTCCGCCTCGCACACTTGGTGGGTTAACATCAGCACATTCCAAGAAATAAATTGTACTAGTATTAGGAAGAAGTATTGGTAAGTTATTTTGGTAGTCAAAGTATTCTTGAGGTGGACAGAAGATAAAAAAGGATAGATTTTCTAAACTCTATATATTGCAAACTGTCAAAAACAATTATGCCGAATTACTTTGAATCTAAAGATTCGAGCTGTTATGTGAATTACATTATATTTGCGTCCGAGCTCAAAATCATTATATCCAGATTATAAAATCTGGAAGTGAATTTTTTTTTTATAGCAATATTAGTAAAGTTTCGAGAAAGGCTTTCAAATGGAATATTTACTTCTCCTGTGACAATGTTAGAAATTAGAAATCTTTAATCAACACGCTTTCAACAAATGGTTTAAGACACAATTAAAACAAATTTGATAACAAAATATAAAACGATGTTTAGTAGTAGTTTGTTCCCCAACCATAAATCTAGCTCTCAGTCTCTTTAATTTACTTCCTTATCAGGCAATAATGGAGGTAACTTTGATTATAGGGCTTTATATTGCATCAACGATCCAGATTGAAAACTATTCGCTTTGATTTTCAGGCTTTTCTTGCGCGAAGTAGATGTTTTGAAAGTGTCGTCAAACACGAGTACATGAATGTTTAAAAACAAGACGCCTGTTGAGCGTTCACTCCGGCCATTTTAGAGGTGGATGTTTGGGTGGGGGGGGGATTGATTCTTAAACAATGTGTGTATATATGACAATAAACAATGAGCTGTTGGAGTATTATCAGATTTGTGTTGGAATTTGAGGGTTTTTTGTCCTGTTGGGTCTTTAGGGACTTGTAAAAAAGTATTGGGGGTGCGGTGGAGGAAAAGGGGGGTGTATCAGCAAGTTTTGAACCTTCGCAAAGGGGTGGGGCATCCCTTCGTTGAGCCCCAGTTGGGGGTGGGTGATGATGGTGTTTTGACTGGAAATTTCTCTCAGAAGGCTGGAATTGCTATTTCAAACAGCTCCCATGTCCCCGGAGCCCCGGGGGTCTGTGTTAAGAGAATAAAATCAATACCACTGTTCTAAATCAAGTTACTTAAGCTGTTTAACTTTTTTTTCATTTTATAAATCTATAAATCTCTTGTAAAACAACAAATAAAACGTGATAACAATTTGGTAAAGCATGAATCGAATACTTTACATTAACCAAGTACTTTGTTATTCAAACATGTTATTAGATGATCTTGTGTCTGTGTTAAGAGAATAAAATCAAGACCCCTGTTCTAAATCAAGATAGTTAAGCTGTTTTAACTTTTTTTTTTTCATTTTATAAATATATAAATCTCTTGTAAAACAACAAATAAAACGTGATAACAATTTGGTAAAGCATCAATGAAATACATTACATTAACCAAGTACTTTGTTATTCAAACATGTTATTAGATGATCTTGTGTCTGTGTTAAGAGAATAAATCAAGACCACTGTTCTAAATCAAGTTACTTAAGCTGTTTTAACTTTTTTTTCATTTCATAAATGTATGAATCTCTTGTAAAACAACAAATAAAATGTGATAACAATTTGGTAAGGCATTAATGAAATACTTTACATTAACCAAGTACTTTGATATTCAAACATGTTATTAGATGATCTTGTGTCTGTGTTAAGAGAATAAAATCAAGACCACTGTTCTAAATCAAGTTACTTAAGCTGTTTTAACTTTTTTGGAGTTTGATTCTTCTTCTTCTGGCTCAGGGTGAGTGTCGGTGTCTGCTGGTGCAGCGTGTTCCAATATTTTTCGGTCGAGATCCACTCTCAGTGTGAACTTAGTGCTTAGTAGATTTACTATGTCTTGTTCTGTTGGCTTGGGTTTTGGCTCCTGCCATTTGAAGAGATGCTGTATGACCTGAAAATAAAATGAAATGTTGTGATTGAGGAATGGTTGTTATTAAATGTCATAATCTAGTGACAGTCCATTCATGGTAGTAAATCATTTTGGTTATTGGAATAACAAGACGACAGTCAAGGGGAAGTACTTCCATAATGGGGGTGCTTATTGGAAGGAGGGTACTAAAAGATGTTATTATGGTTAGAATGCATCATTAGGGATGGAAACTTACACGTAATTTTGACAGCAAGTGGCGAGTGTCTTTAATGATATTTAATGCAATAAAAATCTAAAATTTGTATTTGCTTTAGATGTTTTGACACTCGTCTGGGAATGGGGGGGAGCTAGCTAATGTCCAACCCTGTGCATTGTAAGTATAGTGTACTATAGTATTAAGAACAAAATCCTAATATGGGGAGATAGATTCATGATTACACAACTTAGACAGTAACCAGAGAGCCATAGAAGAAATCCAGTATTCACATTTTTGTTGTCTAAAATTAACCTCTGAAGTACTAGTTTGCTGGACAAAGAACTACATGAAAAGATTCCTTGATGTTTTGAACTGTATTTCACATCTACATCAGCATCATAGATCTTAAGCCTAAGTGGTAACCCATCAATTGTGAACTGGTTACTGGTGTCAAGGTTTTCTTTATAAAATATATTTCCATGTTCAACAACAGCTTCTAATGTAAATGACTTCCAATAACTACATGGTTTAATAATTGAAAAACAAACACAATAAAAGCATATGGCACAACTCTTTTTAAAAGACTAATATTTGCATCAATTTCCATAGTGATATCTTCATTAACAGCAGCTGTCTGACAAGTTACATTTTGATCTTCTGATGAAAATGGCTTGTTATGATCATGAACTCCAATTTCTGATACAGAAATGTTTAAACCTTTCAGCTCAAATATGGCATCATTAGTATATAAACTCTGAAAATATTCCACTAATTTATTCATTTCCTGGAAATGCAACAAAACACAAGTTCCTTGAGGATGGGCCAAACCAAATGATTCTCTAGCATGGGAATCAAATACCTTATATGCACCATGTAAAGTACGATAAATTGCTACAGTATTAATCTGTATTGTCAAAAGGAATGAGTTATAGGTTTCTGCAATTAAAGTTTGCAAAGCACTAACCAGAGGCATGCAGTAAGGAAAGCCTTCAATTGAATAATTGCTGTTCGCATGTAACCTACAAGTATAACTTTCACTATATTGGAGGTGATAATTAGTGTCAAACACCATAATCATTGAAGGTAACTCTGTTAACATCAAGAAAGAGTTTCTGGATATGGTCGATAGACTAGAATACAGTTTGTTACCAATGTTCATAATTTCAACCAAGTCTTCTGCAGAAGTAATTGACTTCTTGTCATTGTATATTAGACTACATAAAGACATGGCTGAACATTGCTGTCCAGCATTTTGACCAAACACTGCAACATTACCTTGACAATATGGTGCATGAAGTGTTTGAGAGGGAACAACAGAGACAGGGCCTGGATTTTTTTCTATATCTCTGCAAAGGAGTGATTGGCAATAGTTTACCCTATGATTCAATTTTTATAAACACGTGATTCTTTTAAAATATCTTTACTTACTGCCTTTGGAAATCTACAATTTTCCTTAACCTTAAACTTCAGGTTAGTAGTCTTATGGTTTCTTCTGCGTGATGCTATAGCAAAGTGAGATGCGAAAACTCGCTTTTTTCTTGGTTTAACCTTGTGTCCAGATCTCCACTGAAACATATGGGTGTTATAACTAAAATCAACAGTTGGACGAGCACTTCTAAATGTAATATAAATATGAATTCGAGATGACCGCGGTATATTTTTGATGATGTGTTTTTTCACTAGCCTCCTTATTTTCCTGCTTTTTTTAAAAACACGAGTGAGCCGTTTCACTGGAATTCTGCTTGGTTCACGATCACGTCGAACTGTATGGCAGCTAGCCTTGACACAATGACAATGGATAAACTCGGCATATCGAGATCTACAGCCCTCTATTGAAATAGATTTGTCTTTGCCAGGTACAGATGTAAATGTAGACTCTGGGCAACAACAATTACGGCCATTATTCACTTCTAAGTTGTTTACATAGGAATTCTGGCATTCAGGTTCTAAGTAGTGCATTTTAGTTTAAGCTTAATCCCGATTCTTGTTCAGGCATTCAGTGTACTTTCGTAAGTTTGGCATTCAAGGTATCAAGGCATTCATTGGCATTCAACCTTTATTTGTTTTCGACGGTGAGAGAATGTTGCAGTGTTTGGAAAAAAGCTACAGCACAACTCAAAATAACAAAGAATACACAAGACAGCTTACCTTTAGCCAGGAATGAACGGCTACGTCCAGTGCCTTTTATTGAACAAACGTGAGCTTGAGCGGATTGAACGAATTGAACAAACGTGAGCTTGAGCACGATACAGAAACACGAGCCTGTCAAATGGAAAAACTCGCCTGCAAAGCGCACTGGGATTACGTCACAATATTGCGCAAGAATGCAGATTTGTGTCGAAAACTACAAATCGAGCCGAATTTATAACTCCTGGCCCAGGCCCTACGGGCCTGGGCCGGAGTAATAAAACAATGTGCTTCTGATCAAATAAATGTAGCTTCTCTACAGCTGAATCGAGTTGGCCGACAATCAATCAAAAGCATGATATTCGTATCTTAGACATATCCCTTTCCGAGTTAGAAATTAGGTTTTTGAGAAATCATTTTGTTAACGATTAGTTGATACGAAAATAGAGCCCTAACGCCATCTGAAAGCTCTTGAAATTAAACATGCGAACACTAGATATGACCTCACGTTCAGAAGGTTTTTAGCGGGACCAGTTTGATAGTGATTCGTTATAACCAAATGAAAGTCTTACAAAATCCGGATTCTTTTGAAATTTCAGATGCTAAAACAACGCAGTTTATGTCCACAAGCGAACCCACGAAACTGCCTGAACCTTCCAAGAGTCTACTTCAGCTCAGTCGTATAGCATTCGACTTGCGCAAATTGACACGGCTTAAGATTCGACTAAGAAATGGATCTCAGCCTTTTTTTCCCCAGTGCATGCGACACCCGAATTGAATCTTTCCTTAACGTTGCAAATTAAACTTACCTTGTAAGGGAACAACGCCTTACCGTGACTTTTTAACCAGGCAGGAAATGAATGACGACTAATAAACAAAGAAGGAGTTTTTATAAGCTCAATTCTAAAGCCTAGGTCCTACTCATGCGTGGAAGATGATAGCCTCCTGGGCACGAGATACCGTCGTAATGCCCAGTCAAACCGTGTTCTTGACTGTCAATCCAAGAACGATCTGGATTTCAGTGCTCGTGGTTTGTCGCCATTGCGATTTTTTGATGTTGTTTAAACAATAGACGCTTCGAAAATTCGCCTGAATTCAGCTGGTGTATCACCCCCTACCGAGATATGGGTAATTTGCGCTGAAAACATCCGAAAAGTAATTAAATTAGCCTAAATCATCTTGGCGCAGTTTCGCATTTTAAACGAGGAATGTTCATTTAGGCAATGAGATTGTTCTAAGTTTTGTGATCTCCAACTCATCTTGAATAAATGTAACTGATAAATCGCAGCATTGCTGAGCTTGAAACAAGTACGAGAACAAGACTCTCTAAAACGTTGTACACATGGTTAGTTTCATTCTCTGTTTGGCTGACAATTTATTGAAACAGTTTTTTTGTTTTATTGAAACAATTTATTGAAATAGCAAACCGTCATCCCGCCACCCACAGTTCTTTGACACATCAGCAGAGAAGTTTACTACGCATTTCCCCTCATACTTGACGATTGTCACCAAACAATATTGTGGGATGTGCTTTTTGTGCATTTATAATACGAACTTAAAATTCCTTGCAATACATAGTATTTTTTGAACAAGTATTTACACTCTTTTGACATTCGAGATGAAGAGACCATTGGATAACACATATAGGCCTTGTGGTTGCACAGCAAGTTGTATAAATACACATTTCACTTTAAATATCTTACAATTTAGAGTGCAAATTTATTCTCAGGCACAAGGTGTCCTTTCTTGATGCATTTCCAGATCCAGGATGGTGAAACTAGTTTGACTGGTCGATCCATCGTATGACCACCCTGCAGAATAAACCATAAAAAGACACAAAAGTAAGTCCAACAGCGTCCTATTTTCAATTCCATCTTAAATTTTCACCATCTGTTTTTCCAATTATATACGCTAATTGCTCTAGTGTAACTGTTTTCTAATGACTACAACTGGAGTTATAGAAAAAATTTCTTCATACTGCTGAACATCTCGGTTGATAGTGTATGTGCCATTTAAGATTCGAGTACCAATGCTGAGAATGAAATTCACATTGGTTTGTTTTTGAGACAAAAACATTGTGCGACAAATACTGGATGAGGCATGGAAATAAGCTGAGATTATGACAAGAATAAACGTCCGTTTCACCTTGGGGGAGAGGGTAGGCTACACGTAGGCTATTTTTACGCGAGGTGTAAAGAAAGAAATTTGAATATTATCGTGAAGTGTTCAGTGTGAAATTTCAATTTAACGTAAAGGGATACAGTCACATACGAGTATTTGCATGTATTGAATAATGTGAATTTTGGAAAGCACACTCACCTTAGTGTTGCTCACAATATGGCTTGCAGTCGTCTTTTCGAACTCACCGACTACATCTCCGTCGTAACTACAACGTATCACTTAATTAAGGGGATTCAACCATATACAACAAAATCACGAAAATATCTAATAGCGTAATCAGGAAATGAGCTAACTTAGTTCATAGGTAATGCTATTGGCTTTAGAACACCACGGAAGAAACCGAATATCATAGCTTGACATGGCTTTGTTTATTTGACTGTTTAAACGTGTAATTGAAGACTGTGGTTTGTTTAACATTTTCGCTGTTCGAAGGCAGTAAAGGATACGCAATGATGTATCTTCTGAGTTTCGCAGAATCTTCAAGATCGTTTGCGAGAAATATGGTCAGTCCTTGAAAGATATCTTTTAGAGTCTAGAAAAATAAAACTACAAATCAGGAAAAAATTACGACCAAAAACTGCAAAATGAAAGAAAAAAGACAATGAGTGTCAGAAGAACTATTTTTAATGAAGGAAGCAAGTCCAACAACAAATGAAGCATGAAATAAGGCCACTCAACTTTACTAAACGACACAATAGTCTCTTTCTGAAGAAAAAAAAATGTAGATTTTCATCACAGCAGGACTTTCGTCTTAAGGAATGAAAAATTTACTAAGCTTGGGGACCCTAAGTCACTGACCGCAACTTCTTACGATCGTTCTGGAAAAATATTAGGAGCAAAAAAAGCGAACAAATTGTTCAAGGTACCTTATTCTTGCTTGGACTAGATTCATCGCCATTGTCATTCTGCACAACAGAAAAGGGTAAACAGCAGATGAGAGAAATATCAGCGATAAAAAAAGTTCCCTTTGACCTGCCTTGGATCTCTCAGCAAAGAACTTCTTTCCCTTTTGGTTTTTTGTTGAATACTTACTCAGTGACCTTGAGGAGGTGGGAGATATCATCAGGTTTTCACACTCATCTTCAAAAACGAAGGTGTGGTTCAACGACGAATTTCTACGCTAAAATTTTTTGTTTACAAACCTGCGGATGGCCGTATTTCTGCAAATGATCTTCACTCTTCTGATAACATTTCGATCCGTACTTGCAGGCTGACTTGGCCTAAGGAGGATACGAAAAAGGTCCTTGTTAGGAATCGCAACCCAAACCATCAAATTCAAAAGTGAAGAATCTGCAAATTCCACCACAAAATTGCTACGAACACCATCAATTTTCACTCTCTTACATGACCTGAAGTCTCTACGGTGATGAAAAAGTTATAGTGAGGTCTCTAGATGGCTAAGAGTTGTGTGCAAAAATTTCATAACGGAAACACAACTAAACAGAAATATTGTAAGCCCTTCTTCAAAGTTAAGTCCTAAGAGTGAGATTTTCTGAACCGCGTCTTAACGATAAACACATGCGCACACTAACCCGTTTACTAGGAGAACTATTTTCTTGATAGTCAAGTGTTTTTCTCTTCCTTGTTATTTTTTCAGTCTCGTTTGATTCCTTGGAAGGGCTTTCGTTTTTCATCTCCTTGTCCTTAGATGGAGGATCGTGATCATCGTCAGTTGCATCATCATCATCATCATCATCAGCATTATTATCATCGTCATTGTCCACAAGGTCAGCCAAATCTGTAAAAGATAGGTAAAAATTATCACTGTGTGAGAGAGTAACGATGTCTTTCTTTTCCCTTACAAAAAAAAAAAAACTTACACCAACAACAACCATACAGAGATGACATATAAACAAACAAAGAAATAAACGCAAACTTCTTTATTCCAAAATTGAAATGCACTTCAGAAGAGACACTGTCTTTAAAATAACTGCTTAAGGATCACTATTTTATTACTTACTGGTTGAAGCTCTCGAGTTCTTGAACAAAACCTGCGGGAGATAATGACTCCAAGTGAGACCTTGAAATCAAAAGGCGACAACAAAAACACAAAGATCGAACAAACAAACAAACAAATCTTCAGATACCTTCAGATGAGGTAGATCGTTTGCAGTTTGCCAATCCTTGTCGTCTCTGATCCGCGTTACTCGTGGAAATCTGATCGATATACCATCAGCAGTGTGCGTCGTTGATTTGCTGAATTCTGCCCCAGTTATCTCCCACACTGGGGATTTCTGAAGAAAGCAGACACATCAATTGTGTGCTTAATTCGTTGAGTAAATGAGGTGAGAATGGCATTATATATAACTATAGCAAAAATCAATCATACGCAGTTAAAGAATAAAATTTTACCTTTGGATCTTCGACGACAAAGTCAGGAACTAAAGTTCGGTGTATGTTCAACCATAGAGGAACTTTAGAAGGGTCCTGCATCAAATCACATCACCTTATTAATTCACATAACTGTTTAAGATTTCCGTAACTGCTAATATCAAAACAAACAAAGAAAAAACAAGATCAAAAACAAGAACCAAAAAAAGAAAAAAAGGAAAAAAATGAAAATACTTAACAAGCAAAAAAAATGGGAAGAGATTGAACATTTAAAGATTTCGACTATAATATTTTGTATAAGGGATCTCGGTATAGTCCTAATGTTTTGGTACCCTATAAGTATAAGCATAACTGAGGTATCTGTTGTTCCACGTCACAAACCTTGCTGATTTTCTTCATTTTCAGTTCCCTATTAAGCCGCTCTAAGGTTTTATCATCATGACCATTGCCACACCTAGCCACAGTACACCATTGCTTTGCGGCTGGATCCCAGACACCCATAAGAAAGATCGACATCAATCCACCTTTGTTGCCTGTTCCATAGTAGGCCCCTAGTACAACCAGGTCAGCAGTATCTGCCATGGCACCTTCCTCGAGATAATCCCTTTTCATCTTGTAAACAAACATCAGACGGAAAAAAAATTAGTCACGACCTTAAGTCTAATACGTTTCCGTCAGGCCCTTTCACTCAGTAAATAAGTACAAATTCTGCAAAATGAAGCAACCAGGAGTATTACAATTCCTTCTGGGCGAGATGCTAGTGCATAGAAGGTTACCGCCCGCTTCGCTACTCACAGTGAAGCTTCGCTATTAGCTTTCCATTTTGGTAAGAACTGCTATGAATGATACCACTTCATACGCATTGGAAGAAACATGTAGCCTAACTGATAAGTAATGCTTTTTAGGTATGAAAAAAACTAATACCATTGTAAAAGAAAATATATCTTGCAAGAACCGCAACTACAACAAATTTTAAATCTGGGTCTTTTGGCCTCATTTACCTTGAGCCAATGCCTTTTTCCTGGTTCATAAATACCCTGAAAAAAGGAAGACAAACATATGGTTGAATGTTTGGCGATTAAATGTTAGATCTTTAGCTTCCAGAGGCGCACGAAAAAGATTAATGTTACTTTCTATGGAAGACTGCGTTTTAGAGGCAGCTATCTGCATAAAATAAACAAGAGGAAATGTATTTCTGAAATATTTGCGCAATTCATAGTCACCTCATCTGGTGTCCAACTTCGCTTAGCTCGCATTTACGCGACGTGTATTTTAGCGCGTACTTTTGCCCGACATATTCTTTATAGCATAGAGCGGTCATTTTAACGGGGCGCGTAATTTGACATGGACTGTATTAGCTTCAAGCGCTCTGATGAACTCCAATTTATTACACAAATCAAACTTCATAATTATAATAACCAATAGCATTGCCGCCTTACATTGATATCCTTCAGTACCAGTCCCTCGAGGCCTTCTTTGATGGCACGCGTCATCAACTTTGAGAGTTCTTTTTCTGTCTAAAAAGGGTGACATTGCAGTTCAAGTCTCAATGAAAAGTTTACTTGATTAGCAACAGTATGTACTCATCTTGTACTTGAATCAAGACAGAATTCATATTGCCAAAAGAGCAACGAGTAAGCTGAAAATCTTATACCTACTTATATGTTGTAGATTAATATTTGAAAGTGTATAAACATCTACATGCACGTGCACAAGTAAACTATTTATAATAACATTACCTTTAGGAAATTCATTTCTGATAACATTATTTTGTTTGGGATGACCGTGACATTTTGTTCCAAGACTTTCCGTCTTTCTGTCATGCTCCTAAAAACATGGAGTGTGTCAGGGAACAGTAATGTTAGCAAACCAAAACCAGAACAAACAAAAACAAAACAATAAAGCAAACATAAAAACAAGGGAAAGGAAAGAAAACAATAAGCTGTCAAATGAACTTCAAGCTACATGTACAAATTACTCTGTGAAAGATACATTGTCGTTACAAGACACACGTGGTTCCATTAAGTGACTACAGAACTTACTTTTTCATCATGTTCTCATCATTAAACTGCAGGCAATCAAAGATAAACAAACAAACACTGGCATCTTTGAAAGCCGATTTCTGCAAACACGAATACAAGAGAGAAAAGGCATTTTAATAATTTCTCACAGCGGAATTTTCTCGTATCACCAAACTCATCTACAAACTGTGATTATCCATTTCATTATACCGTAGTATTAATTAATAAACGAGGAATGTACTAACACAAACACTTAGTCTGCAATTACCTTGTGAATGCCTAGAGTTCCAAAAGGGAGAGGTTTGCTTGTTTTGTTGTCAACAAGTAACACCTTCAAAGAGAAAAAATTGAAAAAATGATCAGAGACTTATGTCAATAACTACAAGGAAAAACACAAATCTGAGGAAAAAATTAACCCAAAATATAAGAGCAAAGTACCTCACTATCCAATATGAGACTGTTGCCATGAGGACAAGCTTCTGGAAGATGATCTTTTATGGGTGCCACCTAGTGTGAGAAAGACAAAAAAGTAATGGTGCTGCATGTTACATGCATGTCAAAAAAGCAAAACATAGTTGTACCGCAAGACAGTGAAGCTCTAAACAGCTTACCTTATGTGCAAGGACAGGTTTGAGGCTGCGGCTGAAAAACTGAAACTCATTACCACTCTTGTGAACCTTAAACATCAAATGCAAACATAAATTGATGGTCAGTATAATTTGTTTGTAAAGCAACCACAGATAACTGGAACACTTTTAATCTTTAGCTTGATAACTTTATTTGTTCTTACAACTTCTTTGAATGAAAATGTGTCAAGACTGTATGGAGGAAATTCTATCTTTGTCACTGCTGGGAGTGAAAGTATCAAATGCAAAGCAGATTACCTGAACTCTTTCTCCATCATATTTAATCTCTGCATACATTCCCTTGGGACATTTCTTCAATGCCTGTGAAAAACTCTTACAAGCTTCTGCCTGTAACATACAAAAATTATAACAAGTACCAGGTTAACTTAGCCTACAAGTGCACCTCTATTGTCAAACACATGTTTCTCCCCAGGAGGGAAGATTTGAGACGAGTCAGGGAGGTTTGCCAGGGGAAGTGCAAGATCCCTTCCAGACCTCTAGGTGGATCGCATTGCTCAAAGGATAGCACTTAAGCACAGGCAAAGAAATGCCTGTGCTGATAATAAGGGGGTCACTTTAACTTAGATATATGTACACTTTCTGTAGGTACTCACTGTGCCAACCAAGAACAAAGCAAAGGAAACAATTCAAAACAGCATTCATTTGACATAAACAGTGTAAGTAACAAAGTAAACAAACTTCATACCAGCATAGGTTTGACAGGTGTCATCAAGGAAGCTTTAATACTCAGTTTTTTACTCATTCCTGGCAAAACACCTGCATTTGATTCCTTTTTCTGCAGGCATCGCTGTACAACATCTGTAAGGTTGTTTGATGCCTGAAACGCCTCATATGCATTTGGATCAATTGCATCTAAGCTATGTGCAAAGAACAAATAAAGTTCCACATCACAAGCACGTAATTTTCCTCAAGCTATCAGAAAAAAAAAACCTCATTAACTTTTTTACTGCCAGATGTGATTACCATGTAACTTCTTCCTATAATATCCATACATTATCCAGCAAACTGGAGATGAGAATGCTAAAACGTATCAAGTACATGTAGAAGTTGTTGGCTTGATCTAACATCAAATTCTCATGATTCATTTACAAGCAGCTAGAGGGGACAATTAACACTCAAATTTTGGGAGCGAAAAGGCTACAAGTGCCACCACAGTGAACAATCTACTCATTCTCTCTCAGCTCTAAGTGGATAAGCACTAAATGTAATCTACTACTTTTAACATCCTAAAACATAAATATCTTGAGGTGCATAGAAAATAAACTGAGTTTACTCATTGAAAATATAAATTGGTAAGTTACAAGTAAATGATTTCATTTTCCCTCTTTATCCAGCATTCCCAATGCTGGATAAAGCCAACTAAACTAAAAAACTCCCAACTAAAATGTGACCAGTAATGGCAGATGGTTTAACCATTTAACCCATGGGGGAACTAGCATGTCTTTTACCACCAAGGTATCACTAGGCTCATAGGAATAAAGGAAAATGATCTGAAACTTCAAAATCTCTTGAATTTTAATTATAGTAAGTACAGGTTATGAAGAATATCTCTTGCTGATGTTAGGGTGTTAAGGGTGATCAAAATAGTATATATAACATGCTATGAAAAACAGAACATTTTAAAATCAAGGTTTAATAATTTCCTTCACGTATTATGATATTGGTGTACATCTTCAAGAAACACACAGTTTAGCAATGTGTCATTTGTGTTATCATAATGGTAACACACCACTAATGATTGCATATTAAATATGCCAACATTAGTGGTGTGCACCTTCAAGACACACACAGTTTAGCAATGCATGATTTGTGTTATCTTAATGGTACACTGATGTACCACACAACTAATGCTTGCATGCTCAATAAGCCAAGCCTCGTCACTGTGCATTTTTAAGACACACACAGGTTTATATGAAGCAAAACATGATTTGTGTTATCTTAATGGAGACACACCACTAATGCTTGCATATTAAATACGCCAAGCCCTATTGGTGTGCATCTTCAAGACACACACAGTTAAGCGATATCAATATAAAAAGATCACAATAATTGGAACCCTGTGGATGACAGAGTGCACAGCAACCTTACAATCACCAAGACTTATTGGTGTGCACCTTTAAGACCCACACAGTTTGGCATACATCATTATATCTCAGTGGTAACACACCATTAATGCACACATATTAAATACGCCAAGATTTAGTGTGCAACCTTTAAGACACACACAGTTCATCGATACAAATGCAGAGAGACTGCAATAATTGGTTTCTTTTGGATGACGCAGTGCACTGGGACCTTAAAATCACCACCCTTTCAGGGGCATCTTGCCCCATTGTGGGGTCTTCCTAATTGGGCTGAGTATCTACATTCACAATGTATGTTGTGACAATTTATGAGGCCCTGTCCACACTGGCCAAATTTGACATTGAACATCATCATCATGTGAATTGTTCACACTAGTCCTAACTGAAGACAGAGGTTTTAGAAAATAATGAAGTTGTTGTTTTTGGTAATTTTTAGGTAGGATATCATGACCCAAGGATGTTATCGGTGGAACAGTCAAAATGAACCCTCTAACTCCTAAGAGTGATTGACATCTCATTTCTACTTGCAGTATCACAGCTAAATCACACATTAAGGTGATGAGAACAAAAGATTTGGTCACCAGTAAAAGAACCCCTTGATTACCACACAAATTCTCCTGGTCAGCACCATAGGAAATGTACGGAGAACAGTATGAAGAATATATGTATGTATACAGATGCTGGTGTGTAAAGAGTCTATTATTCTTGAACAAACATGTAATACAGATTTACAATAAGTTTTTTTCAGTTGAAAAATTTGGTTCTGGAAAACATGTTTTAATTAATTCTTACACATGTTTTGCTCCTGTGTTCATTCTTAGGTCATGCTTGATAAGACGAATGATAAACTTCAAGTCATTTGCAGAGCATCTAAAACAAAATAAAGACAAAAAAAAAAACAAAAATAATTTACATTTGTATATGTCAAAGACTAGATATGCACAGCTGATGCATCAGTGAAAAAAAAAAGTTAGGTAATTTTAACAAAGATGTCAAAATCAATTAAGCAAAATATTAAAAATTAAGGTGGCACTGTACCTTCTTGTCATCTTAGTGAGTTCCCTCTGTTGATCATCTTCCTTTGTTAGAGTTTTCAATTTGTCAAGAAACCCATCAACCTTGTATCAAAAGAACTAGTTAATTTGTAACAATTTAATTTCGCTTATGAGATTTAACAAAAAGGTACCTACATGTGTTACCTAGCAAAGTAACTTACCTCTTGTAATGAAATCAAACTCTTCTTTAGAGGTTTTAGCAGTGAGCTGCTCTGAAAAAATGTGCTCAAAGTCTCTGATACATCACCCTGTGGAAGTGAAATAGGGTTTAATAAGACAAGTCTTATCTCTGAAAAAGAAAAACATCTTCACATTCTGTTGAAGTAACCCAAGTCTTCTGAAGAACTCTCCTATCAGAGGAATTAACACTAGCCCAGGTTCTAGGCACAGCAAAGCCCAAAAGAAAAGATATGTTATTCTTAAATATTATTTGAACAAAATAAGACAATTAGTGAAGTCAGTTTCCTTACTCAAAATATTACTGTACCTGTTCTAAGTCTGTTATCATGTCATCTTGGCTACACCCAAAAATCTAAAAAAAGTTCAAAGAGGCATAATAACTATAAATCATTACAATGCATTTAAAAATATTTTCGTCTATCAGAGATTTCTTGGTGTGACAAAACTTGGAATTCAATATAACATACATAATCAAGCAATTGTAAAGAATGCACAACTTTAGTCTTGTAGTTATAGGGGTTATATTAGGTACAGAATCATACAGCTGTTTCAAGAAAGGTTGTCAGAAACAAAAAGACAACAATACATGCAACAAATTCTCAAAAGGTAACCTGAGTATCCAGTAATCAATGAATTTTGACAAGTCATATAAACAACTAAATTAATCAAACCCACTATGCCTTATTATCCTCTCTGATTTCCTTGAAATCCTGAGGTCAAAGAACAATGACCTGAAAATTACCAACAATACCTTTTGGAGTTGATGCATGCACTTTTAAGCTTTATTTAACACAACCTTTCGAAAAACAACTGTGTACAAGACAGGGCATGAAATTAACTTTTCTTCTGATAGCCACTTGCCTCCTAAATTCTTCAAAGAGGTAGCCAATTCAAAAAAAGTTGGTCACCATTTTCAAACACAAACAAAACCTTTTTTTATGCTTCAGTGTTCTAGATAAAGATCTTTAACACGCTGCAAAGTGGACACTAGGATGGATGATATACAACGTTCAAGCTCACCTAACTCCAAGATGGCTTTTTGGTTATCAATCGAGATGCATGTACTGCATTTTGGAAACAAACTTAACAAGGAAGTTTGCTGAGGATTTATCTTTGCAACTCTTTTTAATTCACTATATCTCTTGGTAAGGTTATGATGAAACATTCTAGTTGCCAATTTGGTGACTAATTTACAGGATTTGGTCATCAAAGTGAAAAATTTAGTCACATTGGCGCCTGTATCAGGTGCAATTTCATGCCCTGCAAGATTGTTCATGAACTGTAATATTGTCACAGCTACCTGACTGTATAATTTAACGAGTTGTTTGCTTTGCAAGTTGTACACTCTCTTGTTGACTGCAGGCAGTAGTGTTTTCACCCACAGTGTTAAGTCCCCTGTAAATCCATCTGGAGAAAAATAAAGCTGACCTTAGCAAACACAAAAGCAGTAAACAACAGTTTACTACAAGTATCTATTTCTTGTAATAACTGATTCTGATGTACCTCCAGAGCTCCCCTTTGCAAAGAATTCAGACAAGATCTTGCTCTTGTTATTATAGCTTGGTTCTTCAGCTAGGTTCATGCAGATTCTCCGGAATTCGCGGAAACTGTTGTCTTTATTGTGTTCATCAGTTTCCCCCTTGAGAGGTGATGAACTATGACTTCCACTGCCAGAGCTTGAAGACTTTTTACCATCTGCTGAACCAACCTTTGATGGAGTTGAGGGTTTTGGTTTTCCATATGGAAGAGTTGACTGTACAGCTTTCTTTTTAGGTGAAGACATTTTGGCAGCTAGATCTTTAAAAAATACGAGACCATGTTAAGGAGAATTATTTCAAACATTAGCCAAGCAGAAATATGCTCTCATTCATGCCCACCATTAACACTTTACTCCCTAACATTAATATGCATATTCTTCATACTGTTCTCTACACATTTCCTGAGGTGCTGACTAAGGAGAATTTGTCTATAATCACAAGCTTCTTTAATATTAGTTGGTGATCATTTTCTTTATTCTCATAACCTTAGCGTTAAACTCAGTGATGCTACTGTAAGGGGAATTACTGTCACTTTTAGGGATTAGGCTTAATTAAGGTGGCATGAAAGTGCACCCAAGAAATTGTAACTATTACAGTAACTAAAGCGTTTGGATCCACGTTGAAACGGGATTGAAACCCTCTTAGAAGACATTGCAAACCTTTAATGAGGCTTAAAATTTTCGCCTGATCATCATCCTTGAGGTTCTCAAATCCGCCCAAATCATCAGTGCTGTCAATTTTCTTCGTTGTGGCACGGGCCCGGGACAGAGTATCGAAAATGCAAGGAACGTGGTACCATTGTTTCATCATCCCACCGTCCTCGCCGAATGGATTTGAAACCAGCTTTCCTATTCGAGTCACACTCTTCTCTATCTGTTGCTTGCAAGTTTTGCATTTAGCTCTTCCCTGTGCAGCATACTCCACCAAAAATGGCTTGTCTTCCGTGCCGTCCGCCATGATGTTTAGAGCTACGACAATCCGTCGATGGTACAAGGTTGAGTTTTCCTTGACAAGCTGTATGCTACGTCTTGAAATCCCAAACATTTAAAATGACTGGTAAAGGCATAATCATGACTTATTTATCGTTACTAAAGTTTGCTGACTTGCAAAACAAGAAGGCAAGTTCGTACTTGCATCTTTAATTCCTCCACATGTAACCCACAGACTCGCCCCCTACCTCCATTCATATTTTCTCTTATATGAAGTGAAAGCTCATTCTCTTGATCACCGCTGGTAATTAGCTTTGGCGATTCAAAATGGACGACTTATTTGGCGATCTCCCTCCACCTTGTAATACTTAGAAAACTTTTCTGTTTGTCTTGATTTGTATTTATTTGTGTAATAGAGTGTGGAATTTTTTATTTTATTTCAGCAAGTGGAAATAACGAGTCGAGCTCAGCTGGAAATTTGTATGATGACCTTCCTTCATCGGAGAAAATTGAAGACAAGAAAAGGAAACTCGAAGCTACGGAAGAAGATGCTTGTACCCCAGCGAAAAGACCACTAAAACGTGAGCTTTTTGTGATAAGAACTGAGACGGTGTTACTTTAAGGGTAGAACACATGGCTTTTACGGTACACACCCTCTCGTGTCCTCCATTTAAGTCGATGATAATGAAAATGACAGAATTACACAATATGCCACTATAAAACTATGCAATTCCCTCCAACTGTATTTAACTTTTCCATACGACTGATATAGGTCTTAAAACCATTTGATGTTTAAGAACCTCCTCGCTTTAATGCCACAAGTAGTTGCATGCAACTTATGAAAGACACACTTCGAATTCTTTGTGATGCAACCACTGGAGACAATAAACTCAAATAAGTTTCATCTTTCTTTACTAGAATCTAAATACAGACTAAGAGGCTTTGTTGCTGAGAGGAAAGGAGAAAGAAATGACATGCAAGATGCTCACGTTATTAACAATGATTTCCTGGATGAGTTTGGTGCAGACAAACCTCTTGGATTGTAAGTCTAAATAAGCAGGGTTTCTTTCAAATAAGTCATGGCAGGAGAAAACTGTAAAATTACAGGACAACTCTCTCCTCCCCATAAAAATGTGACCATAGAATTCTGCGTATTAGCCAAAGGAGTAGCCTCATTATAAGGGCTGCAAGAAGTGTGTTTCTCTACCTGCGGGAAGATTTGAGATGAGTCGGGAAGGAGTGTGTGGGAGGTCTGCTACTAAAAGTTATTCTCAATGCTAGACCACTGGCAGAATTTTCATCTACCTGCATAGCTCAAGGCCTCATAAGGTTATAAGAGATTCTGCCTCTTATCTAATGAATTCTGAAATTGCAATTCTTGTCATAGGATCTGCTATTAAACATTCTTTCCAGAAGAACCTTTTACTTCTTTGCCTACCAGAAAGAATCCTATTCCTACGAAAAAGAATTCCAGATTCTTGAGGCAAGAGTCTCTGAAATTGCGATTCTGTTCATAAGATTTGTGTCTAAATATTCTTTCCAGTAAAACTCTCTGCTTCATTGCCTGCTGAAAAGAATTCTCATTCTTGAGAAAAGAATTCCTGATTCTTGCAGCAAGAGTTTCTGAAATTGCAATTCTATCCATGAGATTAGCAATTAAACATTCTTTCCAAAAGAACTCTCTACTTCATTACCTGCTGAAAAGAATTCTCGTTCTTGAGAAAAGAATTCCCAGTTCTTGGAGCAAGAGTTTCTGAAATGGAGATTCTTCTCAAGATACTCAGATGTAATGCATTCTTACCACAAGAATTCTCTTCTATAGTCAATCTTGTTCTTCTCATAAGAATTTTAGTTCTTAAGATGAAAATATGCTATTTGGGGAATTTAGAGTGAATGAGGATCCAGTCCTACTTATAAGTGACCAGTATGGAGAATGTGCATACTGATGTAAGGTTGTAAAGGCCTAACCTGCAGAGCAGGCACAATTTTTGGTGAGCAAGTGCCCAGTATTTACTTGGTGAAATTTCTAGCTGCCATCCTTGAATTTTACAATGGAGGAAGGCTGGAGAGAGGGAAAAAAATGTAAGAAGGGGGTGAGTGACAGTCAAAAGGAAGGAGAGGGGAGGTAATGAAGTAAGTTAACTGGCTCTAATAAGACAGTGGCACTGCAGGCTAACAAAGGGTCAAACAAGCTTGTGTTAATGTTTCTTTATTGTTTGTCTTGTACTTGTAGCTCTAGAATGTGTTACTATGGAGTGTTTGATGGACATGCTGGCCCCAAAGCTGCTCAGTTTGCAGCTGAACACCTGCATAAGAACATTGTGCTCAAGTTTCCAAAAGGTTGATGGTAAATTGATGGCAAACTTTAGTTTACTTATCGACTTACTGTTAGTAATTTTTGACTTCCTGTGAGTTTTATGTTGACTTCCTCTCTGACACTTTTCTTTCCATGTACAGGAGAAGCTGCTAACAAAGACAAAGAGATAAAAAGATGTGTAACAGATGCATATAAAAAGACTGATGAAGAGTTTCTGCTAGAAGCATCGAAGGCGTAAGTCTCTAGTTATCACTGGTAATTGCAGTTGATTTCTCAGTGATGGGGAAGTCAACACTCAGTTTTGATAAAAAAAATTAAAGGGTGCAGTCTGTACAAAAACGTAGCTGCTCATTCAGCCAGAGCTCATTTCAGTTTCTGTGGTGTGAAACTATTCAGATTATTGCTACTCCCCCCCCCAACTCCTGGATGAGATCCATTAAACCCAGCATTTTGTCTGACTTCTAGAACAGTCCACAAGTATCCATTTATACTCCTGGGCCCAGTTGTTTGAAGATGAAATTTCTAGCTTGGGTTTCTATATTCCTTTGTTCAAAATCCTTTTTGGGGTGATTTTCTGTAATAATCATATTTCAGACAAAAAGAATTCAACTGAATTTTCTTTTAAATCATTCAGATCTGAAATCAGATTTCACACTAACCCTGGGTTATCTTGACACAGCTTTGTACAATCCTACACTGGATGAAGTAAGGCACTGTGAGTCAGGGTAAAATATGTTGCCCTAATTTCTCCATACTTAAAAATGATTAATAAGGTTCACTTTTGCATAGGTCACCAGTTTGGAAAGATGGATCAACTGCTGTCACTGCCCTTGTTATGGATGATGTTTTGTATGTCGCAAACCTTGGTGATAGCAGGGTACTGTTGAATTATCACATACATTTACCTTTGATTTATTTTTAAATAAATGATCAGCTGAATTATACCCGCATTTTGATTGGCTATTAGTTTTTGTATGTTTTATTGGAGGAAAGATGCATGGTGAGATAAAAATAAAAAGTTATGCTTAATACAATACTTTATTTCAAAATAACAAGTACTTTTTACAACAAGCCCTGTTAATAAGAAAAAGGAAACCCAGAGGTTAACCCTATATTAAAGATCTTCAAAAAAAGTAAAAATATATTTAAAAAAATGAATAAAAAGTTTACATCATAAAAAAGCACATTAATGAAAATATATAAGAATCACAGAAATGTCATAGAAAAGTATAGAATGTTCATTTAATAAATATTCATGTGTGATTCTTCAATCTTAGTTTAAACTTGTTGATGTTTGGACTATTATGGCAATTTATTACGTTACATGGAAGATGGTTCCAAAACAAATAGGTTCCATGTTGCTGTGTGTCCGTACAGTTATAGATCACAGAGGACATCAAAATGTGGTAAGAGAATCAGTGTGACCCACTCAGCTGCACCTCCTGTGCCACTTTTTTGTTCTTACCACATTATGACCTCATCTGTGATCTATTACTGGACACAGACACATGGCAACGTGGAATCTATTTGTTGAATTTACCACTTTTTCTGAAGAAGTTTTTTAAGGTGGCTTTGATGAAAGTGGTCAATGCATTAAACAATTTCTGTCAGGATTCTTAAAGTAAATGACTAATAACAGAGTATGAATGTTTGCTCGTGACCTACAGGCACTTCTTTGTCGTTGTGGTGAAAATGGAGAGACATCAGTGGTTTCTCTTTCCAAGGATCATTCTCCATCTCAGGTAAGGGTTATGTACATGTACACGTACCTTTTGACTGAGCTTGGTCGGGTTTGACGGGAAAATATTTGGCTCGAGGTCCTGACGTACGGACCAAGCGCTACGCGGTTTGATCTTCACGGCTGAGAGAAAAATATTTTCTTATCCGACCAAACTCAGTCAATAGGCATTTTATCATGTGACCGCTTCGAAAAATTTTGTGTCAACTTAATAAAGACGCGATGGACGGGCGCACGCGGGACAACCACTAAAAAGATTTTACAAAAAATGACTTTTCCATTGTTTTTTTCGAGTCAGAACAAGAAAATCACAATTCATCAAAAAACTTTTTTTTTTTTGCTATTTTCGTTTTTCCTTGGAGTTTTTACAAAAAAGCCGTGTTCGTACAGGGCTGGACAGCTCTTTCTGGACCGGCTCTCGTCAACTCGTGCGGCCCTGCGCATGTCAGCTTTCAGTATGGTTTTCCATGGGACTACGCGCACGGTGCCGCATGGGTCATTTGATAAATGTGCTGGATGATGACATAACCACTTATTTTTATCACCTAAAAAAAACTTCAGTTGATCACTTGGATGTTATTTCTTTGCAGTATGAGGAAAGGATGAGGATTCAAAAGGCTGGAGGAACTGTCAGGTAGAAAGCAAAAATTGGCCTCCTTACTAAAAATGATAAACGATTTAAGGAAAATAAAAAGAATAGGAACAAATCAGAGTTGGGTATCTTCACTGATGATCCTGAAGGAAGATAACTTCGGCATAAGTTATCGAAACCTTAGGCAGTGTTCACACTTGGTGCCCGGGCACCGTGCCTGGGTTCTATTCTACGCCGGGCACCAATGTGAACACACCTTTTTTCCTGGTACCCAAGCCAGAATTCAAGGGCCAGTGCCGGTGCCCGAGTACAAGGTCTCGACCATAGACTAAACTGGGCACTCTGTGAACACATTTTCGTTGGTGCCCTGGCACTTTATCGCAAACAATATCTTGTTTTGTACCCAAACCTTGTCCCACTCGAGATTTCAAAATGGCGTCCGACGGTGCAAAGTGAAGTTCAATAGTGAGCGTGTGCTCTGTTTATTGAATGTGAACATATCTTCAGACTGGGTACCGTGTGTCTGAACACAGCACCATTTTGTGCCGGTGCCCGGGTACTAGTGCCTGGGCACCAAGTGTGAACACTGCCTTAGTTATTCTCACCGACGGCAGTTTTTTTTTCCCGAAGGGGTACTCCCACATAGACAATCTGCTAACGAGATTGTAAATAACTTCTTTGTCAAATTGTCAAAAAAGAAGACGGATCTTCTTTGTCAAATTGTCAAAAAAGAAGACGGCCCGGCAACGGGAAGAAACCAGTAAAAACGAACTTTGTTTTTACCAGACTTTGTTCTAATATTTTTCAGAGAAGGTCGAGTTCTTGGCGTCTTAGAAGTGTCGCGTTCAATCGGAGATGGTAGATTTAAGAGATGTGGAGTCAGCTGTATCCCGGACGTCATGAGGTGCACTCTAACAGACAACGACAGGTATGTTTCTGGTCAGAGCAGGGCCTGGAGACGAATTTATAATTGCCCAGTGATCCTCGCCTAAATCAAAACCTTGGCGAGAGTTGTTACCCTATGTTTATTTCTCTGTGAAGTTTCAAGTTTACTGAAGCAGATTTTGTGATCATTACATTTTTACCCATAGATATTTACTTCTAGCTTGCGATGGTCTATGGAAGGGATTTTCAGTAGATTCTGCCTTAAAGTTCATTAACAACATTTTGGAGGTAAGTTGTACTGTTAAGGTAGTCCTCGAGTTTCTTAAATCACCGACTAAAGTTACTTTTAATCGTTCAGATATATGTGATATAGAAACATGTGGAAAGTGCGAGGACCTCGCTGTTTTGCATAAATGAAATCGTGACGATTACCGCCAAATTGTACCGCATATGCCCTTTTTTCACTTATAATCTTAGCTTAAATGCTGCATGATTTCTCTGGTGTAAAGTTTATCCGAGGCTGGCGCTTATTGGAAAGTAATACGGGATTTCATTGGTTCTGTTTTGCAGCGCTCAATTGTTGGTATAGAAAACTGGCGCCATCTTTCCAAGCAATCGGTTGCAAAACTGAAACCTCTCTCCTCACCCTCACTCTCGTTTTCCCACGCTTGCAGCTGATAACGTGTGGCTTTTTTGTAATTTAGCAGTTTGTTCTGATTGGACTTTGGGGTGATTTTTGGGTTTTTATGACATAAAATTGAAAAAGTTCTCTCGCTAAAATGAGCTCTTTGCTCACCTTTTTTATTTCCACAGACAGAAAATAGCGAAGAAACTTCCCAAAAGACCGAGAACAACACAGGTGTGTAATTTATCCGTTGCGTACCATTCGTTTGCTTTTTAATTTGGCAACACTGCCAAGCTCGTTCCCTAATGTCTCTCAAGAGCGAAAACAAGAGAGAGCCTGGCTACAAGTAAGGCATAGTGAAAGTTGTAATGGCCCACCCTGAAACTTTTGCAGGACTGGAAGATGTACAACTCGACCCAGTTTCCGCGCGCTTCCAGGACGCGTGTAACAAAATCGCTAGTGAAGCCATCAGGAATGGAAGTTCTGATAACGTCACTGTGATGCTGGTATCAATTACAAAGCAGTAGAGAGTTTTGCCATCCGCCTCCCCACCCCCTTCGTCGTAGGATCTGTATTTCGCCAATGAGAGTTACCTTTATCAAGATAAATTGGCAATTAGCAGCATGCCATGATAGCACGAAACTGTCAATATTTGCGTGGTGTGTGTTGTGCAAGTAAGAAGTCAGAAGTCCATTTTACTTTATACGTAACGTATGGAGATTTTCCATGAATATCAAGTAGAACGACTTGTAACTATGATCAAAACAAACTGGCAAACTGATGGAAAGTCAAGAGGCTCCTTGGTTGTACATTCTGGACTGACGAGTAACTTTATTTCCAACTTGGAAATCTACACTTTACATCTGTAAGCTACATGTAATGTGTCTGTAAATAGATAGTTCAAAGTTGAATCCAAATTCCAATGTACTCTGCCCGTAGATTATTTTGCATTGTTTCGTTCGCCTTCCATTGTCCGCCTGCAAGATTCCCTTTTATTTTACTAAAGACCTAGTGACTTTATAACAGACCAATTACAAGACGGTTCGAGTTCTCAGAAATCTTCACTTGCAACTGGCGTCACGTTGCCTGGAAACCTTTTTGAACGCTTCAAACCGCAGGTTATTAAGTATATGGTGTGCTGGCGCTACGATAGGAAACTCAACGTGATCATAACAGAAAGGAAAAAATAACTTGAATGCTTTCCTGCCCTCGCTCTTCTTCGTCGCTTTCTAATTTCATTTCATGGCCAGTGCTCTCAACCTGTTGATGGCAGCGGCGATCTCGTGAAGTCTGGGGCGAGAAAAGCAGCCAAGAGGAAGTCTGGGACTGAGTACGTCTAGACCTTTGGTGTTAAAGTCTTGCTCCACCCTTAACAAGAAAGATTCAAATAGAAACAAGTTTTATAGCTATATAAGTTGAGAACAAGAAAGAGAGAGGGACTTATTTCCTAACATAATTTGAATAAATTGCGGTGTTTTACAATTACCATTTACAATTAGCTGTAACTGCACACGTGTCACATTACAATCATTATTCCTTTTTTAACTGTCAGCTGCTGACACGTCATTCGCCTTTCGCCCCACTTAGTCTGGTTCAATTCAAAGTGTTCACCATTCTCGTTCATTAATAAAGACGACGTTTTTGTTAGTAAAGCCCTTTGGTGTTTGTATAATAAAGGAAATAAAGATCAATATCAGTATCTGGGCAACTGCCCACCTACCCCTCCCCAACCTGTTGTTGGGTTAGGGGAGGGGTAGGTCGGCAGTTGCCCAGATACTGATATTGATCCGAAAATAATATATGATTGCCTGTAGACATGGAATTTCTCTTCTAGTGTTCGACTCGATATTTCATGAGTGATGGCGCAGAAAATGAGTGAGACATCGAGTTGAACACGAGAGGAGCAGTTCTATATATACTCGCGCCCACGTATTATTCTCTACAGAAAGAAGATTTGCACGAAAGACGTTGGTAAATTATCTTAAAATATGTATCATACCATGGTGTACTTACCTTTGCAACACTTTCAGAAGCGATGTCTTTCCGTCCATATAATTATTCCTTGCGTACAGAATAGTATCTCCTATGGCCCTTGATCAGACAGTGGGAAAAAAAAGATGTAAATCTACGCTTAAATGGTTTATTATCCACCGACATTTAATAATCTTACGTGAAAGTAAAGAAAAGCATCACTTCTACAGAAGCCTGGTTCAACGGAAGCGAGAAGAAGAGGTTATACCTCGTTTGACTGAACTCTCCCAGCTGCTCAATAAACGAGAGATCGATTTCTTCGTTACCAAACTGCACCTGGAAACCAAACTGTGTCTTTCCCCTCACTTTGACCTGAAAGTCAAACGATTACAACAATTCCCTTAAAAAAAGCTAGGATGGGCAGAGAAAAGAATAACAGCTTAAGCTACTTTTCTTACCCGTTGATACCAAGAAGCCAATATGAACTATTAATTCAGGGTTGGTACACATAATCAAGAAAAAAACTTCAAGTCTGATTTAAAACCACTAAATCCATTTTTCAGCCTCAAGATTAGGACTCGCACTACAAGCCCAGAGCATGATAGCGGTTGTATTAGGTGTGACCCGACACAGAAAAAAAAATTCTAAAAAATAGGAAGACTTTCGCTAATAAACTCGCGGGAATTCTGCTTCATTGAAAATTCTCCTCTCAGCAATTCAACACTTTTTTTAAAAAATTCACAACTATACGAACTAAGATATTGTTAACATCAGATACATTAATTTTAAACAAACCTTCTCTCTGTCTCCGATTGTAGCGTCAAAACTTTCAGCTATGGGAATCCGAGGCGCAGGCATAACAAACGGACTGCGAGACTGAGGACTGATCTCCTTATGCTCCATAGCAATGGCCTAAACAACGGCAAGGAACAACAACGGGAAAGAATTTTGTTAGTTGAAACATCATGTACCTGGTAAAATACGGGAAAAAGTAGAAAGGGCGGGAAAACAATCCGCAACAGGAAAATAGCGCGGGAAAATGTGACATTCGCGAAAAGGCGCGGGAAAGTGACTTCAGAGAAAAAGCGCGGAAAAACGTGACCTTGGTGAAAAGTGCGGGAAAAGGTGATTGCTACGCTTCCATAAGTGCACACATATCGGGCTTGTCTCTTCCAACGTTTCCTGCAGGTTTTTAGAACAGATTCAATGTTTCCCTCGCGCTTAAACTTGTTGCATTCCTCGCTCTCACGTTCACCTCAGATTGTTTTGTTCAGCTCTTTCTTCTATCAACATCGAATCTGCGCACTAACCTTTGCTTGATCTGTGACGTCACGCGAAGAGTAGCAATCCATCATGATCACGTGATCAGCAACCTTTGAGACAAAAGGGGTACAAAGAAAGAGAAACAGAGAGCTCATATTTTGCTTTGAGTTAAATCTATGTTTAGCGAGATTCAAAGAAGTACCCCTGTCATATGAGGTTTGTCAAGCCAAGAAATTTGGTCTTTGTACTGTGATGTTCAAATTATCAAAGTTGTAAACTAAGACAATGGAAAATCGTAGGACCTTGCTCCTTCACTGAATAAGGTACTTTTCAATTGAGTGTTGAATAACCAAAACAAAAGTAATCAAATAACAGAAGTTTACATTATGTTATCTTTAGCCAACGACATGCTAAGTTCATTTTATTTTTGCATCTGATTGGTTGAGAAGATAGTGTGTACAAAAGTTAGGGGAAATCAAAGTAATTCCCGGGTTGTTTTCGACCCCTAGTTGAAAATCATTCTATCATAAATACTGTTTACCTGAAAATAATCTCCTGAGCCTCCTATAACGAGGATCGACGAGACCCCAAAGTCGTCGAACAAGCTACGAACCTGAGAGCACAAACAAGATCATAGAGGTGTTGAACGTTCAAGTTTTAGATGTAATTTTTACACAATTGAGTTATTAAATGCGTTCTCCTTGAAACAAGCTTGTATCTCCTAGTCCCAATCTCCTTGGCTTGCATACAGACGTCAAGTATGCCATTCTTCTTTGTCTTCGCTGTCATCAAAAATCAACGTGGGCCCTGTTGGTTCTTGAACATCACTTCTTGCCCTTTATCCCCGCGCGTACGTTCGCGTTTCCACTTAACAAAAATCAAGAACTCACCTTCGATATAAAAGGAGTGATTGGTTCCTTTTCAGCAGCAACCAGCTTCTGCATGCGGGCATCTCGAATCATAAAATTCGTTGCGCTTGTATCCTGAGTAAGGAGAAGCGGAAGTTCAGATTGCATTTCATCTGATTGTCGAAAAACCAAAACCCAAGTAATCACAAAGGCGTTGAGTTGAAAATTTTGCAAGTTGTTCAGCGGGTCAAAAAGTTGTCCGAAAACGGCAAAGCCCTCCTGAAATCAGAAGTTTTCATTTTCCCGCCATAAATCGAATCGCGTTTGGGAATCGTAATATTGTAACTTGAAAGCCCTATTTTTTTTTCCCTTTAAGGGCATAAGTGTCCACTTCTTTCCAAATCCAGTATCCTTCCGCAAATTTGCTCTTTGTTTTGAGCAACTTAAGGTCTATCTGAATCGATATGAAACGGAAAAACCACCTTGAAAGTCTCGAAACTCGCAGCCACACCAGACGGGAACTTCACTGTCAATCATTTCTTTGCTGACGTCAAAGGCGTGCACAATAAAACTATTAGGCACGCTCGCGCAGTTGAATTTTATTATACAAATGTTGCTATCTTTGTTTTATAATCACTTTGCGGTGGAACTTAAGATTTTATCGATAACTTTTACCCTACAACCCGCTAATGCAACCAACTACTCGTGAATATTAACTATCAAAATAATCACCTCATCAATTAGCAAGCACTTGCTCCCAGTTTCCAAAGCCTCGACAATATTTGCAGCTTGTGTAGTCGAGCCGCTGCCGTCCTGGGTACAAAACTTGCTCGTGTCTCGACCAAAAGGTAAGTTGTTTATGAATGGCCGTATGTCTACTTTCTCTATACTTCTACCTAAACGCAGTAAACATAAAAGTGAAAACGTTCATAGATTCACAGTACAGTGTCCTAAAAGACAAGGCAAAGAGCTAACAACCAGAGGTGCGCACACGTTCTGTGCGCCGAACGAGCAAAGAGATTACGAAAGATGGAGCGAACGAGCGCACAAGCGTACGGGCGAGCCAGGCAACATTTCATGAGTACACAAGCAAGCGAGCGCACGAGCAGGCGAGCGCACGAGCAGGCGAGCGCACGAGCAGGCGAGCGCACGAGCAGGCGAGCGCACGAGCAGGCGAGCGCACGAGCAGGCGAGCGCACGAGCAGGCGAGCGCACGAGCAGGCGAGCGCACGAGCAGGCGAGCGCACGAGCAGGCGAGCGCACGAGCAGGCGAGCGCACGAGCAGGCGAGCGCACGAGCAGGCGAGCGCACGAGCAGGCGAGCGCACGAGCTGGCGAGCGCACGAGCTGGCGAGCGCACGAGCTGGCGAGCGCACGAGCTGGCGAGCGCACGAGCTGGCGAGCGCACGAGCTGGCGAGCGCACGAGCTGGCGAGCGCACGAGCTGGCGAGCGCACGAGCTGGCGAGCGCACGAGCTGGCGAGCGCACGAGCTGGCGAGCGCACGAGCTGGCGAGCGCACGAGCTGGCGAGCGCACGAGCTGGCGAGCGCACGAGCTGGCGAGCGCACGAGCTGGCGAGCGCACGAGCTGGCGAGCGCACGAGCTGGCAAACAAGGAAGCAGACAAGGAAGAGAACGAGAAAAGGGATGAACAAATGAGCAAATGAGTGTTAGAATGAACAAGCGAGCCCGTCACGTAACGAACACACAAACCAACGGGTAAATATAAAGCATGATATGCGAAACATTTTCGCAGCAAGGAGGCACAATGACAAGGATTAAAACACTTTATAAAAAAAATCACTTCTTACCATCCTCAGCCCGTATTGAAACCGCTGTCGGATCGGTGCAGACAAACTCCCGTCCGTCCCCAGGGATGTGGTTATACACTCCAAACTGGATGGCATTTAGCAGCGTGGACTTGCCGTGAAAACCACCGCCCACAATAAGAGATACCCCTTTAGGAATACCCATGCCTGTCACCCTAAAAATGAAGAATTACATCTTACTTTTTTTTTTTTTTAGTGATTAGTGATGGCTTTTAAGGCTAACGGTTAATATTTTCGCCAATTAAGGGCTAACAGTTAATATTTCCACTGTCGTCACAAAAATTTTTTTACGGTTAACTTTGTTAACGACTGAGTTGAAATTTTTCAATCCTTTTAACACCTAACGGCTAAACTTTTTGGTCATTTTACGGGCTGACGGTTAATTGAGACCCTCTGTGATAGATCCAGAGAAAAATCGCTTATTTAAGCAATCTTAGTCAATCATGTTGTTGTTGTTGTTTTTTTTTTGATTTCATGTGATATTTTTCCTTTTCCCTGATGCCTGTTGCGACTACTTTTGTTTTATGACATTCAGTCGAGATGCGCCCAACAGGAATTTCCCTTTTCAGAGACTCCAATTATCGTGTAGAGCTCCTTCAACATACAGCGCATCACGAAATTTGTTCTTACTTTCCAGCGTGTGGCATATTAAACTCCACTCTCAAACTGTCCGGACTTTTGAACAAAGTGACACCAGACCTTTCCATTGGCCTGTCATCTGCTCCACTTGCACGCGGTAGAACAGCTTCATCTCTGACAAATGCCACAAGGTTAGCTGCAGAGAGCTGGGAGCGAATGTACTCCTGGTCTTCAACACACTCCACGTGTTTCTTAAGCGCTGCTTGATCCTGACTTTTGTATGGAAGAGCCTGGGAAAAAAAAAAAGGAACACACGAGGAAGATAACATGAAGACGAGCTTGACCAGACAGCATTCTGGGAAACATTAGTTTCAGAAGTTGGCGAAATTCTCAAGTTTCACCTTATTAATAATTTGCGGAAGGTTCTCGGTGAGAATTCTCCTGCAGGCATGTCCTTCGATGGTTCGGCCTCTTGCTGGAAGGGATACTGTGAACCTCAACTAAAAAAAAATGATATGGTTATTGAGCTTGATACTTTCTCTTCGGTCGTTTCGCCAACACGTCAGTACGCTAACCGCCATTTCGTCGACGTGTATAAAGTCATTTTCGTTTTAGATTCATTCCCTGCAGTCTTGTTTTTTTTAGTTCTTCGAGAGCTCATATCAGTCAAACCTTTCAAATAATTGAGATGTCTAGAAGGTAAAGTTCTGATAAAAAGTTTACAGGTAAATGTATGTACCTCAACAGTTTCAGGTGTCACAATACAAGAAGTCCTCTCAAGAACATGTTGACATGGTCTGCAAAAAACCAAAACTAAATTAAACTTTAAAAAAAATATGAGAAACAATACTGAACAACATTTGGTGACAAGCAAATAACTTCCTTTTTTCTCTAAACCTTTTCAGACCCCTTCTAGTGACTAGAACCTAATTTCTCCTTACAATATAACCCATAAATCACACATTTAGGTCATGAAATTAGAGGAAATGATCACCAACAATAGAAGTTCTTGATTGTCAAACAAATTCTCCTTATCAGCACCTTAGGAAATGTATAAGAAACAGTATGGAGAATATGCATGCTGATGTTATGATAGATAAATAATGGCTGATGTCACTTCATTCATACATTTCAGGGTGGTTTTAAGGTTAGTTCAGAGCAATTCAGGTGGTCCTCAATTGAATATAGTTCTTTCACATTTTTTCTTTAGACAAGAGAGAAAGTAGAATATATAAAACTCCCTAAATTGCAGCGAAATGACTTCAAAACCTCACATTGAACATTTGAACCTTAAGAGTGACCAGCATTAAATTTCTCCTCACAATAATAGTGCTGAATCATTCATTAATGTCCTGAGAATCAAAGAAACGATCACCAACCTAAGAAGCTTTGATTGTTAAACATACTCTCCTTGTGAGTAACAAAGGGAATGTACAGAGAAGAGTGAGGAGAATATTGATTCTGATTTTAGGGTGTAGTGGGTCAAAACCAACCAATTTCAGAGCACATAATAACTGAGAGAAACTTTAAAAATGATAAACAAGGTAATCTATGATCGTGAGTTAGCTTCACAATATTTTACACATCCCAGCCCAATAGAATAAAATATCCCAGAATTGTACAGTTACATACGTTTCAATATTCATGCTCCCTCCTTTCTTTCCATGCCATCCTTCGCCGCCACCACTCAGCTGTCTATCATGGCCTCCAAACCGCACAAGGTTGGAAAATATTCTCGTCAGGTAGTCACCTGTTGCTATTTGCTGAAGACGAGTGCTGTGAAAATAAACAAACATTATCGTCAGTTTTATAAATCAGAGACCAAAAGTTACATCTTCAGCTCTTTCGTTTGGTTGCCAAAAACACAAAAGAATCTGTTTTGTAACATCTTTACCCATCTGCATCATTTGAAAACAAAGTTTTATAAACATTTCTTCACTTAACCCTTAAAAATTCCTGAAGGAGACTAGTATCTAATTTCCAATTGGGCATCACTGCAGAATCAAACAATACAATAACAATAATGATTGCAAACTTGAAAAGCTCTTGATTTTTAGCCGTTTTTAACCTAACATCAGCATGCATATTCTCCACACTGTTCTTTATACATTTCCTTAGGTGCTGATAAGGAGAATTTGTTTAATAATCAGGAGCTTCTTCCATAGGTGATCATTGTTTTTATTCTTGTGACCTTAATGTTTGATTCAGGGATAATATTGTAAGGAGAAATTAGATGCCAATCATTCTTAGGGATCAAAGAGTTGGCAAAATTCCCCACAAGGAAATGTATAGAGTGCAGTGTAGAGAATATAAATTTATGAATATAAAATGTTTTCCTTCTTTTGAATGATCACTAGTTGAGTATATAAAGAGAGACACCAAAAAAAATGACAGATGTATAGTTTCCTGGGCACTGGTCTACCTGAAGAATAACACAGACAAGACTACATTGCTTACTGGTGAATGGGTTTTAAATTCTGGTGGTCAAGAGTCAATTTTTCTATCAAATCCTGTTATGATAGGACCTGATCATCTGTAATTCGAGGTATGGCTTGATTAACCAGGGGCGTACTTCTATGGGGGAGGCTAAAATACCAGATCTTGGCTAGGTTGTTCAAAGCTGGGTTAAGATAACCCATGATTAGTGTGAAATCTGATTTCAGATCTGAAAGCTTTAGAAGAAAATTCACTCAAATTTCTTTCATCTAGAATGTGAATATTTGATGCTTTAAGAAGAACACAGAAAATTATCCCAAAAAGGCTTTTGAATAAAGGAATAAAGAAACACAGATTAAAATTGAACCTTGGGTTAGCGCTGATTGGCCTTCCAACAACTGGGCCCTTATGTTTAGCTGTATGCATGATTTTATTGGTTGTTTTGAAACTAAAACCTTTGCTTATCCATATCTACCACACAAACAAAACAAATCCCACACAAATGTTTTGGTTATTTCAAGATGCAAAATATTACCTGCTGGTAAATGCTGGGTATCCTGCAACATCTTGATCCATGATAACTCTGAACAGTGACGCAGGAGCAAAAGGGTCACTCTGTATTTTGTCAGCATAAAGTTTAAACTTTGGAAAAATCCAGCATCCTAAAGTACAACAGAAAGATAACAAAAAAGCAATGAAAATAACAATCCTGAAGCATTGCCGCTGTTGTAAGCTTCTGTAAAGCAAGTAAATATGATCATTAATACAAGCTACAAATCCCTAAAAAGAGGGAATTGAAATTTCAGGGTTTTACAGAATAATTGACCTTCTCAATAAAATAATATAAATATCAATTTTCTGCACTGCTTACCATACATCCTCAACTTAACATTTTTTTTTCCTGCTTAAGAATCTTCATGTAAAATCAATTCATTTTGAAGTCACAAGGGAAATAAGCAGAACAAATTCGAAAGCTGATGGTTCGAATGTTAGCTCTTTGTCAAGGTGCAGGGCTAACTCTCTGACATACAGCTGACAAGCTTACACTCGCCTGTAATGCCAGGGATAGGATGGTTGCACAAACATATGATCAAACAAGAGAACTTTACCTGATATATCATGGTAAGCTTTGTAGCTTTTCCCCTCTAAGTCTGCCAGAGTATGAGCCAGATCCTATCCAAGAATACATGACAAATAAATCACTTTACATTCATTCTACCAAAAGAGAGCATTTTGACTTGGAAACACACAAAGTGAGTAATTTTTCAAAAAATTCAATTTAACCTTTGACTACTAGGAACTTAGACATAAAATTTCTTCCCATAATATCCATCCTTAATCAAACATGAAGGTCACAAGGATAAAGGAAATGATCACCAACTAAAACAGCTTTTGATTGCAAAACAAGTTCTCCTTTCCAGCATCTCAAGAAAAGCATGGAGGACAGTAAGGAGAATATGCATACTGCTGTTAGATAGATAATGTTCTATCCATTGAGTAATGGTTCATAAAATTTCCACATATTTTACAGCCTCAGGTTCTGTAGTGTCCTTTTTTTCTCATGCAACTGATGCTTTGAACATAAGTCACTGTTCAGTCTCTCTGCTGAATGGCTTTTCCCAAGGAAGCACTTTAACTCAGATTAAATTAAGACATTTTATGTCAGAGCCTTGTTGTTTATGTTTCTCTAGAGAATAGGGAGACTCAGACTGCCCAAAAATGAAATGATCACTCCCCACAATTTTTATTCCTACCTCCCAGTTTCTTGAGCCTCCATAGCTGGACCCCCTGCCATCGTTTGAGGCAGAATCTGGTCTTTGCTGACCGTAACTGTTTGGGTTTTGATAATTACCTCTCCATCCACCTCTAGATCCCCTAAAAAAATAAGACCAAAAAAATACAGTCTGGATCGATGACGTATATCTTGATCTTTGAAAACAGAACAGGGAGATAACATTCATTTCGAAATATAAACAGAGCAAACACAGTTAAATCTCACGACTAAACATGTCGAGAAAAAAGTGACTTTCTACCCTTAGTAATGCACACGTGTACATCTACAATTGGTTATCAACCAACTCATAAACATATTTCATGTTCCTTTATCTCATTTCTACATTTTGATCGAATTCTGCTTGTGTCATTTTTCCTCATCAATAGCATTTCAATACAAATCAAAGTCCCTTACCGTCTTCCTCCATATCGATTCTTGTAGTAAGCTCCTCGATTCGACATTTTACGACAGGCGGGCTTAGGCTGTGACGATGGCTTCTTTGGGACACTGGTGACTAATAATGAGTCCGCTGACTAGAGAAGAGCATAGCCATATGGGCTCGTGTTTTGTCCAGAATGTTTTCTGTTTGTTTTTAGATACACGATTTTTCAGTCTGTTCAAATGTTTGGTCGATCCAGTGGTGAATTGGTCTTTAGGTAGTTGCAAAAAATTTTTTTCTTTTATTATTTTTATATAATATATAATATAAATATCCCTGCAATATCCCTTTAAAATATAAATATCCCTGCAATTTGATTGGTTTCTTTAAATAAGCAATTGGTTGTTGCATTTCAGTAAAGCTACCGCAATGGCTGGGAAAAATATGCGATTTAGAGCAAAAAAAAAGGGTGCGATTTGTGAATTAATCGCACCAATGAGATCCAATCAGATTACAGGGATCACCCGCAATGATTTCAACGTGGATGTCATACATATTGTAGATAAATGTTCGACTAGATAGCTGTATAATCTGTTTAATCTGACTCGTTCGATCTGATTTGGGCAAAAGGAAAAAAATAACATTTGAATAAAGGAAACTAAACCTAACGAAACAAGTCGAAATACTACTTACGAGATTTGTAAGCCTTAGAGAAAACGAGATCCGCGAAATGCATAACATTACTCACTCGCGAGCACTTGGTCTAGACTATAATATACATAGCTAACCCAGTGACGCGCGTGGGCAAAACCAAATATTCACAGAAATTTCAATTTCATGGGACAATTTCTTTATTTTCACGTTTCTACTTCCCGTCCCTGAATAAATTTCTGTGACGTTTTTCAACTCACGCTTAGAAATAAACTTTTATATGCGCCAAGTTCAATTAAGCAATGTTGATCACGGGATCTGTCATAACTGACGAGCCAGACTGTCCTGACTGGTCAGACAGTGTTCAGTCAATTCTAAAAATGAGAAACCATTCTCAGGCTAGGTCTGATAGTCTAGATACAACAGTCACGAATTCTGGGGGGATTTTTAGATGGCTCTGATCATCCTAGCTTATTCGTCCTTACCTGGTGCAGCCCCAACTCCACCCATCTCGGCTGGTAGCTGTCACTTTGGTAGAAATCATTACTCAAACTCACCATTCATTTCCGGTATTCATTTTTCATTTAAGTCTATTAGGTAAGAGTTTTCGTCGTTCTCCTACCACAAAATTTTTAAGGTTTAAATAGGTAAGAAACAAATAAGGGAAAAAAAGATTGCTGTAAGTCTCCAGGTATGTGGTTTAAAACACTTTACTAGCCCAAAGGGAAATCAACCAACTACCGTTTACAAAACCGGTGTCTTGCATGACACAGTTGGTGAGCTTATTTCTTGATTGACAAAAAGCTTTAGCGTTAAAACTTTTTTCATATTGGACTCGAAATCATTGTAGCAGAGTGTAAAAGTGATGCTCTTGCGAATCTCAGAATAAACTTCCGAAATCTGCATGGTTAATTTTGAAAATTTAAGTTTCATGCAAAGTCACGTTTTTTGCGACAAAATATTACTTGACAGGCTGGGCCTAGCCAAAAAGACGGCAAGAGTTGGTTTAATTTTGGATGGAAAATGTTTCCTTAATGAGTTGTTTGAGAGCCTAATATCTGTTTGTAGCACGGTCAACATTGTTTAAGAACGCAGGCCAAATCAATCGTCCGAAAAATGGCAGTGAAAACTTAAATTGTTTTGAAGACCTCAATAACTAACAACAGGAATTGCTATCCTTAGAATCTCTTGATAAATTCTGCTTCCTTATTTGCTGATCCAGTGCTGCAGGTCGGGAAAATTTTCCTTCCTTCATTCAGGTCCTCCGAATTCCTTAATTTTTTTTCTTTTTCGGACAGACCTGAAGCACTGTGAGAGTAGTTATGCTTCTGTTGTTTCAACTCTCCATTTTCTGTTTCCCATCATCCCTCGCGGAGGAATACAAGTTCTGTGATGCCAAACCACTTGGCAAATACTGCTTGGCTGACTACACAGGATGGCGGGAATGTTTGATTGATGCGTTGGATGAGCCCGCTGAAGAGCTACATCATTGTCCAGCTGGCTCTAAGTAATGTTTGCTCTCTCTTACTACTGTAGCTGCCGTCGATAGGCAGACATATTGAGAGAAGAATCCTACTTCTTCTTCTCGTCCAATAAGTATAAATAAGGCTAAAACTGCTTATTATATTTGAAAAATTCTGTTTTAAAGATGTGTATGCAATGGCAAGCTGGAACAAGGCTCCTGTGTGACGCATGCGCGAAACCCATGCGTCCGTTCTGCGGACGAACGCGTTCGGCCTGAGTTTCCCCAGTCGTACTTTGGCGTAATATTTGTAACAGACGCGTTCTGTGACAAGGATGGTTGCGAAGGACGCATTGTAGTGAGTGAAAAATACCGAGACAACAAGAAAGGTGGCAGATCACGTGAAGATCTCGTGATGGGGCTGACACAGCACATGACAGTGATAATTGTGCGCGAAGGGGAAGGGTGGTCTCAGGTGAATAATACATTGTAGTCTTCAGACTCCGAGGATTACGGATTTAAAAAATTAAGTGTCCATTTCGGCCCACTGGGTATGGATAATGGTGTGCTCTGGGGAGACGATTGACCCAAAATGTTATTCTCGTCGACAGGATTTTTCTCACCTCCATAATAGTAGCATAGAAACAGAAAACTAAACATTCTGGAAAGTACTTTGGAAACATTTCAACTACAAAAACAAACAAAGTACAAAAAAATTGAATAAAAAGGAAGAAACAGCTAGATAGTCAAAATTTTTCGTCGATTCTGAGAGTTTTTGTGAAGCTCTACTGACCATGAGCAGTGTTAAGGCCAAGAAGAGGAAACACTTATTAGTTCCAACTCATCAAACATTAGTTATTGATCCTTGAATTCCCACGAGTGATTAAGAGAGAATTTCTCCTTAAAATATTACAAGTGATGAGAATAACTAAAAAATTAAAAAAGGAGATTTTTAGTTGATTCAGTACCCAATTTTCAGGAACTAACGTCATAAGAATTGTAGGGTAGACAGTAAAGAGAATTACAAATTACATCTTGGGAGTGAAAGGGTTAAACATTCTCGTCCACAATTGTAAAAGAACCTGCTCATCGCAACCCAGTTCGGTAACATCTTTCACGATGCCACCCTCATAAGTAGCAATTCCTCAATTTTTTGGCTTGTTCTCTACCTAGTACGCCATAGACTTGAGGGAGGGCACACCTTTGTGTAACAAGACCATGCTTCCGGAATTCCGAGGCCTCATGAAGGTTCCCGACAATTTCCAATACAACGGCACAGTGGAAATCCTGGGCGTCGAATGTGAAGACTGGATTTACGAAGCCAACAGTCAGGGAAACTTTAGTGCCGTGAAGGATAAAGCCAAAAACGTTGGATTCAGCCAAACAGTTCGCAACAAAATTCTCACTCGCCTCACAGATAATTTAGAGACGAATACTCTCGGTGGCGGAGGTCAAATTGTTGAAGTGCATCACATCTATGTGGCTAAAATCAATGGTACTAATGTACCACTGAAGGTAGAATTCGCCATTGCTATTCCTAAACAAAAAATTTTCACTCACTATAAGGAATTCATGGTCGCCTATTACCCAAATAAGTCCATCAGCATCAGCAGCGAGTTTCGGATGTTTGATCTCCCGGATGTATGCACGAGTAAGGATGAGGGGGAGGGTGGGGCGATTGATGACGTACCACTGGATATTCAAACTGTCAAACGCCATCATCGAAAGGAGGGAATGAATGCTGGAGACAATGAGTTTCCAACAACGAAGCGATTTGTAATGCCTTCGGTCACGCACGAAATGGGTGACGCCTCCGACATTTTGGAGCACTATAGAGTGGCAGATCAAGTAATGCATGCAATAAAGAAAAAAAGAAAATGAGTGTTTTAACTTTCAACTTTTAATGCTCAACAATCAAACTTTCTCGGAAATTGAAAACAAACCGCCTGATACTCCATATCTTCCAGCAAAAGATTACTTTTGGCTCAAAGCTTTGAAATTCAGGTATTTTTGTGTAATAAATGATAAATGAATGACTTACGATCAATATCAATGTTGTTGTCTAATTAAAAAGCAAAGACAATTAAAGCAAGCCAATTTTCGCAGATATTAAAATCGTTATTTTATGCATGTCCGACTTGGTTCAAATGATCTCTAAACATTATGAAGCCGTATCAATTTTTAAGATTAATGATTTTCTTCCTTAAAGATGTTTGTTATCAAACTCAAGAAATTTCAAGGAATAAATGCCAATCAACCGATAAAAACAGAAACTATTAAATTTACTCATAGTAACAGAGTCAAGATGCATCTACGTCGTAAACTGATCGCGTCAAAATATTACTTTTCTAACTTTCCGCCAGAAACTACCGTCAAACATGAAAATTTTACGTGTTCATCTGATTTTGGCGGGTTTTCGGGGTTGTTTTCAATCCGTAATGTAAGCTCCCGACGAAAACAAACCAACCAAAAGCGCAATTTATATGCCTGAAAAATTTTCTTGAGCTTTCGTCAAATATTATAATGCCCTTGTACGAAGTCAACTGACGGTTTATATTCTTCGAGCTTGGATTCGCACGGAAGATCCACTGAGACAAAACTCAGCAGGTTAGCAACAATGCAATTTGAAAATGTTTAGTTCCTTTCCCTTTCAAAGTGTTCTGTTACTTGAAACAGAATTGAAATTCGCCAATATTTCATTCCCGTAAACGAAAGACAGACAAAAGAACGCAAATCTACAAACAGAACACTCCCGCAAAAATTTCATGTTTAACGGTAGATTTCAGTTTATACCACAGCTATTGATGGACGATTCAAACAAAAAGTGGGAAGTTCAAAAGAGTCTTCATCGACACCTATCGCGAAGGCAGTTACATTTAGCACCATATGGGAACTTGTTTTTCCCAAAGGCCCCGAATTGTAAGTAGACTCTATCATGACTGGCGCAATCGAGGCTTTTTCGAGATCGCTCGCTGCATTCGTTTGGTTCGTTATGTAATAAGCTTGAAAGGATGTTGGCTGCCCTGGATTGTGGCCCCCAGTCTTCCATATCCACTTATCACAGAGTAGGTAGCCAACTTTGACTGTGCCGTTGAAACTGAAGAAGGGAGGGACTTGCGATACAGGAAAAGTTTTTATTTCCTGCGTTACGCACTGCTCCTTATCCCATCGAAACTCAGTCTGTGAATAATATAGCGATATATAAGACAATGTGATGGAAACAATGGGTATATCTCTTTCTGGTGCATAATTGTGAATCCGTCGGTACTCATGCCCAGCGGAAGAAGATGTGACACCACCCAACCCCCCATAAAAAATGTAAAAATTGCTCAAATATGCTCGAGTAAGATTCGAAGTGGAAGAAGGTCTTTTAAGTTACCCGACATATATAATATAATAAGCCCTTTCCAAAATGGAGTGGCGCTGGAAAGCCTCACGGGCATCAATTATTTAGAAGCCATGATGCTGATGGAGTATAAAAAAAAGCTCCAATCCCAACGTTCCTTGTGACCCGTGAAGCTTTCTCTGAGTGAGAACAAAGACCTTCTTACCTGATTAAAACCACCACCAGGTCTTGGTAAAACGAACGTAGACGACCAGTATATTGATCCATGATCGTCTCTCTTTTTAAGATCAGTCAGAGACTGCAATTCCCTCCCAGAACTGTAAGTGGTCTTGCATCCCATGGGCGAGCACACTGTTAGTTTGGAGTTGTAATACATGGTGAATTTATCGGGAGTCGGCGGTGGAGGTATGAAAGTCTGGCAAGGATCTTCGATGTAGTCTGGACATGGAGGGCCATCAAAACAAACACATCTAATCGAAAAAAAATTCATGACAATAATGATGAGACTCAAATACAAATAACATCAACTAAAAAAATACTTTTTCATAACGAGCGCGGGACAAAAATCTGATTTTCTCGCCTTTGGAAATGAAGACAAACCAAAAACTGAGCGAGTTAAAATATTTTCGCGGTGTCACAATAGAAATCACCTGACCCCCCCCATGCTCTGTAGTATTCTACTGCTCTCCTTATTGGCGGGCAGTTTTTTACAGTTCCCCCTTTATATTCTGTTGACGACGACTGTTACCCCCCCCACCTCAATTCCCCCGATAACCATGCGACCCTCCCCCAAAATCCTCTAAACCCCTACCTCCCCACCCACCACCCCCCGCTCCCCCCGTTAGATAAACGACGACCGCTCCTTCATGATCCTTGACATTTCGACTCGGTAAATCAGAAGGTGGCACACCTTGTGTTTGGAGGACATGTAGTGATTTTGTCCACCATCTGGCCAGTCTTATGGTCAACATAACAGTTATGCCAGCCTGTGAGATCCGGGAGACAATAATTTCCTGGGGGACCCTCATCACAAAACTCGTCTGGTCCATCAGCCACTTTCGCAAAGGAACAATGGAGCAAGTACACGAACAAAGTTACGAACAACTGCAGTTTCATTTTGAAGAAAGCGATTCTCTACGAGACAATGAAATAAGATATTAAATAACGAAACTTTAAGTTAGTAAACATAAAAATAGAATAAAGCATGAAACAGAGCAGTTTCGTGTCTTGCATTCATTCAAATAACTCGAAGAACGGATCGAGAGTGCTGCATGACAATGTGACGTTACGAAATGCGTAGTCATATTTCGCGAATAAGTAATGAATTGACGACCAATTAATGCGAGAGACCTATATTCAGGCATTTCATTGAAAAACGGCAACATTGAGGTCTGAATCGCTCTCCCGAAAAGGGACAAGCGAACTTCACTTCCGCAACATAAGTCAACATGCATGGTCAAAGATTGCAAGTTTGTTTCGTGGAAAATCAGCTTGTGAAGTACTCTCTTTTTGAAACCATGACAGCTAGTTGCAAACAGGACACCTCTTAGCAGAAGGAAATCGATTCTATCCAAAAAAACATCAATTTGCTCACCTCAGAACGATCTTTACTTCGATGATTCCAATGTCGTGAATGTTCAAGCTGTGCAATATCACTTTCGAAACGCCCACTAATCAGCTGATCTTTGTTGCGAATCACATTTCATTGCGAAATTATTTGTTCAATAATCAAGTCACACAATCGCTGGGTTAGATAAACGCTAAGTGCTCCCTCTTATTCTTCCTAGTTGATTTTGGAAATTGTCGAATCACGACAGTTTACACGAATCTTTCCTCAATCTTTCAGTAATTAATTTACGGTGGTTTAACTGTCATGCAATATTTCGAAAGCTAAAGAAAGAAAACACGCTTCAGCGGCGGCGACGAACTTTCAATCGAGCAAAAAGTGCGTGACACTACTGTTATTCTGAGGCATTACAAAGTGCGGATTACCTGATACAAACAAAGAAATAAAAGCAGGAAACAAGCTCTTGATAATTCAACAAGGAGAAAGCTATCAACTACAAATCTGATTTAAAATAAAGGTTATATTGGAGGAAAACATAACTTGAACGAGATGACTTATGTCCAAAACTAGGAGTTTCGAAAGTCTGGCGTAAGCATCCAAAATCAAATTAAAACCTCTCCTGAATGGTTGATATTTCTGTCGTTATTGCTCATGATATAATTTCTTTCCGTCAGGAAACAGAATAATTTAGATAATTTTTTGTAAAACATTTCCAAATTTTCTTAACACTTACCACCATGACGGTTTCAGTTTTGAACGTTTGAATAGCACACTGCTTCTGATTAAAGCGCTTTTCAGTGTAGAGGAAAATTCCTGCTGATCACCTCTCATACGTATTCCTTATTTGTTTACTTGTGTTGGATCTTGCGACGAGATTAAAATCAAAGACCCTCTAGTTTATCCCACGAATTCAATTTATTAAGTTATTATACGAAAAATCCATGGTCCCCATAATAAATTTTTTTTTGTATGGCTAACTAAGCGAGCGGGCAATATAAAGCGAATCCAAAATAGAACAAAAAATTGATAGTAGCTAGTATACATTCGTATTTTTTGGGAATCTTCTTACTGTTACAAAACCTTTGCTTTGCTTGTAACAGTAAACTGGTTTCGCAGCCAGAAAATCACCGACAAGTTCTTAGACAATCAAGACGAATTTGACAACTCTTTAGTATGACCTTGTAGTAATTCACAGATCCTTTGCTATCAGTGATCAGAATCAAGCTTTGCATGGAAACAGTACTGGAGATGGTCTTTTTTCTGTTCACTCCTTCTAATTAGACTTAACTTATACTACTTTTCGTCAATGCCATCCTCACCCACAGTTTATAAAAATTGTAAGAGGCTGACAATTTCAGGGAACAATCTATCTTCTTGTGGGACATCTTGAGGTTTTCGTAAAAAAAAAAAACAATTGACGGGTCACGAAAATTTCAGGAGGCAAATCATGCCTTACACTGATTCATAAATTCGTGAACGCGCTCGCCTTTCTATAAATTCACATGTCCATCTTGGTCTTAATTATGCGTCGCGAATAAACTCTTGGCCACCCTAGTGAGGGCCTACTTGAGTGTCCCGCGAAATTTTACTTTTAAAGAGGTAATATCTGAACAGACCTTCTTTTTTCCTCAGATTTTAACCTCTTAATTCACTTGAAGGCTTCCACCATTGACTGTACAACAGAAAGGGGGAAAAAGTATAAGAAAACCCGAGAAAGAGGGAGGAGGAAGAAGACAAAATTTGAACATGGGGGAGGGGATGCCAAATTCATACTTGTGTGTCGTATAAGGCCTAAGCACAAGACAACAGAAAGGCGGCGCATGACATATCTACCCTTTTCACTGAGCGGGTTTAAAATTCGTTCTACTTCTCGCAAAAGCTCACATGCGGGCGAACCTTAACAAATAGAGGAAAAATTTTAAAAACCTCAAGCTGAAATTTTATTGTCAAAGTGAGAAGCAAATTAACCTGAATTTACTTCAAAAAACTCAAGATAGTATAATTTTGTATTATGTGATAAATTTTGTCAGCGACTTTTTATCAAAGAAGATTTGTGTTTTTAAATCCTCGTCAAAAGTCAATAAGGAATCCCTCAATAATTCTTACAGTCTACATCATGAACAGATCTCTTGTTTTTACCTGCTAATAACTATCGAATCTCTTTTGCCAAAAGTCTTCACAGACACGAGCGTGCAAAAGAGTAGAGCACTTTTCAAGTAAGTGTCGAAAAAAAAAACTCAAAGCAAGAACATGAGCCAATCAAAAAAAACCGTTTGCTTTTCAGTTTGGATCTGATTCGATGCGAAGGAGCACGAGATTTTTAAATCAATCACCGAATGGAATATAACAAATGAAATGCAATTTCAAATTAGTTTCAACACTCAATTGATAAATGCCCTGTCAGCACTTCTGTCTATGTGTCTCTTGATCTTAAACCTCGGTTTTGTAGAAAGCCGCGACCCCCTGAGCGCAGAACGTAGGCATCGTCAGCTGGCTTGGATCCAAGAAATCCGTGAAAAACGAGTAGTACATGGTATCAGTGTATTCAGTGTTATTGCTGCTGGGAGTCGGCCGTGATATGGACTGGTACATATACGGCTTGTATCGACCATCAGGGAGGCTCTCCAGGAACCATCTCTCTAAGGAAACCATCTCGGTCTTACTGCGGCCCCCAGACTCCCAGGAACACATTTTCAATGTAGCGTTGTACTTTTCAATGAACTTCTCCGACAGATCACAGGTGAAATAATTTGGAACTCCAAAGCGCGGGAAAATGGAGCGGGTTTTAAGGATGCAGCTCTTCTTAAACCAAGCTGTGTCGAACTAAAATATGTAAAATGATCAGGAAAAAAATATTGACAGTGTTGAGAGTTCTTAGATTGCAGGGAGGGGAAAAAGAATGCATTCGCAAAATGAAACTTATCAGAAACATACTCCTTGAACGCGTTCACTTCGTTGCTATTTCTAACAATAAGTGACTTTTGGGTGACATTTATTCCCTCTCTGAACTTTTCTTGGTGCCTTAGAGGAAGTATAGCTGTGATCGTGTGTGTCAAAAAAAACATGACAATCTCGCGCATGAAAAAGCTACCACCTGCGCTTGAAAAAGAAAGCTTGTCCACCAAAGACCAGATTGTGTCATCCGGTGCAAATTAGTGGGCGCTTCGTTCATTGGATAAAAGCACGGGCTTAAAAAAAACTCCATATTAATTGCCAAAGTTAAAGAGTACAGGCTTTCCTAGATTTGAATTTAACAACCAGAGTGTGTACCTGGATATAGTCGTCGTTTTCGATGTATTGGAAAGGAAAAATAAACCGCGTGGTCCAGCTTATTCCAATTTCATCTATTCGCTGCTCTCCAGCGGTGGCGTTCTGCAGCATTTCGCCGATGTTCGTCACAGTAGTGCAAGCTTTGTTCTTACAATTTGTGACTGTTGTGGTGTAAAACGTGGAAAACACCTTTGGCAGGGGAGGGGGAAGTTGATATGTTGCGCAAGGATCTGTTATGTTCGATGAACAGCTAGGACCGTAGAAACACTGACACCTAGATGGAATCACACAATAAAATAATTGTGAGTTATTTGTGTAAAAAAATGGTTTTCAGCCTAAAATCAGTATGAACATTCTCCATACTGTTCTCTATACGTTTACTAAGTTGCCGATAAGGAGAATTTGTTAAGCAATCAACAGCTTCTTTAGTTGGTGATCATTTTCTTCAATGTGTGATTCACGAGTGATATTGAAGGCGGGAAAAATTAGATGTGAGTGTCACCCTTAAGGGTCAAAGGGTTACTCCCCCCCAAATCTGAAATCTCCTCACCTTTTGTTGGGTGGACAATTGTGTTTCGTCTCTGTCATCTTTTGGGTCTTAGCATCAATTTTGCAATCATACCAGCCGGTAAGGTCCTTGTAACAGTAGCGTCCCGGGGGACCCTGATCGCAGAAGTTCCCAGACGAGAAGTCCACTACGAGAAGCAATAGCAGATGAACGGCCACGATTACGAGCTTCAGGGACATTTTTCTAAAGGAGTAATTTATAGAATAATGAAGTAAATTTTACGAAATATCTGTGTCAATGTTTGGTTGAAAAATTGAAAAGTGTTTAGAATATATAGAGCAGCTCTAAAACAATTAAGCGCAACAATTCATGAGCGATCGAGCGGACGAAAAGCGAACTAAAACATGTTATTTCATGTAGTTGTGAATTCGCCATTTTATCAGTGATTTCTCGGGTTATGTTAAGTGAGTTTTCCTTAACACAACACTCCTATGTATCAAAATGCTTGGCTTTTCGCTCAAAGGAAGATGATGGATAGGGCAATAAATTAAATTGTTTACTTTGAGTCTATAGTTGAGATGAAATGACAGCGCTATCGTTGCTAATGGAGAGACTAATGTAACTTTGTTTATTTGTTTGCGATAACTGTTTATTTTTCTATAAAAGCAAGGTAGATGAACAGTTCCGAAGCTTTTTGATTAACTAATTGAGGAATTTCTCTTTATACGAGTTTCGTCCGACGAAAATCTCAAGGGCTTTCTTTTGTTTTTCCTTGGTACGCCAGAAACCTCCTCATCGAGAGACGAGTTTATCTTCATTACAAAAACAACGTAGTTACGATTCTTAGGAAAGGTGACATGAAAAAGCTTGTAAACGGATTAAAGATTAATTTCGTTATGGATTACAGGCAATGGTAAGGTTTACTGGTTGAGTTGAACAAGGAAAAAACTGAGTGGAGAACTACAGTATGTTTCAAAAGTGATGTTTACGGAGAACCATATGAACATTTTGTCACAATTGAATTCCTACATGCTACGCCCTCAAAAAAAAAAAAAAAAGCAACGAAAAAGAGCAAGTAGTAAATTGTTGAAGATTCCAGGTAAATCCAATCGTAGCGACAAAAGAAGTTATTTCCAATGGCGAACTCGTCCGATCGCTCAAGAGAGCATCATGAAAGAATGTGACATTACCCCCTGTGGAGGACGTTCCACCCCGACTTCATGTTTAATTTGCAGCTATAGCTCACACATGGTTTGCATTGCGTTCAGTGCGTACAAAGCTTTTTGATCGCTCAAAAAGAACACATTTAAAGATTTGAATCGGTAAAAACAATTTCTCCGCAAGGTTACAATAAGTAACAGTTTACAGGCATTTTCTTTATCAAAGGCGATGGACTATCATCAATTTGCTGAAGTCCAGTCCTTGGTTCAGTAAATACATAAGGTTCTAATTTGAAGAACGAGAATTAGTTGTTCGATATATGTCAAGTCGAACTCGGCCAAAATCGTACTCTAACTAACTAATTTTTAAGGAAAGATAAAACTATGAAAGGAACCAAGAAATTTAAATAAATTGGATCACTTACATTTGCTTTGTCTCCTCTCCTAATGCAATTTTACAAGAGTTGCGTTTGATTCCTGGTACAAAAGGAACACCTTTTTATACCGACAGTTACGCCATAGAGTGGCTAATAATAGATCTAACAATAAAATTCATGAGAAAATTATGGAACCGTTTGTTTGAAATATTCAACTGATTAGGCGCAAAGAAAAATACACTTAAGCCACTGATCAAAGAGATATTATTGGGAAAGCGACAATGAATGCAAACTGGCTTTCGAGATAGTTTGACAGAAACAGGAAATTTTTGCCAAAAACGGTTTCATTCAATGAATGACACCCTTTCCTGGTTGAAATAAGAAGGAAATAAAGCTGAACTTCGTCTTTCACATGAAACATTGTCAGCTAAAGCTGAGTGCAGATCGGCGCAAGATTGTAACTTGGCTTTGATGCTCAAACAGCTTTGTGCAAATAAGTTCACAGTTTACCTAGCAAAGAACTGATGACATCTCCACTACTAAATATGCTGGGTTTTATTCAAAGTCAATTATTTAGTTTTTTAAACAGTTCTGGCAAAGTTTTTCATCTAAACGAATACGAAGTGGCGAGTACTAGCATTGCCAAACATGGAAATCCAAACGACTTTCAAAGACAATCGTGGATTCGTTCATAGCGTACAATTTTGTCACATTGTTAAAAAATTTCTGTCAACTCTCGGCATATTTTAATAAGTTTTTGTACTTGAACGATACGTAATGCAAAATGAATGTCTCCCTCTTTATTGTTCTCAAACACTCGTCCAAGGTCGTTTGTTTGACAGTTTTTATTTGTATCATGCAATACCGTTTTCAATTTACACCCGAAATGATTAATCACATTAGTTAGAAAAACAGTTCCACTAATCAGAAAACAAACTGAAATTAATTGATTCGACCTCCCGGATGAAAGAAAACTATTCACTAAATGACCGGTAGATTCCTCCAGAAACCAGACCCTAAAAATTCTGAACAAATAAAGCGCTAATTGTCTAACATAGGCTAAATGAATCAACCCCATTTACAGGCGGAAGACTTACGAAATCTTTCGTTAATTAAGCTTGGTCTAGGGTGAAAAAGAAGAAGTTACATATTGGACTTTTACGAACCGTTTCCGTCTGATGCACTCGTTTTTAATTTTGGGGCTAAGGTCGAAAGTTTTCTCTTTTTGCGATTTGAGCCTGAAAACGTTCTAAACTTATTCTTAAAGTTGTGTGGTATAGTATTCCAATAAATCATTTTGGACGTGACCAGTGTATCAATAGAGGCCTTAAGCAGTCAGGACGGTAACGCCAAGGAAGACTTCGATTAAAAAATTTATTTCTGCCTTTAATTAGAATTTAAAAAATTGGCTGTATGCGTTTACCGTCTCCTACGGTGCCACACCTCAACTTCAGCATAACGTATAAAAGAAGCGTTGAGTTCCAAAGGGAAATTAAAATAATTTTCCGTCGCGGTTTCGGTTCGTAGCCGACGCAAATTGTGGTGATTTCACGCTGTTGTTTTGAATAGGACGGCTAAGAAATGTACAAAGTTTTAAAACGCACGTGCTGAGCTATTGTTCTGCCAATAAGATCTCATGTTTTTCCATGTCCTCGTTGCCGTCGCTGTCATGGTTTGCTTAAGGTCCCTAATGCAACAAGAAAACCGCATTGCTAATGTTGATATTTCAGTTTATTGTCCTGTAAGACCATAGTTTTACATTTATTTTACTTTGATTTTTACTTCTCACAAAAAAGAGGGCGAGTCACTTATTTCCGCTTTTTTTTCTATTTGCCTCATTTAAATTCCATCCTTATAATTGAGTGAATTTCCGACGTTATCATCGATGGTAAGTGTTTCGAGACTAATGAATTTAGTGTTGAGACTTCTGACTTCGTTTCAGACACTGTAATATTCACAAATGAGGGCAAAGTCGTTTCATGTATCCATACCATTATGCTAGAATAATGCAGACCACCCGCATGTGGAAAAACTTTCCGGCTATGAAAGATCCTTGTGAATTTTATGGATCTGACTGGGACTACAACTAGTTAGGGTGAGGGGGAGGGTTGAAGTTCTAGGAAGGGGCATGTCGCGCCTTGTCCATATCCTGACCCTAGTTCAGACCAAACCAGGCCATTTTCTATACGCGTTTTCAGAGCTTTTATACAAAGTGCATACCCCATAAAATTACTCATCCATTCAGTTGTAGTCTCGCTTGATTCCCCATTCAGAACGAAAACCGAAAAAAAACTTTTTAACCATACTCTTTGGGATGGCACCTACTCGAAGAAATAGCTTATGCGGGTGACTATTATCCCGACCCCTCCCCCTCACCGCCCAAACCCTTTTTCATTAAGATATGTACGCTCACGGAAAAGGTTTGTGAATGGAAGTTCCTTAAAATGATCTTTATTATCAACGGTGTCACTTCAGACTCTCTAAATTACGAGCAGAAGTTCCCTGCTCAGTCGTTTTGGTCAATTTTTTAACAAAATAGCCAAGGACATTCCTTTCGTGACGTGTTATGTTTGTGCGAAGGCGTCTCCAGTAAAGCTTTACACTACCTGTTCCTGTTTTGGACCATTTGCAGTTGGTTTATTTGTAAGAGTTTCTCATTTCAAAATGCGTCAGTTCCGGTCGCAAGCATTGTGCAAGCAGACATTAGTTATTCAATAACCCGTTAGCAGGCCCCCTTTGCTTACGCTCCTTGCCCGCGAGTAAGTTTGAGGCGAGCGAGGAATGGGTCGGCCAGTGATCTGGCAAACGTCTCATGCAAAATCTCTTGTTGAAGTTGACTTTTCGAAGGTTTAGGGGCTAACGCACGAAATGTCAGATTGAGAAACCCTCTGCAGTGGCAAAATTATATTATCCACTCAGTTGATACAACCAAATTATCCTGTATAACCCCCCACTGACGCAACATGCACCACAGTGTCACAAGAAAATTACCCCATCCTAGTTATTCAATGGTTAACAACTGCAGTCAAAAAATGGTGCGCAACTTGGCCAATTAGGACTCCCATCTGAACCGGAAGCCTTTTTACAACTTGTAAACCCCCAATATACGGGAGTAAGGCACCGAGATACGTTTGACGTACTACCCACCACTGAGTGTTTACCCTTAACAATAAAAATTGAGTTTACGCAATTTGTGGGAGTAACTTTCAAGGTGAAGCGTCAGTCAAATTCAAGCGTTTCGTAAGGACATCAATAAAAGTTATCTAAAAAAGTATTGACTTACCTTTTTCCGATCCTGAGAAATTGTTCCTGCTTTGAATTCAAAGTGAAGCAATGCATACCACTGTTATCGGTGTGAAAAAACCGGAAAACGAACTTGTCTCATGTTTCACGGTCGGAGTTATTCATTAATTCTCGTGTTATGTAGTCTACGTGTAGCAGTACCCTCCCCTTACGTTACTCCTTCGGGGGAGGGTGCGCCTACTCATAAGCGACGTGTTGTGTTCTCAAAAATGAATAACGAACAAGAAATGTTAAAATTAAAGTGAGGCAAAACTGATCTACTCTGATACGCATAAGGATCCAATTTGATTGGTATTAAAATGCCGAGAAGTCATTTTCCAGACTGTTAAGGTGAAATGACAAAGGCACTCTGCTGGACAAGGTTACCCACAACTCTACGTACAGCATATTGAATTACAAAATAGCGCAGTATCTCTTTTAACAGAAGGATTGGAAAAATGATTTATTTCATTTCTTTGCGAGAACGAATGAAGTCTCATAACAGCTGCTGATTAATCCTGTCACACAACGTCTCTCTGCGTGACCAGAGGCGTTGCACGGATGACTTTGAAAAAATCAATCCCGATACAGTTCAAGCTTTTTGGTGATCAAAAAATATTACGCAAAGGTGGGAAACATTAAAGGTACTGTGTGTGTCAAAAGTCCTCGCATTTTCAACTTTTTTACCATAATCATTATTATCACGACTATACTCGTTTATTACTTTCACAAAGCTTTCGGTAACAGGAAGGAAGCTTTTATTTAGAAGAGAGCGCGTCAACTGCTTTGTATTTCAATTTCAATAAGGAACTTCGATATCACTTTCCTCTCTCTTTTCCGAAGCTTTTATATGTATGTTGTTCTATACGAGCTCAGACGTGAAGGAAATATTGAATACAGTATAAAATACATGTAAACCGATCACACTGAGGTAGTTGACAATTGGGTTTTCGCGCGCGCAGTTGATATCAACTCTTTGGTGTAGATTTATCACCGTTTTACAAGAAAAACGTATCGACCTCTGTCCAAGTACTAACCTCAGTTTTAAAATTACCAAGATCTTTTGAGGCAACTGAGAACAACTAGACATTAATGTAGTTTGAAAGGATCGTAAACAATCGAGGAATTCGTTCTATATTCGCATGTTTTTCATCAAGCAGGCAGCTGGTCTGATCAACGATTTCTTTCCAGTTAGCGTAACAAAAAGGCTTTTATTCTAAATTTTTTGACCTGAGAGGTGTACAACAGCTTAAGATAAAGATTTTCTCCAGTTAGTTGTAGTTTTAGAGCTTCAATCTGACATTTTCACTCGCAAACTAAATAATTTAATATCAGGAAGGTGATATGAAAGGTTGCCAAATGGGTCGTGCAGATGTTCGAGTTCACTGCCCTTGCCTGGAAAATTGTTTGAACAAGCACTGTTGTAATTAAAATGATATATGGTAATTTCTTTCGTTACATTTGAAAGGAACGTCATTGAAAAAACAATGTCCCCAAATAAAAAGAACGTACCAACAAATACGAACATACGAAAATCTAGAAAAACGAACTTGCAGGGTCTTTCCGACAAGGGACCTTCCATAATACAATCTTATCTCAGGTGACTAAAATATTTTTCAACAATGAACATTGCAAAAAAAGTTCTCAGTAAGAGGTGGCGCGTATTTATTAAGTTTAGCTACGAATAGAACTCTTGATGATAGCTTTTGTACTTTTTCATTTTTCCTCTAAACCAAGAAATACCAGAAGGGTTATAACACAAGCAACAGTGCAGTAAAAAAGCATGGCAAGGATCTCATTACGGTCCACCTCGGACTCAGATAGATATTTTGTTTATTCTTTATATACCTGCTTTTATTCTTTCGATCATCTGTCACAAAATACAAACACTACAATTCACCTCTCTTAAAGATTTCAATTATTAGTTATCGCAGCTTTTGAGCGACCCGACTCGTATCAATTTTTGGGTCAATCATTCGAAGAAAGATTTCCAAGAGTTTTGTCACCAGAATCAGCCAATGCTCGACGAATAGTCACCGCTTTGGCGTGGAGATTGACAACACGCTCAAATGTGGACTAATGCAAAAGACTTTAGATATTCACAAGGTCTAGTTTTTCGATGTTTACATTGTTCCATCGGACTAGTTAGTGCTGTGCGTGGAAAGTTAGATCTTTTAGGGCCATATAAAACTTGTTTGATTTTTAAACCAACCCCTTAAAGGAAAACATCCCACTTGCAGACGTCAGCTGATAGAGAGCTTTAGTAACCTGAGAACTGATGAAAATGACGGTGAATTCGTTAAACACAACGGCGAACGAAACACAACCAGCGAACTGCATCAACTTGAGCAGCCTCACACTAAGAAACCTTGGAATGACCATTGCTTACGGCATACTTCTTGTCACTTCGTTCAGTGGAAATTTCCTAATTGTAAGAGTTATCTACAAGATGAAAACCATGCGAACAACAATTAACTTCTTTATTGTCAATATGGCCATGTCAGATCTACTGTTCCCAGTTTTTGTGTTTCCGTTGCTTCTCACAGAGATTTATGTCAGCGGCTTCGGTCCACCAGGAAGAACCATTTGCCTGGTACTCTTTCAGTTACAGTATATTTCCAGTTGGGTATCCATCCAAAGCCTTATTTTGATCACTCTGGATCGATTTGTGGCTGTGGTTTTTCCACTTCACTCCCCAATCATCAGCTCAAAACTATGTCTATTTGTCATCCTGACAACGTGGATAGTTGCGACTGCTTCCTCATTCCCAATGTTGGTCTTTTATAGCTCCATGGAATTCAGCGAGAAACTGACCTGCGGACGTATATGGTTTAAAAAATATTTTAAAGAAAAATATTATTCTCACGTTATGCCTTTGAATGTAATCTTCAAGACAATTCCTTTCGTCGTATTAACTATTCTATACTCTGTCATTGTTTTCAAGCTGAAAACCCACACAATTCCAGGCGAACGATCGATTAACGCTGAAGAAAAACGTTTACAAAGAAACAGAAAAGTTCTCAAGATGGCCATCGCTATCTTACTGGGATTTGCCATATGCTGGATGCCTTTGAGTATCATAGGCTTTTTAGGTGTCTCTTTAGGAGACAGTGAAGTTTGTATCATTCCGCTATTTGCGCTTGTTGCTATCTTTCTGAATTTTGCCAATTGTGCTGTTAATCCTTGCATATGTTTTACGTTCTGTAGAAATTTTCGTCAAGCTCTGAAGGGCCTCCTTCATCAAAATGCTCCATGGCAGGTGTAAATCGCATCTTGTCTGTATAATTGTTTGCATTGATGCTACTTCAGACCATGGGTGCCAACGGGCAAGCCAAAGAACCTATGTTTGCTTCTCTCTTCACCTCGTTTTATTTACTAGGAATTCCTTGACCGTAGTCATTATCAGAAAATGAATGCCGCATAAAGATTACTGACTCTTAACTGGACAGATCCGTCTTCCTATATTTTTGATTCCCAATGATCTTTCAAAGGATGAATGCAGTTGGCTTCATTGTCAGGATGTATCTTGTTGATCACAGCCTCAAAGAAGATCATCGAAAAAATATGATTTAGCTAAAAGAGATGGATTCTGTCGCTCTGTTTTTTCATCCTTGACCGTGAGCCTGAATTAGAGAAATTGGCGAAGGTAAAAAATCTGCAGTCCTTTCTCCTCTAATCATACAGTGCATTATTAATTTGATAGGCTCCTGTAACTCGGATTGTAATTGCGGTTTCCTTTAATGCACAGAGGCCATGAACAAAATAAATGGATATTTTGCTCTCCATCTCCAAAACCGCAGACCGCCAGCAACGCAGGCTATTCTTTACCTCCTACATCTCTGTACAATTTAGCGAAACACAGGGATAGGACTGCCTGCAAATATGGTATAAACATTTTTGTATGAAACAGTATCACTCGTGGGGAAGGAAACTGCAAATCATTTTCAAACAAAGCCTTTTTTCACGCTGACCATTCTCTACTCCGTAATAATTTTGAAGCTTAAACTCCAAAAGACGCTGGGAGAACGATTGATGAACACTGAGATCCAACGCGTAAAAAGGCAGAAACAATTTTTGAAAATGGCCATCGCCTTTGTATTAAGATTTGCAGTTTGCTGGCTACCCCTCAATATTCAGGGCTTTTTCGGTAAAGATCTCGGTTCAGAGCAGTTTGTGGTATTACTCACTCATATAACTCATATAACCATCTTTCTACTTTTGGAAATTGTGCCGTTAATCCCTGTGTCTGCTTTTACATTCAGTGAAAATTTTCGTCAAGGTCTGGAAAATATTCTTAAACGAGGTCAGGTTGGAATACAATCGCTATAACGTTGCAGCAATTTTGCCTAAGAAGAAAACAATATGCGTAAATAATTAAAATATCTGTTACCAGCAAAGCGCAAGATTTAAATGGCTGAGTAATCCATCTTCTTTTTGACATCTCATAGAGCGAGACGACATCGGGGGCCACGGAAAAAAAAAATAAAAATAACGTGTCTAATATTTAATTATCTTGACCGAGCAAGTTTAATCAGTACAAGATTTATAAATTTCAAGAGCACACTAAAGAATTGCAAAATAAAACACATCACAAAACTTGTCAATGTGCGTGTGTTTTAATTCTCTAAGAACGTGTTCGTAGTTTTCTGGAAGCCAAAAAGGCCTGGTAATCTTTTTTGCTTGAAAAATTAAGAAAATTCCCACAAAATACGAATTTCAATTAATCAACTACTATCACTTTTTTGTTTCAATTTGCGAGTCACTGAGAAGCGCCAGTCAGAACACGTAGCATTCGCCCTATCTTGCTCAGATTATCCATATGATAAACATTTTTGGAGCTGAGGATTTCTCACACAATAGTCTAATTTCTTGATTTCATGGTGTAAATTAAAACTCTTTGATGTTAATTTTGACGCAAAATCCCACACAAGTAAACAAATAAGAAACAGATTTATGTGGTGACCATAAGCGCTTTGATCAGAAGCAGTATGCTGATCAAAATTCATCTGAAACAACAGAACCGAATTCGGCATGGTGGCAAGTTAAGTGTTCAGAAAGTTTGGGAATATTTGACATCAAACTTAATTACATGCTACTGTCAGAAATCATGAAAACCAATTACGACATATATAAACACTCAGGAGCGATTTAATTTAATTTTGGGTGAAACTAACAGCCTGCTGAATCTTCTTAGTTTGACTGAAGTTAGCTCGTTTGATGTGTCATTATTATTATTATTATTATTATTATTATTATTATTATTATTATCACTATTATTATTATCATATTATTAATTTATTTTAGAACATTGTTCGTCGTCATCGGCAGACACTACTTAAAAAATAGATCAATAAAATTAAAAAAAGTTATGTTCAGATACAGCACAGATTTAACGCAGATAATTCAGTCGTTTCTAAGAAAATAATGGGAAGTTTAAGAAAAGCACTAAGGCAACGGCAATGAGAACGTCATTAAACAACACGTTTTCAAAGCAGAACAATGACTGTGTACGTGCGTTATAAACCTTTGTAAATTTCTTAGCGTCCTCGGCAAAACAACAACGTAATATGACCAAACTTTGCGTTGTCTAGAGAACGTGAACGACGACGGCTAATTTTTTAACGCTGTGTTCCATATTTAATTTCGAGATAGTTTTGACAGTGAGATACACACTAATTGACTTTAGAGTATTGAAAGATTCGTCGGTAAAACATTAGTTCATCTTTTAACAGACGTTGGCCTCGGTGTTGCCGTATTCGTTTCTTAAACTCCCCAATATCCTCCATTTTGCAAACTTCCATCCCCTTTCTGATATCCCTCTTTGATATAACCTGACAGACACCTCCGCTGTTCTAAAGAAACAAATAATTTGAGCTAACGTCAGGTATATCCCTCAATAAAAGCTAGGAGATCAAAGCTGTCTTAAGTAAGCGAATGCAGACTGAATATCCGGTGAAATCTTAAACGAAGCTACGAATGGAACTCCGCCATCAAACTGCACCAACCGAAGAGACCACACAGCAGAAACTACAAGGAAAATCTTAGCTTTCTGTTTGATTCTAGTCGTTTCGCTGACTGGGAATGTCTTAATCGGAATGATTGTCTTCAAGACGAAGGCATGGTGAACGGCAACCAATTGTTTGATTGTAAACATGTCGGTGTCCGACCTGTTGTACCCAATTTTTTTTTTCATCACTTCTTTCAGTGATGCACGCCGGTGGCGTCGGTCAACGGGGACAGAACATCTGCATGGTCCTTCTTCTACTGCGGTTCGTCTCCACTTTTGTTTCCATCAAGAGCCTTGTTTAATTTTACAGCTGTTGATCGATTTGTTGCTGTGGTTTTTCCTCTCCATTCCCCGTTCTTCAGTACACATATGTGTGTAGTGGTTATCTTCTTCATCTTGATAATGGCAAAAGTCTCGTCCTTCCCAATATTGTTGCCCACCTTCGACACCGTGAAATTCAGTGAGAAGCAAAACAATATTGATTCTCTCCTTAGGCACCTGCGAATAGTTACCATTACAATTCCTTTTAAGATTTTGAGCATTCTTTATTCTGACAGACTTTTCAAAGTCAAACTCCAAAAGATTCACGACAAACGATCACTTAACACCGTGAAACAACCCGAAAGAAACTCTCCATTGTTGGACAAATTCTCCTTGTCAGCACCTTAGGAAATGTATGTACAGAGAACCGTATAGAGAATATGATTATTGATGTTAGGGGGTAAATGGTTAAAGTAATTCAGTTACCATCTTGTATTGTCCATCGTTTTTGGCGAATTACAGTAAGATTCACCTCCATCTTGGCTTTGATCGTCTTTATTACTCTGTGATCATTTTTTGGCCACGGGCACACAGGATTGCATTTGTGACTGCATGAAAATGTTTGCCTTCAATTGCTATAACATGCCCAGTGAATATATATATATATATAGCCCACACCAATCAATAAAACATACAATAGGAAAGAGGGGGTTTTTTACGTTCGCTGAGAGAGGCTCGCCATTTCCCAAATAGTAAACTCCCTACGGGAAGATACAGAATAAGGTATTTAAAAAAGAGGAATGACTTCTGTAAAACGAAGTCTTCATATTCTAGCTTCCACTGAAATTGCTTTGTTTTTTTCTCCAACCAAACATGACCGCCATTAGTGTTCAAAATCAGATTTCGTTGTAGTATTTCAAATCGGACAGAAGTGTCCGAATATCAGACACTAGTGTCAAAAATCGGACACTTCCATAAAATATAGGATAGTAATGTCCGAAATCAAACAATTGTGCTTAAAAATGGGACACTAGTGTCTCAAAGCAGACACTATCGTCGAAGTTCAAACACGAGAACCTAAAGTATAAAAACAACGTCCGAAATCAAACTCTAGCTGATGTTAACCTGACGGACAGTAGTGCCAAATTTGGACACTGGAGATTCAAATCGGACACTATCGTCTAAAATCGAACACTAGAGTTTGAAATTGGACGCTAGTGTTTATAACCGGACGCTAGTGTCCAAAGTCGAACAATTGTACCTAAAATCGGATACTTGGGTCCAAAATCAAATACTTCTGTCCAAAATCGGACACTATTGTCCAAAATCGGTTTGCAGTGTCTAAAATCGGACAATGGTGTCAAAAATGCTGATACTGCTGATCCACTTCAAGAAGCTCAAATCTGTGCTTTTCTCGACTAACGAAACCATATCTCATATTCATATTTCTACCATTGCATAACTTTGAGCAAATCTTAGAACAGATTTTTTTCACACAAAAACATTATCCGTTTTCAGGAAATTTTGTATTGATAGTATCAAAGATTCTAAACATATCTAGTATCTATTTATGAACACGATTTCCATGTTGTACCGTAAGATTTTCTATATTTTAGAGTGAAAAAATTCATAATTCGATTACTTTCCAGCGAAAATAAAATTGACATTTCCACGATAAGCGGATTTTAAACAATTTATGACAACCTCAAGTTGTGGCTGCGCCTGAAGTGCTGATAACAATTTTTTTTTCTTCTTTGCTTTTTATATCAATAACAAGCCGATTTACGGAAAACAAATTGATGTTCGACCATTGTGTAGGGCAGTGTCCAAGCCTTCGTCAGAAAATGACGTTTGTTACTTTGGTTAATTTGCAACTCTGCACTCTTGTCAGAGAAGACAAAAATAACGTCAGTCTGACGAATCTCAATTTTTTTTACAAGAAATTTATAGGAAACTCGAATAGTGCACTTTATTCCTGCCAGCTTAATTTGCTACTTATCTTTTTCTATTCCAAAATATTTTTGCCTCGAGGCGTTGAAACTATCAAAAGTAAAGTGATAATTACCATAATCTTAGCGCTGTTCTCAAACTGCAGTAAATGTTTCCGGCTAATCCAGTGAAAAGCGTATCTTTTCATTGTCGCCTCAAATACGCAATTATTGGACAATGGTGCATGATAGTGTCGTCAACCTTTGTTTTCATTTTGCGCACTCTTTGCATTCAATTGACGTTCGCTCTAACGGAGGGCCAAAACTCGAAAACTTCGGTTATAGAAACTCTCTACGGCGGCTAACTTACATTATCAACTCTATTAACAATGCCAAATAAGCCTGATGTTCGGATGGTTTTGTATGGAGCTCATTTAACATTTTTCTCTGTGTTTAACCATTTTCGAGACTGTGCTGGAAAATAACCATATGTGTTTATGTCGCAAATATACATAACATCAGTAAATATCATTACGCAAATCATATTTCTTGTACGTTATCAGTCTACTTTCGTCTAAATGTAGTTCGTTTCACAAATCATGGAAAATTTACAAATCCTACCGCGATTACATGATTTCTGAAGAGGGAAGTGACAGATTCTCTTGAGTTTGATCGTAGGAGAGATCATTCTCGAAAGACGAGCTTTTTCATATTTTTTTTCTGTATGGTTTTCCATTACGAATTGCAACCATAGACCATATTTACATTAAAAATATCAGTTTGAAAGAAGAGGACATGCGTACAAAAATACCGAGATAAATGTACTTGTCATAAATTTTAATTCAAATTTGTACTGCTTTCATGTGTTTTTGTATATATGATGCATCTTTATGAAAGAGGATTCGGTAACCTAGAGTTCTCGTCAATATTCTAAGCTTAAAAATTTATTTAAAATATTCCCTTATAACGATTAGTTGAGAAAATCACAGTAACTGAACGGAATGTATTCAGAATTGGTTCTTTGTCTGCCAGATTGGTTCAATGTGATTATTTCACTCGACAACACTGAACAATCATTTTGCCATGAGAAACTTGAATATTTAAGTATGCCAAAAAAATTTGAAATCTTTAGAGGCTACTGGACAATTAAGAGATTTTTTTCAAGCAATGCTTTTTAACCTCTTCATCTGTAGAATTTTTTTACAGCAGCAAATTTTTATAACAGAAGATAAGCCATGATTACTAAAATGCACAAAATGGTTTTCTGTACTTTAGATCGACTGCAAATATTAAAGATTCATAGAACACAGAAATAACTATTTAAAACCCAGCTTGAATTCTTGATTTTATCATTCTGACGATTGCCGAAGGTGAATTCATATTGTTTGGCATGTTATTAAGATTTTAGACTCAGACAGCGCTCTAAGATTAAAATTCATTTTCGCTACAAGACGCCGATTTTGCGTGACCCAGTTGAGAACTATTGGTAATTAGTAAAACCCCATGTGAATCATTATAGCATTTTAAGTGTCCATGAGAGCTTATCGTTTGTCGATCTATGATGGAAAAGCCACAATTTCGGCTTTTTAGAATCTATTGAATCATCAAGGGAGTCGTGATATGTAAATTATCACGCCTCACGGGGATACTTATAAATAGATATTATTTACCAGAAGTTCAAGAATAAGTGGGATTGATTTGAGGACTTACACAACGTATAGGCTATCTCAAAGGCTGGACGACAGACTACGTTGATGTTGATGAACGATCGTGAGGGAAAATGATAAATCTTATGCTTTCGGCAAACTGATCTCAGTTCTCTGCTCGATTAATAAGATGGATTACAGTCCCAGAAGAGCATTGTGTCCGAATCAAACACAGCTATTTCCCTGTATCGGGTAAGAAATTCAATTTAGCTGTCATCTTAGCGTCTAATTTTAATTTTCTTTCGTAACTGTTTTTCACTGGAATAGAACGTTGTTCTAAGTGTTGTATCAATTTTTAAAATTTCAACATCTAAAGGCTGGAGAAAGGGGACTCTTCCAGCGCAATCAGTCTCGTATCTTGGCCAGTTCATATTTTTTGCGATAGAAAAATAGTTTTACTTTGAGGTAGACTACGCCTCAAGCATCTGCCAAAAACATCGAAAACATCTGGCGAAATGAATCTCAGCCGACATTGTAACTTTTCTGTTATATTCATCAAAATGTTATAGTATTTCTCCGGTCACTAAGATAAAACAAGTGAACTGCAAATAACCAAGAATTTTCGAAATCATAACAACCGGATTCTCGTATTTCTGGTGATTAACAGAAACGTGATTGCAAATCTTTTAAGTAATTGATTCATTTCTTTACAATTAGTTTTATTTGAGCCTATTTCTCAACGGATGTTGCAAACTAATTAATTGCTGTATCCTCCACATTGTGACAAGGCTTAAGATTGCCTTTGCATTCAATGCCAAGCTTGAGATTTTCATTTTCAGCTCATCGATGCAGTTAGGTATGCGCGTGATTAAAAACACAATACATTTACATCATAAGGGTTTTTTTGTTTTGTTCGAGGCGACTCCGTGACTCGACGTTTATCGATATGTGACTCGACTGTTTTATTAAAACATATTCCTGATCACAGAAACGAAGACACAATAACGGTTGTCGAAACGCAGATTATGTCAAAACTGTTGAAAAAGGCTTCCCTCTTACAGTTGTTTATTAATCGCGTTTTATCTTCTCTTGTTTTCATTTTTATTTTGTACACTTCATTTATTTACTTATCAGTTTAATTATATTTTTATTCATCCTTTTCTTTATCTATTTTTAAGGAGTAGTTGATGGTCGAAAAGAAAAAAATAATAATAGGCGTTACTATATATTTCAGCCGGGATCGTCAAAATATTTTTTCCGAAAATTTTCAAAAAAGTTTGGGATTTTCACACTTGAAGGTTGATCTGTTGGAAAAATAATTAAGACCCAGGCAAATAGTTAATTATTAAGACTGATATCACAGAAAACACTCACACGTGGCTTGTTCGAAAAGCCATGAATATCTCTAAATATCCTCAGATCTTATATATGTCGTGATATTTTCGAACTTTAAGGGGAACCCTCTTCAGAGTATGCAAAAAAAATTCGGATTGTTGTAGAAAGGACAGATTTACATCGTACCTCATTGACCATCTGCAGTGTCTCCGATTGGCTGGAACTTTCCCGCCAAAAACCATTTCTAAGTAAAAATTCAGAAGTTGACACTTAGGGACCGATGGGTAATTGTCGCCTGGTTAAGGGGGGGGGGAGTTGGGGAGGGCGAGGGGAAAAGGTTAGAGGATTTTGGTTGCGTCACGATGAAATGAATCTGTTCCACCATTTATCGATAAAAAGGAATTGATATACACCGACCATATACCCATGAATTCTTTTCCTTGAGAATTCTACTGCTATCCATAAGTGTTATCTAAAACAACCCGTCTAACGAGCGATTTTTAATTAGTCAGATTAAAGACTTTTCATTTAATTTTTAATCAAGTTTCGGAAGTAATCTTGCAATCCATTGGCTTTCCCTTGGTTAGCTCTATGATTGGTCCAAAAAGCTCGTGCCTATGTCTCAACCAATCAGACGCAAACGTGAAAACAATTACTACGGGCTCCCTCCCATTTTCCCGCGCTTTTGCGACTTGGCTCATTTGTACTACGGGTTTTCATCGCTGTAAAAGCCCTCATATTAGCATTACGTACCAGTTTCTCTCGGATCATATGATTCAGCTGAAATTAATGACTATGCCCGGCTTCGTGGGGTCTAGTCCGAAAAAAAGGGCGTATTCCCAGAGATTCTTACGTACTACAGCCGAATAAACGGACTGAGGGCTCGTTTCCTAAACCTTCTATGGACGGACAATATAACTTCTTCCACTGATAAATGCAGAGGGATGAACAGGAAAAATATAAGCCGTTAGAAAAGTTTTGTCAATGTTTCTGTCTTCTCTGGCACTTCCAAAGGTTGACGTCACTCAGTGAAGCCGAAACTTAGATGATTCAAAACTATTGACAAGAATGGACCCTTCATTGACAGAAAAAAATGTATTTTGAAATCTGCAAAATCATTGTTATCTAGCCATGTGAGAAATTTTTGTTTTGAAACTCACTCCTTCACCAAGTAACGTTAGGTATCACAAATTTATATCGTGTTCTTGAGAAAATCACCTCGGGCCAGCTTTTGCCTATATCCCCTTTTGCCTATAAAATGGTCAATCTTAAAAAAATATTGTTCAATTAATCAAAGCGGTATCTTATTGAATAGTTTTTAAGAGCAAATTAACGGGAGCATGCTCTCAATTTGTAATGTAAGCTTGCTAATTTTTGCAAAAAAACTGCAGTTTGGCTCTTAAAATTCAAAGTCAGTGTAGGCTCTTTAAGTGTTCAGCTTAAAATTATAAACCAAAACGAAATAAAAACAATACAACACACACGAGCAAAATTAGAAAAGATGAGAAAACCGATATGTCTTAATTAATTTCTAGTCGAATTTCGTGGTATTAAAAGGTAGTCACCGCTTTATGACAAAGGACACAAAACAGTTGAGTGGTTAAAACTACTACAGGAGGGAAATTAAATCCTTTAACTGATTTTCGTCATAACATTCGTTTTAAAGATCTTTTTCTTCTATCAACTTGCTTCGGTAGCTGTCTTTCACCTTTACGTGGAAGTGACTAGTAAAGTTATGACCTTTCTATTCGTAAAAGTTTGGCACAAGAACCATGACATTGAGTTATTCATAACATCTGTCTTTGGTCCTAAAAAATCTAGAAAGCATCTCAACTAATCTACAGAATATAGGTAATCATTTTTGATGTTTCGTGCGCTCAACGGGTTGTTGGCAGAAAAATTATTCATGAAAGCTTTGAATGTTTTGCGAAAACAAGGAAAGTTTAATATGTTTTTCTTCATTTTCAATATCTAATCTAAGGAAGTCTGTTATTGTAATCAATTAATTTACTAATGTAAAGGAAATTTTTTTTTTATTTTCAGTAAAGAACAATTGAGATCCTCGTTAATATCCCCAAAGAATGGATAGGATAATTTTGCTGCAAATCTCAAAATGATAGCTAGTTACTACATTTGCCTGAAATACAGTGTTTCCATATTGGGAATAGATTTTTTTGCTTTTTTATTCGATCCTAATTGGGCTGGCTTGTGAAATGTGTAGGGAAGAAGATCACATTTTTGTCATTTACGGGTGAATACGGTTCTCCAGATAAACCTGAGAAGTTTGATTCTTGGTCGAAATATTTCGTAACATCGGAATAAAATTAATGCACCATAGCTTTGGCAGACAAGCTGAAAAATTCCATGAAATTTGAATATCGTCACAGATCATAAGGCAATGATTGTAATGTTTACAGATAAAATCATCATTTCTCTTTTATCGGCATGCTCATCGTACGCGTTTTAACGGTAAACATACACATCTGAGCAAAGCCGCCTCGCGAAAGGATTCCCTGTATGAGTCAAGTTGAATAATTTATTTCATAATTCGAGCCACGCGAGGAACAAGTGAGCGCCATTTCGGCGTCTGTGATAAAAGAATCGATTTAGAATGCCATTTTAAGTTAACGAAATGCATCAGAAAGAGTATTTCAGTGGGCAAACTTTTGATATATTCGTGCTTCGGGTCCGATTTCTACTCACGTCGAGTTCATTCATGTTTTTTCATGTGTACCACTAAAAAACGGAAAAGACTTCAGTCTATCATTCTTTAGTGACCTTATATGGTCAATTAAACTGAGGGAAGAAAACTTTGATCACCAGCGGTGTAAAAACAACGGGGTTTAACGCAAACAATGTTAATATTCATCCATCCTTACTGCACATTTTGACAAGTATTGTATACATTTTGGCTTTTATGTTTTTCTCATTACTCTTCCGGTTATAAATTTAGCGAAGCAGAAGTACGAAAATCCATGTAAAATGCACGGACATCAATTAAAGTGGCACTGCATGCTCCAATACATAACTGAGGAAAAATATAGAACAGAATTAAGACAAAAATTGAAATATTTGTTGAAGCAGACATTTCCGTCTTAGGTGTTTGCCAAATGCAAAACAAGTGAAGAACAAAGCCATGAGCCTTACGCGCTAAATTTAGCACTGGATTGACGTCAGAGAATCATCAAAATATTATTCATTGGACAGGTTTAAATTGAGCTGCCAAAGAATACAGCTCAAATGAAACTACCCCTTCTGGTAAACGGAGGTACAGTATTGTCCTCTCCAAGTTAAAATAGAAAGAAGATGGTTCTTCGCTTCAGGTCGCTCGGGTAAGATTTCTAAAATTCAAAATTGCTCTTTACTTTTAATTTTCATGCACTTACGTAACACGATGAGCCACTGGAAACGTTTATGACAACCGAAGCTTTGCAAAAAAAAACATCCTCGTGTTTAGAATTTGATTTGCCTTAGAAATATTAAGATCTACTCGCAAGGCGATTGCTATACTACTTTGTTTACCTCAAAGAACAAAAATCTTCGATGATATTTTTTGTAGATTTTGAAGAGATTTTGAGATCGTTACATTGAAAACCGCTAAGAGCATTCAAGTCCATAGCTAGTGAATTTCAGAGAAATTGAAAAGTCGCTCCAGATTTAACAGACACTAAAAGTTATGGAATAAAAATTGAAAAAGGCACACGGATGAATTCGTAAATAGTAAAATTTTGCCGTAAATAATGGAAAATCTATGTAAAGAGATCGTCATTCATTAAAGCTGAAATCGAGTCACGTTCACGAAATGTTGATTGCCATCTCATTTCAGCGAAAAATAGATTTTTGTTCCTCATTTCGTTGAAAGTCCCCATTCAGTTGTTTTCGAAATTGGTGTTTTTCATTTTTTTTTCCTGCGCAAGTATTAATTCCACTGAAATTCTGAATCGCACACGGAAACATAACCTTCTTAATCTACTAACTGGCAAAACTGAACGAAGCAGACCAGCTTGATGTAAGCGGGTGACATATTTTCTGAAAATGGTCTTTTAAAATCGTAAAACGTCAAAATATCAAGTCTGTAAGCCCGCGTACAAGTGCGTCAATGTTCCTACGCGTTTTTATGAAAAAATAAATTGCAATATGTATTTCAAGGAAGTAATTTTTTAGTTAAAAAAAAAAATGTTGTGTGACTAAACTATCGACAGGAATGCATTTTAATAAACAAGGAATTTAAATTATTTGTTCGGAAAAGTTTTTACGCATTAAATCGTGCTCAGAAACATCAACCAAAATGAACATCTACGCTTAAGCGATGTTTGTGAGATTGCAAATCGATCGAAATTTTGCGTGAAAATTTCTTAATGAAAAACACATCGATTACAAGAAGGTGTTGTCTTCATTTGCCGTTTTTACGCTACTGTGACGTCATTCGGTTCGATATTATTCATTGTATTTTAGCTACGTGCAAACTGATCGTGTATTTAACGCTATTTATCAATATAATCAATAATGCCTTGGTTTACGGTTGATATTTAGACAAAGCGTAAGTAGTTGCCGACAGTGTGTTTAGATATTAGGATGAAAGCTTTTTTCCGTAGGACTGTTTAAATGACCTGACAGGTTTATGCTTCCTTACAATATCCTGTGATATTTATCAACAATTCTGCGCAATTCAAACCGGAAAATTTCACCGGAAGAGTTTTGGGTCCGTTTCAGCGCCTTTTATTTGCTCTTAAGACTGAGGAAACGAGGTGCCACTCTATGATCGTTAAATTGATCTGATTCCAAGTTCGAACAGCACGTATGTTTTATATTTATCTTAAAATCTCGAATTTTTCGCTTCTGCTAATAAAAAATTTTACAGAAGGGTTTGCTTGACATAAATTTGCGTCGAAGCTAGGCGCTTAAATTAGCCATCACCTCGCGATCATTAGGAAGGACATGTCAAAAGAAAAACTTATTTTTAATTTCGAGACGTTTTTGGAAGAATCTCGATCTATTTTTCGTGTTGAAGTAAATGTCCGCTTATCATTTAGAGTTTACTTTCCTCGGATAATTCAATAAATGCATCCGCCTTGGAGATATATGTTAAATCAAATTGATGAAAAATTTATTTATTAACGAGACAACATTTCAATGTTCACGTAAATTAACGGCGAAACGCCGAGAGCAGCGCGTCATTTCTTTAATTCGTAAAAAATTGACTCTACATAACCAAATTTCTTGTGGTGTTCCACTGATGATTTTATCATTCCGTTAATAGCCCAGGAACACATTGAACATAATTCATTAATGTTTTCTAACGCACAAACGCGTACAAAAAAACATTACCCTCTCTCATTTAAACCGCATTACAGCAATTTTGTCGCTTATCTCAGGCAAGCTTATATGACTCGGATTTCCATTCATATCGTTGTGAAGTCCTTAGATGGCGAATTCCGCAAATCTCGATCTTTCCGTAATCTTGAACTTGCGAGATCTCCGTGTTTTATGAACGTGCCTCAGTTAATGACAGTCAAATTGCACCCTGTACATCTCGAGTACCTGAAATATCCAAGACTCCGTTATTGGCCGACACAAAATTCAAATCCCTTTCGAGCTTCTAGAAATCGTACACCTGTTATTTGGTACTTAACCAATATCAACGCGAGGGAAATCTTGTGTGAATGAGCCTTTGTGACAAATTTATAAGCATCCACAAAGTTTTCATCTTATTGTTCTTGGCTACTTGGTTGCATTGTATTAAATCGCATTACTGATTCAGTCATGTCCACAAAAAACGTACTTCTATCATTTATTTTAAGAGAAGAAGGGAAATCTTGTTCATCAACCACTTAAAGGAATTTATAATTTAGAGTCGGTAGAGATCTGGGATTTCGTTAGTTCTACTTCACTCCCCGATTAGTCCAGAGAAAACGCGTGCCACCCTTTCGACCAATCAGGCTTAACCTAAAGACGATCGCCACTTGTGCACTCACGTTTTTCCGCCCTTATGGCAAGTCACATGTATTTTTTTTGGATTCTCATCTGTTCCCAGCGATACTTCTTTTTTTCAAAAACCCATCAATCTTTGGCTTTGGTTTCACAACATTTCTCTTTCTCCATTTATGTGAGATTAATTTTTGTTCAAAATTATAAAGTTAAAATATTGATATCCCGGGAGAGCGCCCTGTAAAGGTACGACTTTCATTCAATCTATTTTCCTCCATTTTATTCAAAGATTTCCAAGCTGGTCGTTTGAAGACTGGGCCCAGTTTGAGCTTGATACTTTGGAAGACATTTTCAAGAGATCAGACTGGCAAGAGAGAGCCCTGAAACCTGCTCTATCTTCCATTCTCGCCCCAGCCCTCTGCGCTGTTTACGGTAAGCATGTAATGGGGGGATAAGCAGGAAATAGAGACTAGGAATCAGTTCTTTATAAACGAATATTTAAAGTATCGTATTCATTGAGTATATCATCAAATAGAATTTTTTTTGCAACACTTTATTTGTTCTTTCAGCGACATATGGGGATAACGAAATCTCGAATCTCGATGATGACCGAGTCGTTTTGCGACAATATACACTTAAGGTTGGTTAAGTCAGTTCTCGTAAACTATTGAATAATCACCAAATCAAAAGAATCATAGATAAAAAAAAATTTAAAAAAAGAGGAGAACTATGAGGGAACGAGAATGTATCGATTATTTATTGATTTGTCACTAAGTCCTATTAGAGGTCGTGGAACCAGCATGCAATCATGCATTCTTCCTACATTGAAGCAGATCGATAAGACATGACTCGACTATAAAATGATTTACCACGATCTTTTTTTCACAGGATTTATCCAGCATTGAAGTTAAGATACAGAGAGCGGATAGTCCCAGCTCCCCGAGCGATAGCTTTTTCTTCCCGATCACGGATGACCGCGAGAGGTCTCGGTCACTGGAATTACTCTACCCGCCGATTGCAAACATAGTTGAGGTAAAGCACGCACAAGCGACGTAGCTTTCATAGTTGGTCTAGATCAATCTAGTTAAACTCACAAAAATGTAAGGCAGAGACATTGGGAAGATTACCAATCATGTTTTTAGGTAAGAAATCAAGATATGAAAGAGTTCCCTTTCCTTGAAATGGCTTTGAAGTGACATGGTAGGAGACACGTTACCATGTAACGCGCGTGCAAAAATAACACGCATGTAAGAGCGCTTTTCCTTTTGGGAAAATCAAATGACCTTTTCAAGCAGAGGGCTTCGAGCTTTATTGAAAAAAAAAAAGAGAGAAAAACTGACTCGAATAGCAAGCCATGAACTTATCTGTTCCTTTTGTCTTCTCTTGGTAGATCAAAGAAAAACTGCATCCTCCCTGTGATTCCGGAAGGTCCTCGCCAATATTTGTTTCTGGGTACGAAGCAGAACGACAAAGAAACGACATCAAGCAGTTCGGACGAGAAGTGGCGTCTAAGCTTGCTGAAAGAAGAGCTGAATACGCGAAACGAAGAGCGAGTCAGATTCATGAAGAAAGGGAAATGATCGAGGTAATACTCTCTCGTTTTAACACCAAATTCTCCTCACTGATCTATGACAAAAATGTATAACAGTTGGAGGAGAGAATTCAGTTTTAATCTACAGATCTTGGCTAGTTAATCAGTATGATCTGTTTTTTTCCGACAGCGTAACATAGAAGAAGCAGTCAGAAACAAAGCGAAGCAGTTGCAAGTGGCGGACCACTTAGAGAAGGACGGTTCGTTCCTAAAGGAAAGACGAGCCAAGTTATGGAGACGGTGTGCCAACATGGCGGAAATTTTAGCGAAAGAAGAAACAGAGGCCACGCTTTGGCAGAACAAATATAAAGAAGCTATTTCAGTCGCATCCGGGTGTTTCATGTTTTTTTAAGCAGACCAGTTTGCAGAGGATTAACTGTAGCCTCAGTGAAGGACGCCACGGTTCACGGAGAGATGACAACGAGTCTTCCTGCCTCGACGGGGCGGTCCGGCTCAAGAGCGATGCTAATCCAAGAGGGAAGGTACTCGCGAGACTGAGGCTACTCACGAGAGTGAGGTTGCTTGCGAGAACGAAGGATGTCAAGAGGAGAGCCGACCGCGCGAACTGAGCCGATCTCAAAATTGTGCACGAGTGCGAGGCCAGTCACGAGAACGAGGCTTTCACCTTAAAGAAATAGACGATGTGATCTTGGCCGGCACATCTTTACACATACGTGTAAATTCAAAAATTTTTAATGATTTTTAATAATTTTTAAACAGCCGTTGACAAATACAAACATTAATGAGGGAAAACCTACTTTTTGAGGCCAGCTTTTTAAATTGAATTTCCTGGATCTGATTCCAAGAGTGACGATGCCTACATGGCAATTACGGCTTTTTCTTTTTATAAATTCCCGGTCAGAAGTTTTACCTTTTATTCAGTCTAATGATGGAAATATTTCTAGTTACAGTATTAAATTACCATGCTTCTATCTTTTCACGATGAATGTAAAAACAAAAACCACCGGAATAAAAAGAATATGTAAATGAGCCTTCCTGTAATGTCTCAGCGGACCCGACGCGTTGGAAGCAATTTGATATTCTTATCTACATGTCTTAACGAAATGATTATAGATTTGACAATCTACAGGAAAGGGAATGAGGTCTTCATTACCCGAAATTAGTCAAAAATTGCGCTAATGTTATCCTGGGTTCCATGTCAGCGTGAGGGGACTATACGCTTGGCGATGATGTTCAATTTGTGTCAAGAGTACATTAAATTTCAAATTTCTGATCAGAATTTCCGTATTCTTGAATGCCTGTGATGATGAAATAAATCCACAACCATCAAGCTGTCGGAAGTTGGAAAATAACGATACGTATATAGGCCTACAAATGAAATTAATCGTTTCAGTTTGTTCTTGCCAGTCACATAATCATGTAGGCGACCCGTAGATCAATTACAATTACCTATTACCTACAAATTTATCTCAAAGGAGGTGTTATCTATTTTTGCTTTTTCTTTTCGTCTTCCCCCAAAATTTCGAAAGTTTAAATATCCTTGTACAAGAGGGTGTTTATAATTGCTTCAGGAATAGCGCAACTTGTGCTAAAAATAGTCCCACAGGAAGCGATAAAAGACAGCTGACTTTTTTAAAATTTCTGGTTGGCAATAAAAGACAGTTTTGAAAGGACGTTTGCGGCATACAGCGCAAATTTAAAACCTTTCCGTCTGCGTCAAGCCGTTTTATTTTTAAAATATAGCGCTTTTTTTTATTTTGCATAAGAAGCGAACAAGGAATTTTTGCTATTTTTTAACAGGGTTTTTTCCTTAGTCTATGGGAAAAGCAAACGAAATTAGTATTCATGGATGCCTTTTCCATTAACACAAATTTTATCGTTGAAAAAAAAAAAAACGGAAAAAAATCGAGCGTAGAAAGTGACAAGAGGTATGGGGATAGTGGACGAGAGCTACACACTCGTCAATCCTCCCTCCTCGATTGCTCGGCTCATGTTTCCGTGCTCTTTAAATCCGGGTTTAAACTAAACACTCGTAAGACGCTGAAGCAAGGCCAACGATAGGATGTGGATTTAAACGTGATTATATCCCTCAGTGTAGCCTTTATTTCGCCGTGGAAGTGATTCAAATGATTAATGTCGGCAAGTTTGAAAGATGAAGTCCTAAATTCTTGACGCACTGAAAAATAAATGGCCATCGTAGTACCTTTTCGTGTTATCCGCTTTTTACGTCATTTAGTCCTTCACTAAAAATTCACCTGCGACTGCTTTCATAAGGGTGGACTTTTTGCAAATGAACGATGGTGTTACGCGGTGGATCCTAAGGGATACACGCGAGTTAGTTTGGTCGCGCGTGAAAGAAGAAAAAGGTAATTGTGCACACAAACGAAGTAAAGAACCACAGCACTTACGACTAAGGTTTTTCTTAGTAAGAGTATAAGTCAGAGAGCAACGACGCTGATATTTCATGGTGGGCGGGAAACGCTGCGTTTTGCAAACCAATATAAGTTGCGCTAAATGTGTTTAAGGCCCACACCGTAGGCGTTGAGGGCGATGAAATGAAATTAATTCATTAAGGCCATAGCTTTCACCCTTGTAATCGTGTTTTTTTTTTCCTCACTATGTAAAAAAGGAATATTTATCATTCTGATTAAGACACAGAGAGAGAGAGAGAGAGAAAAGGATTTAACTGCGCATGCGTATTGTAAAAATCTCTTAACATCACTGCGTGTTCAATAATATCGCGTCTTTCGGAAATTCTCGCGATTTCTATTTGCTAATAACGTAACCCAGAGCTGGTAGTGTGAATTTGACAAACAAAATACATTTTTATTTATTTCGCTAGATTTATGCACCCCACAAGTGGCAGTTTGGCTGGGCCATTAAAAATCTTGAGAGCACGTGACTTCGTTATCATCAGTTAGGGTGATCCTTACCTGTGGTCCTTCGGGACACAGTGAGGAACGTGATGAGAGAGAGGGAATGATTCTTCGTGAGTTAAACCTCTCGGCCCTGATGGCTGCAACACCATCAGAGGCTATCTCTGACCCCTGCTGATGTCTCTCCAACACGATAACCTAAGAGTAAGTCAGTACAGAAGAAACTTCATGCGACTCGACGATCGAGCTCACAAGTTCTCCATCGTTCTTACTAAACTGACTCAAACGACAGTGCTGTACCTCGCAGTATATAGGGCGCCTGTCACGTATGAACTTAATAACCGCCTTGCTTATCACAGTAAATTCCGAATGTCTAATGTAAGATTCCTCGGGGAAGAAAACAATTTTATTCGTTGCGCGCCCGTGAAAAAAGAAAACGAAAAACATCTTTGTTTAGTATTAGCTTAACAGATACCATCCCTTTTAATCCTCTCAATCCCCGTCGATCTTTTTTCCTTCTTAGTTCATTGTAGTCCGTTTAGTGTTGTATAATCCAACGGCGCCAATATTTCGTTTTGTCATTCAAGGTTAAGGAGTTTTCCAAGCTACAATTTAAAAAACTCCTTTGAGCTACGATATAATGCTACGCAGATCAAGCTAACATTGTTCATATCATCTAGATTTTATTTAACATTTCTAAAGAGAAGTAAAAATAAATACTTTACAAAATTTTCTTTGTTCACTAATAATATACATAAGAATATATATTAAATATATTCACAAATGTTTCGCATATTTGTAAAATTTGATTCACTAGATCAATATTTACATTAGTGACCTATTCAAAATCAACTGAGAAACCGTACAATAAACCTTTAATAAGAATGTGTTTGCTACATCAGCATTTGTTTGCATCTAAAATACCTCAACGAATACAGAGAAATTGCTAAATTTTTGCGAAGATAGAATAGTGTCTCATTAGCTCAGCTCAATAATAATTTGAGTGATCTGTTGTAGGGTGGGAATCTTCTCCCACTGGAAGTAAATTATCCCTTCTTGTCAAAATCACCAGAAAGTACAATGCTCATCACTCTCTGTCTGAGCATCCAGTCTTGGATCTCCTTACTGCAGTTCCATGTCTCCTTACAGAAGTTCCATGTCTGATCCACTCTTAGCCTAGGTATAAGTCCACAAGATGACTGTAGAACACACTAGGTGATTTTTGCTATGACACAATACATGTCTTTGAATCAACTACTGCGTCTGCATCATCACTGTCTAACCTTGGGATTCCATCCAGAAGCTGTAGGTGAGGCAAAATTCTAAATACCCTGAAAAAAGGAAAGAGTGTTTTCATATTAGCTTCCTAGATTCATGGTATCTTTAGAAACACCTTCACAATCTTATATAAAACCTCAAAACAGATCAATGCAAAATTACTTCTTGTTTCATGTGTTAATTCTGTGAATAATTTTCACAGCATTTTTTGACAGATCAAGGGCATTAAAACTGCACCTTAATGCTTGATGCATTAAATTACAGGTGATCAGCAAGAATCCTAGTACCAGAGGAAATTTGTCTCTCAGAAATATGGCTCATCAAGGGGAAAGAACTGGGAGAACTGAGCCAACACAAGATGAACAGCGAGTCTCTTCACAAAAAAGAGACCAGTCATAAGAAAGAGCTTCTTACATAATAGAATTAGATGGTGTGATCTTAGCCAGGACATGGTTGAGAAAAAAAAACCTGACCACTTTGCAGGACAAAACACTAAACCAAAATGATGAAACAATAAAAAGACTTGAGCAAGTAAAAAGGAAAGAATTTGAATGAAATTTCTTCAGTATTCAGATTGGCCAAGTCTGTGTAGGTGACAAAGAAACAGAAATTACACTAAAAAGGTTAAAACATAACTTACTGCTGTCTGTAGTTTGGGTCCAACTCCACAGGATTCCCTTTAAGAACTAATGATTGAATTGTGGTTTTTCGCAGTAGATCCAGACCCTTTAAACTTTCCACATTATTTTGTTGCAGCGATAAGTGAAGCAGCATGGGAGCCCTGGGAAGTTTCTGGGAAACAACAATAATTGTGTCAGAAATACAGATAAAGAGTTAAAGAATCTGCAAGTTGCACCTATAACTTAACCCTTTACAACCTAACATCAGTATGCATTCTCTCTATAATGTTCTCTATAAATTTCACAAGGCACTGACAAGGAGAATTAGTATGATGATCAAGAACTTCAAAGAATTTGTTCTTTGTCCTACGCTTGTGACAAGACAAAAACTATCTTTTCCCGAGAACTTCTCTGTTGGTAACCATCTCCTTTATTCTTGAGACCTTGGGGTGGTATTATAGGGAGATACCAGATACTAGTGAAAGGGTTGATCGCTTGTGGATATTTCACTCATAAAAGTGAAGGCGAGTGGGGCAATTTGGATGTACATCAAAACAATGAATAAATTATCTAAAATACATTAAGAGGAATAAAAATTCTCAACACCTACCCTTAAATCAGTAATGAAATTTCTCTGCAGGTAAAGATGTGAACATCTGAAAAAACAAAAATTGTGATAACTTTAGACAAGATCAATCTAAAATTTATGTTGAAATACTATAACCCAGGTTCAGTCTACCAGGAAGAACAATAAAGAATGTCCAACTTGACCCACCTCGGAAGGAGAACACTGCTCAAATCTTGTATAGAATTTTCCATAAGCTGCAAATTTTCACATCTTAAAAGCCTTCTAAGGACCCGCAGAAATTCTTTCTTTTGATAAGGATGCCCTAAATCTTGATATGATAAATTTACAGACTGAAAAAACAAAAACAAAAAAATTTCATTACAACAAATAGAGGGTGTAAGTTTTTAAGGAAACTGGGGTTTTGCATCAGTGGAGATTATTGCAAGGTAATTTGATTTTATTAACTGGGTTGATAACGTAAATAATTTGGCTACTTTAAAGAGTTTCTAAAGCTAACATTTCAGTTGAATGACAAAGGCCTAACACCTAACATGTCAGCTTCAGAAACTCTTTCCAGTGGCCAATTTACATGATCAACTCTTCAGTTGACAAAACTAAATTAAAATTCTTTACAGGCATGTCAAAGCAATTTAATCCAAATACTACAACAGGTTGAGATGTTCCACAACAGAAAATGTACATATAAGTTAAGTGTGCATATATTGGACACAAATTTACCTCAGCATTTTCCCAGTTTTCCATCTTGTTCTTGTAGTTTCGTATTCTTTTTGGTTTGCTCTTTTTGAGGGGTACAGCAATTCTGAATTCTTCATTATCAGAATCCCCTAATTCTTCTTTTTCTTGCTCATGCACTTTACGAATATTCTCTACTTTGAATCCTTGAGGTGCTGGAGAAGATCAAAGGGTTTTAGATTAAGCTTGTGTATTGGAACAAGCAAAATTGAAAATCACACCAGTTCACATAAATTTTCAGGGGCTGGAGATAATGGAAATGTTATATGTTGAAGGAGGTGGGTTAAGTAGGGGGCAGGGATGATAAAATTAGAAGGAATTCATTTTATTTCACATGCTTTTATTCAATCCTGTGAACTGACTTTGGTCAGAATATCATGCCCCAGTCATGCGGAAAAAAAACCCAATGGGGAAGGGAACAATTAATCAATTAAGACCAAAATATTTCAGAACTATCTTCTTGCATATGGTGTAAAGATCCGCTGTCTCGGACCTCCTTGAAACTGTTTCAAATGTATTAGGAAAATCGAGTTATCTTCGTTTAAAACATGACATGGCAGTTTGAATTACTTACTCCTTCTGACTCTGGGAGACCTTAGCATGTTTCCTTTGACATCCATGTCTTCCAGTTCATGCCATTTGCTGTATCTGTACTTGGACGAAGGCAACTGGTGAAAAGAAAAAAACAGAAGCATTAAAATCCAACTAACGGGAAATGAACGACTCTTTCGTAGCGGACTAATAATTTATCGGCAGTGCGCCCCAGGTCACAAAGTCTGAGCTGTTTCTATGAGTGCATTTTTGATGCGTTTCAATACAACAAAAGGTTCCGAAGGCAGCTCAATGACCGGAAAATTTCGCTACACAATACTACGTCGCTTCAGATGAAGGTTAATACAGTACGCAAGTTTAAAAGATAATTCGAGATCTATCCAGAAGTACGTCTTAAGGATTTTTATGTTCGCGGGAGCCATCATTTTGCCGCGAGTTTGTATACAAACAGGCAGTTCTTCTCTACTTTCTCCAAAACTACCCATTTGTATGCATGATTCTCGTCAAATAAGTCATCTGAAGGGCTTGAAAATGCAGTGAAATGTTCCTCTAAACTAAATGTGAAAAAAAGATAACTTATTGAGATAAACTTCACCCACCGGCAAAGCATCCTCAGCTTCGTAGCTGAAATGTGATCGTTTTACATGTGTTTCTTCTTGTGCTTCATGAACTGTTAGGACCACAACCGGCACAGAGGTATAAACTTCTCCCTCATCTCGGGACGATCTGTGGTATAAAGAAGGAGAAGTGGTTAAATCGAGGTTTTTCTGCTCACGCTGCATACCAAATACCAAAGAAAATAAAAATAACACAATCACTCACTCGTCTGCCATTATCGGGACGGTCATCTTGGAAGAAGCTTCGAGGGTTATCAACAGTAAGTACACTTAATTTCACAGCATCATCGGGCTTATCTTCAGCTAATAATGAACTCGTAGGAATCTGAAGTCAGCAAAGATCTACTCGATGTAAAAAGGACAGGAAACTTGAGCTTGTAGTCATTCGTGGAGATCAAAATTGCGTTTGATCACTGGAGCGAGAGCTTTGTCGTAATCCTTCACGGTACGAGCCTTTGTGACGTAAGTTACCTAGCAACACGGTAAATAAACAAGTACTTCGTGGCTTTGTTCGTCGTTAGAGGTCAGCCTAATCTCCCGTTTATTGGCGTATGAATCTATTGTTTTGTGGGTGTCTGGGATTTTGTTTGTATCGCTGCTCGGCTACACAGGAAGGTTTGTGTAACTAGGCATAGCAATGAAAGAATTTAAAACTTCTAGATCCGACGGTGGCGACAGCAGAAAGTTTCGCTTGAAACCGCAACGCGCTAACGTTTTTTACTTCTCTTGATATTTAGCTGACTTCAAATGTAATATCTTCGTAAGATTTTTGTTTGCAGCCTCTTGAAATCAAGGTAATTCACAACGCTGCACAGTTATGTAAAGTATGGCGTGACGAGGAAATTATATTGGCAAGTCACACTTGAGGAAGCTGTGACCTATTTCATCGTTTTTCATCGCTTTCGTTTTTCGCCGTACCATGTGTTTTTGCGCTAATCAACGAACTTTCTTAAGTCTTTTTAATTCCTTTTCCTCTTTTACTTTCTTTTTTTCTCTTCGTTTGGAGAGAAAAATCTCTGACGCCAAGTTTTAGTGATACAATGAAAGTAGTCTCTCTTGCTAGAGACTTAACAAGTTACAACCTCATCAACTTAAAATTTTCAAGTATGATGGACAAGAAATTTAGCATTTATTTTTCTCTTTTGCACTTTTTATCACTCTCCCTTTTTTTTTTAGAACCTGCACATATTGATGCAGGGAAAGGGGGAGGGAAGGCAGACGCACATATAGCATTTACAAAACAAAAACTGAGGAGTTCTTTTTTTTTTCTATTTATTTTTGTTTTTGTTTTTTTTTACTTATAAACAAAACGAAAAATTAAAATCTAACGATAACATTTTATGCTATTGGGTTCTTTCAGAAGTCTACATATGCTCCTGGCACTTTTTAATACTTAAAAACTACTCAATAGTACAATTAAAGCGTTTTTCTAAAATACAGCCCCTGGAAGAATCCATACTCTAAAAAAAATTCCAGTGGTGCCATATTCAGTATACCAACGAAGAAAAAAATATGGAAAAAAAGTTCCAATGCCGAGCTCGTGTCTCACATAGTTCCTTAGCTATACAGTAATCTATTCTAATGAGTATGGTTCTACAAGTGATACTTCGTGCTTGCATCGAACCAAACTTCAAAACGAAACAACCTTCCATTCAGAAAACAGCAACCTTGCACTGTACTTGACGTTAACTATTAACAAACAACCATAACAAAACCCATTGTACTATACAATATCATACACTTCTAATATACTTTGACCTGAAACAGGTTTAACTAGAAACAAATAAACAAAGAGAAATAACAATGACCTCTCCAACTTCTAACAGAAAAACACAATTCTGAGGCACACTTCAAGCAATTTGTAAATGAAGTAAACTGAGTGAAATTTGCGCTACACTTATATTGTAATTTATCAATTTCTTACCCTTTATTATAAAATTATTTATCATTTACAACTACTTTCAATCATCTAAAGTTTGCAAAGTAAGCCTATGTATATAAATCTTTATACATGCTGAATTGATAAAAATAAATTCTAAAGACTTTTATACATAGAGGCCAAATCACAAACTGAAGACATTGCTCACATGGAGCTGACTTGTCAATGTGCATATAAAATTAATTGAGAGCTCTTGCAAAAATACTCATTTGTATGTTGGCTTTACTCCATTTTGGTTGCATTGCCACCTTCATTTAAGTCAAATTTAACAGGCAACAGTGTATGAAATGAGGCTAATATCTAAAATGACATCAGAGTTTATCATAAATTGTAACATTTAACAAAATAAAGATAACCAAACCTACCCAACCAGGGAAAAAAAGTTTACCACTCCTTCATGAACCACACTTTGGTTAATAAATATATTGTATCTGGCAAGCTTGTAGGCTAAGTTGAAATACAAACTACTAATACTAAGCAATACTACAAATGTCTTTTAAGTTACTTATTATCACACTGCTTTTTTTTACTGCCAAGTGTTTCTGTTCATTCTCATAAGGAGGGAAAAGCAAAGCAGACAAAGAAGCAGAACAAATAGAGCAGACCTGTGAAACAAGTTTTTCTACTGTACAAAATAACCACCTGTAAAATATCCCAGGATATTTGCAATCTATTTGTCCGTTGTTTGTGCTGTTGAACGATAGATGTGACACATATCATTAAGTATTTACAACAACAAACCCGTGTTTTAAAATTGCAGTAGCACCTATTAAGGTGCTGTGCAATAAAATGTACATGATTCAGTATATATCACTATTCAAGTTACAAACCTCTAATCAAAATAACGATCTCAAGTAAAATGCCACTGAGGTGAGAAATATTCTCAGAGCAAAGTACATGTTTCACATAGATGATAACGATTTCATGTCCCACTGCATATCAACTCAAAGTTTCCAATATGACAGTTTGAATTTGATAACATTTATGCATTGCTTATAAGTGGAGGTTCAGTATTTGTCATCCCCTGATCAAACAATTATCTACAATCTTTCTATAATCTTTTTTTCTTATTTTCAATTTTAAATTGCATCAATATTTGGAAGCTAAAATGACTCCGAAGTAACAAATTTAGTTTTTTCTTTAAGATCCCAAAATAACCAATGCTACTTAAGTGTTGTTACATGTTTCCTGCATAGTTTTCAGATTTTAATTTTCATCCACTACTTGGAACATAGGAACATTGGTCCATTTATCCTTTGTAATTGGATCCAACTGTGCATTAATTCATGGCTGAAAGCCTTTCTTGTCCAAGGACACTGTTCGTCTGAGGGTAAACCTCACTGCATTGAAGCCTGTCCCTCCTCCAGAACTCTGCTGTGACGAGGAAGGAGAGTGATTTGAAGATCCTGAATCTGATCGTGACATCGGCATAAGTGGTGGCGTGCCCTCAATGTCATCCTGCCAAAATATGTTTCTTGCCATCATGACATTGAATTTATTTAACAAATGTAATTATCAGCCTGGCCAATGTGAGCATAAACATTCCACTCAAATCAACAACTTGGGAAAATGCAGTCATCTCAGACTAAATTTGTTTTACCCTTTTGACTCACAGAAGTGATGAAAATGTAACTTCTCCCTTTAATATCCATACTTAATTCAGCAAAGGGGTGATGAAAATACTCAAACTCAGGTAAAGATTGTGATCTTGACCTAACATCATATTCTTGTCACTAATTTATGAGGAAATGTGTCGTACAGCAGCGAGAGGGGAGAATTAACAATCAAATCTTGGGGGTTTACAGTTTAAAATGCATCAAAAAGCACAGTTATATGTAATAATAATAATTTTACAGTGAGATTTTTTGAAATTGATATAAATTGTATTTCAAAAAGAGTAATTCTCATTTATAGATGAGGTGGTACATTGCATAACTGATCTGACGATCAATTGTTGGTCAATAAGCATTTAAAAGGTCATTCAGTAAGTCTTTCAACCAATCGGTTATTTAGTGACGGACTGGTTGAAAGACAGACTGATGAACAGTTTATATGGACCCTTCTAAGAAATACCAGCTTCATGGCAAGGGGGGTAATGTGTTTAACTATATTAGTTTGTATGATGAAGTTCAGTAACAGTCTTTCTGTTCATTGATAGGTCAATCAGTCAGTTGGTCAATTATTCCGTCAGCCATTTAGTTAGTTACTAACTGGTTGGTTGATTGAAAAATTGACTGACAGTTTTAATCAATCTCCCAAACATATCATCAAGCACAAAAGTTTTTCAACACAAAAAGCTTTCACTCTTTTGCCTGGTGCTTATCATATTGTTAACCTTTCTACACTATTCGTTCAAAAATTCTTAAACAAGTCACCACGTGTGTTTTAAAGGAGCAAGTGCTTCAATGCTTTTGTCAGGTCAGTGAGCAGTTGTGTGATTAATTTGCATGATGTAACTCAGCAGCTAGTGCCCTCTTTCAACTGATCAGTCAGTCAGTCAGTTGGTCAACTTTCCATTCAACCATTCAGTCAGTCAGTAACTGGCTAGTTGAATGAGAAATTGACTGACAGTTTTAGTCAATCCTAAAAACATTTCATGCTCAAAAGTTTTTTTTTTGGGATATGAACAGCTAGAACTCTTTTGCCTGGTGCTTAACCAACACATTGTTTTTCTTTCTACACTATTTAGTCAAAAATGCTCTAAAAAGCCTCCATAAGTGCTTAATTAACTTTCTTGTTGGGGCAGTTAAGAGTGTGTGATTAATCTTTGACACCCTAACATCAGTATGCATATTCTCCATAATGTTCTCTATACATTTCCTGAGGTGCTGACAAGGAGAATTTGTTTACCCATCAAAATCTTCTTAAGTTGGTGATCATTTCATTATTCTCATAACCTCAATGTGTGATCTGGGGTGATCTTGTAAGGAGAAATTAGTTGCGTGTCATTTTTAGGAGTCAAAGGGTTGATTTGCATTAAGAAATGAAGTAGCAGTCCATCTGTGGAATGATCACTTGGTCAGTCACTTATTCGGTCAACCATTCAGTCAGTCAGTGACTGGTTGGTTGAGTGAAAAATTGACTGCAAGTTCTATTCAATCCTTAAGACACAATATAATTATCATGCACTAAGTTTTTTTTGTTGTTTGCAACACAAACAGCTGCCATTCTTTTCCCTGGTACTTTTAATATTAACTTAATTCTTCTTAAAATTTCATTAAAAAATGCTCAAACAAGCCAAAGATGTAAGAACCTTTACTTATGTGTCAAATGAGTCTTATTTGAGATTTATTGACTAAAAGCAACAACTAAAAATTGTAGTTTTGACATGGAACTGTCTTACAGGCCATCAGCCAAATTGTGCCATATAGCCTGCCTTTAGTTGGTGACCGACTGTCTGGCTGTATGAGAATGACTGATGAATGTTGTGTGTACTAGCTTATAATGGTGCAATAAAAACACACAAAAACAAACAAACAATCTAAAGAAGATCTGGTTGACAAACTTACTGGAAGTGACTCTGTGGAGTTTTGAGAGTCTGAATTTGAACTCTGAGTATTCTGTGAGTCAGGCAGATGGTGTGAATTCTGCAACATTCTTGAGGTTTTCAGTCTCCCACAGGGCGGACAGCTGTGAATTCCAAACAGCATACATTAAACATACAATAGGAATAAGTTAAATAATACACAAATTTTGATTGGTTCTTACTGATGACGCACCTTGCTCTATAGGTATCTATCTGCGCCTGTGGTACCATGTCCATCATATCCAAACCCTCTTTCACTTTCAGCAGGAGCTCATACTTCTCCCTGCCCCTTACCTAAAGGAATAAACCCCAGAGTTCAGTAATTTCCAAACACAATTTGAACAAAATGTAACCACAATACGTACTTCTAATAACTAATATGTGCAGATTTTTCCCAGAAAATTTTTATTTACCCCTTTAACACCTTAGAGTGACTAGCATTTAATTTCTCCAACCAATGACAGAATTTCTTGTTACAATTTCAATACAACATCAACCAGATAAGTGATGAGAATAAAGAAAAATATCAATTAGGGATAATTAGTTGATCCAATACTAAATTCTCTGAATTAACATTATCAGTGAGAGTTGTATGATTGACAGTAAGAAGAATTACAAATTTGATCTGGGGGTTAAAGGGTTAAGGTCATGAGAATTAAGGAGATGATCACCAACTTAAGAAGCTCTTGATTGAACAAATTCTCCTTGTTAGAACTTTTAAGAAATGTATGGTGAACAGTATGGAGAATATGCATAATGATTTAAGTGCGTAAAAGGTTGAGGCAAGAACACAAAAATTGCCAACTTGAAACCTTAATTTATATTTATTTATCTTCATTCTTGCAACAGTTTTTCATTAAGGCAACAAGTTGAACAATTCCAAACTAGCTTAAACTTGGGTGATAATTGCAGCAATAAAATGAGATGCTGCGACTTGTGCACACAATGCTGTTTGTGATACAGCCACTTAATCGTCTTTACTGTTTTTCCCTGTTTTTTTCTTGTCTGAAATAGTTCAGGGCCCAGTTTATTGGAAGGGTGATTGGTGTTGACCCAAGGTAAGATTTTAATCTGGGTTTATTTATTCCTTTGTTCAAACAGCTTTCAGCAGTTAGTCTTCCCCATTCTTTTTAGAGCATCCAATCATGAATTGTACACAAAATCAACAAAATGTACTCAAAAAGAATTGTAATTAGTTTTCTTTTAAAACTTTCAGATCTGAAATCAGATTTCACACTAATCCTGGGTTGTCTTGACCCCGTCTCAAAAAGCCTGACCCTGTTGAACATTCATTAATTTTCTCATCTCATACACAAAATCAGAAGAGTGAAGAAGGATATTTCCCAACTAAATTTCCACCAACCTGGAGAGTAAATATCTCCTCATCTTCCTCCTTCCTCAAGCGTTTCATCAAATTTCTGTCAACAGACACTGAGCGTACCTCAAATCCAGAAGACATGGTGGTATGAGCTGTAATCAAAGGAGAGGCAAAGGTTTTACAAAAATAATTTAATCGTGCAGGGTAATGGAGCATTCTCTCATTCTTTTTTGATCACAAGGAATAAAACAATTTGCTTAAAATCAAAGTGTTTGCTACAGGATTGATGATGGAAACACTAATTGAAAAAAACTTTTTTAACTTGTTTTTGAGATCAAATTGAAAAATAAAACCAGGGAAGAGGGATGTAACCCACAGTGGACTAGCACCTGTTCCAGGGGGAGTAACAAAACTGTACACCATTGCTCCGCATCAACTTCTTGTATCAAAAAAAATTTACCTTTTGGAATTGTACATGGAACTCCAAACTTACATCTCTTTTTAGTTAGTTTAGGTACTTGAGTATTTTGACTGGTGTCATCTGTACCAGTGGAAGTAGAAGGTTCTTGTGGAGGAGTCTGAGGAGCTGTAGATGTTTGAGGTGTTGTAGGCGGAGTCTCCGTTAGGGAAGAAGTGCTTACTGGTTGAGTCTGGTGGTCTATCACAGGCATCACAGGCACAACTGTGTTCCTTGATTGCTTTTTTGCCTCGGCAATCTCTTCATTGGTCCTGTCTCTTCCGGGACATGCACATATGCGTATATTTTGAGCTTTTCTTCCAACTACAGTATTACTGTTAATGAAAATTAAGGAAAAACTTTAAAATATATTCATGTACATGTTGAATGAACAAAACTAATGGCACTAATCCAAGTTCTGCTTAAATGAAAGCTGCCATTTTGCAACTGTAACTCATAGTACAGTTGCCAGAGACAACATTTTTATGACCAGGAAAAACACTGAAAGCTTTGCATTTTGTAACATTTATGCAACAAATAAAGGCTAAATATCTAGACAAACAATGAGAAAGAGACAAGTTATAATAAAAAAAACAAACAAACATACTAACAATCAAAGAGTACATAAATTTCAGAAAAATGTTAACCTTTCAGTATTTAAGCCACTGACAGCATTGAGCACTGAATTTCCATAGTTTCATGAAAGCTTCTACAAAGATTGATCATCTTGAAACAATGAAGCACCCACTTACTTTTGCTCCAATGTGAAAATCACAAGGATAGGACGCCTGTTCAAACCCCCGGGACATGAACTGAAGCACATAAACTGGAACATGTTGGTAACAAAGTCACTTCCAGCTGCAAAATGTAAATCAAGAGAGGATGGAATGGGAATCAATATGAGAGGAACTGTTCATGAAAATCATAGCCATAGATTTTATGTTTAACAAATAGATTCCAAGTTGCCGTGCATCTGTTGCATTCTGATGGAGGGCACAAAGGGTTTACCAAGAGTATGATTACAGAACAAATAAGACAAAAAGCTTTGAATCACACAGATGTCATCAAAGATTAGAGCTTCAGAGTTGACTTCACATTTTCTGAAGGCCACAACTCCACCTATGATTCAAGCAGAGTAACTACACTTTATTGTTAAAGTACCTTGAGGTGCATCCAGTGGTATTTTCAAACTGTGTCTGCCAGTCTCAGGACATGTGACGTAAAATGTGTTGGGATTTTCACATCTCAACAAGTGTTTTGGAGCATGATGGCCTGAAAAAAAAAACAAACAAACAATTTTACTCAACATCAGCACAGGTATAATTACTAAAACAAATACTGTTAATAAGACAAATGACTAGTGTTTCAAGCTCTGACCATTTTTGGTCACCATGGCATGGCAAGTGGAAAAAGATTTTTGCAAGAATTTGCACTATAATGTAGCAAGTTGTTCCTGATCTTGTACAAAGTTGAAAAGTTTTAATCTGTGTGTGTGTGTTTATAGTCGTCAATTAACATTTAATCTAAACAACATCTACAGTGTGGAGCTTGGACTTGATTACTTATGCCCCATACACATCCAGCAAACCATTCATTCGAGAAGTTTACCATCTTTGTGTTTAGTGATATGATTAGGACATCGCTCAACAATTTCTCGATAATGATCAGGTTGCCTGTAAATCACCACCACTCTGATGTAAAACCCTGCATGGGCTGGAGGGAAAACTAAAACAAAAAGAAATCAAAGAAACAAGTTGGTATAAGGAAGCATACACATTAGTTTGAACAGAAAAAAACTTATTCCACAAGACTTCTCTATCATGAAAAGCTCAAGTCATAGGGAAGTCATGAAGTTCAAAGTTGTATCTGCCTCATTAAACTGATGCTGGAAAAACCACAATCTGATGTAATCCACCTTGCAAGCTCTGTTTATACAAGAGTAAGGTTCGACAGTGGCCACAAAACTGTACCCGAAATTCTACATGTAAATAACTCTTACCGAAAGCTAAGACCTTCAAAGACTGTACTTTTTTTAAAACAACCATCAAGGTAACTCAGGATTCTTTACCAATCTCTTGTCTTTTCACCCATTTGGCTCCATATGGGGATACAGGTGTGTAGGTGAGGCTGGTCCCATATTGTATTGATGGCATCACAATAAATATGATTGGATACAAGTAGCTGTAGCCAAATGTCTATCAGACTGAACTCTTGTTCAAGAGATCTTGACTCAAATTCTACCACTATAACAGTATCACAACCATCTTTTTAGTTTTGTTAAACACCCTGCTTCACACTCAGTGATACGGTTGTTTTTTTGTTTGTTTTTTTTTTTTCAGGTGATCCAATTTTCCTACCAACAACAATTCTGACAAGGATTGTAGCTCACAATCTTGTTCTCTTGGTGACCACAAAACTGCACTCCAATCAGAGAAGTATTATGGCGTGCCACAAAACCAAGTTATTTATAACTTCATACAACTGGACAGGTCAAGTCAACAGACTCATGATAAATAAAACACAGAACACTAACCATTTAGCTTTACTCTGATTGGTACAATACACCTCATCTTTACAAACAGTTTTTCTAAGGTAGGAGAGTAGGTCCACTGAGCTGATTTGGTGGGAGGGCCTTTCTCCTCTTCAAATCCCAAACTGAATCCGTACAGACCTGGGAAGTCAGTGTTACACACGATCAGCGGCTGTGGGCTGGGCTGTTCAGGTGGGGGTGTAGCTAAAGTGGATGGTAAAGTAGGAGAGTGGTCCAGAGGTTCCTGCTTGAAGCCTGATTGTTGTGGATTTGGAAAATTTTGTTCTTGTAAAAGTTGAAGCATCTGAATGAAGAAAAGCAGAGTTTCATCTATTGTGTTGTGAGAGGTCAATCTGTAGCTTGAGACCCACAGACCCAACCCTTCTCCTGGTCTCCTTACTATGAAGCAAGTGAGGGTACTGCGGCTTCTTCTGGATAGAATGCTAACTGCCATTTTTCAGGTTTTCCTTACAATTTGCTAAACGAATGACTGGAATTGAGCATTTTTTTTAAACTCCAAATTGAAATTTGTACTATTTATTTCACATCTCAATAACTGTTTAACAATCATGCAGAAACTTTCATGAAAGTAGTACCTCAGGTCTCAGAACAGCAACACTTTCTAAATTCATCTCAACACTCTCTGGAATTGCAAAGGAAAAGTAACAGATCATATGCAAACCTGCTGGCTTTGAAAGTCAGGAAAAAGCACAACTAAACATTTGCACAAAGGCAAGAAAGAAACCTTTAAAGAGTTCCAGTTAGCTAATATAACAACATATTTCTGTACAGTACATAAATTTGTCTGGTTTTTTTCAGAAATTTTTCAGTGGGGGAAGAAAAAGTGTAACAAAATTTTTAGTCACCAGGCCAACAGAAGTCCCAGATACAGCTAGTTACAGTATTCCTTATTAACTTAATTCTAATAAATACCTCATAATAACTGAGTTCAAGGTCTATATTGTAAGTTATAGACCAAGTTTTTTAATGTTTGAGTGTATGTCCCAATGGAAAAGCAGGCCGTACTGTGAAATACTAAATTGACCAATCCTAAATCTAAAGCTATTTAAGAGATATAACAATTCTAAAAAATTAAAGGAGTTCATGGAAAAAGCCAGAAATGAATCCTGATAGAATACTCAAATCTCCTTCCAAAACATCTTGTATTTCCTTGTAAAGCATAGGGAGAAGTAGATGTTGCATCAAAATTCTTGTTAGGAATTTAATCCATGTACCCATTGAATAGAATTTGAAGACTGACTTTGCAGCTACAACAACATACCATGTATATTTTCATCTGACACATTTATAACTGTAGGTGCCACATGAACCTGAGTTTGCATGCTGAAAACAAAACCCAAAATTGTCAATTATAGTTACAAAATGTAATTACAAAGCAAACATACTGTTTCCAACAAGTAATCAGAGTGCAAGTTCTCATAACAATTTTCCCACACAGTAAAAAAGAGAGCCTGTGAGATTCAAGACAGAGCAGAACCTGCTTAACAATAGTAAAAAAAAAAAACACAAACTCAAGCACAACACATCCTGTTTCACCATGAAAATCACCTTAGATGCTAGCAAAGGGCAAGTACAAGTGAAAGGAAATATTCTGATCCTGCTTTGCTTGTGCTTGTAATAATGCACTTGTGTTCATGCTTTCTTCAAGGCTGTTTTGACAGTGAACTAAGAGCTGTTATGCCTATGTTTGTGCTTTATGCTAGCTTGTGCCTGCATCACTAGTGAAAACCAGGCTTAAATCCTGGGTAGACCTTTACCAGTTAAATATTAAAGAAGTAAAAGATCTTCTCCAACAACAAAAGCAAAATAAATAAGCAAACATTTGTACCTCTGCAAATCTCCTTGATTCTGAAACATACTATGAACACTTGAAAACATTTGGTCAAGTGTTTCTTGAGACAGGAAAGGCTCTAAAGAGCAGTTAGAGCCCTGGGATGATGGCTGCGACATGGCTGAAATCGATAAGCACACAATGATCACAATGTTGCTGAAGCCTTTAGTGTCAGCCTTAAAAGCAATTACAAAAAGATCCATTCTGGTTACTAGCATGAATTCTCACCTGCAGAAATAGCTGAAAGTACCGTTAATTCTTTTACTACCAAGTGAGATTTGACCCTTTTCCACCCTAATATCAGAATGCATATTCTCCATACTGTTCCCTAAACATTTCCTAAGATGCTGACAGGGAGAATTTATGTAAAAATCAAGAGCTTCTTTAGTCTGTAATCAGCTCCTTTATTCTCCTGACCTTAATGTTTGATTCAGGGTTGATACAGTAGAGAGAAATTAGATGCCAGTCACTCTAAGGGGTTTAAAAGGGTGAAAAGTAACTTCTCCTGAACATTTTTACAACCCTATACACATGTAAAGCAAACAGAACTTACTTAACCTTGCTCATTCACTGGGGGTTGTTCCTATGATTTAACCTAAATTTCCAAAACTGAATGGTTACAAAAAAAAAATATAGCAGCCAGAGGGGAGAATTGAACATCACATCTTAGGAGCTGAAGAGTTAAACCAAATAAATGTACACAGCTCACAGCTATACAGTTAACATTACTATTACAAATGATACTACACTGAAATTATAAGTCTGACTGGGTGACAGTGGAATTTTCCATGTTCTTCCTCATGAACAATTCACTTTTCATTTATATGCAAGAGACCCACCTATTAGTCATGTAAAAGGTCATCAGTGGTAATTTTAAAAACCACAAAAAAAACATCTAAGACAACAGTGTTTTGCTGTATAGCAATCTCTTAAAAACTTTGTAATTTCCAATGCAATGGAGTGAGATTCTATGTAAGAAGTGTCTACAGCTAGGTTTCATATATATATTTTTGAGGATGTTATATAAACACTACTAATAAATACTTGGAGCAATTTGAAAATTTGGTCACATAACTGAGTTATCTGATCTCCCATTCATAGGGTAATGTACACTTGTTTTGATCACAGGTGTTTATTACACTTCTTCTACGTTTTGCAATATATCCAAGGTTAATGTCAATTGTAAAGTAGTTTGGAAATTCGCCCCAGTCATGACAAAACTGACCATCTATTTTAAAATAGTTCGATTGTTGATTCACATGGAAAGTGAAATATCACAATACATAATTAACACCTTAAAATATGCATTCAAATGAAAAAAAAACCCTTGAAACCCCAGCTCAAGTACTGGAGATGAAATATTCGTTGCTTGAGATCTGGATACTATCACAGATCTATTACACTGATAAGCTTAGATCGTATCCTAACAGATGTCTAGTTTTGTAAATTCGATTTTTCCTCGAAAAGATAATGGTCGAATTCCACACATTAGACGATAAACAATTCAATTAACACAAGCAGGCTTGAAAATAAACTACAGAATTGAAAACAATGTGAAGTTTCAGTTCCAAACACGACCTCAACTTCCGATGTAAACAAAGAAACCACAACGAAGAGGGACCAAATATAGTTCGACTTGGTGCTGGATTCGTTTACACTAAACCCCAGTATCTTTTCCGGTGCGAGGAGTTTCTTAATAACGTTGATTAGTTATGAATTAATGCTACTTACACCTTAAGCTGATACACTGAATAGAACCATCTCTAATGAGAGATACAAATTCTGAAAATTTTCCACTCATGTGAAATCAATTCCAAACGATCTCTCGTTCGAAATCGTCTGAGTTGTGGTAACCATTCGTTCTTGCAACTTCACAGCGAAATCTCGATGAAAACTTCGATGTCTTGGACGAAGATGGATTAGTACTTACAGCAATAACAGATTATACCAACCTATTTTCAGGATAAGACTTCAAAACTTCACAGCAATCTACAAGAACCAAATCTCTACCATTTTAGATGGCAAACCACGCGCGCTGATTCAACATGCATGCTCAGCATCGAAATGTCAGGCGAGTAAACTGGAGCGAACGAATCAATGAAACGTTTATATCGTACTATTAGAACAAAGCCAATAGAGGGACTCTTTATATCTGAGAAAGATAAGCACGTGGTCTATTACTTCCGGTTGATTACCACTGTATTTCTCACAGATAAATAGTTAGAAACTGTGTTTTGACAAGATATGAGAGATATAAACCAGATTTCTGCACTCGAATTCAAGGATAATCTCTCAAAACAATCACGATTTCTTTCCAAGCCCTCGCGCTAATCATGATAAGAACTGCACCCTATTGTGACAGCAGAGAATTGTTTTCTGCAAGTCGAAAACGCATCGCTGAGTTTTCTGCTTCGTGGATTTTTCGCAGCAATTTAAAGATGGCGCCGTAAATCCGACGGAACGCGTGTAAAATTTTATTGTCCGATTTGGCGGGAAAAATGGCTGGCCCAGACTTGCCCGATACAAAGGTGCTAATTTATGCCAAATATTCCTGAAACAATAACCTGCTTCCAAAGATATTTCCTGCGCAAACAACAGGACTGCACCTCCCCGCCGTGTAAAATGGTCAGTACGAGACAACCTGTCGCTATTTTGACATGAGAAGCCCAGCACGTTACGTTAAAGGAGAAAGCAATGAAGGAGATGCTTTCTTTGGAACCCCTTCTCCTATATACAGTTGAACCCTGGCGACTCGAATTGCCAAGGGAAATTGAAATTACATCGAATTATCAGGGTTTCGAGTTATAGGAGTTAAGAACAGAAAGACCAGAAACACTAGATTAAACTGGTTTTATGCTTATACATGTTTTTTCGGAGGCCGATAAGCAAAACTCCTGCGCTGCACTAGTTACTGGAAAGGCTGTGAACCGGTGTGACAGAGGAGCGATGCAAGTGCCTCGCACATTGAGTTTTGAGGAGAAGAAGAAACATGTTATTGCTCTCAAGAATGAACTAGGCACTATTGACAAGTAATGACAAACAACAGACCGACGAAGAAGACTGTTTGTTTGCAGACATACAAACGTGTGATATCGGCAAAGATCAGTTTGTCATAATATATAAATGAGATTAAATGAAATCTTCCGGTGCAAAATGCTATGGTTTATTAGTCCGCAAAAGTGAAAATCGACTTCGAGTTATCGAGGGTAAAATTATAAAGAAAAATACCTGCAGGTAAGTAAATAGCGCTACGAGTTAGCGGGGTTTCGAAATATAGGGGTTAAAATTACAGTAAATGTATGAGGCAAATCAAAGGGAAATCAGTTTTGCTTCGGGTTAGCGAGGAATTCGAGTTACCAAGGGTTCGAGTTATCGGGGTTTAACTATGGGTAAATTTCTATTATATACATTTTTCGGAAGAAACGAGTGTTGAGAACAGTCACACTGTATTTTTTTGGAGGTTAGAGTAACACATTTTAGAGGGTGATTGATTGATTTAAAATCTCCTCATTTACTAGTGACACTGGGCTCCCTGCTCCCCGGCTGTCGACTAGATTATGATGGTGGGTGGTGAGAGCGCCCGCCTCCCACCACTCGCTGGCGAAAGTTCGATTCCCGGACCTGACATCACATGTATGTGGTTGTCGTCCTTACCCCTAGGGTTTTTCTTCGGGGGTTTTTCTCCGAGGGTTTTTCTCAGGGTTTCCGGGTTTGATCCTTCCACTAAAAGCAACATTCCACATTCCAATTCGATCTAGAAACAGTGGACAAGAAGAGCCACTAACGGAATATCCATTGTTAAATTCCCATTTATTTCTTTACATTTTAAAAAAGCCTTTTGCGTTTTGATGATTTAAAATTAATAGTGACGAGAAAACAGGGAAAATTAGAGAACTTATACAGAGACCGTCGTTTTGCAAACACAGACAGCAACCGAAAGAAGCCTGATGGAAATAATTGTAGGGCGCTTCAACGCCAGTAGATCGTCTAGAAGATTTTCTTTTAGACAGCATTTTAAACCAAACTGTGCTAACCAAAAAGTAGTAGCAAGAGATTATAAACTGTCTCTTGAGGTTAGCGTGAGAACCAGCATGTATGAGCACTTCAGTTTTTGGCTGCCGCGCGCGTCTCAAAAACGTTTGTGCTCAAACCCCCTATAGAAGAAAACGGGTAACAGGACGAAATGCGGAGAGCTGTATATTGGTATCCGTTCGGGACAGATTTAAAAGACAAAACAAAACAAAAAGCGACAAAAAGAGGCGTTATAGACGAGTCCCAAGCCGGGAGATCAAAGAGGCAGATCTCACCCCCAACGGGAGACGCAGACGGATCAGTTAAGGTCATCAACCCCTCACCTCCAGGGGGACGGGAGCATGGGACGGGGCTGCCAGTAGGAGAGTAGGTGTTAGTCAGAACTGTTACGAGACAGGGATAAATTTGGTATTTCTTTGCAGTTAGGAAAAGCGTACGCATGCGCAAATAGGAAAATGTAACTGGCCGTGGCTCAAGCTCCAGTGAGTACCCGATGAAAGCCTGTGACGTTTTGTATTGCATGGAGGAATTACAGACGAGTTACCTCAAAACTGAACTGAAACTGAATTTTTAATTCGTTTCTTAATAAAATTTGTCATGACATGAATCTCTATCAAACTTAAGCTGCTTGGTAGCAAAAAATTATTTTTTTAAAATTTCGTCGAATAAATTCTTAATTCGCCTACGATATAATATCCCGAATAGTTTGCATCGTATTTACAAGTAAAGTTGGCAAGATGGGACGATTGTTGCTACAACGATGGTTGACCCGTCCCGATAGTGCTCGTAAAATACTGAAAAGTTCCTCGCCGGAATACCAAAAAGTTGCTAAAAAATTGCCAAAAACCTAAAAATTTGTTACCTAAATTTCAAAATTTGCTACCTAAATTTCTTGATATCCTTAAATGAACGTTGATTACTAGCTTTCTTTTTCGTTATTCACAATAATTGCTGAAAATTGGACAAGAGAAATAGCTTGAAACTTAGCTTTAAAGAGTTGCTCGCAAATGTGGGCGAAATGTAACGATACTTCAGTCAAACGGAAGAAAACAAAAGGTTCATGTGAAGTCCTGCCAACGTCATTTCAACCAATTATGTCATAAGATTCGATAAAGATCGCAATAGGCCTGGGAATTGTTGTCACGTGATAGGCTATTTGTTGGTTTTTCTTGAAATCGTTTCCTATTTCACGCTTGATAAGTACTTTAATGCTATCTTTTGCTCAAGAATTGCTCAGAAAAGCAAAAATTGCTCGAAGTTGCTAAAACTGCAAGAGGTTGCTCCAAACACCAAAAGTTTAAATTTCTCAAAAGTTGCCAAGCACAATCGGGACGGGCCCAACGATGGTCGCTAAATAGGGTCTGTGGCACGGTTCACAAAATAGAAAATAATGAATCACGAAAATCGGAACTTGTCTTCCTCAACTGACAGAAAAACAAAGAAAGGATATAATGCATTTTATAATCTCGCAAAAATAAGCAGGTAACACTCTAGTCGGCCTCGTTTATATTTTTCTCAAGAACTCTAATAACGAGACCAAACAAGCAGCACCCTCAAGCAGTGTTTGAGGAAAGAAAACTGCAAAAGACCAGGTAGGATCTTTTTCCTATTTGAACCAACAAAATTTAGGCTGAGTGAATGAAGCAGCAATTTCATCGACTGATCCGCTTAGTCATTTCTACCTTATTGTAAGCGCCCTAAAAGGAACCTTCTCCCTTAACAGCTTTGAGCGATTTCTCTCTTTAAATTGAAGCGAACAATTTTCTTTTTTTTTCTTCCAAATATCATTGGAATCATCAAAATTTTAACATGAATTAACAACGATTTTCTCGGAAAATATGTAAACCTAAGACAAAAAACTGTCAGCTTGATCAGTATCTAAAGAAATTGAGGTTCCAAAATACATTGAGGTAAGATTGGTTTGTGACATCTTTGTGTCCATGTGTTCCGCAACAAAGAGTTTTGCGGACGTTATAAGAAAATCACACGATCTAAAAGAACTAGAACTCTCATACAATTGTACCCTCTTCGTTGTATTTCAGAACTGTTCCAGGAGAGGCCACAGTCCAGACTCGATTCTCAGTTTTCCACTTCCGCCAAAATTTGCTTCGTCGAGTGAACCACACGTAGAAGTAGTGAATTCTCAAGAGGATCATTATTCCACAAAGAGCATAAATAGCGGCAAACACTGCAGTTGTTTCCGGCTCCTTGGACTTGACTAACATTTGAAAAATACCAAATCCTAAAATGGTGCAAATACTAAATATTGTGACAAACAAGTACCAGAGATCCAAGCGACTGCAAGGTCCCAGTCCATCGCGGGGTATGCGCCACTGTCAGAAAGATAAAAATAGAAGGAAAGAATGAACAAACATGAACAGTGTAATATTTCGCACTGTATTTTCGGCAGAAAAATAGCGAAGTAATCAAATTTGAATCAGCCTATCGTAGTTCCAAGCGGTCGGACGTTGTCAGAAGTACAAAAAAATGGTTGTTTTGCACAAGTGTGGTAAAAGAGACTTTAGTGTAAACACGAGACTACCAAGGAACGAATTTCAACAGCAGTGAGCACGAACTCTATTTAAAAACCTCCCGACCATCTTCTCGTCTAATTAACTGACCAATTTGCATTGTTAAGACTGGAGTTACCTCCTACAGTCGTCGGAGCCCGTAAAATTTGCATATTCATCCGAAACAAGAGATTATTTTGTAATCTCTCGCCCGAAACCCTTGCTCCTGAACCATTGTTTTAAATAAGATCTGGCTTATTCTACCAAACGCAATTCTTAACAAAGCATATTTGTTCACAAATCTTTGATGCGTCCTTTCCTACAATTTTACACTATTGAAGAAGCCCATCAAATTCTGGTGAAATTGAGGAGCTCGAAGGGTGGGGGGGGGGGGTTGGGTTGTAATTGGTCGATAGTCGGAAACGCATCAAACCTTACGCGTTTTCAAATAAAAACGAGTTATTGTAGAAATTTGAAAACGAAAACGTTACTGCAAGTGATAGAGATTATTCCATGGAAAGTTCGCACAAACGATTTTTATTCACGATCGATTTGAGATGCATCAAAAAAAATTACAAGTGAGCACAGTAAACGAGTGTTTTTTTTTTCGCTGCATTGCAACGAGTGAATAAAAATCGTTGAAGCAATTTCCATGGTGCGATGTTTTTATTTCATGCATACTAATTTAATTTCACATTTCAATGCTAGCAAACGACTGTGGATGTACATCTTTCGTCCAATCAGAGACACAAACAAGAGTACTTCAAGGAGTAATTCTCAGTATGTATGAGATAAATATTATTACGCATATATTTTTTTTCCGTGACCAAAACAGATACATTTGGTCGGAGCCACAGTAGAATGTTCGGTTACAAATTGCATTCAAGCCTCCCTAGAGGGTTTCCTTGGTTTCATGCGACACACTTACAAACCCCTGTCCTTACGCGTGAATAAACAGACGCTATTTATATGTAAATGTTGCCTGGCGACGCTAGAAGCTCAAATGCCCAGAGCCACTTTACTTAATAATAATAATAATAATAAGTCTTTATTAAGCACTCTAAACAACAAACGTGTTTAGTTACAATGATATGAAATCAGCAAGTATAAAACTAATAAACTAACTAAATTACTAACTGAATAACTAATAAGAGAACAAACATCTATTAATAAAGGTCCTTTTGAAACGTTCAGTTCTGACAAGCGGGAGAATATAATTATGGCGCCTCTTACGTAGCGTATCCATTGTTCGCTCTGGTGGCAAAAGGTCATCTAAAGCTGTTGGAAAATCGCTGTCGGTGATCTTGGCCCACAACTTCTTATCTTTTAGAATGATAATATTTTCAATCGAAAAAAGCTCTTTACAGTAGCCAAGCTTAAAAGTACTTGAGCATTGCACTTCTTCTGTATCAAATAAATAGTGAACATTGACTATCGGCTGTGGCAGTTAGAACCGTCAGAGTACTTCTGAATACTTTAATACAAAAATTACGCCTATCTCTTTTTTTTCCCCGCAAATAGTCGCCCGCTTTGACCTTGAACTAGAATCTCCAAGCAATTTACAACTAACGGTAGTAGTCTACAGCGCGTGATCAGTAAGAGACAAACACGTGTTACTCCACCAACACTTCTTGGAAACCTTAACATTACATTTAACACCGAGTCTTTTCAAGTTCGACGCACAATATGATAGTTACACTCGCTCAAATCTCACAAGCAGGTCCAGGAAAAATAAAAGTTTTAAAATTGTAGTTTAATAGCGGAGCTCGCAAAGCGTAGTCCCATAATTATACAAAATAGTAGTAACCTATCAAGCCGAAAAAATTTGGATGTACGACCGTACGACCGTGCAAGGTGCTACTTTTAGCATACGCGGCCAACTGTACCACGGGCACTATCTTATAATCAGTCCTCTACACGGACACGGAGAAGTTGCGAATGATTAATATACCACGCACTTTATCCATAGTAGGGGTTTAGTTTTGTCGAAGAGCCGTGTGGGAAAAAAAAATGCGAGCTCCGCTTTTAGGCTTGCCTAAATCTATATATTAGATAGGTAATGAAAGATGGCGAAATTTGTACTCGGTCTTCGAGGGATGTTCGTTATTCATTTTTCTCAAGCACGGGAGAAAGAGGTCAACCTCTCGAGGACTAAAGCATCACACCAATGGTCTCGCGGCGCGAAGCTCTACTACTGTACGTCAAAGGGCGGAACAAGGAAAAAACTTGGCGCCCCGCGAGAAATCGAATTTTAGACCTTGGGATTTCGCGCTTCAAAGAGACAAAGAGTACTCTGTATCTCCCTCGTGGAATCGAACCTCTCACCATCGGTTTCTTTAGTTACCATTTGAGCTTCAGAATACCCCTAAATTAGTAAGGCCATGTTAACATGAAAATACAATTTGGGGACCCTCTACAAGTTCGCGAAAAAAAATTCAATGCAAACAAACATCTGAAGGGGAAAAATTATGATTAAAAGCATTTCTAGTGAAAATTGACATTTAAAACCTATTTCACCAAAAAAAAAAAATTTATATGGAGAATTTAGTGAATGTAAATGAAGGGATTATAGTGAGTTCAGGGATTTTTTTCCTCGCGCTTCTTAGGGGCTGCCAATTCGAAACGTCTAAGGTTGAATCCGCGCCAGAGACTGCGCGGCTAGAAAAAAAAAAAAACAAAACCACGGTGCAGCAAGTTTCTCTATTGAATCCCTTTTTTCTCTTTGAAGCGAAGGTTTAATTTAATTCAATTCGAAGTCGAGATCTGGGTTGGCTTCGTCACGGTATGGTAAAAAAGTTATAGGTTCGAATCCGAACAAATGGTTTTCCGAAATTACAGAAGATTTCTTGAAGGGCTGTCTCATCAGTGAACCGCAGGATTCAACGCTTAAGGGTCAAATAAGTATTTTAACTGCACCGAAAACAAACATCTATTATTGGACTTATCTGATATTATATTCAGTCCGACTAATTACTACAATTTGGACAAATTCCAAATAAACAATCATTTCAAGGGTGGAAGAAATAATTTTGAGCGTTTCTGGCACAAAATAAAAGTTAAAATTTATTTTCGGACAGGTAAAAAGATAAAGATTTTTTTTGGATGCAAAGAAAGTGATTAATATTTGAACTTTTTAAATCATTGTAATTCTATTCGTTTTTTTTTTATTTTCTTTTTTTGAAGGTTGCAAAAACTACAGTCACAACTGCCAAATTTCTCACTTTTTTTTCTAGTTTTCAATTATTTAGCTTCTCGTTTAATTGCAATCTTTCTATTTGAAACAACAATCGCGCCTCTTTCCAACAGTGAAAACTGTTTAAAATGCTCATCAATAAATCAGTTGGCAAGATTTTAGACGTCGTTTATAGCCTCATCTGTCGAAAGCTTACTGCTGAATAATCTTTCATAGACTAAACTGCAAGCTTTCTATAAAATCTAAATTTACTTAAACTGCAAATATGAAGCAGTTTACGATAGCAATATTCGATTTTCACATCGTTGCTTTATACTCAAAGAGTTACCCAATCAAATTTACGTTTTTATCAACAAAAAATTACAATACTGGTACGCTATGCCCACTTAACTATGAGTAATGGATGCCAGCCAGTTTTCCGAAAAAAGAATAAAAAACCATTTCGGGTATTATATATTCAACGGGTTCGAGTCAGTGGTTTTGAAGTTTCTTTTGCATTCACCGCGACTTGCCATTAGAAAATTTCCGGTGGCAAAGTCAAATTAATATTTTGATAATCATTACAAGACAAACAGTATTTATACTCACTAATGTATGACAACACAGAAATTGGATGATCCGCGAGGTTTGTGATGATAGAAAACCAGTCGGGCGTGAGAATATAAACAAAGAAACTGGCATAAATAATATTCAAACGATGTTAATGTTTTAGTTGGCCTCTTGCATATAACAAAGTCTATTAAAAGCTAACAAAACGTGGGAACCATGTGTCGGGATTCAAATAGATATTATTTGTTTCTTAATAAAAAAAAAATGCATCGCTTACCTGCTGAAACGGTTTTGTCCGCTTCCTGATAACCACAAATCGTGAACACAGCTCACACGAGGTCGTTTGGGAAATTTGGAACCACTTTACCAGACAACTCTCGTGAACCCATTTCGCAGACCCAGCGCATTTGCACGGGCTGATTAAAACTTCTTCTCCTCTACTTTGACAAATTCTACACTCATCCTCTTCAGTCAAGTCGGTACACCCGTCCTTTAAGGGCGCGACAGCCGACGAGGAGAGAAGTGGGTCTTCGCTAGATGTGCTCTTTTTGTCAGCAAACGAATGATCGCTACAGTCGGCGCTTCCGATTGTACCTTGAATCTCGCTGTTTTTCGATGATCCCACTACGTGGTCGTTCTCTTTCGAGGAATTTATCACTGTCATGTCACGCTGCGTGGTAACAGCATCCATTGGGGTACGGTTATCCAAAATACTTTCCTCTTCGAGTTTTATACAGGTACCATCCATGTCTTCGACCGTCAAATTTCTGTTAAATTGCCACTAACATCTATGAAAACAAAAAAAGGGAATTTTTTTCGCTGTCACCGAAACTTCCCTATCGCGTGATGGGCGAAATTAAGTCAATTTTCCAGACTTGCCGTCGCTAGTTGTGACAATATCTTTTTAAATATATTTTACCTTTACTTTAACTGACGCACTGAAGTCATTCTCAGGCCCCTCAGCAACAATCTTATTAGTGATAGGCGTCAAATTATTGCGGTGTACTTATCTATTTGACGACTTGTACTGTCTGATGGAGAGAGACACCTCTTGGCGCGCTAATAAATATTTGTATGGACAAAACACACAAAAAAATCGTGATTTTTGTCGCCTGTCAAAGAGCTTTGTGGTAGGTAAGTGTGATTGGTTTACAAAGCCTTTTGTTCACACGCTCAAGTGAAACTTCTCGCGAAGATTCGATTCTTATTGGTTCGTGACCGGTAACTAAGTGAACCGGAAGTGAATTCAACACTTTCATATGGTTTGTGTGACAGAAAGGAAGTGAGAAAATGGTATCAGTTCCTATATTCCTAAAGACAGGGATTTATGATACACCGAGAATTTCATCCAATAGATTGTCTACCGCCTCAACAGAAAGCACTTCACGTGCCGTGATTCTACAACCTGCTGTACGCGCGTGCTAATCTGCATTTTTGCCCTGAAGCGCAAAATCATTGTTTAGACTTCGTAAACTTTATCAATTTCCGGCTCGTGCACGCGAATTACAGACTCGAAGAGCCATTAATTCGTCAAGGCACGAGTTGTTAAGACTTGTTTTTAGATATTAAGGCGTCATAACGGTTATTTGCTAAGTCTTATAAATTACCTGTGTCTATTTATGTCACTTAAAGCGGTTTTGAGAATCCATTAACTCAAGGCTCTCACAAAATTTCCCGACCACTATAGACCGCAGAAAAGTTTAAACGAGATTTATTACCTTTTCCTACACCGCAAACTTGCAGTATTAGCAGAAAGCAAGGCAATATCTTGTTAGAACCTCACGCGAGCGGTTTGCTTTCAGTCTCAAGCGAAACAAATTTCTTTTGTGTATACGATTGGTATATGCGTCTTTCTTAATTAACAGAATACAAATTATGACAGAATTATGCCCAATTTCCGGCGAATGTCAGTGAAACTTTCTTTAGCTTAGGAGCAAAATAGTAGTCAGAGGAACAGTTCATCTTATTTTATCAAATCGTTGATACAAATAATTTGCAATTAAAAGTAATATTGTTAAAAGCCATTGACAGACTTTTATGGCAACCAGGTCGAGAATGGTCGTCAACCGGAATGAATTTTATGGAAACTTTCTCGTATTCCTGTCCGATGAAATTTCCTGATCATGAGTACTTACGAGGAACTGGTCTTCAGCTGCACCATCCCGTAGAAGACTGAGGTGATTAGACACCAAAAGAGTCTTTTTTACTTAAAGGCGCGATGTCCGTATTTGGGGTACCGATGTGTTACGTAACTAAACTGAACAAAAGCAAAAATTTGACAATGTCTTATCTAAGGTTGATCTTACGGCCCTTCTGAAGATAAGTGGCTGTAACATATCAAATCTACTAGAAAAAAGAAGCAACCACGAAAGTCAGTCCAAGTAAAGCAGTCCGCTTGAAACATCGCCGAAAACTTCCTGGAAAGATTACCTGTTTCGTTATTCGCGCAGTATCAGCAACAAATTCTAAATTTATCTCAAAGAAATTACCTAGATGAAATGAACCTCGTCATCTCCACCTCTGATTTACTGTCTTTGTGATCGCTGAAATAGGTGTGATATTTGGAGCAATATCAATAATTAATTCTCAGCGTGAACAATAACATTTCTTTGGGAAAATAGTCGAACAGTTCTTCCCTTGCGGCCGGTTTGGCCTCAGTTAACCTGTAATTACACTCTATCTCATTCCACCACGTACGGAACACATGATCAAACGTTCTATCACGAAAAGAACACGTCGAAAAAAGCGTCTGAAATTTTTGGATAATCTGGACAAGTTTGAGTTGACTAAGTTGTGCCAGTAGTTTATAGTTTGAAGAAAAAAATGACTTTTACGTACCTAACTACTCCAAGCCTGTCCACATCCTTATAAAAATGCAGTTCTCACTGACACAACTGAGACAATATTGTGACTGGCCAATCGATTTGAATTATCTTTGTAGTCAAAACATTCTTTGAAAAGAGCAAACTACTTTTGTTACAGATGCAAAAATGCAAGTAGTTGAACGAAACAATTGATTTCCAGAAAAAATCTTGACTTGAGGCACATACACTTTACAAGAGGGTTACAATTTTAGAGATTTGATGATTGGAAATATAAAAACTAAATTTAGCTCCCTTATTAATATACCTAAAACATTAAACGGAGTGATCTGTAGAACACAACTTAGAAAAAATTCCTATAAAAATTCTATCCTCGTTTTTAAGTATGCATAATCGAGAAGACAGATATTCACAAAGCTCCATTGACAATTTGGACTTTAGCATACCTTCACGAGGCAATTGAGTAAAACAGACGCATTTTTGTGCAAATTGAGTAGAATTAATCGTGCTTTCATCCAACGCACGTGATTGTATGTGTCCTCGGCCAACGAAGCGCTTCAACCAAATTAAAGAGTATTTCAAAGGCAGCACCCTACATATTAAATTCTGCTTCATCTACAGAGTGTAAAAAACGCGATAAAATAAGATGACTTTTCTTATCATGATCTATGTTCGTAACGTTATAGAGAGTGTCTGAGACGCTTAGACAAGGATTAAGTTCGTGCGCACACGAACAAGCCTGCCGCCTTAGCGGTACGTAAGTGAATGATTTTAAAAGCAGGATGTTAGTGCAAGTGTTGGGAGCCTTGAGGAACAATTCTGTATCTGCGTGCGTGGAAAAGCTCATTCAGTTTTTATATCGTGCCGATTGTTATGCAAAATAAAAATTCTCACAGGCGACACAGAAATTAGCCCTAACCTTTTGGAGGACACAGTAGTGTTGTGTTTTCATTGCACACAACTTGAACTCCTGGTTTTAGCACGCCAACGAACTGCCAAAGCGAACACTTGATGCCGCCCTATGTTTCCAAGCTTGGTGTCAAGACCAAACTGCGGGCATTTCAGCACAGTTTGATAAGTTCTAAAGGTCTTAACTTACTTTTTTATATAAAAAAAGGTTATCTAGACAAGATTAAGTGGGTGAATTTGTAACAAATTAAACAAAGAAATTATTTCTCGTAATTTTTTTAAGTTCGCAGATTAACGAAGCACTCGAATTTTCAAATCTGCCATAAAATTTATCAGACGGTGTGAACTTGAATTCGTACAGAGGACAAGTTTATAGATGAAAGATATTTGTGGAAGGGTTTTGTTTATTCTAATTGATGAGTATATAGGTCACATACAGTATTTTGCTTTATTTCATACAATTCTTAAGTGGTGAAAAGCCATTAGTGATTATGAATGAGTCAGACACTCAGAAACTTGAACTGGCTTTACCAGTGAGCGGATATCAACCCAGTTATTGCTTTGTTCTACTGTTTATGCCTAAAACTTGCTTCAATCCAAGCTACTCTGACTTCTTACCCTTATGATTGCAAAGCCTCTGTATTGAGTTTGAAAATCATCGAAAAAAATCATTCTCAGTAATGATGAAAAGATGACCTTTCACTTTTGAACAGAGCACTATTGCAAACTGTCTCCAGAACATTCGACTGTGCAGTGTTACTAATACTTGAAAGATTTGAGATAAGAGAGTCAGTTAGATCACAGCTCTTCAATAGTCTGATATCATTGCGACTTCCGTGCTATATATATATTTATCTTGTTTAATGTTCGACGAGCCTGTGATCACAAATGGTAAGAAATTATTTCTTTAAGAGATTCCAGCCACTATATAACCAATCACTCACTGACTGTACTTGAGCAACCATTCAGTTAAACACATTTAAAACAACATTAAAATTAACAGGTTAATTTAGTATTATTAACTGAGTTGATAACCTAAATTGGCCGACGCAAAGAGTTCAAAAGCTGAAATTACTTGTGAACGGTACTCTTTCTGAGAAAGGCATTTTGCTTCGTTCTATGGGAAAAGACTTTTCCAAGAACGGCGTAAAGTAAAGTAAATAAATTAAATAACGAAGACGGAAATACTTTACAGGATCAGGAAGAAAGTGTGCTTAGTATGTAACATTGCTCTCGGTGTTAACCTGAATGGGAAACCTTTTGTTACCAATCAGTATTAATTAAAAACCATTCGTTTCATGAGGTTCATAGACTTTGCATATTTCATACCTATACAAGCGGAAATATCGGCTGTTAGTGTTTGGCTGCTCCCTCTGATTTAGTCTTCTACAAACCTCTCTTAAAGCCACTTTGGTAATTACGCAGTCCGACACCGTACCCTAAAGTTTTAACATTTACAGAAATAAGAGAGGTTACTATGAAACCATAATCGTACCTCACATCCAGGGGTCTGATGCCGCGATCTTGACTTTGATCATAAATTCGTACCTTATATCCAAGAGTCATAAATCTATACTCCATATCCTGGGGTTCTAAAACCGTTCCTTATATAAAGTACGTTTGCAAAAAAAGCCGATTTGTGAACGTTTTTCTGTTTGTTTGTTTCTCTGGAATTTTCACGGTAGTGTTACTTATAGGGCCGTGCCTAAATTGCGATATTGGAGACACTCAAAGCATATCGTTGCGAACGAACATAGAACTGACTTGATAAAAGCTTGCTCAGGGATCATCTCACTTTACTCATAAATCGGCAACACAGTTAACACAACAATTATACAAAAAGCCTCATAAATTATCGATATAACCCAGTCTGGTCATAAGTGTCATTTGGGTGGCGAAATTAGTTAGATTGACAGGTATCTTTTGAAATCTTTTGTTCCAATTTCTTTTGCTCGCCTTTCCGAGTCGGCAGCTAACTGGATATAGCTGAACGCACCAATGCAAATCTACGACTTTAGCAGTCTTCTTTGAAACTAAATTACTGAAAGCGACTTTGTTCTAAGCTGGTTTCAAAAGCACGTGGGCTCTTCATGAGATACTCCCCATAGCAACAGAAGACAAAGGATGCCTTATCTCATGTTTGATCTCATTAACCTTATTATCAGACTTACTGGCTGTGCGATAACAGCTGGAATCTGCTATAAATACACACGCGAAAATTAAACCAAATTAAGACAATCCTTTCCAAAGAGTTTGCCCAACTACATGGAAAATGCGGCTAGCTATGAGCGAAATAACACAACCAGCCTCTGAGTCGAAAATTGTAGCAAAGAATAAATTATCCCAGCGAAATGAACCTAAACGCTTTCACCTTTGGTTTATGGACTTTTTGACTGTTCATAGGACCAATATTGATAACAAGGTCTCTACAAGAACAATGCTTTATCAAGTTAGTTCTTTGAAAAAGGGTTATTTAGGTCCCGCCTTCGTGCGCCTAATTAGCTGTAAACCCTGGTTAATTCCTTCACGTAGCGAGATGCTGAACTGATCACGTGAAAAGTCAAAATTCTCTTTTAAGACACAAATACACCAATGCACTGCGTTAAATCATCACCGGAAGAAATCAAACAATTTTGTTGGATTTTGCCTTAAAGACAAAATTGTAGACAATTTTGTAACAGTCGTAGATTTTTCGAGAAAGGCTAAGGTTTTTCAAAGACGGAACTAATCGTTCAATGGAAAATCGTGAAGTCATGCTTAATCATTCATATGGTAATTTAAATGTTATCTTATTGAAGCTCTTGAAGATCGCAGCTGATGGTTACAGTCATCTTTTACATACAGTATTCAGAAGGCAACCTTTTCAATGATCTTAAACTCGACATTTTTATTTGCTTTTGCCGATAGTTGTATTAAAAAAAAGTCTATCAAACTTGATTTTGATAAAGCCGCACACGTATATCTAAAGAATAGAAAAATCATAGCTTTAGATTTGAAGCCTAATCGAGAAACTGACACCAAGACTGTCTTGGGACAGGAAATAAAAAGTTAACTGTTGCAGGAAATCTGAGAAATGATTTTCAACTCTTCAGTGGTGAAATATGCACTCAATCGGGAAGAAAGGCACAAAGGCCCATTTATAGCTTGGACTTTGCTCGTTCAAACGTAGAGAGGCTGCCTATTTTTGAAAAATGGCTGCCACAGACACCTCTGTTCAGCACACCTTGCAAATGGCGCTCTCCCAGTTACCACAGCTAATGTAACAAACTTGGCAAAAGATGAGATTACGTTTTCATTAGCGTTCATCGTCACGATTTTCCTCCACTGATGTCATAAGGCTCAAGTTGAAACTCGCATGCATGTGAAGAAGCCTGTTGCTTCAACACGATACGTAAGTTGCTTCAAACGCAAGAGATTCCTGTGTCGATGAGTAATTCTAAAATATACGATTTATATGTCATAATATAAATTATGTTTTAACCCAATATAAAAAATGCTTGGACATTTTTTTTAGGAAATGCACTGAACGTAATCACATGTAGTTTAATTTCTAACGCTTGAGTGAATGGGTACGTACTGCATTCATTTACAGAACAACCTGGAACTTCCCAACGTCTTTTTATGCGAATTTTCACTGAAGCCAAAGTTTCAAATTGGGAGAATTACAGAATATCAACTGGAGCGTCACTCAGATTGTTAATAAACGGCAAACAATAGCGCCAGTGTTCAACATTTTAACTACGAGAGTTCTCTTTCTTCGTATATTCAAGTGAACGAAATAAAAACAGTTTGGTTGATCATGAAGGACAGTTTGGCTTGTATCATGGTTGTTATACTGGACCTAACTTCACTGAATTTGACTTAGCCTCTTCGCAAAACGAAGATATCAGCTCCACAAGGAGACCTGCAGCCTAAACTCAGCATGTTACAAGCACCAGTTAAACTTGCTTTGGTGAAATTTTAGTTATACAGAGATCAAACTAAGGGAAAAGTTGGTTGTAAATGTGTAGCGGATAGTAACTTGCAAAAGCCCAACTTTCGCAAAGTGTTTTGATCGATCTCCAAATGTCATGAGCCTTTGTGATGTATCTCGAAGTTTCATGTCTTTTTCAAAGCTCACCATGTCTTGGATTTCTTCATTTAGTTGAGGATCTTTAGCAAAGGTAGCTAAGTGGGGCGGCAACAGTGTTCGTTTGATCGAATCTACGCTTGAAAATCAATGATTACGTAGAAGGTGATGTACCGCATGTAAAAGAACACAAAAAAGCTTATCCCAACTTAACCATAATTAAGAGCACCTTGCCCCTTTTCTAGCACTGCTTTAAATTACTAGAGTTAAGTAAAAGTAATAATGATGAATTCCAACGCCTCAGTTTTTTCTTAATCTCTGTCTCGCATTTTCAAAATTAAATATCTCACCGTTTCGCGAGTCTCAGATGTTATCATTCGTCTTCCTCGATGAATAATCATGGTATTCCAAGGTCTCTAAGAAATTTCTTTCTCTTGACAGTTCAAGCTATGTTATAGGTCAAAGGAGCGAGCTACACACTTTGATATACATATATATTCCAACACTGTATAGCGCTCAAAGACAATTTCAATACCGCTATGACTACATAGCTACTTGTCTATGAAAGTGCTTGGTTTTCTCTATCAACAATCCTATTAATATATTCGGCACATACCATATTTTATTTTCGTCCTATACTATCTCCAAGTGTTTCAATTCAAGGCAATTAGGCATGAAAAACCTTTTCTTAAGTTCCGGTTAGAAGCTCATTTATGTTTAGTTCTCGATAGCAGGAAAAATCACAGGATCCAAAGACTACCAGTGGATCTTGCAGTTTGGGTCTATACCATTTTTATTTCCAATTGTCGCTATATTAAGCTCATGAGAAATGATAAACACATCAATGATATTGTTGCTGTTGACAGTGATATATATCTACCAACCTCGTTCCCAGGGTCTCCTCTCTTTCTCAACTTTCTCGAGGGAAGAAGAGAGAAGACCCTGGAAACGAGGTTTTAAACATAACAGCGTGCTATCGCAAATGCTGCAGTCTGTTTCCGCCGCTGTTCGCCATCACTGTGATAGACAGCTATGAGTTTGTTCCCGTAACGAAATAAAAACAGTAGCATTTCCTTTTCAGTTTTGAACGACCAGTAGAATTATTTTAAAACAACTAGATTATTTTCCATCGGTTTCTAAGCGATCAATCAGGGCTAATCATCTATCACTCGGTTGAAATCTCGATCTCACAGCCTAATTTATGAAGTACTGGAAACCCTTTACTTAGCATTCAACAGAATTCAGTTAATGCAATTTCTTAATTAAATTGTTCCGAGTTTGAAGCGTAAATGAATGGAAGCATCGCTATCTTAAACAGTTTTCAACAAATCCTGTAGTTTAAGACGTTATCAGCTCAGACAACTTCCCTCACCCACTGAGAGCTACTGACCAATGGAAAACCGTTAAGTGCTTACCAGAATTAGGAACTTAGAGGCTTATTCGAAACTTATGATAACACATTAACGCAAATTTTCAGTGTGTAAATAGAATGATGACTTTTCAGTTTGATTTAAAAAAGAAAAAGAAAAACGCAGGAGTTCGTGATCGGAACTGGTAGAACAACCGTAGAATACGGAGGAAGGAAAGTCAAAGAAAAGGCGAGGGTTTGACGAAGGTCGAGTTAAACCGCGACAAGGTTACGTGTCAGTAGGATTAAATTACGATAAAAAAGGATACTGAGGTACAATCCTAATGATGTGATTATAACTTAACCCTTCCTTGACGTATTTCCTCTAAAAAAAGTAAACCTCTGTATGAACCTGCCCGTCTGTGAGAGCCACATGAACAAAGGTAAACAAACTGCACGTGAGTGCACGCTAGCGATTCATGTTCTTGGAGTACTTTGTTTTGAGGATTTAACCAAAGCGGAGAGTGACATGATATGGGATCACATCCCATGTTTTGTTTTGTTTTTATTTTTTATCTTTTTAAAATTGTTCCTGAGTAGTAAATAAGTAAATTATACATGAGACTTGGGCAACCCTTAATGGTAGTAGTATATAGCTAAAATTAGCCCGCACACAGAGATAAAGAAACCGCGTATGACACATCTTGGATCTTGGAAAATGTATCTCAAATATTCCAAATTTGTTATTTAAAATCCGCGTCAGTCTTTTCAATCCTTTCAGTTCATGCCTTCAAATTTTGCGTTTATCTCCTTAAAAAAAAGTATCATGTGAAAGTTTCAAACCAAACTTTCACGATGCGCATTTGTATCCAATTAACTTGCAAAGCGAACGTTGCTCCTTAATTTCTCGCTGAAAAGGATGAAGCTTTTCTCGAAAACGACAACTAAATTTACTCGTGTCTAAAACCTTCTGAATTTGGCAAATTGCATGTCCCAAAATTGAAATTTCCAATACTTACTTGCTGCCTTGATCTCCTGATGAAATATTCACTGTTTTATTTTTCTCGAACCGCCGCAGCCGTCAGTCAAGATGCGTCGTTATCGAAAGTGTTAACTGAACGAAGCACAACTCGAGTACCGCTATGAATATCTGAAACGGATATAGGAGGCTATGATCTTTTTGACCTGCAGTTCAAGATAAAACAGACGTGCTCATGAAAATGTGCTTTACCAAAAATTTTCCTTGGTATAATAGTCCTCATTTTATGAAATCGGAGTGAAAACGAATTCTGAAGGAAAAAGACTCTCCTTAAAGAAGGAAAACTCAGTGAAGAATCTGATTCAATCAGGATGTAGCCATGTGTTGAAGGATTTTCGCTTCAGAAGCATTTTCTCTGAGCACGTGGTCGTGGTTTTAAACATATGATGTAAAAGTCACGAACTCTATTTCGTCGGACACGCATAGTGCTGCATTGTGCTGTGTCTGGCTTAAATCTAAGGACCTTAAGCAGTCGAACGGCAACATTGAAGAACACGTCACCTAAAAATGAATTTGTAATTTTATTTAGAATTTCGCGATTTGCTGGACCTGTTTACCGTCTCAAACGGCGCCACCCGTCTACTTCAACTTAACGTACGTGAGCAGTGTTGAGTCAGTTCCGAATGGAAACTTCCGTAGTTTTCCGTCGGGTTTCCGTCGGGTTTACATGCAAATTCTGGTGATTTCACGTTCTTGTTTTGCAGAGGAAGGCAATGAAATACACACATTTTTTAAAGAAAACGCACGCGCCGAACTACTGTTCTTTCGTTTTGCCACTTACTCATTGCAGTCGCCGTCATGATTAGTTTAAGGTCCCTAAAATTTGACAGTCCTTCATTTCCTTCGATTTACTCAGACCACATGGAGCCATCCTGGCCAAAATTTTGCCAATTTCGAAATCCCGACAGTTTTTATCGGCTAATCCCAATTCCGGTACTTACCGAATGAAACGCCTTCTCTGTTCGAAAATTCAAAATCAGTCCTTGCTGTCTGAGAACGAAATCATGTCATTTCCTTTCATTTTCTCACTAGAGAAGAGGAACGCCTGAGGCGTTACATTTACGATTTTCTTCAGCATGGACTAATTGAAAACGAAAGTTAAAAGGATGATGTGTCAAAACCGCACAAAATTATAAGGGAGTTTAGAAAATGACATGGTCGGTAAAAAAAACTAGAAACTTCGTAAAAGTAGCGGTCATTTTCGGCTTTTCCAGATGGCCGTTCGATTTTTTTGGGAGGGATTTGCTTGCGAGGACTTCTGCTAGGAGATGAAAGGGAACTGTCACATTCTTTTCGTGGTCCACATTCTTCGGGCTGACTTTCTGGAGTACCTTTAAAATGCAAAGTACTCCACATAAGCATGATAAGCGTTTATGTGGTTTATTCTGCGATGGAAAACAAAATAAATTAAAAATCAGTCCTTGCTGTCTGAGAACGAAATCATGTCATCTCCTTTCATTTTCTCACTAAAGAGGAACGCCTGAGGCGTTACATTTACGATTTTCTTCAGCATGGACTAATTGAAAACGAAAGTTAAAAGGATGATGTGTCAAAACCGCACAACCTTATAAGGGAGTTTGGAAAATGAAATGGTCGTTAAAAATACTAGAAACTTCGTTAAAGTAGCGGTCATTTTCGGCTTTTCCAGATGGCAGTTCGATTTTTTTGTAAATTTTGTCATCAGATTGCCACGCCTCTTTTCCCGATTCCTGTCCAAGTAAAATTTCATGAAAAATGGCTTTCGAGTTTACTTTAGGAAGAGAGAACAGTCAGGGAGTGAAGTTAAACTATATCTTGTTATATTGTGTACAACACCAAGTTTTCGGGCTCAGTATTTGCGGTTTTTTCTAACCAGTCTGAGCAGTTGACGAATCCCGCTGAAAACGTCGCAAAATCTTACACTCTAAGTGGAATGCCCTGACCTCTTCACACAAATCAAGCGTCAATATTCGACATCCGTCACATTTTAAGGCAAGGTAGTATATAATAACACTCAACGAAGCTAGCTAAACATATGCATGTACTAACCGGAAAAAAAGGCTCAGATAGTACTGAAACATCGTAAATGAATTGGTTGTGTTTTATTTACTTACAAAAATTAAAAGTAATCGAGCATGAAAAAAAAAATCGAGATGTTCTGTTAAAATTTCCCTGTCGAAATTTACCTAAATACGTGATAAAATGATTTGTTATTTTACTTGAGGGCAGAAATTAACAGGAAGAACCGGAATAATTCCGCACAGCACACAGGCCGCAATTAAGAACGGAAAAACATTTCCATTCTGCGAAATTACATGTAACAATTTTCTGTGATAATTTATTTTTAACAAAGTCAAAAATCCCAGGTGTTTCTTCGACAATTTAGCCTTCCAGCGAATGAAGAGTCTGAAAATAAAATAAATAAAATAAAAATCAGGAACAAAAAAAAAAAAGAAAAAATTACCATATCTAATAAGAATTGAAAATCAATCATATCCTTAAAAAAATTCTGATCTGCCCGAAGTTACATAGTTGTTCGACTTCAGTAGTTGCACGTGAAGTAGTCTTGGTGCTGTGAAATAATATTTACAATAACTTTAGACCTACGAAGTTTAATCAACGTGCAGAACAGCTGGCTCGGTAACAGTTAAATTCGACTCTTGGATAATTTACTATTTACTATTTACACCCCCCCCCCCAAACTTGTTAACGCGTCAACCTCTTTATCGAGCTTTCTCTTTCTTATGCCCTCCCCGTTTCTCCCAAAAAGGTCGGCGGAAGAAAGAACGAAGATATTTACAATCTCTTTCCTCGTGGATTTTCCGGAACACTTTCCAAGATGAAAAACTGACCTAGAAAACCCCCTAAAGACGAGGCTGAGGTGTTTCCGCCCAGCTTAGTACAATATTGTTCAAGGATTGAGTAACGCTAATTATGCTTTGAGCAAGTTGAAATATTCAACCACTCGTCAGCCATCTATCCTTGTCAGTCATCTCCATCCTTTATCAAAACCGTTCCCATCCGGCTTAATCCTCTTGCTTTGAAGTTTTCCAGTTTCGCACGAACTGAACTAACATTTTGTAGCTTTCGTCGCGTTGACATGATAGTTTGAAAAGTCGTGCTTTAGTGCTTTTCAATTGAATGTCGATAGAAACCAAAAAAAAAAAAAAAGGAAAATACCTCGAAGGGCTGATGAGAACTCAAAGTGAAAGCAACCAAACTGCCTAAAGCGCGGGAAAACGCGGGCGACTAAGTCGTGATTGGTTTTAGTTTTTCATCTGATTGGTTGAGAAAGTGGCGCAAGTTTTTCAGTCCAATCACAGTCCCGGATTACTTTCGGCGCTCAATTGAAAATTAATACCTAATAAGACTCAAATTTATGTTACGAATCCCCCAGCGTAATCATCACCCTGTTTGTCTTACTTACAACAGTATGTACAATAATTGCCTTAGGCTACAGTGCACTCAAAGGAAAAGGGCTCTTACTTGCTGTACGAGACACAGTATACGTCACAATAGAACTTCATTACAACCGGAAATAAGAAAACAATGAAAACAATAATGTGACGTATACTGTGTAAGAGCCAGAAAAAGCAAAATTTGCAAGACCGCCAGCAGTCTCTTGTCTTCCTATCAGTTCTGAATTAACAATTCATTGAATTGAAAATTTCCTCATTTGTCACCGTAAACGTTTCCTCGATAAAGCCAAAAGTATTAGCATCTGAAAGCGCTTAAGAAGTATACTCCGAAACATTAAAATGTTTATCTCCGCCACTAGAAGCAAGTTGAGGTAACAACTCCTTTTTGGGGTTGACCAGAAGGGTGAAAACAAGGAAAAGACAGACGAGTTACGTCACAGATCAGCGGTTAGGTTACTGAGTCAATTTCAAAGCTTATTTTGATATAAATAGCACATTAGGACAAGTGCGGAGGGTTAAGTTCTTTAAAAAGTCAAAATTGATTAGTTTAATAATTTATCAATACTTTTTATCAACGACGAAGATAAAAATGAGATGTTTTATGGAGCACAATTCTCTTTTAAGATCCATTTCGTCCAAAGGACCAGTCATGATCTTTCGCCGGGGGCAGGGGGGGAGGATTTCGGTCGGGATCACATGGTCATCAGACGGAACGGAGAAGGAATTGGTCGTCGGCACTGAGAATATTGGGAGGACCACGGTAAATGGCCTACCAACTAACAGCCAATTAGGAAGGGGGGGGGGGGAAACCAGTGAGAATATTGCAAAGCCTTATGAGGGCATCAGGTCAATTTTCTCGGGACGCAACCAAAATCTTCCAACCCCCCTCCCCCCCAGAATAAATAATGACCGATCCCTCAGTGACCTGGTTCAGAATAGAGTTCATTCACAGGCACCTATTTTTCCTTGGGGTGCGTCACACACTGATGTTTTCCGCGACTCTGTCTCGAGTAAGAGAAGCGCTTGATAGGCGAGGGCTTTCAAATCATCCCTCAAGAACCCGCGTGGACAAGACGTCCCCTTCATCCACTGCTCAGCCTTTTTCGCTGCCAGACTCCACTCGGCCTCGAACTGGGGTCTCTTACGATGCAACCAGCTCAGTGCAAGTGAAGTAGCCCACAGCTGTGAACTGTTGTCGCACTTATCGGAATTCATCAGCTCTTGAAGATCTTCGGCGACAAAAACAGAGTTGTCGGCCAGCGGAGAGGCTTGTTGGAGGCCGGCAAGTGGCAGCCCCAGGACCTGCGCAAAGGCATAATCCAGGTTCCAGTTTCCCTGAGCAGACTGTAAACTGATCATGCGCACAAAAGACAGATGCTGTTTGACCCCAGAACACCAATAGGTGTCTAGGCTAGAGGACTTAAGGAGTTTGGGTTTGATGTTTGAAGGATTTTGCTGCCTTTCACCCAACACGCATCTCGTGGACAAAGGAGGGATTTGCTTGCGAGGACTTCTGCTAGGAGATGAAAGGGAACTGTCACATTCTTTTCGTGGTCCACATTCTTCGGGCTGACTTTCTGGAGTACCTTTAAAATGCAAATTACTCCGCATAAGTACGATAAGCGTTTATGTGGTTCATTCTGCGATGGAAAACAAAATAAATTATTTACCCGTTCGCTCCAAGCGATAAAAATCCAAAGGCTCTTCCCCTGACTCGTAGACAGAGTTAGTTCTTCCTTCGGCAAAATATGGCGAGATATCGTGGTCGCTGCCATCTGGACTGGGTAAACGTCGTCCCAGGCCCTCCGTAAATCCAGAGCTTCGCTCAAGTACTTTAACTTTGCGACTCCTTTAAATAACCAACAAAAATGAAATGAAATTATTTGCAATAACCATTCATAAGGCGGTCTTCATAAATTACATATTTTGCTGTCAAAATGACCCCTAACGCAAAAATTGAATAGTTTGTCAAATTAGTTTTCTACTCACCCAAAGCCTGGTATATTTTCTTTCTGAGGGAACTGCAAAGCGCTTAAGACTTGATCGTCATAGCAATATTGGTCACGTGCGACTAGCGCTGTGTGCCTGGAATGAACGCTGGACAGCTCGCTAATCCTCTTCACGACATCAATGGTCTCCGCACTCCTCGACTCTACAGAAGACTGCAGTTCCCGAATGAGCGAACGTGCCAAAAGCTGGTGGATTGTGGGACGCTTTGAAGAGCCACCGCATCGGTTCACTGGAAATGGAATGACTTGTTCCATTTCTTCGTCGCCGACAAATCCCTTAATGTTTACTGCACCAAAGTCGGCTGGCACGCCAAGCTGCGACAGGAATTCGCTGTTTTTGTAAATGTGGACGGCTGTTTTTCTTGAGCAGTCGAATTCCTCCATGGCGGGACTGCTACTATTCCGAAACCACGCGTTTGCTTCTTCGTCTCTTTCCTCCAAGTCTCCGTCTAGCTCTGCTATGGTGTTCTTGCTTTCATCCGGACTTTTGTCACTGTCTTCCATACTGAAACCAACACCGCTGTCACGCTCGTAAGCGCGCGCAAGCTTTGGCGATCGCTGTTGCTCATGGGAATTATCAGCGGGCTCTTGGTTCTCAGGAATATCTTCATCATTGAGAACCCCGTCCGACACGATGTCTTGTAATAACATGTTTGCTGGTCTGTAATTGATTGAGTGCAAAGCATTATTATTCCGTTCGCGTTGTTCCGGGTTGTTCGACGGCTGGCCTGTCGTGGGATCCCATTCTTTGGCGTCACAAGATCCGCACTGTTCGTTGCTTTGGAGTGCGTCTGAGGATTGTCCTTTCCCATCATCAGCTTCATCATCTTTTTCTTGGCTAAATTCCTTGTACATGCGCTTAAGAAGACCATCAGCGAGGGCTTCTATTGTATCTGGTTCCATCTCAGCATCGAAGCCGTCCTGCATCGGAAGCTCCCCTTCAACTCTGTAAATTTCGTCCTTTTCAAAGTCATCTCCGCTCAAATGAAGCGATTCCTCCGCCTCCAACAGCAGCTGGTCCTCCGCAAGGAGATCACACTCGTCTTCAAACCAAAAAACTTTGACAGAGCTGTTTGAAAACGACCTCATACTCCAGTCCATTTTCCGCTTGATGGGTGTTCTAGGAGATTCTTTTTCGTCCCCTGGGGGCCGATACAAGATGCCGTATATCACAAGGCGTTTATTATTCTGTACGAATGGCAGAAGTTGAGGGGTTTGAATGACGTCATAACCATCAGGAAGGTGCCAGCTGACCTCTAGGTCCGTAATCGCGGGCTGAAGTGCATCTGCCAGTGCTTGCATCACCTAAGAACAGAAAAAAGTAGCTTTAAAAAAAAGGCAGATTTCGTAGAATGCTATATCACACTTGTCACACTCCATGCATTGCACGCTTTCGATTTTTCAGAAAACGTGTACTAAAATTTGCAACACATCCTTAGAAAGACTTGGACTATGCACTACTAAACAAACCAAAAGAAACCATCGTCACCCGAAGTAGTACCTTACAATGGAGTATCCAATTAACCTGTCATTTCCTAACTTTGGTCTGCATATTCTCCCAACTCTTTTCTCCGTATTTCCGACGGTGTTAATAGGGAGAATTCGTTCAGTGATCTAGAGCTTCGTAAGTTTTCGATCAGTTTCTTCATTCCCATGACTGTAATGTTTGGCTCCGGGTTAATATTGTTAAGAGAATTAACTGATAGTCACTTTAGAGGAGAAAGGCTTAATGAGGGAAAAAATTTTCATTAACTGTCAATAATGGTGAGCAAGCTACACTTCTGACCTGCGTGAAAGCGCAGGTCAATCGAATTCAGTAGAGATATAATACATGCAATTTCATCGCAATTTCAGACCCAGAGCTTTTCCTAAGAAAATTGGGAAAGGGCTGGAAATCAAGGGAAAAGTCTTAACAACGAGGTTGATCAAAACAGCCAATCAGGAAAAAAAAAAGGTAAAATTTTGCAAGGAACCAATCAGAACTCAAAGTAAACACACGAGACGGGCCAAAAGCGCGGGAAAACGCTGATGGCCAAATCGGGATTGGTTTAAATTTTAAATGCATATTTACTTTGACTGGCATCCGCTCATCATCCGCTATAAAGTATGCTTGCCCTCTTCCAGCACCGGCAACGCCCTGAACCAAATGGGGGCAAGCTTCCGGTCCAATCCCAAACGTGTAGAACCTGGAAGCGCACATGGAAAAAATTGAAAAAAACACTTCCAGTTGAACGAAACAACGAATAGTTCTTTTCAGCTGTTTCAAGAGAATAGGAAAATTAGAATCAAAGTTTTTTTTAAAATTTATAACTTTCCAGAGCTCTGAGTTCGCTAACGTTTCTTGCTAATTAAAGATTTGCTAAGCTGCGGAGGTAAAACATTTTATTATCTTTTCAAGAAGGGGAAATTCTGTCGCGATCTACGTACGCTCAGTTTCAATTACATGTGCCGGGTTTGTCTTCCGCTGTGTATCTGGCCCACTTGACAACGGCGAAAAATTTTCCTCTTAGTGTTCGGATAGGTCCATTACGACTTCAAAAGCACGCAGTGAATACTTGGATTGCAGTGATAGCAATTTTGTTAAAATATTTTATTGATTGTTATAACGCTTTCCCCATAGCTACTTTAACCCTCTCTCAGAGACTGCACGTTGCAAATTTTCAATTGATTTTCTAACAGGTCCATGACAGTCCACTTTAATAAGGGCGGGCATTATTAAACAAGCCTTCTTGGCCTTGTATCTGAGGGAGAATTCTACCTAAACACGTCGTTGTCGAGGCTAGATTGTCGAGGTTGAATTACATGAATGAGGGAGTCTCCGTTTATGAGAGGAGTCTAAAGTCAAGTGACGTTTTCTACTTTGCTTGGTTTGAAGGTGTTTTTAGTCCTCTCTTGTAGAGGACGTACGTATTCACTTTATGGAGGTGCGTGCCTTTCCGTCAAAGGAACAAGTAGCGGTACTTAGACACTCCTCAAAAATATGTATATGCCGTCGTTCTATTAGCACCTACACATATCAAGTGTTCTTGAAATACGGTGTTACACAATAAATAGATTAACTTATTTTTGGTAGAATTGGGTTTTTTGAAATTCAAACAATTTTTGCAGCTGTAGCATCGACGTCAGTAATGTAACGAGCTAAACAGTAAGGTTGAATTTCGTTTTTACAAGAATAGGTAAATTAAATTCATTGTACAAACTGCCAAAAAAAACTTTTAATGAAGTGTCAGGCAGCTCTTGTCCAAATGCTTTGAAAGCAGTCGTTAAAATCTCTCTTTTATCAGAGCGTAAGATTAAAGTTCCCTCGCCGACGGACAAACGCTGACATCCGAAAAATCGGCTACTTTTTAAGAGCTAAAGCTTTTGCTATCAGCAATAGCAAAAATTAAAAAATAACAATAATAATTACACTTCGACAAATTTGGCAGTTCAGGTTGGGGACTGAAGATCTTTTTTTCCTGTCTACGTTCGAAGAACATCCAAATCATCTTGAACTTTCTGCGACTAACAATTCCTTCTAATTCGCAAGAAAATTTCGTGCGAAAGGCAAATCTAATTATAATTATAAAAGGTAGTTCCCGGATAGTTAATGACCGAGTTCATTTTATCCTCCAAAAATGACTCGTGGCGGATAAGCAATTGCGTCGGCAGGTCTTTCTTATCGAGATTAACCATCTCCGGTCCAATCTGCAGGTTAAAATTCACTACTTTCGCTCGATCTTTCAAATGGTACCACCTGTTCCAACTATCATCTTTTGTTCGAAATAATAATTCGTATGCAAACCACATTGTGGGCCTATCCGGTGACAACTTTCATGCTATGCGTTCAGAATTAGTCTTCACATGTTTAATTATTTTGCATTCATTTATTTGTATATATTTTTATTTTATGTGCAGCTTTTCGTAAACGTGCAGATATCAGTTTTGAACGAGTCATCGAAAATTATAAATTTAGATTTGATGAAAACTGTTCCTAATTCCAAGGTGTCATTTTCCCAGTCTGAGGCATTAATTCAAATTTACGAATATTTGTTTCGCCCTCTCCACCAAATTTTCTGATCACAAGATATCATGAAACTGATATATTTTGTATTTGTCTGTAAGCAAATAAAAATTAATTCTAAGTTTATTAAACGACATGAAAATATTCAAGGTGTTTACCACACTCTAGCCAGTCTAAATAATAAAAGAAAATTCGAACATGAGTAACCGCAAGTTTGTATTCTTCAATTTTCCCAGGAATCGGAGAGAAAGAGAAAACTTCATATTATCTTCAATGAGAATCTCGTTCATATTTCCATGAACCTTCCGCTTCAGACTAAAATAAATTACTTTGCGTTGAAAACCCAAACTTCGAGCTATATTTTGACAGATGATAATTCTGATATTGTCTTCGTTCGTTTCCAAAACGTCAAAAATCATTTTTTATAAACCCGCCGTTCGTTAAGGCGATTTAATAAGTTTAAAATCTAAACTAAAATTTATAGAACACGAACGATCTAAGCAAATTACTCGACAGAAGAATTGAAACAGATCGCTCCCAGTTTTAAAACACTCATTACCCATAGTCAATGAACTTGTGTTTTAAATTCAAAATAAACATTTAGAAAACCATTGAAAGAAAGCAAAACCCGATCGCTCCACCAGATTTTATGAAATCTTGAGCATGCAAAAACCTACCGAACAATACACACTTCGAAAAGTCTTGGGAAAAAAAGGAGGCCTTGCCTAACAACTGTTCAAAACATTTGATACGTTTACATTGACATAATGTAACTACAAAACTACCTCGAGGATCACAAGCTACTTACAAAAAACAACAACTAGAGAGGTTTACTCGATGGTTTTACACTATTGAAACATTGAATATGAACGAAATGTCGACGAAAGAGACGAAAAGGAGATTTGAAAATTAAAGCACCTTATCGGTTAACAAGCTTTGTTCCAGTTAGTTAGAGCCGTAGCAACCAATTATTTGAGCGTATCGTTCGCTAAGATCGCTTGCCTTGCTAATTCCAAAATTTTTTACGGCAGAATTAAAACTTAAAAATAAAGGATCATAGAAGATCGAAAAAATTCATGATCGAAGCGCGATTAATTATGTCAAAACAAAAAATAATGCATTTTCGCAAGATCTAAATTTAAAAAAGCCCGTAAGGTAACACCTTGGATCGACGTGTTCAAAAATAAAATATTCGGCTAGCATGAGGAAATTATCAGCAGTTTCACCTGTACTGAATATCAAATGTGCCAAGTTTTTCAAACCTTAGCCGGAACTTGATGAAATCGATTTTCAACAACAAAAAATTATTTTAAGAATTCAAAATAAATTTTTGAAACTTACCGGGTTGTATAGGAATTTCGACGTACAAAATCCACCACCTCTACCGTATTCGATATACCTCCATCGGTAAGCATGAATACAGTTCTCCCAACACCGAGCTTTGTCGGCTTTTCAAAGATGAACTCCAAAGGAAGAAGGAGATTCGAGCCACCCAAATCGGCCCTCATTTTGTGCACGTAAGCGCAGGCTGTTCCTAAGGTCGCCTCGTTGTATTGCTGGCTGTCTTGAAAAAGACTTCTATAGTACGAGCCGAACCCAATGACATTGAAGTAACAGTTAGTCGGCAAACTCTTGAGAAACAAAATCAATGTTTCTTTGACGTGGAATATATGATCTCCGCTCATACTTCCACTACGATCCACTAGAAATATGTACTCGCCAATGCCGCTTACAGAGGGCGGTCTTGGTGTGTAGTTGATCATTATAGCGGCATTTTTGTGAAAATCTTCCAGTGTTTCTGACTGGTTGGCACAGTTGTCCATTTTCATTTGAGTGTGCGTTGAGTTAAAACTTTTCTTTCCTTCCTCGATCAGAACATAGGGGTCAAACGGATGTGAAAGATGAAGAACAACTTCGAGTTCTCGATCGTAAGTGTGCGCTTCGGCGATCGTGATGTGAATTCGAGAAGCGTTCGTTGCCCGGCAATCGGCGTCAACCTGAATTGCGTGCGTTCGCGAAGAGCAGCCAGCTAATAAACACGGCGCGGCTACTTCTAACTGAAGCTCAAAGCTGTACGGTTCTTGCGTCTTGCGAGGAATGTTGGTAATAAGCATTTGCGAGCCGTACAGATCCGTTTCTTCATTTTCGTCGTTCGCCAAGCGAGGGGTGAATACAGACGGCAAAATAAACAATGATCCGCCGGTTGCTTCATCTGTTCCCAGCTCTGTAATCAGAGTCACTTGAACAAACACGGAGCTAAGTGGAGGAATTCTCCCCAAACTCAGCGAAAACAGATCATCATCTCGTTCTTCTAAAGCGAAGGCGTGTTTTTCGGAGTTGCGTGTGATTGTCTCCGAAATTTGTGTTGAAACATGTCTCTCCTCTATGGTCGCTTCGAATTCAACAACCGTAGCCCTTTCATCTTGCGGGAAAATAAAAAGCCCTTCCACGTCGTATTCGCAATCGTTGTAATACGTTAGTGTTGCTAAAACTCTCGCCGCAAATCCATTCACTTCAGCAAAAATACTCGATGCCTTCAGTTGAAGGCTAGAGTTTGTATGCCGGTTCACAAGTCCGCTCATGTTTTACTTGTTATCACCTCAAATCGATTCTTTCCGCCGATCATCCGAATTACTTTTCAAATAAATTTATTGGCGCTTTCAGCAACTCCTCGAAAAAAAAATTAAACACACCGTCAAAGCGAACGGAATTTTTCAACTTAAAATTCCGGCCGCAAATATCAAACGAATTTCATATTCATTTCCATCAATTCCAGATGTGCGTCTATTATTGTAATTTGGTCCGAGTGCTTAGGTTTTTGACTTAAAAACAATTTACAGGAGAATCGTTTGTTAGTTGAAACATCCGTTTTGTGCTTACCAGCCAATAAATGAAGTAACCCACTACTAAATTTAGGCGGGAAGCCATTCGCATTGATAATCTTTCCATTACCCAAAGTGAGCGGACCGCGAGCTCACAAACTGGCCAATAAGCGCGCGAGGATTTACCGAAATTAACTCCTACTTTAAATCATGAACCAATCAGATTTCGCGTCATACATCTCATGGTGCGTTCTTTTTGGAACAGACAAAAACGCTTCTAGTCAACAATTCTCTATTTTGATTTTGGCGTAAATCTCGTAATAACTTCGAATATTTCGCTTTTTTAAAGCAAATTTTTACGTTCCTCGTTTTCTTTCAAAGAAAGGTTTATTTAAATTTGACGGAGTTTATGAAATAATTAATTTCACGGATGATACTTACATAATTGTCGGAGGTGACTTTTTGTTCGGAATCTTAAGTTTGCACATAATTATCAAAAGTAAATTGTAGAATTCTGTCGAAATGTCAAGCCTGCGATAGTACACCATGCATTATGCGGCGAAATATATAACTAAAAAAAAAATATTTAGGAAGGAAGAGAAATGGAGTTTTAAATAATAAGCGATTTTAAACGCGAACCATCGCACCCTTTTTGAGAAGCTTTCAATTTCCTTATCGCGCAATTTGAAGATAGTGCTTATTTGCAGTTGTTTGCAATGAGTTATCTCTAGGGAAAGAATAGGTTTTAGAACGAATATCGCAAATACTTCGTACAATCTAACACGGAATCGTCTGGCGAGCGCGCTGGCGTAGCCAAAGAAATGTTTATGCGTTTCGTTTATCTCATAATAAAAACTGACTCTGAGAAAAGCAATTTTACTGCAAATAACTTATCACATTCTGAAGATATTTGAAAAAAGGCCTGATACCTTTGATGTAGCGATAAGAAAGCTCTAACACCGAGCTTGATGTTAGGCGAATGAAGAAATTAAACAAAAGTTTCATTGCAAACAAAATTGGGCATGCATGCTTAACTTAACTTAAAATCAGCCACATCTCTTTATTAAAACACGTTCTAAAATAAAATCGAAGCTTTGATGGCGTGAAACAGGCGAAAATCTTATTTCTTCTCATGAGCTTTAAAATTAAGCGTAGATGATATTGGACTGAGTTTTAGCTCAATAAACAAAAACTGAACAATAACAAATAAATTAAGAAAAGACAAATTTCTGAGCGACTTCTCTCGCGTTACTTGAACGAAAATAACGCTTCTTGAAATTTGTTTTATTTAATTCCTGTTCTTTTGTGGACCTTTAATGCATGATGGAACCAGTGCAAACTTTAAAGCAATTTATAAAAGCCCCACAAATTTTACAATGCTAAATTTAACACCACTATATGAATTAATACATACGTTTTCTGTCGTATTCTGTTTCAGTGTATCTATAAATCAGATATGTCAAATTAGATTAGGCAACGAGTTTGAGGGCTGTCGCATTAAATCAAGTTCAATTAGAGAACGATTCTAAAGCCGGTATGAATATTTGTCAGCCGTTTCGGTTATTTAAAAAAAATACATAAATATATCCCTTTAGGATTTAAATGCTCTTTCTGAATCGAATCAAAGTCATGGAAACATCTGGAAATAAATAAAAAAGATAACGAAAAGATTCTTCTTTAATTCTGACAAGTCCCACACACAAGCGAAATGCGCTTGCGGAAATGATTTGGCAGACAGATTTTCATGGACTATGATAAATTCTACTCTAATCCAATTTCAAAGACATGTAAAGATGTTATTCTTTCAATCAGTACAAACTCCATGAATCGATAATCTGAATGTGCATATATAACCACTGTAACAGATAACAGATTTACACCAAGTTCTTGCTGTAGTAATAATAGCTAAAAAGACTAACGCATATCAGTCACGTTTCTTTATAAGACCTGTCCTTTTTCGAATACAGTTGAGTTCACCGTTTCCAGGTTGACTTAGAGTGATGATATCAATTTTCCTTTTCTTCTTTCAGTTCATTGGAGAAAATACAAAAAGTTGATTTACCAACTTTTAGGAGTCAGTGAAGATCACCGTTACTTGGTTGACGCAGAAAGATGTTATCAATAGTTTTTAATTTTCATCAGAGAAAATGCAAAAAATCTGATGAACTGATAACTAGGCTACATTATGAGGTGATTTGATGGAACACCAACAACTATATCCTCTGAAGGAAAGTGTTTAAAATAGTCTGAATCTTAGTAAAGATTCAAACCAGAGATAATTACGTTTTTAGATTGATATTTTGGCAAAAATTGTATAAACTGTTTCGATAATCAATGTAGAAAAGCGTTCAATTTGAAAGACGGTAGATTTCAAACTTGGTCGTCGATTTAAGATTAAACACGTTCGTTTAAGCATCCGAAGGCTTTCCTACTCTTTTTTTTCACGGTTTTAGTACTTTTAAATCTTCATACAACCACGGCCAGCTACTCTATTAGTAACGTTTAAAGGGCGACTACTCTATGTTTTAATACAAAAAAAGTCAGTTTGAAATACCAATTTTGGAATGGAAATAGCATATAGATTTGTAAGAGGCACGTCAAATGTTCAAGTTTAGTGGACACGAGCTGTTTATCCCCTCCAAAAACCCAAAAATATAACATTTATTAACTTCTCCTTCTTCCCAGCCGTCTGTTTTTTGAAAGCATTGAAGGCAATCAACACCTCATCATCGCTAGAAAACACCAAACTGAACTTTCCACAGATAATTAAATTATATCTCCTAGGAAGATAAAGGAATGAAGTTCCGACAAATATTGATCGAATGTAATCATTGTTACAGAATTATTAGGCTTTGTTTTAAATAATCCCCACGACGAAAGAAAAATTGTGAAGACTGCTGACAATGAAGGGCGGCACGAGAGGAAAATAACAGAAAACAACGGAAAAAATACGCAGCAAGTTGGCGGAAAGAACAGTAATTGGTAATGAACGGTTTTACTCGTAGTGAAATCCTAAATACATTAAGAGAAAACTAAAAACCTTTAATGAGAAATAGTTTCGACGAATAATTCTAAAAATGAATTTGTATTTTGATTTTCTCAGAAGTTAACCCCTTTTTACCGCAAGTGAGCCCCGAGCACGATTCAGTGTTCTTTCTGTATTGTGAGATTTGAAGAATTATGTTTTTTTCGTCTTCTCTCGAGCGTGTGACAGAGAGGAAAATTCTGAGCTCCCACGAGCAAATGCACCCCAGACCCTCAGATACCGCGCTCCGATGCTCTAGCACTGAACTTCAAAGAACTCTATAGTAAGCAACACACGTTCTTCATGGCAACTCTGTTGAAGAGTTTCCCGTTTGAAAGACGGTAAATAAAGGACTTAGTGGTCGTGAGGAAAAGTTAAAAAATTTCGGACGAGCGCAAGAAATCTATGCTGTAGTGCGTTCCGACAAAAATAGATTCCACCAACTTTTAACGAAAGACACAGAGAAAATGAAAATGAAAATACGAAAATTATGAGATAACAAATTTCTCGCGATTAGCTCTTCCATCATGCGAAATTGCTAATCATATTTAAGCGAAATCCTTATTTTAGGTGAGTTATTCGGTAGAAACGTTTCTAGATGTTGCGCCGGAAATATTTACGTTATCGCGTCATTCCAAACGCCACCACCAATGTTCAATTTTTGTTCCTATACGAAAAAAAATATATTAAAGAAAAAACCTTCATTTTTCATCCTACGCAAGCAGGAAGGAAAGGTGAAAACAAAATTTCAAAAGCTTTGAGAAATGTGACAAATAAGCGAATAAGCATATGTAGTTTTACACGTCGTCGGAAGCTAAGGTCTTACGAGATAAAAATTTATTTAATTGCGATAGACTCGTGAAAAGTAAATAGAGGAAACGACCCTAATGAGCTTCCTTTAATTAATAATCTCTGCGTGCCTTCTATTCTTCTGTTTCACTTGATGTGTCCTCTGAGATAAATTCATATTCAATTATCTTCAATTGATGTTGCTGTAAAATTTATTCGTGATTTCTATATAACAAAAAGAACTATAAAGCTGTCATGATCGCATGCACGTGCGTGGTGTGTGAACAACGCACGTGATAATAAGCTTTTCTTTACGCACGTAAGACATTTCAACGTTCAAAATACCTTTCCAACTATTAGTCAACTTTTAACCCCTGTTCCCTTAAAAATTTTTTAAATTTTGTTCCTTTGCAGACAAATATTGCTTGTATGACCAATCTAGCAATGAACATTTGAACTCTGGGACTTAGACACACGAAAAGTGCTGGATCTTTGCATACATCATGAAATTTTACTAATTTTCATATTAATTACTTAAAGAACAATGTTGAAAGATCTCTGTTCCAATAAAATAAATTTTAATGTTGGAATAAAGACTCTTCCATCTTAAGAAGCTCTGATAATATTTCTGAACATGTAAAACCTTTTTATTAGGAGCAATAATTTAAATAGCTGACTACTATCTCAGTAATCCTTGTCATAGTCTTCTACAATAAAGATTTTATTGTTTAACAAATATATTCTGTTTTTTAGTATCTGTAAAGTTATATATCACAGATGACATCAAAATGAGTTGTGAGAGAAAAAAAAATGGCTGATGTTCTGACAACATTTTGATGTGTTCTGTCATCTTTTACTGTCCAAAATGTGTGTATAATTCAGCTTATCACATGAAATAAAGACTCTTCCATTTTAAGAATCTCTAAGGATATTTCTGAACATGTAAAACCTTTTTACTATGAGTAATAATTTGAATAGTTGACTACTATCTCAATAATCATTGTCAAAGTCTTCTACAATGAAGATTTCATTGTTTAACAAATATATTATGCTTTTTAGTATCTGTAAAGTAATATCACAGATGAAATCAAAATGTGTTGAATGAAAAAACAAAATGGTTGATGCTCTGACAATATTTTGATGTGTTCTGTTATCTTTTACTATCCAGAGCCACAGCAATGTGGAATCTATTTGTTTCATATGACAAATAGTACAATGTTGTTAATAGTGACATCATCCATGCATCTGTCCTCCAATAGATTATGCGTAAGAACCAAAATGCGTATATAATTTAGCTTATAAAGAGCAATAACTAATGAAATACTGAAATCTTCCACACCAGACATCATGGCTTCTTTAAAAACCATATGAGGCAGACAATACTCTTAGTTGATCCCAGAAGAGTAAACTCAAGATTGTGTGCGGACCAATTCTGAAATAATGTGGTCCAAAACCCTTATATAACCCTAAAATACCTTCTTGTTTGAATACTTTGATGAAGCAGTCTGCAAATCCATTATATAACAGTCCCTTACCACTTGCACTGGTGCCTTGGTTGTAAAGGCGTGTACTTACCACATCAAAAGGTGTCATAAATGTAACCACTGCAATACTGCTTATCATGCTGGCAGAAGCTGGGATAAGCCAGCTCCTTGCTGGAAAGAAATTTGTTTGCAAAATTCTTTCCTTGGTGGTTGAAAAAGTTGATAACTGAACCGCAGATCCAACCATGACACGGGCAATAGCACCACTGACCCCTCGCCAAAGTCCTTTAATGCCAAACTGCTGGTAAATACCAGATATTGCTTGGAGAAAGCCAGTGTGTCTATGCTGAAATCCAACTGCTATTGTGTCTGTAGCTTGAGATTGCAGTTGTGTTTTTACCTTATATGATTTAAAAGCATTACACACATCACATCAGCAGCCACATAAAGCCACCTATTCCAGAAAAATTCTTACAAGTATATGGCCATTGCCTTGATCCCTGTTAAATTACAGTTTATTTCAGGGGTGATTTGTGTTTCATGAAATGAATTTAACACTTTGACCCTAAAAGTGACACATTAAACCCTTAACTCCTAAGATCTGATTGTTAATTCTCCCCTCTAGCTGCTACACTTTTCCCTGTGAATAAGTTATGAGAACTTGGTGCTAGATCAAGATAGCAGCTTCTACCTGATATGTTTGAATATTCTCATTACCTGTTTGCTGAATAATGTATGGATATTGTAGGGAGAAGTTTTATGTTAATCAATTCTGGGAGTTAAGGGGTTAAGGCCATGGGATAGGGATAAAGGAAATAATCACTAAGTAAAGCAGCTCTTGATTATTAAACAAATTCTCCTTGTTAACACCTGAAGAAATGTATGGTGAACAGTATGGAGAATATGCATTCTGATGTTAAGGTGTTAAGGGTGAAGACACAAATGGAGCAAAATTTAAGGAGCAAGTTTTTAATGGCTAATGAGAAACCAAGAGTGGAGACAAATGAATAAAGCAGGTAAGTTTCTGAAGAAACTGTGGTGCTGTCTTGGTGGGTGAGGAGAGAGATAACAAGATAATTTGATTTTATCCACTGAGTTAATAGTGTAAATTGGTCACCGTAAAAAGCTTCTAAAGCTGACATGTTGAGCGTTACTCCTTGGTCAGAGCGTCTGAACATTCAACAGATTTGGAACTTGTGTGACAGTCACGCTACGTGATAATGATTTGTCCTTTCCAAAATTCTTGATCAATGTTGAACGTAGTGTGATACATCATGAAATCTAAAAGCTTACGTATACAGAGTATCTTTTTACACCTAAGTACTTACCATGTATGCCGGACTCGCTAAAAAAGCTCCTGTAGCTCCCGAAATGCCACCAGCAACTAGGCAACGCCAAAACACAATTTCACCTTCGCTGTCGGCAGTCAGTTTTAAGTTTGTAAAGACCTGATAAGAACCGAGCCGGCAGCCGTTCATCACAGCTTGGTAAACTAGAGCAGGAACAAGTCCGCTCTGCAACGATCTGAGGCCGTCGTATCGACCGATCGTGTAAAACGCGTGGAAAGCGTTCTTGTAATGGACCGCGTACGTTCCCCGCGCCTTCAGCTCTCCTTGAAGTTGCATCCGTGTTTTGGCAACTTCGAGAGGATTTGTGAACAGGCAAGCGCCACTGGCAGCTGTAGCACCTAACCCAAATTCTTTTAACTGTTGTTGCATTTTTGAGCAATGTAGAGGTGGCACTAATCTTGTTTGCGCAAAACTTGATATTCACGTCCCGGGGTTTACGGCTTTTGGGATCAGCGGTGAAACGCAGAAGCATAGATTTTACGTTCTCTGTCAGTGGTCATTTTTTAAACAACCAATCAAAGTGCTTGTTTTATCGATTTAGTGTACCATGCTTGATTCTTGGGAGTTACTACATCACGGGCGACGAGCGGGGAAAGAAGAAAAGAGAGAGATACGAGTGGTCAGCGGGGAAACAAATTTAATACATCATATATATGCATATCAATTGTAGTTGCAGAAAACAATAGTGTTGTAAAGCCGAAATGTTAACAGTACACTTAGCTAAGTAAAATGTTAAGCAATTTTTCAAAAGTGTTGATGGCACATATATCGTTTACTGCTGTATTTTTACTGCTGTATTTTAACGAATGAACTCGGTATGAAAACTTAACTTTCGAACCGAACGGCAGGTGAAATGTTGTGTTGGTGTCTCTGTCCCCCGTGTAAATATTAAATCTAAAAGGCATGTAGGAAAACACTGAGCTTCGAGAAACAGCCAAGTTAAGGCTAATGTGTTACCTTGCTTAAATATTTATAATCAGGGCCACTCGTTCAGGAGACCTTTTTGCAAAAGATCCAGACGTTAAAAAAAATTCTGTTTTCCGTTCGAAGTGTTTTTTTTCCTATTTAATCAAATGAACCCGGTATGAAAACTTAACTTTCGAACCGAACGGCAGGTGAAATGTTGTGTTGGTGTCTCTGTCCTCCATGTAAATATTGACTCTAAAAGGCATGTAGGAAAACACTGAGCTTCGAGAAACAGCCAAGTTAAGGCTAATGTGTTTACCTTGATTAAATATTTATAATCAGGGCCACCCACTCGTTCAGGAGACCTTTTTTCAAAAGTTCCTGACGTTAAAAATAATTCTGTTTTCCGTTCGAAGTGTTTTTTTCCTATTTAATTTAACAAATGAACTCGGTATGAAAACTTAACTTTCGAACCGAACGGCAGGTGAAATGTTGTGTTGGTGTCTCTGTCCCCCGTATACATATTGAATCTAAAAGGCATGTAGGAAAACACCGAGCTTCGAGAAACAGCCAAGTTAAGGCTAACGTGTTTACCTTGCTTAAATATTTATAATCAGGGCCACTCGTTCAGGAGACCTTTTTGCAAAAGATCCAGACGTTAAAAATAATTCTGTTTTCCGTTCGAAGTGTTTTTTTTCCTATTTAATCAAATGAACCCGGTATGAAAACTTAACTTTCGAACCGAACGGCAGGTGAAATGTTGTTTGGTGTCTCTGTCCCCCATGTAAATATTGACTCTAAAAGGCATGTAGGAAAACACTGAGCTTCGAGAAACAGCCAAGTTAAGGCTAATGTGTTTACCTTGCTTAAATATTTATAGTCAGGGCCACTCGTTCAGGAGACCTTTTTTCAAAAGATCCAGACGTTAAAATAATTTTGTCTTCCGTTCGAAGAGTCCTTTTTTCCTATTTAATTTAACAAATGAACTCGGTATGAAAACTTAACTTTCGAACCGAACGGCAGGTGAAATGTTATGTTGGTGTCTCTCCCCCCCCCCCCACGTCTCTGCGAAAGGTATATCCAGACAACCTGCATGGAAAATGGAAAAACTGACAACAGCTATTGCAACAAATTTTTTAAAAAATCTTTGAAACTAGACTGGTGAGCAGCACTCTACGAACAGTAGTTGTAAAATTTCTTTATTCTCCGACGCGTTTCGTCTAACTGTCGTAGACTTCTTCGGGGAGTTTTACAATTTAACACTAAACACCTGTATTTATAAGCCATAGTTAGCGGCTATACGGGAGCCAATGACCGTAAAGGTTTGGCCGGACCTACGAATAGGAACAGGTGAAGTTGCGAAAAATTTGTGATTTTTTGGGGTAAGGTGGGAGAATTCATTTGGGGACCACGGTTTTGGTTTTCTCTTTTTAGTCACGCATGTCACGCAGTAAGTTACAAACTTAAATATAATTCTTCTTGGTGCCTTTCTGGATACCACCGATGCCTTTTCTGATGCCTCCATTGTTTATTACAGCAGTGAAAGACATACGTACCATCAAAACTTTTGAAAAATTGCTTAAAATTTTATTTAGCGAAGTATACTGTTAACATTTCGGCTTTACAACACTATTGTTTTCTGCAGCTACAACTGATATGTCTCTACATGAAGTATTAAATTTGTTTCCCCCGCTGACCACTCGTATTTCTATCTTTTCTTCTTCCCCCGCTCGTCGCCCGTGATGTAGTAACTGATTCTTCGAATACATCTATAGCGGTGAAATATGTTGCGTATCTCTCGTCAAATTTTACAAATCCAGAACGTATCCAAGACATGTGTGAGGACTATGGCAAAGAAAAGAGAATACACGAAGAAAACTATGAGGAAAATGAGGGAGGAAGGGTGGGTTTTTGACGATAAAGGACAGCCTAAAAAGAGACTTCCAGATATTAAAATCCCTTCTAGATTGAATGTTATTCTGTTGGATGAGCAGGAGAAGCTTGGAAATGCAGGACAAATGATTTCTGTGAAAGCTGGATACGCCAGGAATGTTCTGGTACCTGAAGGAATTGCTATCTATGCAACGGAGGAAAACAAGAAACGATTTCTTAGCTTTGATGCTGTGGACGACAGCCCTGAAACGCCTGTGTGTCCGAGATTTTTAAAGTTTCTACAAAGTACTCAATTGAAAATTCAACGAAAGGAAGGGAGTGAATTCTTCGAGGTGAATGAGCATCATATAGCTTTGGAATACGAATCACAGTTTGAGCTGTTCGTGCCAGTACACTGTGTAAAACTAGAAGAGCCCATAACAACATTTGGAGACTTTGAGGTCAATATTGCGGTCAGGGATAATGTTCTGGTGCCTATGAAAATTACCGTGGAACAATGGAGCCCTGATTTGCCAGACTGGGTTGAAGCAGCCTTGAAAACCGAGAGTGATGAAGAGGAGAAAGTGCAAGCTAAAGGCGACTGACGTTTGGGAACACAAAAGGGAAACACTTTGAATTATGAAGCTTGAACATCTCCCCCTCCCCCCATGGGCATTTGACACTAAAGGTCCTCTTGGGGTGGGGAATTTGAACCTTGGCTGTGTGGGGGGTGGTATTAGAGCAAGTTTGATATGGAGAAACTTAAATATCTGGTTTTATAACAGAATGGTTTAGAAAGACAATTGTTTTCATTGAGAATGATTCTTATTGGCCAAAAACCCAACGGCAGCATTAAAACCACTATGTAATGTTGATAAATTCTCCCACATTTGTTGATCAGAAATAATCCCTCATCAAAAAATGGTGGTGAAGTAGGGCATTCAATGCAATTTTGGTCCAAGAGGAAAGGAGAGAGGGACGTTGAAGTTTAGAATTGATTGATGCACTCTCATGGGCTTTTGACTTTTTAGACACAATCCAAGGAAAGGTGCTGGGCTAGTTGTCCAGATTCAAATTTTGGACATGAGCCAGAAGCTACAACAAGTAGAGGTTTATACCTGAACCTCTCCACACGTAGTATGAATTAACCCTTTCACCTTAAAATCAGTATGCATAATCTCCACACTGTCCTCTGCACATTTTCCATGGAACTGATATGGAGAATGTGTCTACCAATCAAGAGCTTCTTGAATTGGGCATCATTTCCCTTAATCTCTAATTCAGCAGTGAAAATTTAACAAAAAAGCTTTTCTAAGGGTTATATTGTTAATAAAGAATGCAAAGTTTTCTCTTTTTGTGTGGTTTCAATTTATATTCTGTGGGGTGTTCCTTTTTTTGAATAAGTTCCTACAAGAAAATGTTCTTAACCCTTTACACCCCAACATCAGTATGCATATTCTCCATACTGTCCTCTATACGTTTCCTAAGGTGCAGAAAGGAGAATTTGTTTTTATGTTTTTATACATATAATGTAAGAGGAAGTTTGAAGGGTACACGATATCTCAAATCTGACAGTTATGCCAATGATTTTGCAACTCTTCAAAGCAATATGAGGCTTCCAGGTTAAATTCTTGTCAGTTAGCACTCCTAACTGGACTGACTCTCCTCGGCAAGGTTATGAAAATCCTTTGTTAATCTGGCCTCCCAAGGAGGAAAGATGAGACATCTCCCACCTCTTGTTTTCATTTTGCTGTGGCAAAAGTAAAATTAAGGGGTAGAAACTCTACTATGAGCAGGATGAAATAACAAAATGGAAAATTGTGATTTTTTTTTTTTGAATAAGAGGAGGGGAAAAACACAAACTAAAAAGAGACAAGAAGGAGGAGATTAAAAATTAAAAAAAAAAGAAAAATCTTTCAAGTCTTGGTACATTATATTCACCATACATGACCCAACTACTGAGATTGAGGCTGAAATCTGATTGGCCCAGTGTAGCAAAAATGGCGGAAATTCTAAAATGGCTGAACGTAAAGGCATGTCACTTTGAAAACAAACAAGATAGGCGAACAAAGATGGTTTCAAACTTAAATGGGGATTAGTTCAGTTAGATGATAATTTCAGTGGAGAAAATGAGTCGTAAAGTCATTTCTCCAACGATGCGATCGAGTTCGAATTCATCGCCACAACACACTTTTGAGGTGATGCAGCGTCGGTTACAAATGGCTGAAGAAGAGACGAAAAAGTTAGTGGATCAACTGGCCGATTACGGTTTTAGCAGAGATCGCCCCGAAAATGATGAAAATGGTAAAAGTGGGAGAATTAATCCCGTTCAACCATTCAAAGCCACGGGATCGATCTCCCCAGAAACAGAAATTCTTCAACGAAATTATGAACAAATGGTTTCAAGAGTTTGTCGCGCTGAAAGTACAATTCAATCATTAAAACTTGCAATGTGTAGTCTTGAGGCTGAAAAGAATCTTGCCATGATAGATAAGGAGCCAGATATGGCGCCTCTTCCTAAAGATACGTACGAGAATGAGATTAAAAAACTTCGAAAGGACTTGCATCGGTACAAAAAAGAATTGGAGACTTATGAGAAAGAGAAAAAGGAAAGCCAGACTGTGGTGAAGCGACTTGCTTCGGAGCTGGACACATCTACTCAAATTAACGAACAGAATAGATTGAAAATGGAAGAACTCAAGCTAAATAAACAAA